TGGTGATGACCATTTTGAGCAAGAATCTGCGCCATCACCAGAGAGTTCACACAGTCAGTAATACATTGTAGTGTTGATTACAAAAAATGCTAACAGAAGACTACAAACCCTGGACAAAGACTTCAAAATCCCTGACTATGGGAAGCCATCAATTTTCGTGGGAGAAAGGCTAAATTCTGTGTTAGAATGCTGAAAAGATCCTTGAGATCCAGGGTAATAAACGAGTCTCTTTGTAAACTCAGAGGACTTGTAACTGATGCATTGTCCAACGAATTCATTCACCTCCAAGAAAACAAGGTTGAATACTATAAAGCACAACAAGGATCTGATAGTGTTATACAGTGATATGGATGAAACCATTTCACCTGTATAAAATTCGATATTGAAGTTGTGTTTTGTGTTAATAAAAGAAACTGTAATCAAAGAACTTTGCATTTAAGAGACCAAGTTCCCAGAAAGACATACTTTGTTCTATTGAACTATTCTAAACCACACCTTATAATAAAAACCCATTTTGAACGAAATCTCTTGAGACTTAACCTAAGAAGACAAAAGTGGTATTTCTCAATACCAAAGGCCCTCAAACTCGTGCACTGAGATTGTGATAGTGTGTGTGTGTGTGTGTGTGTGTGTGTGTGTGTGTGAGTGTTAGGTGTTTAGGGTTTTCCTGACGCACTTGATCCTTGTTTGAGTGTTTTGCACTTTCACAGTCATCCCTGTGCAACGCATATCAACAGTAAGTAATAGAGTTATAAAACAATATAAATTCAACCGATAGATCACAGATACTATGAAATCAACCCAATGAAGATACATACAGGAGACATTGTGGAAGCACAGGTATCATTTGTTGCCATACTGCTTAAGCAGAACAAATACAAGGTACTGGTGGTGCTCTGAGCCATCACTCTCTTAGATTGCAGTCCACTACAAGTAAGCCCCCCTCCCCAGATTATCCTAAGCAAAACAACACTAATCAGAAACAGAATGCAAGTATTGCACGTCGCATGAGCTGAGGCGCTGAACCGCATCGAGCCAGCCAGTCTCTAAAGCAGAAGATTGGATATGAAGAGGATGAGGTGCATAACACCAGGGAGAAGTTGAACAGGATGCATCTGGACTGAAATAGGGCAATAATAACTTATGCAGTGCATTGTTGATATGACGATCCATGTTTCGATGAACAGCCAGCAGCCAATTTCCGTGATTTCAAACCTTGCATGCTGCCGATAAACAAGCATCAATAACATTGGAATCAAGCTCACACGTGGCATCTATAATTGGAGAAATTTCCCCAAGCTTTGATGCCAATGTGTATACCCTGCCACCCAAAACGATGATGCACAAGAGGCATTTATGTACAACTATAGATATTTGTGATCAATGTCACTGCCAAACAGAATGACATGTGACAATAGGAACTGCTGAAACATCCTGCAAGGTTTTGGCAATGTACCATCCCTTCTTCTTGGGGTTCTTTGCACATCAAATTCATGCTCACATCTGATACCACCCATAACACACTCGAGGCAGGAACATGCAAAACACCTTGTCAACTTGACCAGCCCACATGTTGCATCATTGCATATTTGGTGGGCCAGTCACAGTTCATATACCATGAGTGCCAGATGAAATGATTATAAAAGCATTTGGTATATATAATTAAGGAAGAATCATTTGTGGGAATGAGGACCATCACCATCCTTGTCAATGTTGATATAGATGCTCATTCAAAATAATACGACTTGTGTTGGGTATATAAAGTGCCTTTAACCGGTGATGACCATTTTGAGCAAGAATCTGTGCCATCACCAGACGGTTCACATGGTCAGTAAGACATTGTAGTGTTGACTACAAAAATGCTAACAGAAGACTACAAACTCTGGATAAAGACTACAAAATCCCTGACCATGGGAAACCATCAATTTTCATGGGAGAAAGGCTAAATTCTGCATTAGTGCTACTGAAAAAATCCTCAAGTTCCAGGGTAATAAACGAGTCTCTTTGTAAACTCAGAGGACTCGTAACCTTCAAACATGCTAACCCTAACAGAAAAAAATGTATGTCAAATAAATAGCTGCCAAAAGCCCGCCATCTGATCCCACCAATCCAAGAGGAGGTGTGCCTGCCATGCCACCATCTGTTACCAATGCTGCTGTTCTACCCAAAGGGGGGATTTTAAATGAATAGCCTGCCATCTGATCCCACCAATCCCAGAGGTGTGCCCACCATGCCACCATCTATTACCAATGCTGCTGATCTACCCAAAGGGGGAAGTAACCTATTTTGGGAAGGTGCTGAGGCCTACCCTGTGAAAGCCAAGCCGTAGTGGCCCAAGGCACCCCAAATGCAGAAGGAAGGGGACCAGAAACCCATGTAGTGTGTTGTGTAAGCATTGTGCAAGCATTGTGCAAGCATTGTGCAAGCATTGTGCAAGCATTGTGCAAGCATTGTGCAAGTGTTGTGCACAACCCACAGTGACACAGACTACAGTGTGTTGTGCACAACCTATGTGACTAGGATTACAGTCAGTGTTTGCAAGTATATGACAGTACTGCCTGATGGTACCATGTCAAACACAACCAACTTGGTTGGGTGCACACATTACCATGTGTGCGGTTTGACATGATGAATACAGTCAATAAGTCGATGGGTTTCATGCCTTTTCAACTATGTTTTGGCCAAAGTCCTAGAATTATTCCACCACTTGTGCCCGCAAAATCATCTGCTACAGTGACAGATATTGACACCTGGCATGTCATATGTCATCTTGAGACAGATGTCCTCAAGGCACAAGACAACTTGCTAAAGGCTAAAATTTCACAATCCATGCAAGCAAATAAACATTGTATGCTAAAATTCCCTTTTTCAATAGGCTCATGTGTCCATCTATCGACCCTTCATCGTCGAAACAAATTCAAAGCCAAAGGGGAGAAAAGAGTCATGAAATTTATGCCTCAATGTGATGGACCATACAATGTCATTGACATGGATGAAGAACACTCAACCATGACCTTGGACCTCCTGAATTCACCAAATATCTGTTCCACCTTCCACACATCCGAAGTACTACCCTATGTGGAGTCCGACACAACCTTGTTTGCTTCACATAAATTTGACAAACTCAATCCCATCATAACCAAAACGGGCGACAAGGAATTCTACATTGATCACATACTAGACACTCAACAATGTGGATGAGGTTATCAATATCTCATATGTTAGCATGGCTATGGCCATGAGCATGACCAATGGCTACTGGGTTCTAAGCTACAAGATTGCAAAGTGTTGGATGTCTAGCTGGCTGTGTGGAAAGGATCTCCTTCTTTTTAGGTAGTTTTCTTTTTGTCTTTGCCAGCCAGTAGCTTTTTCCCACAGGGTTTTGACGCACCCAGCGTTCAGATTTTATTTACTCTTACTAACCATTTACTTTTCTCTTTTTCCTTTCTCTTTTTTAAACTAGGGGAGGGTGTAATCCTGAGATTACTACTTTGGGATTGTTTGGCATCAGTGTCTACACTATTTAGATGCCTTTATACTTGTGCATCTGCACTTCTTACCTTACCACCATCTTCCCCCTGCTTTTCCCTGATCCCTATCTTTTGTATCACTCTCCTAAACCTACAGAATCATATACACAGTTAAATTCTGTTGGTTTTCCATGAGTAGTGTTATCTATCCTCTTAACAGAGGATAGATTTCCATGTGGTTGTTGTTGAAGATCTCTGATGAGGGAAATAAAGGCATCACTTTGGAGATTCCTGGCAAAATCTTTGTCTTGTGATGCATGACACTGGTGTTGTTCAGTATGGGTATGGAAGGAATGGTTCTGGTTGGTGCCAAAAACTAGTAGTGCTGCCTCTGAAGGTGTGCTATTTGGGTATTTTAATATGAAATAGGAGCAGATCATGAGACAAACTTACAATTCAAATCTCAGGTGGTCCATTGAATCCCTAGGTAAGAAACCAAAACAAACTCAGTTACCGCCCTGAGCACAATAAGATAAGGATAACCAAATGAGAGAAAGTCAGTATCAGGTTTTGCGCCTGCAGGCATGCTACATGGTTATTTGAATTCTTGGCAATGCCCTTTATTCTGCAAACAGATACTAACTCTCTTTATGTTTTGCCAAAGCAAATTGGTTTTGTCTTTTTCAAACTTTCCCCAAACTCTCCCCTCCCCATAATTTTGAGATACATGAATTATCAATTTTGTTGAATATTTTCTATCCAGAAAGATGTGAAGACTATTCTGTAGGATAAAAACCTTATCACCTTGCTTGTCAAGGTCTCCCAAGGTCATAAATACCAAACAGGTACAAACAAACTACCCAGGGGCCATGGGGGTCTTTTCTTGCATATCACGCACACGAGCGGGCAAGCATGAACAAACAAACTTTCTACGGGCCATGGGGCTCTTTTCTTGCATATGGCACACGCAAGCGAGCAAACCGGTGCAAACAACTGGTCTTTTCAAAACATGATATCATCGTCTCTTTCTTAGTGCCAGCTCCAATGTTTATATACATAACTAGCGCTATAGCTCTTGAACACTGTTTCCTTTGTTACGAAAAAAAAGTCACATCTCTATACATGAAAACACAAAGGATTGATGGCTGACAAATTCAGCCTTATGTTACTAAGCAGTTCACACCCTCTTCTGAGCTGCATGAGCGGCATTGGAAACTAGGATTCAACATGCATACCAGGGGGTCCAGGGGGCTTGCTCCCAGCAAGCTGTGACCAGTGTCAAAGCAACAGTTGAGCGCAGCGAGCGCCGTGGCGTAGACACGGGTCTAAAGCTTGTTGTATTGGTGCAAAGCAGCGTATTTGTCAGCAAGCAAGGTGCCTGCTGCCGCTGCTAAGTGTCAGCCTCTAGTGGAAAGTTGATGGAAAGTCATCCATTTAACTGAACATTTTTACTGTGAAATTAAAGAGTTATTTACAGTTTATCTGGTGACGAAAGCCATTTCCCCCCTGTGTTGCAATTAACCTTTTCCAATGCCAACTGATTCTTTGCAAAACCTGTCCGACATCACTACCTTTGTCTTCCCTGCCCCTCTCTCTTCCACAACATTGGTCATTGAGTTTTGCGACCGAGTAAGTCGATACCCCACAATCGATTGACTCCTCTTGAAATGATTGAAATCAGTGCCGTTGGTGAGACAACGCTGAACATCCTTATACTCGCGTAACCTCACGCGGGCAGGCTTCACCGAGCAAGCTGGGTCCAGACTGAGCTCTTCCTGACCTTTCCCCCGCCGGTCATCGGGACCATCTCATTGATACCACTCAACACTGATGAGACAGCGGGACGTTTTCGAGTGTGGCTTTCAATCCTCGGCTCCCAAGCTCCTCTGTTGGTGTGGGACAGAAAAGTTGAAGGAGGCTTCCCGGAGCTCAAGGTCTTAGTAAGAAACCACTATCATGTTGAAGGCAAACCCCCTGAAAGCCCTAAAGAAACAGCGTATTCGCGACCTTCTGCAGCCAGGAAAAGACCTTGGGCATTCGGACAGAAAACCGTCGTAGTGTATAGGACATTATATACACGTTGAAGTTGATTGTCGGTTTGAACCTGAGTTGTAGTTATGTAATTGGGTGCTGCTACACTTGGAAACTATTTATCACGTTGGTCCCGCTTTTCCCTTCAGCTAGCGCGTCGATACCCAGCTCGCCGCCCGCTGGTTACTACAATGGATTCTAACGAATCACGTCTTGAAGAGCTCCTGAACCAGTGCAGAAGCAATGGTACGTTCAGAACCTCATCTCCGATTCAACATTTCCAACCTATGAACAGATGTGGATGCTAAAGTCGACGCTCTCTCCAAACTTCAGATGGAATTTGAAGCTGGGATTGAGGTGAGTAACGGTGGTAACCTTGAATTTTGCACCCTTTCCAAACTCCATTCATACAGGTTTCTGAACCAGACACCGTCATCAACGTGCTGAAATCCTGTTTGCGAAATTCAAACCAACATCTGACAAATGCCACCCTTGCTGTCGTCTTGTCATCGCTTCCGCCATTAATATGCCGTGCAACGAACCCACTTCAAGCGAATGCAGTCTCGCCGTCCGCAGGAGCTATCGATGTGGCCACGCTTAGGCAAGCCTTGACAGCCTTCCTTCCACCAGGTGGCTTGATCGATCGACTTGGAGACAAAGAACGAGCTCAAGCAAAAGCTCGCGAAAGTTTGGTTATCTTGGGTGGTTTTGCCTTCCGTGCAAGTTCGGCGAGCACTATTTCGTCGAAATCTGGTAAAGGCCCAGAGACACCGGTCACCATCTTCGAGAGAGCCTTGAAAGAGGTTGGTCTTGGAAGCAAAGTTTGGAAAGTGAGAGAACAAGTACGTTCTGCCAATTTTCTTAAATTCAGCGACCCACCTCATCTCTCTTACAATAGTCAATAATCACTCTTGTGCATATAAGACGAGCTCATCCTCATTTTCCGATTCGGCCTTACCTCTCCCTCCTTGTTGATTGCCTTGAAGACACCGACGCTCGTGTCCGTGAATCAGCACGTCAATCCATTGTCGAGCTTTTCTCTGGTTTGGACGTCTCAGACGCAGCGCGTGCTGACTTGAAGAAAGAACTGACAAAGAAAGGTGTAAGAAAAACCATCGTCGACGGAGTTTTATCAAAACTTCTCGGCAACGGATCCAATGTCGTCAACGCACACAGTCGGGACGGTTCAGAAACTGGCGAGCCAAGCGTTAAGGATTATGTTCCCCCAAGTCTGACATTGCAAGGCAAGAGACCAAGGGTTGCCAGCCAGAGTAATGGACTATCTAGGACTATAAGCCACTCGAGTGTCAATGATTCCTCCCGGCCAGCGAGTCGCACTGCTATGATATGTCCACCCCCGCCTTCTGCCCCCACAACAGAAAACAACGAAATACAGCCATTCTATGTATGCGATTTCCCCCCATTTCAAGTTCCACACTCAATTTGTCCAGGTTGCGTCGACCCGAGATTTGGAGAGTGAGTTTGCACCGATGTCAAAGTCATTCGAGGTCCGTTTTCACACATTGGATTTGAAAGGGCTACCATCATAAGCATCTGATAGGGAAAAGAAACGGAACACAATTGGGCAGCACGCGAGCAGGCCATTCTTCGTGTCCGAGGGATGCTGAAGGGAGATGTTCATCTGAAGTACACAGAGGGATTCTTAGCCTGTTTGAAAGATGGATTCATCCAATGGTCTCTGAAAACAGTAAGGTGACTGACACTGATAATTGGCCAATCTGTTAACAGCACCCCCTAGCTTGCTAGTTTGCGAACCACCGTTTCCGCGAACACATGTCTCCTCTACTCAGAACTTGCGGTTGCACTTGGTCCATTGCTTGATCCGTTTTGTGACCTGTTATTGACGCATTTACTCAAAATGGCCGGATTTACAAAAAAAATTACCGCCCAACAGTCTCAAGCCTCGGTCACTGCGATTATCAGTCACACTACATCTCAGCCACGAATACTCTTGCCGTTGCTGTGGAATACTATCCAAGAGAAGACGGTCCAAGCCAGAGCGTTTGTGATTGCGCATATCAAACAATACCTCGAGCATCATGGAACCCGCTCGAAACACGCAATAGAAGCATCAAGTGGTTTAGAATTTTTGGAAAAGTCACTCAAAAAAGCGCTATCAGACCCAAATCCAGCTGTCCGTGAGACAGCCCGTGTATTGTTCTGGATCTTTGAGGCTATCTGGAGAGATCGTGGGTTAGTGATCATGGACACCTTGGATTCCGTGGCAAGAAAACAACTAGAAAAGAAGTGTCCTTATCCACAGCAAATGGCTCTGCCACCCTCTACACCGAATCCGACAAAGAAATCGAGTGTAGCTGCCGCTATCGCTGCAAGCCGAGCAAAGGCAAAGGCGATCGCAACTGCGCCACCCACCCTCCGCCATCAAGCAACTTCTGGTTCTCATGGTCCCCTTCTGCGACGCGCCGGTTCTCCGGGTACATCCCCAAGAAGCTTGACCTCACGCCCAGCCTCTCCCATCCGAGCACCTACTTCACCCCCATCACCCTCCAGATCACGGGTTCCATCAAATATGGTGCGATCAGTCAGCGCTGCGCCGATTCTTGTGTCTCGTTCTCGCTCGGCCTCTGCTGGGTCTGACCGAGCTGCATCTCCTTCCCTTTCAACCCAATCAAACGGTCAACGACGTGGTTCATCGCCTCTGGCTGCATCTACAACAACAGCTACCATTCGTACAGCAATACGGACAGCTTTGCCTGCGTCACCGCCTCCCTCTGTTGGGCACGAGTCCGCTAAACCCAGCTCGCAATTAGGATTACGAAATGGCGCAGCTCCTGTGCCTGCCCGACAGCCCTCATTATTACCTCAACCCCTCGATGCGCATGGCGATGACCAGTCACTGCTTATGGCCCAAAGCGTTCCAGGACCTGAGGCCGAAACGGATTCTGATGACGAGCACTCCGTCAACCTAATGTCATTTTCTGCTCCCTTTGAAATGTGCCGCCCATCCCCAACTTCGTCGAAATCCCGATCGATCAATTCCAAGCCGACCGCACCCATCTCCAACGCCCTGTCCTCAGGGTCAATCTCGGATATAGGCTCTGGACAGCCCGTTGTTGAGGATGCTCTGAGGGCTCGAGCCGAACAGGCCGAAAGTGCGGCCGAACGACTGTTAGAGCTTGTCGAGCCAGAAGACGAGGGATTCCAGCATCCTATACTTCCAGCATCCTTGCTGACAGGAAGCAATCGTGTAACACCCAAAACCAAAAGCAAAGCAGCTCCGTTACCCACTGTTCGAGGTGCAGTTGAACCTGTAACACCCGTCAGTCGAGCGAGTATTGTTATGCAGCACGCCGCCATGTTCAAAGACAGCCCAGCCTATCCTGGACGTTCAACTTCCCTGTTGGACGTACTGCAAGGGCGAGGGTTTGAGACCGGATGGTGGCTCAAGCGCAAGACGTGTTAGTTTTCGCTCAATATTATTTTGCTCCCGACACTAATGGGCATCCGTAGTATTTGCGCAGGCCGCCCCTCTCCGTTCTCCAGGTTCTCCAGAGCGAGTTCAAGAACTGGAAGGTCATATCAAGGCGCTGGAGCGTGGTGACGCCAACACTGCAGCGCTTCCAAGTCTAGCTCTTATTTGCATGGAAAACCCAGTGGCAGAACTTTCATCTCCACCTCCAAGTCCCGGAGGTGCCGATCCAAGTAGTCCCTCTCCCTTTGTTGTGTCTGACTCCATGCCTTCTCTCCATTCTGACATGTGGGAAAAAAACAAAACCTTTGAAAGACTCTTCTGTGCTCTTATGCTATACTTGGACCCTTCAAGAGTATGTTTTTTTTCAAAAAGAAAAACTGGATAGAGTGAGTGACCAAATAATATGCGTTTAGATCGAGAAAGAGCTTGAATATGGTCTAATCGTTGTTTGGGAAATGCTCGAGAACCAAGCTCCTTACCTTGAAGGCAAAGAAGCCGACTTGTTTTCTATGCTTCTCAAGGTTCGCTACAGCAACAAATTAAACGTGAGCCCGGGGATGTCGTTGTGTTAGCAAAGCTCATGTCGTTGTGCAGGTGCTTGAAGCAACAACCAATATCCGAGACACACTAACCAGAAAACTTGACCCAGTTTATGGACTGACGACGATGCATGCCAGCTTGCGCGCTTTCCAACTAGAAGCCGCCCCTACACCCTCGGACGAAGAAGCCAAATCGTCGACGTATGCATTTGGACTGATGGCTCTGGGAAGATTCATCCTCCGTCTGCCTGCCGAGATTGCAGAGGAAGAGATACCCCGACTTAAAGGAACGCTGATCTCCGTCAGTTGGTTGATACCCTGACCCCTCTTGTGATGGTTTTTTTAACTGGTTCTTTCCTAGGCTCTGAACGACAAGTCGTCGCTAATTGTACGTGAGTCCGCGGCGGCCTCTATTATCGCTGCACAGCTCGTTCTGCGAGACGAGACGCACCTGTTTGCACTACTTGACGGCCTTGCGGACGAGAAAAAGAACCTGTTGACATATTTGTTTGACAAACATGGCGCACGTGGGCTTATCGCATCTGGTCAGTCTGGCATGGATAAGTTGGAGAAGGAGATCCGCAGGTTAGATACGCGGACGAGCACCCCGCTAAAAGGGTCTCCCTCTTAGGCCCTTTTTCGACCACATCACGAATTCGGATGTCTTCTAGTTGCGGAGAGTATTACCCCTATTACCATTATTTACCCAGTACAAGTTATGGATGTCCGCAAGATTCTACTACGTTTTCTAATGGCAAATGACTGCCTAAAAGAGCCGGAATCGCTTTGCCAAAAAATATCCAACGCCTGCCAGCATGCCTGCGACATGGCCAACGGTGTCGGTGTTACCTCGCTGAAAGTATAATTTATAAGAACAACGACATGTGGTGGGTGCGACTACTGACCTTGTCAGCGACGGTAGAATACGTGTCGTATGCAAAAAGGCCTGTGACGGCTAGCCAAGCGGGTATGGGTATAATGCCGTACAGCTGAAAAGTCATTCTAGGGGCGACACAAGCAAGAAGAGCGACAACAGAATAGATGGCACCTGGCAAAAGCTGATGACCAACCAAGGGAGAAGAAAGGATAAGGATCACTTGCCGCTTGCCCCGTGAGCTGGGCGATCTTTTCGATCAATAAGGTTGGCGTATCCCATGCCTACAAGAGCAGATACAAGTCCGCCTATAGAAGTCGTTTTGATGAGGTTTTATTTGAGTGTGCGTACGGAACAAACCTCCGATGTAGAGAAACAGAAACGAGCGACCTCCAAGCATCTGCAGCACAGGTTGTGCCATAAAGTAAAAAGTAAAACCATTGAAAAAAATATGGCCGAAATCTTTATGGGAGAAACAAGATGTGACGGGAGTCCATCTGGCGAGAAATTTAGCATCGAAGATACCTGGACGGGAATAAGACTGACATTCGACCAGATGAAATATTCTGCCAAGAGTTGGTAAAGTTCTGGTGCATCCAGACGAGCGCCGAGGGATCATGTTCTTGTTTCTGGGGAACTCGTTGGTCTGCTGAGTGGGAGAAGGATAGGAATTATACACACGTATTTTTGTGTCGACATGAACCACATGGCAAAGACCGTGGCGTTGAGGCCAATGATTCCATAGAAGATGGTGTTTTGTGGAATCTGGTCCAAAAATCCAAAGAAGTTGTGGCGGCTAGAGTGGGAACGAGGTAATGGGTGGTATCGCAGGGAGGACGGAGTCGATGTGAAGAAGGATCGTGAAAAGGTGGCTGGTGCACATAGTAGACGTGACGACAAAGAGTGAAGCCGAGGTGAACGCGACGGAGAGGATAGACGAGAGAGCGGAGGAAGACGTTTAAAAAGGATCATAACAAAATCGTTTGTTGTGAGATGTTTACGCGTAAACGCGTCTTAACATCATGTCGCATCATCTCTTCCTCCTCTCCCCGTCAGATACGCCTCTCTATAGCCTCACACACCACTCTACGAAACCTGTTCCAAGCACAACCTCGCCTCTTGCATCCAATCTGCCGACATGGTCAACATCGGCGTTTGCTGGAACACTTACGGCGCTGTCAGGCGCGTCAAGCGCAACGCAACACACAACCGGTGGGGGTGTTCGGATGGGGGGAGGACAGGACCGACATGTGATCCAGATGATTGCCAACGCGAGTCTTGATGCGATTGAGGATACGATGCGCAAAGAGAATACAATGTGCGTTTATAATTACAAAAGTAGCAGCCCTGACGGCGGAACAGGTATTTAAAATCGGTGGACAAGTTTAATGAATGGACGGTGTCTGCGTTTGTTACAGCTGGAAGTGAGGGTATTGAGTGGGGAATTTAAAGAATTGAGCTGATGAATGGACAGACATGAAGTTTGTGCTGCTGCACGAAGGCAAGAACGACGAAGGGATCAGGGGATTCTTTGCAGAGGTGTGGGAGTTGTACGTGAAGGTGCGTTTGTTGGACAATGTTGAAATGGTATTTTATTTTTATTATGCAGACGATGATGAACCCATTCCACACGGCTCACAGTACAATCCGAAGCAATGTTTTTGACAGTCGAGTGCGGGCTAGTGCGAGAAAGTATTTATAGACATTAAGTGTGACGTGTGTGATGTGTTGTCTGCATTGATTGTGACATGTGTGACGTGTTGTCCCTCTCTCTCTTACTCTCTCTCTTCTGTCACTGTCTGTGTCCACCCTTTTTACCTTTGTCTCTTTTCAACTTTTTAAATAATATATCATCCAAAATCACTTCAAATTTGCTGTTCTCTTCAGTTGGTCTTTTTTCTTTTCCTTTGCTTTTTCTCTTTCTAAACTAGCTGCAGCAATTATAATCATCCTTCATAATCAACCAACCGCCACCACCAACCAATATCTATCCAAAGCAATGACTACCGCAAATCCCAACAATCGTGCCTCTCTTCTTGCTGGTCTCCGCACTGGCGGTGTTCGCACCACTTCACTCAATGTTCCTCACACCGCTGCTCCCACGGGCGCTTTCACCATCCCTCGCTTTGTTTCCCAACATCAGAACAGTATCGAAGAGGAGGACCTGTACCAGGAGTTGCCTCAGCACACACCTTATTCTAATAGGTCTGTTTCTTTGACCGCCGCCGTCGATGGGCCAAACAATCGCTTCTCCCATCAGCAGCAGGCTAGAGGCATGAACCCCAACAGCGTCCCTTTCACCCCCTCTTACCCCCACATGATGCCCCAAGCTCAGCTTGTTCAGCAAAACCAGGCTATGCAGATGCAAATGCTTCAGTTAGAGATGATGAGGATCCAGGTATTTTATCTGTCACCTCACCCACATGATGACTCATCACACTTTTAGGCACTTCAAGCGCAGCAATATCAGGCAGAACTACTCGCTCAAGCTCAGATCCAGCAGCAGCAACAGCAGGCGCAATCTCAGGTTCGTGAGAGGCGCACCAGCTTCAACCCACCTGCCACTGCTGGTCCAATGACAAACTCGTTCGATTTGCGAGCAGCCACCCTCAGCGCTCAGATGCGCCGCGCCAATCAAGCAGACCAACTCAGGTCCCAACTCGGAGTGGCAGGAGGCTCTGATGATCATGTTCCGATGACCGCCGCTTTGGGTGGAAGATTCGGCAGCCGCACAACCAGCCTCAATGGCATGCCTCGCTTTGAAGAGCGCGAAGAACACCCTGCCCCACCCCCAACTCCTCATTCGACCACCGTCATTAGCGGCGGTACTTCTCTTGGGAACTTGGCCTCCAGCAACACCTACACCGCGGGCGTTCCTTCCAAGTCTGACTCTGCCTCTTCTTGGAGGAGGGGCGGTAACAACAATTCCGTCCTTAGCGGTAACCGCACCGTCTCTTCTCCCAGTGTCAGAGTGACCCCTCCGAGCGAGAATCAGAGGACTTCTCCACTTCCCTTCTCCCCACTTTCAACCTCGGGTCCCAAATTCCGGCCTCAGCCACTCCGTTTCAGCTCCGTCGTATCGCAATCCTTACCGGCTGTCACCATTGACACGACGGATGACGAGACGGATCGGGATAGCCAGTCCTCTGGATCATCCGTCAAGTCTGCTTCCTCTCCTACCACGCCCCGCTCTGCCTCGTCCAACGAAATGCCACTCTCGCCGCGCGAAGAGGCCTCCAAGAAGTTGTACGAAGGACTCGGTATCGGTCGACCCGTGTCTGCCAGCCCTTCTGATCAAATTCAATACTACCCGACCGTATCCGTTGCAAGCCACAGGATGGTTAGCCAACCAACAAGGCAGCCCCGAGGGCCACCTTCGGGATCAGATGAGCTTGGTCCCAAGAACTTTGCCACACGCATCAGGAGAAAGGCCATCGGCGGTCTGGGCATGTTGATGGATGCAAGGGAGAGGCGGGAGTTTGTTGAAGCCTATTGAGATTCGCACGCACATACACCCATTTCCTTACGACAAACTGCCTTTTTACCACCATTTTCTTCTTCCCCTAACCTACAGATTTGGCTTATATATTCGGTCGGCTGGCTGGACGCTTTTCAGAAGATTGTCGGATGATGACACAAATCTGTGCGCGAGACTGGGTCTTCTGTTTCCCCCTCTTTTGTGATACTCATTTTTCAAACCCGCATTCTTTTGCACATCGGTTATCCTTCTACACTGTAACACCCCCACCGTCATTGCACGGGTAACTTTACCATTCCTCTTCCACACCCTTTTCACTTTTTCTACACATTCCTTCACCTTGTCCTTCTTCCCGATTCCTGCGGTGAGGGATTTGAAAGGACTTAGCTTTCCATGTATATATTCCCAAGGCAGCCCCTCCCTTCATTTTTTTGTGCTTGCACCACCCTGATCTTACTGTCCGACACCCTCCAGCAACTTTTTCTTTTTTTTTCACGTTGGAAAAATGGGCTTCCTCAGTCGGCAGGAGGATGGTAATACATAGCTGGCTGTCTTATCCGCTCTTGGGAAGGGCTGCGCTACTCCCTTGGTCGGAATTCTACCGTTGCATATACATTGTTGTGTTTTGTACCCAAATGAAATTACAATCTTGCATTTCCCTCTAGGGAACTTGTCCACAGATAGATGCCACAAAGGTACCCATGAACAGTATGGAACAGCAAGAACCGATTCTACTTACATCTTTGACCAATGATTGCCTTGCCGTGCTCCTGGGGTCATATGAATTAGTCTCTGCATGGGTGCATATTGAGCCCACCATACCTGCCACTCTTCTTTACTAATCCACAGTTGATGGAATGTCCCCAAGCTCGCCAAGATGCTACCCCCCAACCAGCCACCATATCGGCGCTCAACAGGATTGCCAGGGGCATGTATCTTCGTCTAGTGAACTATGAGCAGCTGCCAAATCTACTAAACGGACACATCTCACGTGCGGGAACGTCCTCGAAAGTTCTGTCGACAACCGATCCGTAAAGCCAGAGAAGAGACTTCCGCCACCTGTGAGGACAACATTCCCCATGAGCACCTGGCGGAGCTCCGGATCACAAGCTCGCAGCGACTCTGTAATGAGGGCCGGGATATTCTTCGGCAAACTGGGATTTGACGCCTGTGTATTGACAGTTAGCGGAAGAAGAGGACGCCTATAGTAGCACACACCACTAGCTGCGGCGAATGCCAAAAGAATTGCTCTCCGACATGGAAACGATCCGCTCCAAAGTATGTGTTGTAGCCTGTGGGAAATTCGTACTGCTTTGCGGGTCTCGATGCTGCTGCCCTGTTCATTGTCATCAACACCAATGACTATTAGAAAGACAATAAACCATACTGATCGTTCCACCCTTGGTCCAAAACACCAGCAACACTTTGAATCCACTCATCAACCTCCCTCGCCTCTGCCCAATTTCGCCAGCTCTCAGTAGTTCCCTGCATTCGGTCTTCGCGAAGGGTATACCTCGGAGATTGGCCCGGTTCAATGGGCTACGTCACATTCTTATTCACCTATGTAGGAGGAGTCTGGCACAGAACTAAGAACGTACCATTTTATTGGAAATCAACTGATGAGGCAAGAGTTCAATAGCTCTTCGAGATTGTGTAGGGGAGGCAAGCGTATGTCGAGCATGAGCGTGAACAAGCTTGGGAAGTGCCGTGTAAACAAGACCTTTTCGAAGAACAAAGCCATCGACCACGGGAGTTACGCTTGCCATGGATTGGCCAACATCAATGACTAGGGCGGACCCTTTTCCGGAGGCAAACCTATTATTCACTGTCAGTATACCAATTTCCTTGCACTCATAGACGTTTACCGTACGCGTTCAGCACACCAGTGTTCGCAATGTAAAAGGCGGGCACGTTGAACTCCTCAAACATAATTTCTGCCATTCGCTCTCGATTCGCAGTCGTATTCCAAGTGGGTTCCGTTACGAGTGTGGGGTGTTCTGAGGGGGTGCAACGCATGACTTCCTTCAGAGCGTGCTCAATCAGTGGAGGGATGGGGTTAAAATCCTGGACTTTAAGAAATGTTCGCTGGGACTCGAAGTGACCAATTTTTTGTACGTACTGAGACCGTCAATGACAGGGTTTCCAATCTCCATCCCTTCTCTCCATATTGAGGGCCCGTTCTGTCCAATGTAGATCTTCGCAAATTTGGGTGTATTCACAGGATCTTTCCCTTCAGTAACATCCAGCATTGAAATATCAGCATCAGGAGGGGCTGGCAAGTAGCCGTATGAGGTGGGTATAATGGCTTTTGGGGTGTCATCTCCGGCATATCCTGCACGCAATGAGGATGAGCCAATGTCCACAACCAGTGCCGAAACTTCATCTACACTCACGGGTCAAAACATCTTATCTCTGAGAAAAGAAGGTAGACATACCTCCTCCATAGTTCACCATTTTGAAAGCAACTTGAAAACGATTCTGAAAGATCAACTTTCGCCGTTTCAGTCAATGAGCTTATGGTGGTGTGTTTGAAAGGCAGGCTATCAGTCTTCATTACCACGTGCCCACAAATCCTCAATCAAACTTTTTCCATTCAACCGCGTTCCAAACATGGCGCTAGACGACGCGAAGAGATCATCAAAAAAGCGCAAGGAATCTCAAGATGAAGATTTCTCTTCAAAATCTTACCAAGATGCTGGAAACTTGGAGATGTTGAGCGACGAGGAGGCCGGGGGTAGTGTCGACTCGGACGGTGGTCAACTGGAAGAATTTCCCGAAATCGACGTAGCAAGCGATAGCGAAGAAGAAGACGACGAATCTGACGAGCAAAACAATGGGGAAAGCTACGACGACTACGATGACGAGGAGGAGGAGGAGTTTGATGATTCTGAAATCCACCTCTTCCCCAAGTCTAAAAACGTTATATCAAACATCACTGGGAAACTCAAACGCGTTTATCCCGAAATAGAGCCAGATTATGACTCTGATTCTTCCACTGAAGATGTAAGCATTTCTTTATAGCCCTCTCCAATAAAACATTTTACCTGTAAAAAAGACTACGAACCGTGTGGGTGATGTCCCAATGCATTGGTACGACGACCTGCCACACGTAGGATATGACATCGACGGGAAACAAGTCTTTCGACCTGCTCGAGGAGATGAACTTGACAAATTTCTCGCGACAGTGGAGGATCCTTCCTCATGGTGACAATGTCGTCACTTTTTTGAGTATTCTGGCTAATAAGATTTGTTTCCAAAGGACGTCCGCGTTCGACAAAAATGCACAAGCTGACAAACCTCTTACGATGGAAGAACTGGATATTATCAAAAGGCTATACGCGGGTGAAGTTCCCGATGCGACGTACGACCCATATGAACCAACAACGGAGTGGTTCACCAGCAAACAGGAAGTCATGCCTCTCTCCGGTGCACCTGAGCCAAAACGTCGATGGATTCCAAGCAAATGGGAAAAGCAAAAGGTGTGCTTTCTGTTCGCATGTTTCGGCCTCCAGTTAAAACGCAAAGGTTATGAAAATTGTGCGCGCTATTCGTCAAGGCCGCATTGTCCCCTCGAAAACAAAAACTGCCCAAAAACTTGAAGTCTATTCAATCTGGTCGGAACCTTCCTCGTCGCACCCCCCTCCTCTCCCCGCACCCAAACCACCGCTTCCCACCAACTCAGAATCCTACAATCCACCAGAAGAATATCTGCCAACCGAAGAGGAACAAAAAGCATGGGAAACCCTGGATCCAGAAGATAGGGAGCGAGACTATCTTCCGAAGAAGTACTCCTCTTTGCGCCTCGTTCCGGCATATGATAGGTTCATCAAAGACCGCTTTAACCGACAGCTTGATCTTTATATGGCCCCGCGGATACAACGGGTGAAACTCAATATCGATCCCAACACACTGATACCGAAGCTACCAAGCCCCAGCAGCCTGAAGCCATTCCCCATCTACCGGAGTCTGAGCTTGAATCACGCGAAAGGACGCGCGAGGGCCCTCAGCATTAGCCCCGATGGATTGTGGGTTGTCAGCGGCGATGAAGGCGGCGTTGTCAGCCTTTGGGAGGTGAATATTGGTCGAGAAATTAAGAAATGGACGTTTGAAGGGAAAATTGGAGCGGTTGAGTGGTGTCCCAGGACGGATGTCAGCTATTTTGCTGTCGCAATGTGTGTCCTTCCTTTTGAGCTCAACCATAACGTCTTATTCATGCCTCGCAGTAACGATACCATACATATGCTCATTCCTCCAAACGTCTCTGCACCAGTGCTTTCCCTGACCCAGTCAGTGTTGGCGCCAACTACACTACCTCCTGCACCATCAACACCCTCTCCGATCAAGTGGGTTACGCCACCCTCAAGTGCATGGTCTGTTGATTTGCCAATCCTGACTATACACCTTCCTGCGTCAACAGGAGTGCCCACACAGATAATTTGGCACCGCAGGGGTGATTACCTTGCTACCGTTTGTACGTGATGCCCCCACAAAGTGCTTGTCTTTTTTAACGCCGACCTTCCGTTGTACAACAGCCAGTGGCACAGCGCATGGTGGCGTTTGGATCCATCAAGTAACACGAAGACATTCTCAAGCCCCCTTCAAAAAAATCCGGGGCGTGGTACAGCTAGTCCTCTTTCACCCTTTGAAGCCGCACTTCTTTGTAGCAGTAAGTCTCTCATTTTCTAAGATTACAAACTGGGAATCATTATTATTTCCAAGACCCAGCAATATGTCCGAATATATAACCTTTCGGAACAAAAGCTCTTGAAAACGTTGCTACCAGGCATCAAATGGATATCATCTATGGACGTTCATCCCTCAGGAGACCATCTTATTGTTGGTGGATATGACCGAAAGTTGTGCTGGTTTGATTTAGAACTAAGTGAAAAGCCTTACAAGGTCCTCAGGTACAACCTTTCCCGATTCAAAAAAATGACGACAAGGCTAACCTCTTTCATCCAGGTACCACTCACGCGCCATCCGTTCCCTCCATTTCCACCCGTCGTATCCACTATTCGCTTCTTCGTCAGACGATGGATCAATACAAATTTTCCACTCAAGAGTGTACAACGATCTCATGACAGATCCACTCATCGTACCCTTGAAGATTTTGCGGGGGCATGAAGTTCGGGAGGGACTTGGGGTGCTCCAAGTCAAATGGTGTAGTAGACAGCCTTGGTTGGTCAGTGGCGGCGCTGACGGTAATGTATCGGTTTGGTGTAGCTAAGGGTCTCCACCGAATTGCCAATACACGTCGCTTGATATCCTGGGCACTACGAAGTACATTCAAGTATACGGGACATGAAACAGACGTGAAATTTTTCGATCAGAGCCTACTAGCACTTCCGCCAGCTTCCTTCAAGACTCGACGAAGCATGTAGTGGCCCAGTCCATGGAAATGACGGACATAAAGGGACTACAAGCTATACTTATTATACTCGTCACTCAACTTCTAGTGTCTGCTTACCTAACAAATCTGAAGTGCAACACTTCCCGAAAGGTATTTAAATCAGTACTCCTCCTTCAAATGCTACTAAAGACCCGATTGTTTTCTGTCCACTTTTGACACAAGGTCAAGTTCTGCTTGGCGTCATGCCCGAATTAGCTTGTCCTGAGGCCTGTCTGCCGAAAGGGAGTGACATAAATGGCCTGAAAGGCAAACGCTACGTTGAAGAGCCTTCGAGTACCCTTAATTTTATCTCGGAGGAAGTGATCGGCCAATTTGGAGCTTCTGTCCTCTCGTTATAAAACCACACTTCGTGAAAAGAAAGTATCTCCCCTAGCATCATCCCCTGTTACTATCCCGTGGCCAAGGTGCGCCACCACCCAGTTTTCAAACCATGCAAAATGCTGACTCGTACGTTCCAGGACCCTCATTTCGATTCACAATGGTGCACTGGTCAGACCCCGCAGAAATTGCCAAGGACGCAGGTCAGTGGGGGTCAGTTGCAACTATCATAAATCGGTCCTTACTTTTTAAACAGACATCTTTCAAAAAGTCATCTTTACACTCTTCGGAGTCTACTTCTGGGAACTGTTCATGACTTGGGATTTTGAGTTGTCTCTGATAACCAAACGCCGCAAGTTCCGATGGCCTTTGGTAAGCCTTTTCTAAGAACTGACTCCACGTTGTTTGATTTTATTTCTCAGGGTATCCTTTTTTCTGTCAGTTTAGAAATGCCTGGCCTAAATTGATGCTTAGTGTTTTTCTTTCTGTGCCGCTACTGCATGCTTCTGGCGTTCCTTGGCTTGTAAGAGCTCCGATTTCTGTGAACTATTCTAATTTTAACGTATTGTATCAAGGATTGTATCCTTATCAGTAACCACGGAGGTACTCTATTCCGGCTCTGCTACTCACGTCTCTGTTCGCTCACCGGCGGTTCCGTTAGATCAATTGCCGGGTATGCTCTGAGCTCTCTGTAATTTGAATAAGTGAAACAAGTGCGCTAATTTCCTTTGTCAGGTTCTTTTCTTCTTCAATTCGGTACATCATCACTACTTAATCACTTAATCGCGAATTTTAAAAACTTTTACCCCTCAGTGGACAGGAAACATGGCTATTCTTTGTGCATCTACGTCTCTCATGCTCCGAACGTTCGTCTTTGAATTCGTTTGTCTCTTGCCACGACTGAATGTATCGTTTTCTAGTATTGCACTGTGGGAGCGCAAGCTCTCAGTAATAATCACACTCGGTATCATCTGCCTGGCACATTGGACGTTACTCTACCGCACCATGTTTATCGTTACCGCTCAGTGGGAGCCGGCATATCAAGCATGTGTTGTTACTCAGACAAACCCGTCCTTACTCAATACTACATTCTTTTTCAGTACGCTCGCCCCCCCCCTTTTTTTCTTTCAACGTGGATAATACTGACTCTTGCGATGTCACCCTACTAGCCATGGGATTTGATCTTATCATTCTCATCTTCACCGCCGTTGCGTTGCTTGGACGACATTCTGCCAGGACTGATCTTTGGAAACTCCTTTTCCAAGATGGTCTTGTATATTTCCTTGTTTCGTTCTCGACAAACTGTATACCCGCTGTGTGTCCCTTCCATTCTATACTGTAAGACTGGACTATATGACGCCGAATTGAAAGGTTCTCAATGTCTTGGACCTTAATAGTGAGTAAATTTTACACTGGTACTTATGTCTCTTTCTGATCAATGACAATTCAGCCCCAATGAACGTGTAAGATGCCAGTTGTCCCACCTTGTTGCGTTTGTTAATTAATCGTTGAAATCACTTTTAGGATTGCCACCGTAAGTTTAGCCTGTTCTTTTCTATCGAATCCATGCTCACGCAAAATAAAAGATTCCTGCCGCTACGATCACGTAGGAGCCTCGATTTTAATCTTCTCTTGATACTTAACTTGCACCTGAACGTAGATCTATTGCTGCGACTCGCGCGGTAATTCGACTGCTGGAATTCAGCGCAACAGACGTTTATGTTCATTCCATGTCGAACGTTGCGGGAAGCAATCCCACTCGTAGAGGTGCCATGGCAGCCAAATCTCAAAAGTTCAACGCCCTGACAAGGCCTGAAATTCACGTCACAACTGAACACATCACAATGGCAGAGTTTCCGTAAGTGAACGACTAATTGATACACTTCCCAGAAACCCTTACCCTCTTACCACCAGTTCTTCGGGCGATAGTTCCCCGCACATTATGACCAACCCAAATCACAAAACATCGTCTATTGATCTCGAATTGGCCGGAGAGATGGGAGGACTTTCAGACAAGGAGGTGGAGGAGAAGGAATCCTATGAATTTTCAGGAAATATGTAAAAAGTAAAGTAATGAAAGCTGAACGAACCATCCGGGATCAGTGAAATATGGATGGTAATAGGCGAACTCGTGATACTTCAAACGATATAGAATAATCGGGATGCCAAACAAAGTTCGTATATGCTGTATTCAACGCCTCCGCTTCGAACGACCTGACTTCCTGCGAGCCGCAATGCCGCCCTGTCGATTCATACCAGTTGGTTTGGGTCTAGGATCCAGACCCTTCGACGTCCGCCATTCGTCCCGCCGAGACCCACGGGGTCCATGCGTAGATATGCGTTCCGATTTCTGTCCATCAATTACAATCGCATCTGTGCAAAGCATAAGAAAATAAGAAAATATTGCATGACGCCGTAGACTGCGAGCCAACCTGCTACAGTTGCTGACTGATCGACTTCGGCTGTAGAGAAAAAAAGACGTCAATGATTATTCATTCGCGAATAGTATCGTGAACGAAAAATCAAAAATATGACTGAATGAAGCGCTGATGCACCGCCTTGAGGGATGGTCTCTCATTAGAATCCTCTGCCCAAGGACTCCAACCCGTCCGCTGTGATGTCGTTGGGATCCAAAAGGCCAAAAGTGGCTAGCCAACACCAACCTAACATATCCTCTTCCCCTTTCTCCTCTTCCCCTTCCCCTTGCCTTGTCGCAATTTGGACGAGTTTTGAGTTAAGGCGATTTAATCGAGCAGCTTCTGTGGCTGCGTATATGCCTGTTTCGCGTTTCTTGGAGCGAAAGGCACGTTTAACCTTGGATCGTGTTGATTTTGCCATTGCGAAATGGACGTCCAATGATGGCAAATGTGGTGTGTGCGTTGGTGGTGGTGGTGGCGGAATGTGAAAGAGCAAAATGTAGTCATCCGGATCTGAGCGCTGAGCGGAGCCTCAAAATCAAACTGATTCACGTGCATGCTTTGCTTACATAACTGGACAGCTATTTAAATGCAAACTCGTCGATGATCGTTTTGATTTTCTAGTAATACAGGCGTGTGAGTAGCTAGTCGAGATACTATTCAGATTCTGGCGGTGCCTCTCTGTGATGGAATGAGATGTTGTCAGATGAATAAAAAGATGAATGGGGAAATGAACTTATTATGTAGAGAACGTTGTTACACCTAGGGAAAGAATGGATGAGCTGCAAACTTGAACGCAGCTTGATAGTCACACACCGAATAAAAACTTCTCCCAAAGCACCATTTGACTGTCCATCTTGATACTCCTCCGTGTTCGCCAGCTAAGGATCGATGTTGTGAGCTCAAGAAAGGGCAAGACACACGAAAGGCGGACCTGAAGATTCATATATCCATCTGTGCTAACCAAAAAGCCTTTATATTCGAGTCCCCACTTCAGGCGAACGAATACCGGCTTCCCAGTAAGCTCCTGCAAGAAGGGTTTTGGGTTTACAGGGTTGACCTGCGGAATACGTGAGCGATGCCGAATCTCATAGTGGAGAAACTCACCGCAGCCATGATGGTTGAGGAAAGCACGTGCGGACTTTGAAAAGAAAGTCACGACCATCAAGGTATATATTTCTTGTATGATGATTCGTTTCTACTCTTTCCTTTGAACATCGCTTACCTTTACGCTCCTCACAGGCTTAAAAATGTCGGATCGTGAAGGTCACTCCGGTCTGCCTCCAACAGATGAAGACCTTTCCTTGCCAAAGGCTACTGTCGCCAAGATGATTGCCGGTATGTGTATCTTCACTCGACTGAGTCTATTGTCTGATTCATTCTTATCTCCTTCTCAGAGTTACTGCCCAGCGATGTTGTGTGCGCTAAAGAGACGCGTGATCTGGTCATAGAATGTTGTGTAGGTAAACACTTTTCGAATTGCATTTCTGTATTGTGGGCCACCTCCAAAAGTACTCATCTGTCCATACTTTTCGCAGAATTTATCCACCTGATATCATCAGAAGCCAACGAAATATGCGAACAAGAGTCTAAGAAAACTATTGCCCCAGAGCATATCATCAATGCACTGAAGGTGCGCACCCACCGACCTAAAAACCAGCCTCATTGATCCACTTCGCCAGCGCCTTGGATTTGATTCGTTTACGTCAGAGGTCGAAGATGTCCTGAAAGATCATAAACAACAGCAGAAGGTGCGTTTCATATCGCTTTCGCTCATCTACACCCAGCTCAAACTCCATAGGATCGGGAGAAAAAAGTGTCAAAGTTTGAACAGTCTGGAATGACGGAGGAAGAGCTTCTCGCAAAACAGGAGGAGTTATTTGCGGCAAGCAGAGCAAAATTCCAATCAACGCAACAATAGTAGTATACTATTTACTCACTCTATCTTTATTCTTCAAATTCTCGTAAGTATCTACTGTGTATAAACCTAATTCTTTCGGTCTTCATGACGTTTCAGCAACTTTTCAAGCCTATCGTATGGGTTATCTCCGTTCCACGTAGTTGAATCAGTTGACATCCGAGGTAAACCTTCCTGCTCGATGATGAAAGAAGCAGATATGGACGCGTAGAAAGTGGCTAGTGACTAAGTCAATATCCCGATAATAATTCCGCGGCACTTGTGCTTACCCTTATACAAATCGCCGTTGGACAAAACCAAACCAGCGGCAAGCCCTCCCAGAAAGCTATTCCCTGCACCTAAATTGCCAGACAGTACACATTCAATAAACGCCAAGTGTCCTGCCTTGAGGGACATACCTGTCACATCGACAACCTTACCTTCATCGTCGCTCGTCCAGAATGCGTCAACCCAGATCCCATCCTGCACCCGATTCTTTACATACGCCCCCAACTCGCCACTTCTTATGACAACCCAGCCATTGCCATCTACCCCCACCCCAAAACTCAAGAACTCAGTAGCCGCTTCCTCGATCAAAGCTTTTGTCGACGTAAGGGGAAGGGACAACAGAGACAGGGCCTCTCTAGCATTGGGACTGGATTTGGAATTGTTTCCGCAGATTTCTGTTTCTATGCCATGCCTCATACCTTAAAACTGAAATCGAGTTTAATACACGTTTGAGTTCCGGAAGTTCTTCTGGGACGCATCGATACTGAAGTCGATGAGACCCAGAGTGTAATGCAAAGTATTTTGGCGTACGTCGATAGGTTCGTAAATCGTCACCGGGTTCCAGCCTTGCTCTTGCTTGATCTCCGCCGTAATAGCCAAAGCACGAGCAGCCGAACAAACGAAGTGTAGAGCGGAGGGTTTAGCAAAGGTTGTACCTTTGAGGTCTTTTGGGCTGAGCCGTGGAAGGGACGATTTGTATTCAAAACTGCAATGCTTGAAAATTAGATGGAGACCATTGCACGAAAGGGACAAGAATACAGACGATCGATGCTCTCCGCGATATGCATTAATGGCACGGGTTGTCTGGCAGTTAGGGTGCACTCTGAAGTGCCACATATCAGACCCATAGCGCAACAGGTCTTGCTCGATGGATGTGGGGAAATCATCTCCTTTGTCGACAATCATTCCCAACTTGTTCGCCGGAAGCCTGGACAAGAGCAAATTACCCCTCCGCCAAGCATCTGTCGGCGTTCACATCTAACCATATACGAGCGCCGATGACTGCGTAAGTGCCTCCTCCGCCAATCTATGGACAAGTGAAGTTAGGATAGACGTTTTTTGAGATTCAATAATCAGGAGCACCTGGGGATCCATCGTTCTTCCAGTTGGCCTCCCATCCTCATCTTCGAATGTAAATTCGTCGATGATAAACTTACCCAAGGTAACCAAAGAACGAGGATGGCCCCCCCGTGGACTCATCTCATCCGCCTTGCTCATCGTGGCTGATAAGATAAACCGGAGGATGCCGTGAACGCTTTTCCACAAAACTATTTATGTAACACCTTCCCGTGTAGCCCCAATGCTCGATGATGAGGGTCTGCGGGTTTGGGCCGTCTTTTACCACCAGACACTGCTGTCAGAAGAGGTAAGCGCACCGCCAAGTTTTTATCCCAGCTGGACCCTTGCCATTGCACAGTTATACCATGCTGGACTCCAATTGGTTGACACCGATAGCCAAGCGCGAATCAAACGGTTCTATCAACGCGACGATGCTTGTCGTGAGTCCTGTGGTGGATGACGGACTTGATGGATTATGGTCAATTTGACATAAAGGTACCTTGATTGGGCGTTTGCTCATCCGAGCGGTGTTTCGCGAACGAGGGACGTCTCTCGAAGATATCAAGATTGAAACCACACAAGCGGGCAAGCCTTATATTGTTGGTCAACTTCAAAAGCGATTGCATGTTGTGATGCTGACGAGAATGTTCAGGTTGCTCCTGAACTGAATCCCCCCATCGGTTTCAATATTACGCATGACAACGCTCTAATTGCAATGGCGTTTGCCCCTGGTGTACACAATGGCCCAGCATTCAATGTTGGGATCGATGTCATGAAAGTACGATTGCCGAGCCAAGAAACATTGTCTTCATTTCTGCAGATTTTTGGGGAACAGGTACCGCCATATCAACCTTTGGCTGACATCATTCTTAACCGAAGCCACTAGTTAACTCCACACGAGTATAATCTCGTGTTTTCGGCTGGATCACAAGAAGAGGGACTGCGTCATTTCTTTTGGATGTGGACCTTTAAGGAAGCTTATACCAAAGCACTCGGGCTAGGCCTTGGATTCGATTTCAAGCGAGTGGAATTTGATTCCCTTCATAACGTTGTCCTCGTGGACGGAAAGTTGCCGAAAGGATGGCGATTTTACATGTTCGTACTCAACGATGGTGACGATCTATATCAAGGAGTTGTTGCGCAGTATGCTGGCGGGATCTCCACACAAGTTATACCAGCAAGCCCTCATCAGGATTGGTTGGTGACACTTGATGCGGCCTCATTTGTAAGGCAAGCGGTTGATTGAGGAGCTTATCTATGAGCCGCACTACCACCCCCTGCTCCATGCTGGAGTGATGATAATCTGATCACGGCAAGGTGCGAAGATTACCGCTTTCACTCATCATCGTAGAGCAATTCTAAAAAAATCTCCGGTTTGACAGATTTCATTTCTGAAGGTTTGAACAAGTTACCTGAAGAAGGCAGCGTTACAATTCGCTTCCTTCCCAGTATGACCGGACCGTCTATCCTATGGACCTACGAGCCTCAGGCATCTCCCGTTGTACCCTTGTTCCACGTCTTTTCCTCTTCCAGCTTTTGTTCAAGAATTGTCACCCGTGAGGCTTTCCAAACTCACTCCGACCTAAGCAGAGATATCATTCTAAAATCATCCACTTCGACTCTTCGATAAGCATCCCGTCCACAAACATAGGACATCGGAGAAGTGAGACACGAAACCCTGTGCTCTGGATCCTGCATTAGAGATGTTCTTGGAGTTCTAATGACTGTGTTGATAGTACGGCCCCTTTAGATGCTATGGGAAGCCTCCTTCCTGACAAGTGATAATCTGTTGTTGTTGTGCCTTATAAACACTTCCTGGTTCGGCTGAGGTGCCCATTTTCATGTGGGTCATCCTCTGTCATCTTTCCGACATCGGGACACTTATCCCTGTCAGGTTCTTTGTACGAACAAGATGCCGCGGTAGGTCTAGAGGGACCTGTCTACACTTATCTTCGTGTGGCACGGAGGGGTGGCTGAGGATGATACTTAGTAATGGAGTTCTCGGGAGAGTCTCTATCGGCGGGGACAATGTTGAAGGGTCACACAACCTTTTAAGTTTAGCTATGTATGTCAGTCTGCGCTGTTATGGATCTACCAAAGGGTCACGTTGACGTCCGTCCTTCAAGCGATCGGCTTTGAACAGTTACTGAAGGGAGTCTCAAAATTGCAAGAGGGTTCCTTCTGTAAATTATGCGCATGTAAAGTAGAATTATGGTTGCTTGCCAAGTAGATATAAAAACCAATGCAATCTAAGATGAACGTCTAATTGGGTATTGTCGTCGTCTATTTATTAGTCAGGTTCAGGCTGTCAGTCAATATGCGAAATAGACGTCGGAGAGATCGACGACGTCCAGGGTAGGGGGTGTGGCTTCCAACGGCTGCGACTGCCAGACCCTTCCCTCATCAGCAAGGTCTTTGCGTGATGAGCCCCAATGCATTCCAGAAAGTTCGAAAGAATGAAGGTTACGGAGTGATGCCAAAGCGTTTGCAGTACTTTGGTAAAACGTCTGCGAGATGCCCGATGTCAAGGTGGGATCTTTAGATATATTAATAGGGAGACTTACGGCATCAGGAGCATCCAAGAAGTTGTAAGTCGTCATCATTCTGAGGTACTTGAGCTGTGGCATAAATTCGGCCAGCGTTCCAAGTAAGGAAAGAGGAAGGGAACTTGTTGAGGCGCCCAGAAGAAGCACAGAGGCGGTGGATTTGGCAAGGCCCCGCACGACATCTTCTGTCATGTCACCTGAATTCAGATGTATTTCCTCCACTGGACGACCCGGAATGACTGCTTGAGCAGCCTCAGAAGACCCAATGAAACGAGACAGTTGAGGAATGGCTGTGACAGGCAGACTCGATAGAGCTATGGGGTCGGATATGGGGAAAGAATCAAGCTCGAGCTGCCGGATAGCCTCAGCCCTGCAGAGGAAATGGGCAACATGGGAGTCGAGGGGGAAAGAAGATGCGAAATGCTGTAATCGAGGGAATTTGACATTGGATCTCATGCGCAGCACCCAGCTGGCGGTAGGGTCAACGGAAATATCCAAAGAGGTAAGTTCGGACATGTTTGACAAAGCCTCTCTGAGGCGGCGGTAGTATGAGTTAAGTACTGTGGTGTATGGGTCAATGCGAATGGCAAATGTCCGGACATGGCGCGCGACGTAGGGTTTCTTTGCGAGGGAGAGAACGACGGCGAGACTCTTGGAATCAACAGAGATATGTCTGTAGAGGATACGCTGGGTGACTGTATAGAAGAGTGAGCTCGTCCTGGAGAGAGCGACGAGGTCAGGGAGAGGAGCATGGTGGCAGATGTTGTCGAGGATTTCCGCTGGTAGATATTGGAGAGGCATTGTCAAAAGTGTGAAGATGGGAGGATGGGACAAAGATTATATATAGGGCGAACCTGACTCTTATATAAAAGCAGGAGGAGCAGGGAACTAGAGCCTGAGCATGAGGCGCGTATCGATTCCCAGCGAATTGGCCCATGGCCTGGGACAATTATCCGCCTGGGATACTCACCGTCAGGGTCGACGTCTTGGGAGAAAGGGTGCAAACAGGGTCCAAAGGGTCCTCCACGTTACGAATCACTATTTTCACACGACGCATATACTCAACACACACCGTGACCGACGACTAACCGATATTATTATCACTCTTCATATGCTGTGTCGACGTGTCCTCACACTTCCAATTCAATTATCTAGGCTCTACTCATTACAAGCCTCCTGTCAACAACGCGCTCGCTCGGGTTAGCATTTTAAACTTGTTCCAAATTCTCCTTCAACTGCATTTCCAGCCCCGTATCCTAAGCGTACCCACAACTGCGGCTCGCTGACTGCTCGAGATGCCGGCTCTCGCGTAGTACTCGCTGGCTGGATTCTTCCTGAGCGGTGATTATTGCTTCCACCCCCATTTGTCAAATCATCTTATTTATTCTTCATCAAGGAAGGGAAAGGCCATATCCTTCTTTCCCATAAAAGATTCACATGGGACGACTCAGCTCATTGTAAATCATGCAGATAATCCTGCCTCCTCCTCGATCATTTCAGAAATTCCTGTCGAGTCTACGGTTCTGATCGAAGGCACCGTTCTTTTACGCCCTTCAAACGCAAGGCGTTCTGATCCTACAGGAGAAATTGATGTCCAAGTTGACAAAGTTACCTTGTTGAACCCAGCCACTAATCTCCCCTTCCTCCCGTCGAACCCACATAACCTGGTACAGATGTCCTAACGCGTATCGTACGTACTTGGCTCCTAACCATCTTTTACTAGCCAAACGAGGATTTAAGGAGCCGTCATCGGTATTTAGACCTCCGACGCACTGCCTTGTCTGAGAACATTAAAAAGCGAAGCCAAGTTGCGCACCTTGTTCGCAATATCCTTCATACTATCGGTAAGGTCATTTCATCTATGCTTGGTAATGCCTTGAATCTTATTATCCAGCTCATAGGATTCACTGAAGTTGAAACACCTGTACTTCTCAGGTCATCGCCTGAGGGTGCTAGAGAGTTTTTGGTGCCGACTCGTATAAACACGGCATCGCCCACCTCGCAGGAGCCTTTATTCTACGCATTGCAGCAATCCCCCCAACAACCGAAGCAGCTGTTGATTTGCTCTGGTGGCGTGGATAAATATTTCCAAATTGCCAAATGTTTCCGTGACGAAGATGGCCGCAAAGACAGACAACCGGAATTCACGCAGATTGATCTCGAAATGGCATTTGTGTCATGGTCTGGCGATGAAAAGGGAACCTCATGGAAAATAGGGGGTGGTGAAGTTCGCGACGTTATCGAAACACTGTTACGGGAGATATGGCAGCAATTCGAGAATGTCGCGCTTCCGCCTAGGTTAAGAGTTATGACCTATCATGATGCCATGACACACGTAGGCGACCTCTCGCTTTTGCATCCAGTGAATTGTTCACCAACCTCAATCAACTAGTTCGGCTCAGATAAACCTGATACCCGTTTCGGGCTCGAGGTTGGGACGGTTTCGCTGTAAACTAACGTTCCAGGCTCATACTTTTTAGATCACCGATCTCACCGATCTTTTACCTGCCAACCGAGCCTTATCTAGAGAGAATGAAGTCATCGAATGTATCGTGGTTCGCGAGCCTGAATTTATAAAAGCCTCGCATAGCTTCAAGCATGATTACGATGTGGTGAGCTCATATAGATGACCACAGTGCTATCGTTCAAGTGTCCTCCAGGAACATATAACCCTTACTGAAGAGAATCTACAAACCTGGCTTCTCGGGAGTGATAGCGCAAGACAGATACTATCGCAAGAAGATCAGTCAATTGTTAACGATGCTCTCAAAATTAAATCGGGAGATGACGTTTGGTTGACCCGTCGTTCTCGATTGCCGAAAGTGAGCTTCATTGATTTAATCGCCGCTGAGAAAAACTCTGAATTTACTGAAATCGCAAGGGTGGATCCACAGTCCTCGGAAAGGTGCGCCTCGGCTTGGCCGAACTTGCCCAATCTCAAGGTAAGGCTTTGTTCTCTTTTCTTGCCCGAACGCTACACGATATCAGGCGAATTCACACCTACAAAGGATCCTCACTTCCTCTGGATAACCGAGTTTCCACTCTTTACTCGTGATGATTCAGATAAGGATTTTCTGGCGAAAGGTCGATGGAGTAGTTCCCACCATCCATTCACAGCGCCTATGTGGGAGGACATACCCACATTGTATCGAGGTGATATTGAAACCGTGTGTGACATGAACTTTAATCACGGTGGCATTTGCTTATTTTTATCCATTGCAGGTCCGTGGACAACACTACGATCTCGTTTTAAACGGCGTTGAGATCGGAGGTGGATCTGTCCGTATCCATGACCCGCTCATGCAAGACCACATTTTCACCAATGTCCTGCAGGTCGGTCAATTGACGTTATGCCGCAGATTGACATTAGTCTAAACACCTTCCCAGTTGAGTGAAAACGAGAAGACGCCGTTTAATCACCTTGTGCGTGCTTTGCATTGTGGCGCGCCGCCTCATGGGGGTATCGCGCTAGGCACGTCTTTTCTCAATCGCTTTTCTCGGAATGTTTCAAAAACTCATTGCATTTCTCCTGCAGGATTTGATCGCATCATGACAATGCTGTGTAACACGCAATCCATACGGGATGTGATAGCATTCCCCAAAACGAGTCTAGGGACCGACCTTCTCTTCAAAAGCCCTGCTCCAGTTACAAGCCAAGTATTGTACGAATATGGTATCCAGCCGCGGTCTGCGACATGAGGCACTAGGTTAGCGAAATTCTGAGGCTGGAAAAAGTGACCTAATCTGTGTACAGAAAGATTCCATAGTTGGGAAAAAAAAATGAGAACCTATATACATGTATGATAACGAAAGCTGAGGCTAAGACGAGTGCACCAGGTCATCGGAATCTCGGCATTCCAACACAAGGCCTGGGTCCGAGTCTGGGGGTGGAGAATGTGACGAGAAAAGTGATGAATGTCGAGGTGTTGTGTCGCCGTCCTGACCATTCTCGTAAGGTGATCGTCCATATGTGAAATCCCACCCCGAATCTTGACTTGTATCCCGTTGCAGTGACCTGGTGGTGACGGTGGGCGGTTGTGTTGACTCGGGAAGTGAGCTTGTTTCCATCTCTTGGCGTGGACGGGCTTCATCAATAACCGATAAGACTGAACGGAGCTTTGATTCCGACGATTTCCGTTGGCCTGGTGGTACCGAATGTCTTCGGTTGATTGCAGGTGGTGAAGCAGAGCGGGGAGGCGTCGAAGGTGTAGCCCATTCCGATGATTCAGGGGGGTAAGGGTTGCCGTTTATCGTATTCGGGAGCCAAGAAGTGATCTTTGACATGGAAGAAGGGAGACCTGTCATGGGTTCACGTTCAGGTGTTCCTGTCATCGGACTCGGAGAGGACGAAGGCGCGCTTGTCATGATCGACAGGGGAGCAAGAATGCTAAATATTTGGTCTTCTGCTTGTGGTGGTCCGTAGGAATCAAAGGGGTCTGGAACGGACTGCAGCATAGGTTCAATGACCGGATCTGAACTGAGGGGACCGAAAAGTGAGAAAAGCTCATCAGTGTGTAATCGGTAGCGACATACGCCTTGGCGGTGAATTTATCAAAAACGTCCATTGTTGAACGAACGGCGACGCAGACCTCAAGGAAGAAGAAAGTTAGCAGGAATTACTGTATGGATATTAAAATCGGGGCGTACCTTGCTTTGAACTACATTCCAAACCTCCTCCTCATGCTCGATGATCTCATGATAATGGGAGACCTTGAGTTCATCTAGATCATCTACTTGGCGTTGAAGTACAGATAAAGCTTCTCTGAAACTTTGAAGATCTGGGGATACAAAGTCGGATAAAATTCGAAATGAAATTAGCACCCGTACACACTTCGCTCCTTCCGATTCATACTACGCAGCTCCGTGTCTCGGATTATGTGACTTTTTTCTTTGAGAGCGCGTTCATAGGATGCAGACCGTTCCTTTATCAAAAAGATTCTTGAGAAATTTGAATGGAGTTATCAGTCAAAAACGGCGTACATTAACGACGGTTCGGTAGTTTTCCAGGTGCTGACGTAGGGGTTTTTCAAAATTTTTGTCAAGTGCCTCTGACTGCGGTTTATGATTAGCTGAACGGTGAATTGTCATAGACGAGTACGCACCAAAACATGCCATAGGTTTCCTATCAGATGATGCATCCCTGATGCTGCCTGCAGGCGAGTGCCTGCTTCATAGGTTGGGCCTTTCAACCTAACAAGTGTCGGAATGATAGGAGATGGACGTCTCTGGGCTTGCTTACCCACTGCATCTTTCCATAGCATCCGCAAAGCCCGCAGTGGCTTTGGACATATTCAGAAGAGCGCTGCGATAGTTACTACAAGTGCTCATAAGCTAGTGCAAGTGGTTAGAGTATTTCAACCGAATATTTCTCTGTGTGCTCACTTCTTCGTAGGATTGAAGACTGGCTTTTAGGTTGGAGCGGGTGATGATCTTTGCTGGGCCATCAGCACCGAAGTTCATCGCGGAAGCATGGGTTGCGTCTGAGAAGGTTGGCGAAGGAGGCCCTGGAGAGGAGGTCGGTTTCGAGGAGCCAAATGCCAGTGGGCGCAGCGAGCGGGGTCGACGAGGAGCCATGTATTGCAAAAGTACAGTAGCTGCGGTCGCAGTATGTAAGGAAGGAGAAAACTCGTGTTTAGGCGCTTAGCATTGACCATTTTCGAACAATATTCCACGCATCAACCTACGTACTAACGACTCAAGAAGGGCTCACTGTATCTAATGTAAAGAACCTTGTCTACCGTAATTCTATGAAAAAATCTGGTCATTGTGCGATAAAAAGCATTTTACAGAACACTCACAATCTACTTTTTACCACCAGCAATCATGCTCATTTTCTCGGGTGAATCCCGCAAATAGAACAGTTTTGCCCTCCGCATCCGTCCTTTGGGGGGCTTTCGAATCACTTTAATCTCCTTCAACCCAGGCGAGTTTGGGAAGAACTGCATCTCCACGCCTGTTCGCTGGATGATATTCCGAACTCTGAATGATGTGTCCTGACCTCTCCGTCGAATAGCCAATAACACGCCGGTGAAGGACGTCGGTGCTTGTTCTGAAAGAACGGTGACGATGGATCCTGGGAGCAGTCTCCCAGGAGAGTTTCTGTCGAAGAGCTTGCTAAGCATTTCGCGTTTCTCTGCGGTGGGGAGTGTCTGCTGAAGGTACTCCATCAAACCTTTGCCTTGGCGGAGGGAAGGTGTAGGTGGTATATGGTGCACATCTGGGGTGAGGGCGGTCGAGGAAAAAGGGTATGGTTGCTGGCTCTTTGAGGCTGCCCGTTGCATTGTCGAAGTCGACATTAGCCTCGTTGCTCGGCATAAGATGTGCGACATGTTGCACCAGAAACGAGAATGAAGTGCGTTGAATGAGATGTGTTGAACTGGTGTTTGACTGGTTTTGAATGAGGTAGACGTGAATTTTGTTTATCAAATAAAATAAATATGGGCGCAAGCTCAAACAACAGAAATGGAACATATTAGACTACTAGATGTATGTTTTGGACCACGATTTTGGAGTTGGTATCTTATACTTAGAGCAAAACAACAGGAATCGATAGCCAAGCGTAAAGAGCGATGGTTGGCGCAGCAAATACCTGGCAGTTGGTGCCGTATTTTCTGTCTTCAGAATCCCCGACCCCTACCCCTACGAAGATGAGAAATAGTTCCATGTTTTACAATCAAGTCCAGAAACTCACCTGCCACGCCCTCTATAAGGACTATACCCGGTATAACCTCCTCTGAAACCCCCTCTGTAACCCCCACGATAACCTCCTCCACGGCCTCTGCCACGATTGAATCCAGGGATATTCGTCCTCTTGGCTGTCACCTGTCACAAGATGCTGTTACTTTTGGGATTTTAGAGGGAGGAAGAAACAGAACATGCCTTGATCAGCCTGCCTCGGAACAGCGAGTTGTCCATCGCCAATGCAGCATCGATGTGGTCAGGTTCCGCAAACTCAACATATGCATACCTAAAGGGGAATAAGTCAGGAAATTGTTAGAATTGTAGAGAATGGTTTCGCAAACCCTTTTGGATGACCAGTGAATTTGTCGCAGAGAATGGTCACTCGGTTGATGGTACCACATGCTTGGAAGTGACCCTGTATCTCCTCTGGCGTGGCGCTGTAGTCAACCTAAGGAAAAAAGAAAACAACGTCAGAGAAGATGATCATGAATTGACCAGCATGACCCACTCACGTTTCCAACGTAAACACTCCGGTTGTCTGCTTGAGATTTATCCTCCTCTGTCTCCATCGGCACTCCATCGTCATCACCATTATTGCTGGCCTGCTCAGCTGCAGCCTGAAGCTCTCGCAGCTTCTTTGCTTCCCGTTCCATTTCCTCGACCCTCTGTTTCATGAGCATAATCTCCTGCAAAAAAAATTATATCCTCAAACAAGGAAGGAAAAGAGGGGGAATACCTTCGATTCTGCTTCTTCCCCGTCATCAACGATAGAGTCGCCGCCGCCGTTCGCGGGTGGTTGTGTTGTTTCGACGTCAGCCATGCGAGCACAAATTGAATGATGTTCCTGTGTTTGGCTTCAATTGCGTTAGGTATAAACAACCATCACGTGCATTACACAACTTGCAGCCAACTACAGACAAATTCACTTTGGGACTCATCAGAATTGGTAGATACTTAGATCTACTTTATCAATTCTAACGAGAAGAATTTCCAGAAATGATGATTTAATATACCAATGAACTCCTTTTGTTCCCCCCCATGTAGTGTGATATGTGCAGTGGGGACTGGACATGTTTTTTCGCCTCGATCATCTGTGGCCTTTTTCATTTCAAGTAAAAGCGAGTTCTTCGGAAAGATCAGCATGCACTTTTCATTCTGACCAGTATGGGTACATCACGGCGCCGCACACTCCAAAAGAGTCACGAGTAAGTACTCCGTGCGGAAAATGGCTTATTGTATCTGAGTACATACTCCATCTCAGTGAGTCATGCCAATTTCCACAAATTTGACCGATGTCCTCTTGAAGTAACGCCGGTTTTCCGCATCCAAGGCAATGCTGATTATTCAGATACTGACGTCAAGCTGGCGAAGCGAAGCGCCAGACAAGGACGGGCCCCGGCTACATAAGAGATGTGTGTATGTATGCGGGATTGCAGGGACGAGTTAGATGGATGTTCACCGCAATTTCAAGCGCTCCGAGTGACGCTGTAGCTCATATGCCACAAAATATAAGCACCGTAGGATAAGAAAGCGTCTATCGATTTGGGTCCAATGGCCACGCGACACATCTCAAATATATCCATTGCACACGAGGACCAAGCCTATAAAACCCCAAGCAGTCCAAGCACAGGTTTCTTGACAACGCCGCTTCCCAGCGCATCTCTTGCATTCAAGAATCCAACAAGGAATCCATCCATTTTCTGGATCTGCCAAGCTTCTGCAATCTACCGATCTAGAATTCGCACGTGGTCTGACCCTTTCACCCCTTATTTTTGTCTTACCACCACCACAATGGCCAAGGGCGAAGATTCCTCGTCGGCGCTACACAGTAGCAAGAAGAAGCGCATCGACGACGATACAATGGCTCCTGATGTTGGTCAGAAACCAATCCAGTTACAACGGAGACGGGTGTGGAGGGCATGCGAAAGTTGCCGGTATGAAGCCAGCTTTCCTCTCATCTCTGCCTGCGATAACGCCACTTCCTTCCAGGCGTAAGAAGATTAAATGTGACGGATGCGAACCTACTTGCTCCCAGTGCTCCATGTCCGGCTCCCAGTGCACTTGGCTACAGACAAAAGACAGGGCTGCTCTAAGTCGGCAGTGCGTTGATAACTTTTCCTTATTACCTATCTTTGTATGAATCATGCTTGGTTTTCAGTTATGTGCAAGAACTTGAAGCTCGACTCCTTCACATGGAGTCCTTATTCTCGCAGATTGCGCCTGTTCTTGAACAGATTGGCCCCTCCGCCAACAACATTGTTGCTTCATCCGTAGCGGCCGGCGCCGCCACCATCGTATCAGAAATGCCAGCGCCACCTATCTCCAACCTCCCCTCCTCTGTACCAAAAGTTCCCTCTTCAGAGCCTGACAGCAATCCCAGTCTAGACGATGATTTCAGCGAATCGTTTGGTCAATTGGCTCTGGATGAGTATGGCCACGCGCGATGGATCGGCAGTTCATCGACCATGTCTCTCATTCAGTCATTCAGAGCTTTGACCACATCTCCCCTACATAGGGTATCACCCATGGAGGAGGATCCACATGCCCCTGGACCCAGCGTCAACAAACTGTACTTCCCAGCGGCCGTCTTTTTTGGCAAGATACATGCACTTCCTGGTCCAGAGGAGGTAGAGTATCCAGAGCGTGACCTTGCAGATAAGCTGGTGAGTGATCGACCATCCCATCTTGCGCTTGATGCTGAACATTTTCAGGTCCAAGCTTATTTCGCTCGATTCCATTTCCTGATGCCCGTTATCGACAAACCATCATTTCTCCGGCGTTACGAGAATATCATGGACAACACTCACGATCATGTTCTTGCTCGGAATGAAACCGCGTTTCTCTCTCTGGTTTTCGCTGTGTTCGCTTGTGGTGCTCATCTGGTCAATGACCCACGTTTGACTACATCGGAGCGTAACGATGATGGTGGAATGGGCATGGTCTACTATGAGCGGTATGTTTGTCTTGATTCATAGACGTAGTCCTACATTCAGAACTCGCAAACCACAGTGCTCTAATGCTTCAGTACATTAGCCATGCCAGCATACAAGTTGAGCATGTGCAATGTTTCATTTTAATGTCTTCATTCCTATGCTCTGTCAACTGCCTTCCACAAGCATGGTTACTTGTTGGGCAAGCCGTTCGAGCTGGCCAAGATTTAGGACTCCACGTCAGTGGCTCTGGCTCTTCATTATTCTACGCCCTCATCACTAATTGTGAATGCAGCGTTCGCCACGTCGACTCACCATCACTTCAATCGAGAAAGAAGCTCGAAGAAAGATTTGGTGGGGTGTCTACACTCTGGATCGCATGCTTGCCCTTGCCTTAGGTCGTCCGCTGGGCATCAATGATTCGGACTGCGATGTCGAACTCCCCATCGATGTAGACGATGAACATCTACCCGAATACTTCTCGATCGCAGGAGCGACAATGCCTCGACGGCAGTTTTCCCTGATGACAGGATCGATCTCCCTGATCAAGTTGTACGAGATAGGGGGTCGCGTCCTCAGACAGGTTTATGCTCTGGAAATTTGCAAAGATCAACTCGAACCTGAGCGGAAGGTTGAGTTGCAACGCATGGTTGAATCTCTGGACAACGAACTGACCAGGTGGTGCGACGAGCTCCCAGCTGTTTTCAAGTCACAACCCGAAACAGATGAACAAGTTTCTATGGGCGCGGTCCTGTGCAGTCATTATTATTCCGTTTTAACAACCCTTCACCGGAATCTCCTACCTGTCAAACGAGATCAGCCTGTGACAGCGAAATCGACGATGAAGGCAGTTTCGTCCGCTCGCTCGTGCATTCGACTTGCCCCTTCCATGAAACACGTTGTGCCTCCCTCTCACCACCTTGCCTTCTTTATTCAACACCTTTTCAGCTCCGCTGTGATTGTGCTTTTGTATGCAATGCATTCCCCAGAACCTCGTGCTGCATCCGCTGCTATGGAAGAAGCCAAAAGCACCCTTGCTGCACTTGAATCGTGGGAGGGTCAGTGGCCAGGTGCACGCAAGTGCAAAGAGCTGCTCATTGAACTTATCAATACTGCCAGCCAGGCTATAAAGCAAGGTGCCGAGGGCAAGCCATCTGGGCCGCCTCCTCAACTTTCTACTGTTGCGCCATCTGCAATAGCTCCTCTTCGGTCAGAACGTCGGCGGTCTGTGACGATTGCGACGTCAGCAGTCGGTTCTTCAACCTCTAACCGTGTCACGAAAGGGAGATCGAGGAGAAATCAGTCACGTGATCCAAGCACCTCGACTTCTTCTCGTAGATTGGCTGCTGTATCACCATATCGTACCGATTGTAAGTATAAAATTGCTGCCGTCTGCCTATGGAACTGACATTCTACTTTGACAGCTCAACGAGCAAGGTCCACTTCACGGAAGAGAGGATACGACGAGCCTGAGGGCGTTGAACGTCCAGTAGCCCCTTTTTATCAGTCCTTTTCCAGTCCAACATCAGCTCGTGGTGGGTCCAGTCCCCACAGCTCACCTGCTTCTGTGAATCTTCCGTCGCCTGCTATGCCAGCCCTCGATCAACCCCAGGAATCCAGCCCTCGACTTGCCCCAGGAAGCAACTACGCATTTGCCACACCTATGTCTCCAGGACACGCACCATCACCTTCGGGCTATGAGTTCGACTACAATATGCAGCCCCATACACTTACGCAGTCCAACCTCCATCAATGGAATGGTAATGGCGAGCACGGCGGAATGGATGTTTATTCTCCGACATCGCAAGACACCGCAATGTACAACAACCCCTATGGAGCATATAACTCGTTGGAAGGTGGTTACAGTGGTTATGATCCTACAACGGAGTTGAGTGGGACTATATCTGGTCTATCGACGACCCCACCGTCTGCTTCCTTCGCTGCGCCCGGCCTTCCATTCCGCGGGCTGGACTACATTAGGAATTATAACCCAGGAGGATATACCACAAGTGATCAGGACTCATTGTGGCACAGTTATGATCCAGGCGCATTTGGATACGACCCAGACCTGCCTTTTACCCTCGGGGACATATCATCCGAAGCTCACGACGGCAATCGTTGAGGACTTTTATTTCTTTAGAAGATTGTACCCTTTGCTTTGTATCAATATGCCCATGACTTCTCTGTACTTTTATCTTAGCCCCTATACTAGTACTTCCTCAGTGGATGTCAGAAAAGATCTCGTTTTACGGAATACTTTAATTTGACGGGGTTGTATTAGACGCATCATTACACGGTCCGGCTATCGTTAATTGCCGCCTTCTCCCCATTTATAACTCGAGGTCTTCAAGTTGTCCTCACTGCCATTCTATCATCAACCATGGCCCCCCATCCTGTCATTGAGTACACCTCTGAATCATCATGGGCAATGGTAGTTTTTCCTCTCAACCCCATCCAACACAGTGCTCATCGTTCTGGTAGATTGAGGACAAGTTTTCCCCCTATGCCAAGGAGACGCTAGCAAAGCTCATTAAGTTCATGGAGGTGCGTTTGTCCCCAGTAGACTCACGCGTCTTTACATTTCCTTGTTAGGACGAAGTTTTCCCTGCAGTCCGAGTTGCTCATGCTCAGATACCGACCGACCCAGAGAGGCGTTGGAAGACTATCGTCCCCATCATTGCTGAACTGAAGGAGAAAGCTAAAAAGCTGGGACTTTGGAATCTTTTCCTTAGCAAGGCCCACTATCCCGAGCATGGCGTACCCCTCACTAACCTCGAGGTACGTGTTTGGGCATCTGGTATCAACCTCAACTAAGTTGCCCACAGTATGCCGTCATGGCTGAAATCCTGGGTCGAGCTGGACATATGGGTCCCGAGGCCGTAAACTGCGCTGCACCGGATACTGGCAATATGGGTGAGCTATCAACATAGGTGACCCGAAGAAATATTATCTAACGGCGGCTACAGAGGTCTTGGCTCGTTATGGCTCTCCTGAACAACAAAAGAAGTGGCTCGTCCCTCTTTTGAACGGTGACATTCGTTCAGCGTTTGCGATGACGGAGAAGGGCGGTATGTGCCGAATTTCTCAAAGTCATTTACTTAGTTCTGATCACCGCACCAACAGTCGCGTCATCGGATGCAACGAACATCCGCACTTCATTAAGAAGAGAGGGTGATGAAATTGTCATCAATGGCCATAAGTGGTATGTTGCAACCTGAATGTTCGTTGATTTATCGCTGACCGTTTTTTCTAGGTGGATCAGTGGTGCCGGAGATCCACGCACAAAACTCCATCTTGTGATGGGGAAGAGCGACCCAACCAACAAGAACCACTATAACCAACAGAGTGTTGTGATTGTCCCAGCTGACGCACCTGGTGTAACAGTTGTCCGTCCCATGCACGTCTTCGGCTATGATGACGCTCCTGAAGGGCACTGCGAAGTCATCTACGAGAATGTCCGAGTGCCTTTGGGCAACTTGGTTTTGGGTTGGGGTAGGGGCTTTGAAATCATCCAAGGCCGCCTCGGGTATATAATTTGGTGTTCTACCAACTATCAATGTCGCTGACGAAGATTACAGACCTGGCCGCATCCATCACTGCATGCGCTCTATCGGCGCGGCTCAGGCATCTCTAGATCTCATGCTCGAGCGAGTGACTGACCCCGGTCGCAAAACCTTTGGAAAGTACCTTTATGAGCATGGTGGGTAGCCCTCACGCAATTTATGCTCAAGCGACTGACAGCAGGTTATCAAGGGACGGTGATTGCTGACATTGCCAAATCTCGGGCTGAAATCGAGAGCGCAAGGCTCCTCGTTTTGAGTGCCGCCTTGCAGGTAAATACCCGACTAAACGTTTATCCATGGTTTCTGACTGCTGTGTTGTATCTGTAGATCGACAAGTACAAGGCCAAGGGAGCTCTGAAAGAAATCGGCATTGCGAAAGTTCGTAAATTATCCGAATCTCTCATACATTTTGACTGAACTATCCATAAACCAGTTTGTAGTGCCTGAAATGGCGTTGACCGTCATTGACCGGGCAATCCAAGCCTTTGGTGCTGAGGGTGTTTCTCAAGACCAAGAACTTGCTGGACGGTGGGCAGGCCTCCGTACTCTTCGCATTGCCGATGTACGTGTCGTGGAATAACTGTAGTAAAAGCACTGACGTGACGACCTACTTTTAGGGTCCCGACGCGGTTCATATTCAGCAAGTGGGACAACGGGAACTCAGGCGGGCACCTGGGCTTGTGAAAAAGGCTGCCGAGAGAAAGAGGAAGGAAGGAGTACTGATGGAGAAAGCTGGAATTAAAGGACACCTATAAGCTATAACACGCGTTATTTATCATTGTTATAAATTATCTTTTCTGTGACCACCATGTCGTTGCAAAGTTGTGTACGACGTCGGATATCCGTGCTCAAACGAAATTTCTCATCGGACACCTCCTCAAAATCCCTTCCCAATGTTCTGTCGCATCGTTCCCTTCCTTCTGCAAAAATGCGAGCCCTCATATCCCTCTACCACCAATCAGAGACCTTTATCACGCCAGAGGACCTTGGAGAGCGAATTGATGCAACTTTCGCGTCAGAGGATCCGAACGACCTACTGCCGGCAACTGCTGATGTCACCTTTACGAGCCTGAAAGACAAGGTTATGGACTTGCGTGAAGCACCGAAAATGAGCCAGTGGAATCCACACGCCAACACCACTCGTCCCACGCTAGTGGCAGGCAAGTGGAGTCAAATTAGGCGACGAAGAGAGTTGAAGATCATCGAGGCGCTTTATGGTGTGGATGTGACTCATTCGGGCAATGTGATGCCTGGGTTGGAGGTTCTGGAAGAATCAGCGGAGACGCTGATGAAAAACGATAGGGAAGACAAGGAGCGCGAAGAGGAGGAACTGGAAGCGGCGGATAGAAGATGAACGTCGTACGTGATTGTCTCGATTATCTTTCCATAATGCTCATTGCAATGTGCGCTCCAATAGCTATTCGACGACATCCATGTTATTTAGCCTTTGTTTTCCACTTAATGAACCCATTACCGCTAAACCCCAAAACTAGTTTGTGAGGCCCAACGCTCGAGGTAAGGTCTCTTCACATGGACCCAAGAAGAGATAGTCGGCGTCGCGATCTCCTTTGCTTCGGTCCAAGTTGAAGACAGCTACTTTTCCACCTCGGTCTTGAACTTCCGCTGCGTAACCTGCGGCTGGGTATACCTGCGGATCACAGTCAGTGTTTTTAGCGACAGAGGCACAAGTCGAAGGTCTTGCCGTGGAGGATGTTCCAACCACTAAGCAAAGATCGGCCTTTGCAGCAATTTCGTCAATCTCGTCCAGTTTATGTGGCATTTCACCGAACCATACTACACCCGGTCGAGCGAGAGAACCACACTTGGCGCAGCGTGGAAGAGAAGTGATGGGAATTTCTGGGTCGAGGTCTCCTGCTGCTACGTGAGCTTCCGTTCCGGCGAGACCTTCACAGATGGGTGAACTGGTGTTGAATTCAACATGATCGCAGTCGCGGGAAGTGCACAAGACGTCAAAGAGCCTGCCATGTATCTCAATGAGACGTGGCTGCTCATCGGCAGCGGGGGGCTCGTTGGCTTGAATCTGCTTATCGGCGATGACACTCAACCCGTCAACATTTTGGGTGATGAGGGTAAAGGTGGATTCTGGGGCGATCTGATGCCTGATAGAAGGGAGAGAGAATGAAGAGAGGGCGATATGGGCAGGATTTGGTTGAGCTTTCAAAGCGCTAGATGGGGTTGGATGAGATACGGAGCAAATGATTTAAAAATGAAGAATGCTGACGCCTCTCTTCGATAGTGGTAGAATTGCCATACGAGAGATGGGTTTTTGCTAAAACCTTCTGGGGTTGCAAGAGACATGGCGTTGTACTTTCTCCACATTCCTCCAGCACCTCTGAAGGTGGGTATCCCCGAGGCAGCAGAGAGACCTGCTCCTGCCACTGCTATAATATTCTTGGAGGAACGCAAGAGGTCATGAAAGGCATTGATATCAGAGGAAGGCATTATGGTATAAATAATAGAATATCTAATCAGATTATTTAACTACTAATAGTATTACCATTCATTCCTATCTCCTTCCCCTCATGTACTCCTTTAGAAAATTGCAGGCCATAGTCTTGGGCCACGCCGACGACTGCGACCATGACCACGAAAAAGACGCTCTTTGCAGCACCCTGAAAGCCTCAGACGTACCCGTTTCTTTGGCGGACTGTCGGTCATGTTCCGACCCCTGTGACTTGGGTGGGTATTTTGCGAACTTGCTCTCGTTATCTGATAACGAACACGTTCTTCTTCAAAAGGACACCATGAAGCTTATCCTCGCCGCTTCGACATCGACATGGACACTCAAATGCTGGGCTCTGTCAAGCCGTACCACCGCCAGGTATATTTTGGTCTCTCCTCTTTCAATCGCCCAACTCCATACCATCCAGATCGTCATTTCCACAGGCCGCTCAGATTGGGAACGCGAGGTCACTGAAGCAACGGGTTCTCTCGCAGCTTACATGCTTCAGGTCTCTACAAGTTCAAATTTGAACACTCCAAAACCCTCATCTCCTCCGTCCAATGGGAAATCTTCCTCTTCATCAACTGGCCTGTTCAATCCCTCACAGTCAACAAGGACATCAATATTAAACGGCAGCCACAACACACTATGCCATGAAGAAGATCACGAAACCGTCCTCATTTTCCCCGACTTCAAAGTGGCTTCGGAGGTCCGACGTTCCATGCAAGGTGCCCAGGATCTGTGGGATAGCTCCGTCGCCCCGGGGATCGGCCGCGGTGGTGCGTTCCTGGAAAAAAGCACACTTAGGACCTGGGTATTACCGTACGCTTGTGTGATCCTCTTGTGTCAGTCCCATACTTTTCTCTTTCACGTTCATTTTTCTCATTAATCAGTCAGGTTCTCATAAAAAACGGGATAATAGGTGTGGAATTGCTGCACCCAAACTGGAACACGGTCGGTATCTAATACCTGTTTTTGACCTCGGCAATTGCCCACATTGAGTCATCTGCCTCGATTAGCCTTCATCACATCATTAGAATCTCAAGGATGGGACGCCGTCAAGCATGTGGAGTGTCCTTCTTTGACCATGGGGCCTCCGTTGGAGGAAATGGACGTCACTCCAGAAGAGCGAGAGGAGAACATTGCATCACATCTCCGGGACAGCACGGAATCTAAACGTGCTCTCATCATCAAGACCTCACATGTCGGCGGGCACAAGTACGCCGGTAACTGCATCGTGCGTGTTTCACGGTTTTAGGTTTCCTCAATTGATTCCGCCGGCTCCCTCACGTTTCACCCCAGATTTACACACCCTCAGGTTCCGGCGTTTGGTATGGCCGCGTCACACCGCACGACGTCGACTCCATTGTGGAAAACACCATCATCAAGGGTCTCGTTTTACCGCCCCTCCTACGGGGAGGTTTGAATCTCTCAAGACCCAACTGCAAGAGCCTCAACGACTGGTAACCATAGACCGCAATGGACGACCCCTTATTTATTTTGCTATCGCATACTGTATGTTTGGATTGTTAGCCTTAATTTTTTTTCCTCTCCAGGAAGGATGTAAATCGTCCATAAGGTCGCACGAGAATCGCCATTATTAAAGTATATATTATAGAGGTTCAATGGGTACAAGTAGCAAACGGGCCATATTTACACTTTACAACTTACATACCTAAAATGTCACATCAAAGGGGGAGTAGGTACATGGGGGTACTGTCTGCATGCAGTGATGATGGGTGCAAGGATAGATAGATATTACACGAGGCCACCGGCCGTTATTTAGGGGCGTGGCGTCTTGAAAAGATATTCATGTCATGTCGTCGTCCAACGAGCTAAACCCGAGGCCCTTCCGTCGCGCGTTTGCATACCTTCCGGCGCTCTTCCCAAAGTCTTCAAACTCATCTTCCGTCGTCACATCTGGAATCTCTTCGTCATCGACAGCTTCCTCATCCTTATCCTTCTTCGCAAGCGCATTCACCATCGGCGCGATCACGCTCTCTCCGCCCGAGTAAGTGAACCCTCTGAAATTCTCTTGCACGCTGTTCGTCAGCGGGCTACCCAACAACTCTCTCCTCATCTTCTTGGGCTTGATCTGAATGCCTTTGGAGGAGGATGTGTACGATGATCCGTTGGTAATGGAACTTAGTGGTTTGCCTGCCGGTCGTTCACTGCCTAATGGGCCATTTGGCGTATGAACGGTGGTGCCGATCGATTGCGATACCCATGCCTCGGAAGGGTCTTCCTCGTCCAAGTCCATGTCCACAACGCCAACGTCCCGCATGTCGGCAGAGGTAAACTCGGGGTCAAAGTTGCTGGTCGATTCGTCCGATTCGACAACGGGTTTGAATGGCGGCGTGACTTGTTTAAGAGAGAGTGCTTCCCAGTCGATGTTGCTGAAAAACGGATGTTCTTTGAGTTCGGCCGCGTCTCGTTGAGCGCCTAAGCGATGCTTCGGGTTTCGATTCAAAAGCTGTTCGGAGCCGATTAGTTTTTAATTGCATTTTTTTGGTCTTTTCGCAATATTTACCCCTTTCACAAATTGTTTCCCATCTTCGTTGATAACGCCTTTTGGAAATCGAATTTTGCCAAAGCAAATGTTCTTGTACATCTGTTGGGTGTCCTCCGCGTAAAACGGGCTCCAGCCGCAGCACATTTCAAAAAGGAGCACTCCTAGAGACCAAAAGTCGACGATTTTGGAATATCCCTGTTCGTCTAGCAAAATTTCCGGAGCAAGGTACTCTGTTGTACCGCAAAACGTTGTCGTAAGTTCATCAGGTCGTAAATCAGCTTTGGAGAGACCAAAGTCGCAGAGTGCAACATGGCCTGTCGCGTCCAGGAGAATATTCTCTGGCTTGAGATCACTATCATACAGAGATGATGAAAAAAGAAAAAGTGTCAAAAAAAGACATGCGCACCGGTATACAATATTATATTTGTGCAGGTGCTCCAAGGCCAAGATCAACTCGGCAATGTAAAATTTGGCGCGATCCTCGTTAAATCTCGTCTCGCGTTGCAAGTGCCAGAACAGTTCACCGCCGCTCTTGAAATCTGTCACCAAGTAGAGATCGGTGTCCGTTTGGAAACTAAATTTGAGGCCGACGAGGAACGGTGACTCCAAAGAACGTTGCAAAATCTTGCGCTCTCCGATGGTATGCGCGACCTCCTTCTTGGCAACAATCTCCTTCTTTGACAGGACCTTCATGGCATAAATGCGCTTAGTGTCCTTTTTTCGGACCTGAAAGACCTTGCCGAAGGTGCCTCGACCGATAAGCTTGAGAAATTCGAAATCGCGCGGGGTAAGTGCCCGTTTCGTCTAGCAAGCTATCAGGTGACGTGAGAAAAAAAAGTGATGGCATCGATGCGTACCTTGTATTGCTCATAGGTGATTTGGACACGCATTTCCCCACTCACCACTTCGTCTTCAAACGGCCGGAGCCTAATGAATAAATCAGTTGTTGGATAGCCAAGGTATGAGGGGAAAAACTCACTTGTACCATTGGTCGACGGTGTGGTCGTGAACTAGAGCAGGTTTAATTTGAACTGTGCCCAGAAAACCCTGGTCCGAGACTGCGCGATCGTAAACGTTGAAAGTAATAAGCGATTCTTCCGATGTGACATCACTAGTAAAAAGGTTAGTGAGCTAAAAGATGAGTAAAGAACAGAGCCTACAAGGAGACTTCATGTTTCCAGACTGGATTGTGAGCAGAGAGACGACCAAAGAGGCCGTTGGGGGCACCGCCTATGGGTGGCAAAGAAGACTTTGGTGCAACGGAGGAAGATGGTGAGGGGTTTGTTGAACTGGCTCTGCTTCCCTTCTTGCTCGCGTCGAGAGCGGCAGCTTTGGAACCGATCGCGCCTAATGCTGATACTGCGTTGGAAGAAGGCTGACGAGATATAGCGGTTCCTTTAACCTCCTTGTCTGTCTCGTCCGTTGGATCTCGGCTGACAAACTCGTTCTGCTCGAACTGGACGACTACATAAGGGCGGGCGTGCATGGTGCGAACATTGAGGGCTCTAGCTTGAATCAATTTGACATGAATCTGGCCCTTTGAAGCCGTTGTTTGTGGTGGAGTTGAAGGGGAGGAAGTGATAATGGAAGCGAGGGACTTGTTTCTATTACCTGGGGGTGGTTGCTGCATATTAAAGACGGGAGCATGAAGAGAGAGCTGAGTAGTTGGCTGAGCAGCAGGAAAACCGCCGAGTGAGGAAGTGCCAGTGGGCGTGAGATCCGATGTGACCGATCCGCCGCCGCCATAAGCCGAGGAGGCGAGAGCTGCAGAAGGAATAAATGGCGAGTTGGCTGCGAGCAGTGGATGAGTTGTTGGAGTTGAAGGACCTGGACTAGGGACATAGGTGTGATGTAAAGTTGTTGGATGATGGTGGTGGTGGTCAAAGGGGTTCTTTTCAGCTCGAGGAGTGAGCTGGTTATTATCTCCTGGCCAGAGTCTAATCATGGTCCAGTGGAAAAAAGAAATAGTAGGATGAATTGCAAGATTGTGTCGATGATGACGGGAAGAACACGGCGGCGGGAGTATCTGCATAATTACAGCTGACGATCTGTATGTATTGTGTTATATAGTCGCGGCAAGCTTCGCTCTAGTCCAATTCAAAGTCTTCAACGCGCTTCCTACTATCAATCCAAGCAATAGCGTTTTTCGCGATAGCTTCCAACCTAATCGATCTGTTCTTTTTCCATATCAGCGTTCCATCCCTTTTTGACAGTCCATCCACTTACACACTCCACAGAACACAGCTCCAGTTCCCAATGCTGCACCAATCTCTTTGCACTCACCCCACCCTAGACGCTCCATTCCTTCTTCTATCCCTACCCACCCCAACCCCATTAGTCCCAGCTTACTGGCATCCACTCCCGCTCCCTTCAGTCCACCAAGTATCACCTTGTAGTTCTTCGTCTTGTTGTAAAAGTACCACCCTTGCACTGTAGTCGGCGGTCGGTGAGCATTCTCTGCAAGGAAACGCAACGACGTCGCCCGTCCTCCCCGCATCAACCCAATCGCAATACCCACTATGATCGCTGTCCCAGGTACTATCACCAACCGTGGTGGCACATTGAGGTGGATCTGCCGCCTAGGAGCCACTTCGTCGTCGCCGTTCCCTTGCAACATTTTACAGTCATGTGATCGTATCTCGGTCCGATATATCCTTTGTCCGGTCCGCGAAAAACCCTCGTTTGCTCTTCCCTTCTCGCCGATCGTGTTCCAGCCCTTGAATTAAAGAACTAGCTCTCTATTAGCGCCGCCGTTTGACGTCCCTTTCCACGGTGGCGACCACCCCAGAATGCAGCTACACCCAATTGTGCAACAAGATAGGCACAGCCAGCCATCTTTCCCCGACCTCCTCGCGGCGTAAACGCCTCAATCGAACGTATCAGAGAATGCCATTACGCCACACTTTGAATAGAATCCATTACTTCAACGCTTGACTCTCTGCTACTCTCCTTCAGGACATCGAGCTCGTATTCCAGCCCCTGAGTCCTCGCGACACCTGTCGCAAACTGCAGAGACACAGTCCTAGCCCTTCCTACTTCCTCGGAACCGCTTGATCTTCCCGCGGTCGCCGTCTCTAAAGGCATATTACACATCCCTCTTGGGTGATGGAACGCGTCACATAGGTTGAGGACCAGTCTGCATGCAAGGGTAATCGTCATGGAATAAGCAAACACGGATGGTATGCTCCAGTAGCGAGGCTGCATCAACGTTAGCCTCGGGTACCAATAAACAACCGCAAGATAGCACACATTGACAGTTAACCATGCAACGGCGGTTACAGTATAAAACGCAAAGGCGCTGGTTACCATCATGAGCTCAACAATTTCGAAACACTAGATCGCACATACCACGCAAAATGCCCAAAATTATCTCGCAAAAGGACATGCAACAAGGAGGCCCCTCGCCAGTTCCCAATCTCTAAACAATTTCGATACGCTATGCGCAGCGATAACACGAATAAAAGACACTCAAAAATGAGGATGGGAACCCAAAAGAGGAATATATACGGCGGCGCTGCGATGCGCGTACACATGTGTACTCCCATGCCAAGGTCAGAGTTGGTCACTATAATTCATTAATTAGCGTACACCGCTTCAATTGAATCTTTGTATACCATCATGATGCAAGCCTATGATGGACATGACTTGGAGGGCCGTCACCGCAGCGATCTCGCCCAAGAAGCTGAGAGTTAGGCACAAGGAAACCCTTTCCCCATATAGCGTTCTTATCCGTAGCTGCATGATGACTGTCGGAGAGTATGAGGTCAACCTGGAAGAAGAAAGTAGTAGTGGGTCCTCACATTGACTCGTCCATATTATAAGAACAGCTCCGCCATTTATGATACCGAAACCTATTAAACCTAAAGAAAATAAACTGGATGAGCAGGTTGAGCGGGCGTATCCTTACAACTGTTGGCGGCAGATATTTCAGGTCATTAATAAAAGTTGAGAGAAAGAGTTTTACATACAACTTTGAAGTGAAAAGTTAGCGCTCTAAAAAATTGCGGGTATAATTACACACACCTTTTGACTAATGTTTCTTTCTAAAAATACTGAGGCGGGAACGGTTATATCTCGGAGCACCCTCTTGACAGGTGACGCTCACCCAATGAATCGTAACTATACAAATGAGCGCAGAATACAACGTTCAGAAAAAGCGACGTACATTAAAAGGCCGTCGCCGAAATATCTGCACTGTGAAAGCAAAAGTGAAGTTCAGCCACGCGACGATGCAGGATTTTTTCCCGTACAATTAAAAAGAGGATTTTAGATTTAGACCATCGCTTTGACTTGACGAAACGTTTGAACACGCGCGATAGCTGACAAGGATATCTGCGCACCCATATTAGTTCGGCCTATTACGCCAGGCGTGTCAGAAGCTGCATGAATGAGCTAGCACCGGCATTCTTACCTCGAGATCTAAAGTAATAACTGCCAATGCATCAGCAACTAAAGCCATCCAGTAGGCACTATCAAAAAGCGTACCGTGATCATAAAGAGTAACGACGGTAGCAGCGACTTTGTTGGCGCACAATCAGCCCCCGTGGCCATCCAACAGAAACGAAGAACTTACTTTGCGCATACTGGACGAGAGTATAGTTTTCTTCCATCTGAATTCCCTAGTAACGTGGAGGGACTCACAGAGCATAGTCCTTGGTCGAAACGATGGAAGAAGACCAGAAGACCATATTTTTACTGGAGAACTTTGAGGTGCCATAAGTATGTAACTAATCAGTCCAGACTGACGCCCACAACGACGGCGCCGCTGGGCAGGTCTAACTTGATATGGCCTGCCGTAACACCGCCGGGTGGCCGGCAAGGCTAAATCGATCAAAGGCGTCAATTCTCCTGCGAGAGGAAAGAAATAAGTGGCCTATGAACGTCCACATTGGTTTCCGAAAAAACGTTTTGCAAGCACCCTACCAGAGAGCAAACGAGAGTGTTAACGGGGAGGCAAAACCCTTCAAAACCGGGTCGGGTGCCATTCTAAGGGTGGTGCCTAGAAATCTCGGTCATCACAAACCTCCTTGAAAATGAAGACCTCGATCATTCCGTGAAGTGATCTGCCTTGAACCGATATCTGAGATCTCCCAAGAGAAAATGGACTGGCTTCTGGGCGAGCACATGCATTTATTACAAAGATTACTGTCGTGTTTGGAGAGTCGACTAAAAGGAGGCCTTCGTCCTTGCCACTGACCAAGGGCTGCCAGCCTCGTAGAAATCCATGGGGTAAACACCAACGTCAGATTTTGACTTTCCCCGCTCAGGCGCATCCATCCAACTCGCTGTTTTACCCACTGCTACGGCAGTCTCGTAAGGACTCAACAACGGTCGGTCAAATGCATATCCCCAATCAATGGAGAGACGCGGACACGATGTTTGAATGAATGTCGCTATATGGGGATTGAACAAAGCAAGCTTCGCTGGCGACAGCTCTGAAAGGAGGATCGGTATGTACGGTATCGGCACATCCGAAGCTTCGAGTTGATTCATAATTGCCTGAAAAATGGATTGGTTTATTATAACGACCACAACAACCGAGTAGTACCTGAAGCTGCTTGAAACTTCCTTGCCTGCCCAAGGTTCCGAGAATTACACCCCAGAGAGGGGGCATAGCCTCCTTGGGATTGTGCATGATGCTGAGTCGATCTATTGAAGAAAAGGCTGATATGCTTTTTCTGGCAATCTGCACAGCGCTGTCTCTGACCAACTGCATCTCCCGGTGATCGTATCTTTCACGAGTTAGTTTCTTGGAGTAGGGGTCATAACGAAAAGCGGGGACAGATGGATTTGCGATCATTATTGACTCCAAATGAAATCGGCCATCCCCAAGGTAGCTAGGCAAAAATCAACACCACCCACGACGCGATAAAACGAACATACATCAACGCATCGGTGTTGTCTAGTCGTGGAGCCGTGCATCCCAGGATTTCTCCTGGTGAAAGAGGTTTAGATCTTGGGATGGTGGCGTCGTATCTTCCCGTCCAGTATTTTGGAAAACTCGTCGTCATTGCAGCGTCATTGGTGAACGCAGTTGATCCGTCCACTAGCAATTTAGTGGGGCGATGTGATTTATGGTCCGTTGATTCGTTTGCAAGATCCTCTTTCAACCGTTGGAGAGCAGCTACAAACTGGATGGTTGAAACGAGTGCTAATCTAGTCGGCTGGTGCGGCAACCCTGACTTGTCTTTTACGTCGCTCTCCAAGCCTTCACTTGGTGAAGATGATGGACCCTCTATACGAAGATGCTTGGCCGGTCCGATTTGACTACCAATCGGTATGCGACTGATGGTTTCCTCGTAATCCAATAAAGTCTCGTGGAATGTCTTCTGGTCGTCGGGAAAGTTTGTGCGGATCGTTTGTGCGAGATGGGCAGAGTCAATGCCAACTTCTACAAACACGTAAAGGGACTTGATGGAGGTCTGATCCATAGGAACTAGAATTTCCGGTTGAAGCAGAATTCGAAGGTATGAGTTAGCCACGAACCCAAGCAGCTGTGGCCATAGTGAACCAATAGATCGCAGCCCAAAGCAACGGCGGTGTAATCATCAACGCAGCATGCACCATACGTAACGTCGCCCATGATCACAGTCAACGCGTTAGTGAACCTAGCATACTCAGCTAAATTTAATATATGATGAAGAATCACCTGCGCACCGCTCGATGATATCCGCAATGGTGCAAGCAAACATCTGTAACCCCTCTGGCATTTGCAGAGCGACCATTGAAGCGTTGTTCTTCCTAACATGATGGATGGTTTTATGGATTTCAAAGGAGTAGTTGGAGGGTAGTTGCTTTATCGCGGCATTCAGTTGGTCGTCGAGGAGGATATCTTGAGGAATTTGGTTAGCAAGGATCGGGTGGGTGCCTGGTTTAGATGGCTTTGCGGACTTGCTCCCGACAAAGCGTTTACGGGGCTTGGTAGCGTTTGACTTTTTTGTCGATTCCTCAGTCATGGAAGATTAGATTTAAAATTCTCACGTGATTGTCGCGTCACTATCTGCTTTACAGTAAGTTTACAACTGCTTTAGCTAACAGCCATTAGCAGCTTTCAACTCTACTCCGTATGCCCTTCGGTCCCTCTTCTCAATACTCAATCTCTTCGTAGAAAAACCATGGAGCGGCGTTGTAGAATGCGAGGTTCCTGTGGGAGGAAGAGCATGTTTGGAAAACCACTTCCATGTCCGTATGACGGACCTGCGCTTGAGGTGTGTATCAAATGAACCAGCTATCGTCTGTTTACCAGAAACCTTTCAGCCCGAGGACGACGAAGCACGCGATCTTCTGGTCGACGTATGTGGTTCAGATTTCGCTCAAGGACCAGTCTGTTGTACGTCGGATCAAGTCGAAACCCTCCGTGACAACTTCAACCAGGTGGAAGGCCTAATAGCGGCGTGTCCGGCTTGCCGGAACAACTTCCGCTCATTCTTCTGCACCTTCACATGTTCCCCACACCAGTCAACCTTCCTGAACATAACTTCAACTCAGAAAACCCAGGACGAAAAGGTAGCAGTGAAATCCCTTGACTTTTTTGTCTCAGAGCAGTACGGGACCGGCTTCTTTGACAGCTGCAAGAATGTTCAGGTTGGGACCACCAACGGCTATGCTATGGACCTAATTGGAGGCGGGGCCAAGGACTATTCGTCATTCTTCAAGTTTATGGGCGACGAGAAGTCAATAGGGAGTCCATTCCAAATCGACTTTCCTCACAACACCCCTCCCGAATTTTCATCTCTAAATTCCATACCTCGAAACTGCACAGATGTTGACCTCAGTAGTCGGTGTACATGTATCGACTGTCCAGATGTTTGCCCCACCCTTCCCTATGTGCCACCGCCTGACGGCTCTTCTGCCTGCCATCTTGGCGGCTTATCATGCCTTTCCTTCGTTCTCATCCTCGCCTACGGCCTTGCAGTGCTCAGTTTCTTCATTGGATACGTTGTACAAACGACGATTCGGAGGCGGAGAGAGACGACTTACGAAAGGGTGGCTCTATCTGCTGAGACAGCGTCACCAAGGACGCATACAAGGGGTTTGATTGGCGCTGGTTCTCTTGCTCAGTATTTGGACGAAGATTCCGTTGGCACTCAGTCAGAATCACGCAATCTAGGCCGCGGCGCTTCACTCCTTGATCCCATGGAAACAGTTCAGCCCCGCCAATATCCTCTCAACAATATTCTTCGCCGCTTCTTCTATCGACTAGGAATGCTGACTGCATCTTATCCTTGGTTGACGTTTGCCACAGTGTTCCTCCTTGCTGGGCTTCTCAACATAGGGTGGAAGAAGTTTGAGATCGAGACCGACCCAGTCCGCCTTTGGGTAGCACCCTCTTCCGAGAGTAAACAACAAAAAGAGTACTTTGATGAACATTTCGGACCGTTCTATCGAACCGAACAAATTTTCGTCACAGCAGTCGGAGGTATTGGTGACGCTGAACAGAATTCTTCGTCGGTTGCACGCTCCTTTGGATCTAAACCACCAGTTCTTTCTTGGGACCACTTAAAATATTGGTTCGAGGTTGAAGCTGACATCCGGGCTCTTGTATCCCCCAGTGGCTACAAACTTTCCGATGTATGTTTCAAGCCTGCAGGTCCACGAGGCGCATGTGTCGTTCAATCTATTGCTGCATGGTTTGGCAACGACCTAGATGATTACGATGAAGAGAGCTGGTCAGAACATCTTCTAGAATGTGCCAATAGTCCTGTTGAGTGTCTTCCAGACTTTCAACAACCGCTAGGTCCACACTACGTGTTGGGAGGTGTTCCACGAGAGGCAGACACCCCGTTATACCTCGAAGCTGAAGCAATGGTGGTTACCTACGTTGTATCCGACTCACTAGACTCTGTAACACAAGCCAGAGCTATGGAATGGGAGGAGACATTGCGTTCATACCTTGTTGACTTGAGCGAGAGGTCAGCTGAAAGTGGGTTGGAAATCGCATTTTCAACTGGTATCTCCCTCGAAGAGGAAATCAATAAAAGTACCAACATGGATGTCAAAATTGTTGTCCTGTCATACCTCGCAATGTTCTTCTATGTCTCTCTGACTCTGGGAAGCGGGTCTGCAATACGACAGGAAGATGGCCTTGTGGCATCCCTCATTGAATGTGGACAAAACTTCCCCCGCCTTTTCACTCGATCTAGCGTCTCATCGTCATCCCTTTCCGTAGATTCACGGCCCCCACCTCGCCTCTTCCCGCGGCTACCTCGCTCTCTTTTTGTTGGGTCCAAATTCACACTTGGTCTATTTGGTATCCTTCTTGTAATACTTTCCGTCTCATCTTCTGTGGGCTTCTTCTCCTTCCTTGAAGTCAAGGTTACCCTGATCATTGCCGAAGTAATACCATTTCTCGTCCTTGCTGTTGGAGTCGACAATGTCTTTATCCTGGTCCACGAGCTGGATCGACAGAATCTCTTACACGGTCCCAATGCCGCAGTACCCACTTTCCAAGGCCCCGGCTTCTCAGCGCCCATGTCGCCCACCAATTCATCAAGGTCGCCCTTTGAGTCGACCAATGATGTCGACGCGTCTTCGATGCCTTTATACCTTCCAGCTGAAGAGCGAGTTGGGAGGGCGTTGGCAAAAATGGGGCCATCTATCCTTTTGAGTACCATCACTGAAACGACGGCTTTTGCATTGGGAGCGCTTGTACCCATGCCTGCAGTCCGCAATTTTGCGCTTTATGCCGCTGGAAGCGTCTTCTTGAATGCGACTCTGCAGGTTACAGTTTTCGTCAGTGCTTTGTTGCTCGATCTGAAACGCGTCGAGGTACGTTTCCCCTCCCATTGACATTCCTACTTTACACTGAAAGCTGCCTCAGTCAAGCCGTGTGGACTGTTTGCCGTGCATAAGATTGCCTCCACGAATTACATTGCCTGATGCTCCATTGAGTGGTGGAGGCCTTGGCAGAGTTGCACGATTTATCCGCCGATATTACGCACCATTCTTGCTTAAACCCGTTGTGAAAGGCATTGTTTTGCTTACCTTTGCAGGTGTCTTTGTGGCATCTGTAATATCTATGCAACATATTGAATTAGGTCTAGGTAAGTGTTTTTCCACTTCTTTTACACTCATAACAAACACGTTCTACAAGATCAAAGGCTCGCCTTACCATCTGACTCCTATCTTATTTCATATTTCGACAACCTTGATGCGTACCTCGACATTGGTCCACCTGTTTACTTCGTTGCCAAAGATATCGACGTCACTCAACGTCAAGGCCAACAAACATTGTGTGGTCGATTCACAACGTGCCTTGATACATCTGTTCCTAATCGATTGGAAGGAGAGCGCAAGCGCCCCGAGTCATCTTTCATATCAGAACCCACTGCATCTTGGATAGACGATTTCCTGGGCTGGCTCGATCCTGGGAAAGAAGAATGCTGTCGAGTCCGCAAGGCAGATCCCTCTGTTTTCTGTCGGGAAAGAGATCCTGCCCGCCTCTGCCGACCCTGCTATGAAGGCAAAGAGCCTGCGTGGAACATTACCATGGATGGGTTGCCTGAGGATGGGGAGTTCATGCGATATCTCAGGCAGTGGTGGATTTCGCCAACCACCGAAGAATGTCCTTTGGCTGGCAAGGCATCCTTTGGGACTGCCCTTTCCCTTGATTCTGATAGCGTCGTCGCATCCCATTTCCGCACCTTCCATTCTCCTCTTAAGAGGCAAGCTGACTTCATCAACGCCTTTGCTGCTGCTCACCGAATTGCGGAAGAAATTTCGGAGGAAACTGGGGCAACGGTTTTCCCTTACTCCCTATTCTATGTCTTCTTTGACCAATATGCCCACATCATCGCGATTACACAGGAAGTTCTGGGTCTAGGATTGGCATCGGTCCTCGTCATCATGGCTTTAATGCTTGGTTCATGGAGAACGGGAACGATCGTGACTGGTGTTGTTGCTCTGACTGTGACAACAGTTATGGGTATCATGCCCATTTGGGGCATCAACCTCAATGCCATTAGCTTGGTCAATCTCGTCATATCTCTTGGAATTGCTGTCGAATTCTGTGCGCATGTTGCTCGCGCATTTATGAGCGCTGGAACAGGACTTCCTGTTGATCATCCGTCTGGTCAGAAGGAGCGGGATGAGCGGATGTGGACTGCACTGGTAGACATCGGGCCTTCGGTGAGAAAGCAAGGGTCGAGATTGGTTAACTCATCTAAACCTTTCAATAGGTTCTGTCCGGAATTACTTTTACCAAGCTGATTGGTATGTCCGTGCTCGCGTTGACACGCTCAAGGCTTCTGGAGGTTAGTAGCATTACTCGGACGTTCGTCCCTCTCGTACTCATGACAATCTCAAGATCTATTATTTCCGGATGTGGCTCACGTTGATCATTTCCGGAGCTCTTCATGGCCTTGTTCTACTTCCTGTCGTGCTTAACATAGCGGGAGGATCTGGTTTTCCCCAACAAGAGGCGGACGAAGAATGGATGTCGAATGCAATTAGAAACGACTATGACTATCCGTCCGTGACATTCTGCTATTCCCTCGGTTCGGAACTGACGTTGTTATTGCAGACCTTTCCTCGCAGACGACGATTCTATAGCGAGCGACTAGATATTTATTTGATCATAGAACTCTGTTGGATGGAAAAATATACCATTTTTTGAAAATGAGTAGATAAAAGGATAACGATCAAGAAAGTAAGGAACTAGACTACACTACGACTCTTTGGTGTCCTTTGGAGACCTGGACCTGCTGTCTCTAATATCGTCACGACTGTAGCTTCTTCTTGCTCTGCTCACCGACCGGGAGCGACTCCTGCTGCGGCTATACCTTGAATACGACGAGTATGACATGGACCGGGAGCGAGAGCGGGAAAGCGATCTCGTCCTCGAACGACTGGACCGCACAGAGTAGCTTCGGGACCTGGACCTGCGGGCACGACCATAGCCTCCACGAGAGTAGCTGGGAGAACGCCTCCTAGGTAGCGGCGGTCTCTCTCCTGCAACACGACGAACAGGGGAGCGGGAACGCGAGCGGCTACGGGAACGCCCACGCCTGTACATATCGCGGTCGCGCCCTGGTGGACCGCCTCTCCGACCAAACCCTCTTCCTCTGAAAGAGTCCCTTGGTGGATGTCCATCGGGCCTTCTTCTGTAGGCCAGTGGTGGTGAACGAGAGCGTGTGCGTGAGCGAGAACGAGAGCGGGAGATGGATCGAGGTCTGTCGCGGGCGTTGCGTGGGGGAGGAACACGGCGAGGGGAACGCGAACGGCTGCGGACAGGCAAGTCCGAGAGTGAGACTTGAAGGATGGCGCCGTCTAGCTGACCACCATTCATGTGAGAGGCAGCTTTGTGAGCTGAGGGAGGGTCTGCAAATTCCAAGGCTGCTTTCCCTCTGTTTTGGCCGGCTAATGGAGAAATACAATCAACTCGATGAACGACTAGAGTTATGATAGAGCTACAGACATTTTCCAAAGAGTGGTAGGTCAGTTTTGATGATTTCGCCGTAGAAACCAAAAACAGTTTTGAGGTGAGATTCGACGACGTTGCGTGTCAAATTTGTGATGATGATGACTTTTGCGTCTGGCTTGTCGACTACGGAGTGCTTGTCGACTGGAGAGAGCTTGTCGACGTCCATGTCGGTGACATTGGCTGGAGGAGGTGACGTTGACATGGCAGGTTCAGGACAAGTCAAGGGGACAAGTTCAATCTCATGTATTCCCACAACTCAAAATTAAAAGATGTAAATTATTCTCTACTCCTGAACATATTTATCACGAATATCCTTCCATTGTTTCTAAACCGCAATGGATAAAGACGATATAGCTGGGAGAATAGAATGAGACGTACCCCCTTATTCCAGGTGTCGTAGAACTTGGTGACACCCAAGTCAAAACCAATGCCGAATGCAAAAGCTCCAGCGAATACTGTTGTGACGAATACGCCTGAAAAGACAGTGAGGAAAGGGAGTGAGTGGTAAGTTTGTTCCGTACTATTGCGCTTGAAAATGGCATTGTAGAGAGAGTTGGCAAACTGCATATAGGATTAAATGGAGAGGTGTTGTATAGAATCGAGGAGCACTTACCGCCATGGTTTTGGTTGAGAGGAAGAAGAGATGCCGATGACTTCCGGTCGGAGTTTTTTTACACGAGTTTACTTTCCACCATGTTACGAACTTTGGGAATACTGAAGAGCCCTATTCTCTCTCTGAAAAGACCTATTCTCTCTCTCTCTTTCTCTACTCAGCAGCTTCCTACCAACGACCTTGGCAGTTTTCTTGACAATTATGAGCAACCCCCCGTTGAAAATTCACTCCCTCCTACTGCAGGAGTTAGAGGCTACCCATCTCCCAATGTCTTTTCAAACAAGAACCCTTTAACGAAGAACTGGGTGAAGAATAAAATCCGTCTGCATTGTCACTCGACAAGAAATAACACAATAACAACCCTCACAAAGGAAACCGGAGAACCAATGATTTGGTTCTCGGGCGGTTCGTGTGGATTCAAGAAGGGAAATCGCTCTACCTATGAAGCGGGTTATCAGTGTGCTGTCAGGATGTTCAAGTGGATTGAGGAATACCAGAGGACCGTTCCCTCCCTAGAAATCGACCTTTTCTTCAAGGGCTTTGGTCAGGGAAGAGAAGCTCTCAAAGGTGCTCTTTTGGCTGCAGAGGGCGAGCGAGTTAGACAACTCGTCGTTTCAATCACCGATAGGACTCCCATTAAAATTGGAGGAACACGCGCGAAGAAGACACGACGTTTGTAACGGTGCGCCTTGTAATTTTTCTTCATGTCCTTGGACTCAGAAATTCAGTGCCTCTTCTAGACTTTTTCGCTCCACGGCGACACATCGCATACCTGCCAACCAAGCGTGTTGTATGGTTCTAGCGTTAACTTCTATTGGGTTATAACACTACAAGTCTACTCCGTAATGAAAAGTGAGGATCGTTGGCATAGGCCTGGTATCTTGGCCGCTCTAGACAATTCAATGCGACCCGTTTATCAACCTCAATATCCTCTATCAATGCCTCTGTGAAAGACAGCTTTTAGCAGGCAAGCGGAGAGGCACACTCTTGCTCGTACCTCGAGATGTGTAGTCCAGTTCAGGACGAATATATCCCAGCACCAGCGCCCTCATCTCGAAACCATAAAAGTCCGTTTTGAAATCGTGCATGACGTGTATTTCCTATCAACGGGGAGTATGAGATGCTGTCACCATGAGAAAGGACTACACACCGCCGTCAAACACTTGTTTTTATAGAATGGGTTCCATCCCAGACTCATCACCATCGGTAAGACTTGAATGTCTTCCTGCCGTAGATCGGTGTTGTCCTCAGGTGGGATGACCTGTGCATACCCGTAATACACCCCCGTCTTTGCAACCGAGCTTATGGGTGTGATAGATTCATCAGGTAAATTCGCTGGTTGTGATTAGATGATATCAGGCAAGACGACAGACAAGCAACACACCAGTGGGACAACCGAGATCTTTCCCACCCCGACCAAATCCTTTTTGCACCTGGCCAGCCAGTGCGATCGGGAATGGGGATTCTGGGGTATCGGGCCCAACGATTTGCGGACGACCGGTGCGGAATTCGTCTGTACGAAAGGCTGCGGCTGGGCGATCGCCCTTCTCTGCCTCTTCAGCCGCAGTTGGAGGCATAGGATGTAGATAAATTAGAGAAATCCAAAGGGACTATTTCCCAGGTATTAGAGAGAAAAATGTGGAAGTGGATGAAGAGTGGGCCGGGTAATGAATTACCTTGTAATTATTGAATCATTTGATCACCTGAACCTCATGTACCAACCACAATTGCAACGACGAGATGTCGCCTATTCCGCCTACTCTGGCCACTACCCCAACCAATATGCCTCAACGTCGACCGTACCAGTCTCTACCCCTTATTTTCCTACATTCCCCCATCTACAACAACAGCTGCCTCAGAAGCCTCCAGATGTCCGCCCACCGCCACCTGAACCCTCGGTAACTCCAGCCGTAGCTTCCAGAGCTATTCAACGACTTGTCTCTTCGGAGCTGCGGTTTGCAGGGCTTGATTCAGCACATCAATCCGTCGTACAACGCCTTGAATTGGAGGTCGTCGCGCGTGAGCCTCCACCTCCCACTGCCATTCCGAGGACTCACTCTATGTAGTTGTTCAGCGACTCTTTCAACGGGCCCATGAATACGCGAATCTGGCCAACAGGTCGGGCGCCATTGCATCTGATCTTGCACTTGCTTGCGAAGAGTTCAATCTGCCCATAACCGAGCTACGAAAGGTCAGAACGAGAGCCAAATCAAAGAAATGTACGTGCACCTCTTCCAAAACAAAGCACATCCTCACTGAAAGCACGGCAGCCAAGAAGATGAAAGGGGCGGCGAAGAATTTGAATCTTACACCCAGTTTACCCATCCTCGTACCACCACGTTCACGCTCGCCGTCTCCCGAGCTACTTGGCTCCGACGATGAAGGCACGACAGCTATAATCCCCGCGACACTTCGCAATCTGCCACCCTGTTTTCCTAGTCTACCACCAAAACACACATATTTACAAACTCCAGTATGCTTCTATCTCACTGCATCATCACCTTCCTGGTCTAATTCACTTGTAGGCATCACCTCCCAAGAAAGCTGCCCTGCCGTCCCTCGAAAAGAAGCTCAAGACAGCAAGTTTGGTACAGGACTCTCTGCAAAATTTATTACTTGCGACGGAGGATAACACAAACCAAGAAGATGGAGAGTTGCTTGGCCACATTGTCAACTGGGAAATGGGAGTCCACCCCAGAAAAAGATGGAAGATAGGACCAAAGTGATATATTTTGTCAGAATACTACGTGCTTCGTCACATATCTCCCTGATTTGCATGCGGAAGGGCTATATCTCCGGTGGCAGGTTGAACCGTCGTTGGCTGCCCTGTGGTAGAATTTACTCCGATAGGTTCAGATGTAGTAGCTAGTTGAATGCTATTAGACGATGCCACTTCCGTGACTTGCGAAGCAAGGCGTGAAGATCGCCTTGATCCCAATATGGGCACGTTTGCTACCCTCTTATTCGTCTTCTTTGGTGGAACGGGGTCTTGAGGAGCAACATCTGGAACCGTTTTTCGAGTCCGCGCTCTTGACTTTGCTGTAAGCTTGGTCCCCACCTCTGGGGGCTCAGGTGCAATTGTCAGGCTCGCATTGGACGACTTTGCAGTGTCAACCATCATTGGAGCATCGACAGAAGATTTTTGAGGCGAGTCTTGCGACATGTTAGTGTCTGGCAACGGGCCCGTCAGGCCGCCTTGATTTCCCTTTCCCCTCTTGATAGGCCTCGGCCTTGGTCGCTTTGTAGCCGTGGTGCTGACTTGAGACGGACCTAGTTCTTCTGGCCTACCAACAATCAAAGTTTCTCCCTCGGTAGGGGCAAGGTTTTCGATCTTCCTCTTCTTTTTGGTCGGAGCAGCAGGTTGGTCATTGTCTGCGGTTCGCTTCCTTCCTTTCTTGAGGGTGGCGGCTGGCATCTCGCTAGCACCAGCAGGTGTTACGGATGCCTCATCGGAGTTGTCAGGAACAACAAGGATTGAGGTTTGGACAACTGCTTTACCCTTCCCTTTACCTATAGCTTTTGGTTTGGGCTTCGGAGCGACAGCTGCAGTGCTATCGGCGTCAGGGGTTGGGATGGCATTCGCAATTGAACATGAAGGTTGCACGTCGGGAGGGGTATATGAGGTGGAGGGTCTGGCACATGGTTGCTCCGGAACCTTCTCCTTTGCAGCAAGCTTCTTCAATTTGTCATGGCGGAGGCGGCACTAACGGCACATGTATCAGTCAATCACCAGAACACCAACAGCTCAACAACTGACATTTGTCCCAGTTTTGCCGTTACCGATCTTCACACTAATAGCTTTCCACTGATTTCCCATAGTCTTGACGGACTCCAGCAGAACCCGATCTTCGTCTTCGGTCCAGGACATAGCGGTGGCTGACACGTTCAACTTTTCAGTCCATCTCTCATGACACTGGTCATTTGTTCGGCCAGGCATGGCTTCAGCAACTTTCATCCAAGCGTTCCCATATGCTGCGACGGCTTTTCTCAGCCGTTCGTCTTCCGTTTGTGTCCAAGCACCCCTCTTAATGGAAGGATCAAGCGATTTACGATATCGCGTTTGGCACTGAACACCAGTTGCATGCTCTGAGACGTGCCTTGCAACTATGAAAGTTGTCATTAAAAGTGCACGGAAAGAAGATGAGGAAGCACATACCAAGATTCCAATTATCGATACCGAACAATTGTACAGCGTCAAGAAGCTTCTTATCAGCCTCGGCAGTCCAGCCGTGACGTTGACGAGGAAGGCCTTGTCTCATACAATCTATGGGTGTACGATTCGTCTGTATGGAGGGGAAATGTAGCAACGGTAATTGCAAAAGGGTATAGATGGGCGTACACCAAGCTTTGCAGCGACTTCGACCCAATCTACCTTGCTGGATTTGTCGCGATAAGTGGAAACAAGAACCCCTAGGTTTTTTAGCTCAGATGCCGTCCATTCGTTATGGTTAATTTGCGGATGTCTGTCGCCAAGCCAACGAATGCGACACTCGTCAGCTGTGTACTTGAATTTCGATACATCAGAGACCTTTGTTGTTAACTATGTTCAGCTTTGAAGTCAGAAACAGAAACGCCTCACCTTTTCCGCTATGAGAGACCAGTCGAGCCCTTCGACGTTTCTTTCCAAGTCGATCTGAACAGAGCCGCTGGGTGGTCGTGTGAGACCTAAATCGGGAATGCAAGCAAGTCTCTCCTTACCCCCCACGAGATATGTACGCTTGTAGGCGCTGATTTTCGCGCCTTACCGCCTCCGCTAGCGAATCCAACTCTTTCCCCCTCACTAGTTTGAAGTTAGTAGCTGACATGAGTATGGTATAGATAACTCACTAGGATGAGCGGTTATACTATTCATATATTGCAACCTTCGCGAAGCCTCCGCAAAGAAAGGAGAGTCCTAGTATAGAATATAAATCTGTTGCGAGCAGAAGTAAACTCAAGCGTACACAATTCAAGAGTTCGCTTGGAGGGAACGGACCAGCAGCTTTTTTTGCACCAGGAATCTCCACGTCAACGTGTGGGTCGTCAGAGCCGTCATCTGTGCTAGCTGCAGACTGTTAATCTAGTCAGATGGATAATTTGGGCGAGAGATAACTACTCACCAGAAGCTTGTCCGCATGTGCGAGTTCTGCTTCAATCCTATGGGCCTTCTCAATGAGAATCTGTTGGAGCCTTTTGTTAGCTTCGAGGGCTTGTCGAACCAGTACTTTTTGCGTTGATTCCTGTGGGTCCGAGATTTCTTGTGAAGACATTGATATGAGGAGTTGGAGGCATGGTCGCTTGTCATGTGACCGAAAGTTTCCTTCATCAACGCGGACTTTTGACTCTACTTCAAGCCATGGCCAATGCCTCTGCGAAACGTATCGGTGCGCCAGATATTTGTATATTTCGATACAGAAAATGATGCTGACCTCTTTAGTAATTCAGCAAATCAAAATGAAAGTACGGTCAAAACTTTGAAGCTTGGCATGTTCTTGCCAACGATCATATCGCTTGTTCTCCGCGCTTTGTTCAGAAGAAGCTCTCTACCGCCATCTAAAGGCTCGCTGGCTATCTATATCGTCACTTTTTTTCCGGCATTCTTTCTCTCCAACTATTTGGTGAAAATTGGGACAACCAGGCGCGATCCCACTACTGGGACACTTATCTCTTATGGCGAGGACCTTCATCAACCCGGAGTAACGGAATGGTGCTTTGATATTTTATATGTGACATGTCCGTATCTCTTCACTGGTTTGCACGTCGTAGGACACTGACAAGTTGATTTACAGGGGCATGCCAAATCGGCAGTGGGGTTTTCGGTGAATGGTTTTGGTGGTTATACATGGTTGTGCGTATCTTTGCAATGGTTCCTGCCACGTCGTCGACCCTTTCCTAGATCCCGTTATATGCGGTCTTCAAACTATGGACTTCAGTAATATCACCCATGATCTTGGGAAGAGGCGACGATTCGTCGTTAACGGAAAATGCACCCGAAAAAGAATCTTCAGGCAGCAAAAGACAAGAGAAGCTGCGCAAACGGCAAGAGCGAGGAGATCCTCGAGTTCGGGTTCAACCTGGGAGGAAATAACAACTTCTCTTATTCTGCAGAACGTTCATAAATTTGTTCTGTGTACAACACAAACACTTCTGCTTTGCAAAATTATGCAAGGGGTATCGAACACCTTGACCAAACGAGGTTTGTGAATCGGACTTGATTATCGCTGAGCTCGAACGCCGCTTGCAAAAATCAGAATTTGCAGACCAGGCAGTCCCCCAACAAACACAGATCTGGCGAAATCCAAGCTGAAGATTTCTAGGGGAAACGAAAAAGACAAAGACAAAGCATCCCGTCAGAGAGGTGAGGTGACATGGAACTGTTGACTTTAAGTACGAGTTCCTGCATGTCCGAGTCCCACATTGGGAAGACCTTTAGCAGCAAAGAAGCTAAATCAACGGCACTCTCTTGGACCCCAGTGGATGCCTTTCAAGAGGAAGGTCAGGTTTTCGGTCACGTGAATTCCATATTCACTTACGCTTGATCGTGGCTTACGTTCAAGAACCTCTTCCTCTACTAAGACTACTTTACTTACAGCAAAGGAACGCAAATTCATGCGCATGCCCGACGTCTTTCGATTCTCTCTGGAATAAATTGTTTACACTGCTCCGTCGATCCAAGCTTTTGGCAAGTTCAAGGGAATCGACGAGATGACAATTCCTAGCCCACAACCTGGAGCTTCGGCGCCTTTTCAAGTGATTATCCTCTTTATGCGGGCAAGATGCTCGTGGGACCTACTAATCGTCTTCTTTGCGCATACTCATAGCCTCCCGTCGAAATTTCTAATACTGCGACGTCAAATGTTTTGGAACTCGACCAATCTGACAACTCCGCCGTCTTGGGCACATCTCTTTCTGCTGCTAATTCTGGTGACGCACTGGTAGCGATCTCGGCTGTTCTGTCTGTTCTCCAATGTCATTTTCTGAAAATATTGCCATCAGGTCCAAGAGGACATCAGCAATCAAATGGCTCCGCGCTCCAGCGACTTCTCTTACTCTTTTGAAGAAAACTCATCAGCTATGGTCCACGATTGTTCGACGCCCAACAAGGACACCGAAATAATACTTGCTAATTTGAGCGATTTTCTCGATGAGGTACATGCGTCTGAATGCGGTGCTCCAGATGCTTTGACAGAACCGATGGCCTCTGGCCTTCATCGTGACGTACAAGACTCAATTCATGCTGATCAAGAATTCACCGACAAAGGAGGTTCCGAGCCCCCTTCGTCGCCTCTTCATGCCGTACAGCCTTTGTTCTCTTCAGACTCTCTGGACTGCCCGACTGTCGAGCTGTTGCCCTCTCCTTGTTCCTCCCCTGCCTTGATATCTTGCTCTGCGTTGAATTCCCCCTCGTCTCAGATCAGCCACGACAATCAGGCCACATTATGCGGCGAAGTTGACGTCGACATTCTGGAACTCGATCCACTGGCAGACGGCAGGCGTTTTCACAATGACAGTTCTCCACCCTGCTCAGCCCAAACCAAACCTCTCTCTTTTTTCTGGCTGCCAATAAAACCCGTCTCTTCCGTTTCTCCCAAACATCTCACAAAAATGCAAGATTCTCCGGATTCTCCTGGTGGGGCATGGTTCGGAGACTCGCTGGTTGCGACTCAGGTACTGACACAAGATGTGAGAATCGACCCAGCTGAAAAGGGTGGCTTGGTATCTTCACCCTCGCCATCTGAAGAGACGTCATCGAACCCGGTTCCTCGACGCGAGCCATTATCTTCCTTTGACGAATTAAAACAGGAAGATGATGTTTGTCAGCCGCTGTCAAGCTCCCCTACCGAAGCTTCGGGCGCGTATCCATCCTCCCCCGTAGATCAGGACTCAATCGATACGTTGGACCCCCAGGATGTGCCACTGCCTTCTTCCTCACCACCGATGACTTCAAGTTCCCCGCCAAGTTCAAGCCCCCCTACGAGCCCATTCGCTTCTCCACTGACAAGTTTTTGGCATCCATCACCTTCCTCAGCAGACGGAACAAGTGGAGCCTTACAAGATAATGTACGTACCCCCCCTTTTGGTCTTAACCACCTTCACTATTCTAGCAGGATGCAGATCCTTTTATTATTAACGACAGTGAGCTGACCAACGTTACTAACGAGATCCCCCGGGGAACTCATCGAGGTTTCTCTCCTACAACTGACGAATCGGCGCGTACGCGACCCCCAACGAACCGCATTCAAACTCATGAATCTCAATTTCGACATGATGGGATGGTTCCTCTGAAAAAGTTTCCAGAACAAATAGTTCAGAGGGATGCCAGCGACCAGCCAAATTTCTACCAAAGCTCAGATTGTATCGTTTCTCAGAAAAGTTCCGAATCACTTCATGCAACTCAGATGTCATTGCTGCCCCAGCCTAAACGACCAACAGCCGCAGCACAAAAGTTACAGCATGAAAAGCTTGCCAGACCTTTCCGATCACCAATTGTAACAGACAACAAATTTATCCCTAACCCGTTTTTTCTTCCCAAGAATCCCAAAGACTCTCGACGCACACCCCACCAAGAAGCCGAGAAGAAAGTAATTCCGCAATCTACAGCAATCGCACACGCGGAATCCGCAGAAACGAAGGATCCGAAGATCAAATATCGAACCCAAAGAGCAGCTTCTCAATTCAAGTCTCCACTCGCGGCGGGTTCCGAGCAACCAGCTTCGCTTGTGCGATTGACACCCACGATCCAAGCCCTGGAACGTAAACTTCAAATATTGAAAAGAGCGGTGAAGGTGAAAGCGGACATGTCAGAGGATGTGCTGGAATGCTTAGTGCGAAAGTGGACAGAGGCCGGCCGAGAAGTTGCGTGGGAGGTGTGGGAGCATGTAAAGGACAACGCGACGACTGACGACTGGCGAGAAAATCGCGGAGGAAGCTGTGAGAGGAAACGCCCATTTGAAGACGATTGGGGATGGGATGGCAGAGGTGACCAAAAGAAGCTCAAGGCAGAGGAGCAGCAGAGACACTGGGGATGGAGCGTCGTCCCGATCAGACCGGATGAGAGGGAAGAGGTGACTACCGCTGACGGCGAATGCGATGCTGTCAGAGACGATAGTTTTGGAGAGCAGCCTCATGGGACGCTGGGCATGATGTTGAAGCAGCTCGGCATTTCTCCAGAAACCCTGGGCTGGAATGAAGACGAGGACCTCTTCGTGGATTGAGACCTCAGCGCTGTTTGGTTTCCACCTCTTCTTTTACGATGCGTTTCCGTTCCTTCGACTCTGCTGTTCCTGGGTGCGGAGAGTCGTCCCGTCCCATTAAGATGTCGCATGCTTTGTTTAATCCATCCTCGATAATTTTGTCTGGAAGAGTCTGGTAGATCTTAAATGCAGCGTTATCCCTTGAAATTGCCTCTGGTGAGCGTCCACGTTTGGGAGCGAGCCAAGAGGAGTATGAATCATGAAGGGCCTTCACTATAACGAAAAGAATCAGAAAGAGCGAGCAACTCGGCTGGAAACAGTACCGCAATGTATGTCGTGCTTTGCCAGAAATTCACGATCTGAAGGGCTCAGGATATGCTCCCAGAAATAGTCGTCATACGCTATGGAACGAGTCAGGATACCCAGTGTCGGATGAAGAATCAACATACATGGGCTATCGTTCGCTGTGTTGTCCAACGGATCTTCTTTCTCAATTACATTCCCTTTTCCGACAATGTCTTTCCAAACCTAAATCGTGAAGGTTCGAAATGTTTTCCGTGGTGTATAAAAGAGACAAAAGCTTCACCGCCTGAGGTATTCTGGAGTATTTGAGTCGCATTTTGCGCATTTGCATTTGAGGAATGTTGCTCCCACGTCTTTCACGAACTAGAGACCGGATAGAAAGCCACCTATGCATGATTGCAATGTCGATGGATCATGGAAGTGCACAAAAATAGATTGAGGTGTTTGGCATCTTCGGTCGAGGCAAACAAAGAGAGCTCCTCCAATTCTCTCAAATTGCCGCCATTTTTCATGGAATTTTCTCGAAGCAACTTTGAGGGATACCTTACCGGTGCGCGACCGTTGAGAAATTGTTTTTGACTCGAACAGCGTCTGTGTGTACGTAAAAAGCCCTCGAGCGCGATTACATAAGGCAGTCAGATCAAATTAGTGCACTCCGTGTCATCCACCGCTTCAGCACACCAGCCACACGCCCAGCTTGTTCTCTACCTTAATAGCGCCGCCAAAGTTTTCGCCAACTTCAAACCCTCTTGTTCTCCTCCCTTTGCACCTCAACGAAACCGCGCCTTTACAATCCCCCTCTACAGCCCCGCTCCGCTTCCTTGGGTCAAGGTGAGTTAACGGCCGTCCTCAGGTTTTACTTAGGTCGACGCATGTACTTCTTTCCAATCAGCGTCGAAATGTCGATGTCAAGAAGCGCCAGTTTTGAAATCGTTCCTCCTTCGCGCACCAAGGGACTCGCGGACGTTATGGATGAGGTCTTCAAGAAGAATAACAACGCACACGACGATGATGACCGCACTGATGACCGCAGCCACGAACGCGATGTCGAACACGAGATTGAGCAGCCAGAGGGGTTTACTGTGAGTCATTTAGAACAACACATCCGCACCGCCTCACACTCGCGTAAGTTGACTTCTGCCGTGTACCCACCAAACCCATGCGAGCGTTGCGTTCGAACGAATAAGACGTGCAAAGGGGTCGCCGGCGCTCGATGCGAGTACTGCAAGCGCCTGAAACAGAAATGCTCAAATAGCACTGGACCAGCCCGGGGCAAGCACGCAGGTTTGGAATCTTAATTCTTGTGCATGTTTTCAATTTCTCATTTTCACGTCAGCCGCAGCACGGTTAAAGGCCGCCGCAGCGACTATTCCTGATAAGGGCGCGTCGCACAACTCTGTCGCCGAATCGTCGACAGCATCGAAGGCGCGGCCAAAGCGGAAATTATCTCTGAAGCCGAGCGCATATCAGAACGGCGACTACGATAGCGATGAAGGCGAATTGGACGATGATGGGCACGAGCCACCAGCGAAACTGAACAAGAAGCGCCGCACTGCCATCAGTGGTGCTATAAACCGAGCCAACATCATGAAATATGTGGGGGAACTCGAAGCGACGATCAGTAAACTTCAGGCCTCGACGGCCAAGGAGGTGGATAAGGCGCAGGCACTCATTCGAGCCATCTCGGCAGAGATGAGGGATACTGAAGATGAATGAAATGTCTGTGTATTTGGATATCTTGCAGGATCATCACTATCGTGGGCCACTCTCTCTACACCTTTTATTCACAATGCGGTGTCGGGCTATACGCGCGCGGCACCTCATGGATATCTGTAACGTTGTTTTTTGCTTTTGGTCATACACTCTGTAGTATTATGTTACCGAACCACTTGTATAATGCTTTCCATGCTTTGATGTATCGTAAGTTTGTTTTCTAGATGGCTATGGAGGTGAATCGACAAAGACGGAAATAGGACGCTCGAAAAGGACAATCCACGTGGATTCGACGCGATCGCGGGTCAAGCCTATAAATAGGTTTGTCGCCGACATAATTACTCCGAGTCTGCGCAGGTATGTTGCCGTTAGATGCGAGCCACCGGACAATCCACTCATATTTATCAGAGACAATTGAAGAAATTGAATCTTCCAGACATCATCCGAGGGGTAGGGGGGCCTCAAGCGGTCCTGATTCTGTGAGTAGTCGCAATTGGGCGGTGGAGATGCCAGAGACGGGAAACACCGAGCATGGTTTGCAAGAAGTTGATGTCATGTCTCGATATGTTGAGCGCAACTTGAGCTTGAGCGCCTAAAAATAATTATATTTTCCCAACTCCTACCTCCATGTCAAACAATGAACTCAAGTTGGTAGCCACAGCTGCCCTCAATGCTATCTTTGCGGGAAGGAATATACTGTGTCCTATTACCTCAATGGACCTATTAACACGCGTAATGTCCTTCAAGACACCCATCGGCCTCCTACCAAAGACTCCTCCTCCCAACTTCCGCTTGACAGATCTCTCCCAGTTCGAGCAAATCCTCGAGGACCTTTCGAACACCTGGAATTATGGCACAATCTCTCTCTCTCGTGATTATGCAACAGGAGAAATGATGGTCTGGGAGGTTGTCTTGGATCCGTCAGGGCAAGCACGTCTTGGGGGCCTGTCCACGGCTGGGCAGCTGTCAAGGAAGAGGAAGAGGGTGGTGGACGAGGATGCGGATTCTGCAGCTGGGAATGATAACGATGAAGAGGAGGAGGAGGACGTTGGATTGGAGGGTTCACAGTCATCGACTTTGGCAAACCTTACCAATCAGCTGAGAGAGGTTTATGCGATCTTGCAAAAGAGTACGGCAAAGGGGAGGCTACTCGCCGAGCAGGTTTGTTTTCTGTTTCCTTCTCCGTCAACATCGCTTACTCGACGTAAATAGTTTCGCTCTACTGAAGACGTTTTCGAACCTATCTGCAGCTCCATCACCAAGGACGATTGCGCCAAAGCGCGATCCGCTGCACATTTCTCCTCTGGTGCGACTGCACGTCCAAGCATCTGCGATCGTGTTCATTTCCGACCTCTAATTAGGCCACACACCGACATCACCCTGGGGCATTGCTCCTACCTCAACACATGTTACTCCGAGCCCACGTACGCTCAATCACCTTCTATACCTCCGTTCCCAGGCTCGGCCCACAGTCATGGTATGGCCCCACCGAACTCTCGCGGTCCCGCTTCCCTTCCTTCCGGATTAGGCGCAGGAGGAAGAGGGAAGGAGAAGGCTCCATGCAGATACCTGCATTACGAAGTGGATTGGGATGGGGGTGATGGGGAATGGAGTAAAAGTGCGGGAGAGAAATCTGTGAAGCAGGTACATAAGCTGGGCATTGGGATGGGTCCAGCAGGGAAAGAGACGCCCATAGTACGTTGCGTTTATTCTCTACCCGTCTCATGCTGAGGAATATCTAGCTTCCTCCACAATGGATCAATTGCGACCTTCGACGATTCGATTACTCTGTGCTAGGAAAGTTTCACGTCATCATGGCTGATCCCCCATGGGACATCCACATGAGTGTACGTCCGTCCGTTTCACGGAATGAGTCTTTTGTGAATTTACATTACAGTTACCCTACGGAACGATGACGGATGACGAGATGCGTGCGATGCCAATTCCTACCCTCCAGGACGAAGGCCTCCTTTTCCTTTGGGTCACGGGCCGCGCGATGGAAGTTGGGCGCGAATGTTTACGCGTATGGGGCTACACGCGCGTTGACGAAGTCGTCTGGGTCAAAACCAATCAGGTACCATTCCGATCTCACTTTCTTACTTGTCCTATTGAACCTATCCGATCCCTAGCTACAACGCGTGATTCGGACAGGACGCACGGGACATTGGTTGAACCATACAAAGGAACACATGCTTGTCGGTATCAAGACCGTCACTGACGCATCAGGGGCACTCAAGTTCCCCTCGTGGGTTAACCGCGGGCTTGATACGGATGTAATTGTGTCTGAAGTCCGGGAGACGAGTAGAAAACCGGATGAAGTCTATGGCTTGATCGAGAGGATGTGTCCAGGCGGAAGAAAGGTTGAGATTTTTGGGCGAAAACATAACACTAGACCAGGGTAATTGTTCACAACTCCTCTTATGGTAGACGCTGAACATTACCAGATGGTTAACGTTGGGCAACCAACTGGGTCCAGATCAGATCTATGAGGAAGATCTAGCTGCTAGAATCAAGGCCAAGTGAGCTTCAGTTTTGGTTGTTGTTATCTGTTGCTCACCCCTGCTTGTCAGATACCCCGATAGGTTGGAAAGACCTGCTGGCCTGCCACAAATTCCCACCTACTGAATTGTCCATGATCATGCTCCATTCTTGTGTTTGCATTACATAGTATTGTATTATTATCAAAGAATAAGTCTACAGGATGTAGTATAAATACATGTGCTGTTCCCGTACATCCAATAAATACGGCGAAAGTTCAAAGCGGTGTTTACAGTTCATCTTGTGCGGGTATGTCATTGAATTTTGAAGTAGGACGTTCCAATTCCTTGATAAGAAGTTCGTTGACCGCCCTCGTGTTATCCAGATACACTGAAAGGCAGCACTTGAGTATTCCAAAATAACCATAAGCAACGATGGGGACAAACCATGATGACCAGCATTGTTGACGATGTACATCCTACCCTGACCGTTCCCGGCTTGTCTTAGTCGCTCGACGCTCTGTTGACCACCTATAGGGTCCATCCAGTCGTGATCACCATCTGGATTGACTCTTAGTACAGATATAACAAGTAGTGGTTGAGGGATTCATACAAACAAAAGTGACGGGAATCTTGAGGGCATCTATCCGATCCACAATGGGCATCCGTGCATGTGCACCCGGTTCTAATAAATGTGCTTTTGTAAAGGGTCAGCTTGTGTGGGTATATAGATGGAAGATGGGAACTTGCATATGCAATATTCTCCAGAGCCTTTCGCTAGGGTGATGTTCATGATATAATCGTGCATGTCTCGTGTGTCTTCGTCCGTTAGACCGGAGAAACGACGAGAGGAGTACTAGAGTGATGTATGAGCGAAGGCAATTATGTAAAGGTAAAAGAGAACGAACCTTGCCAATCAACATGGGTCCCCAAAACAATGTTGATCTGACGACCTGGAATGGACTCCAGCCTTCCTCCCATAGATACGTGAAGAGACGACGAGTGCGACTTTCTTGTTTCTTGTTCTCTTTTTGTTCATCACGAATATGGCTGATCCTCCGACGCGAAGCTCGCTCTACGGATGAAAGCTCCCTTGGCCTCGTTGGAGTGGCAGAAGCGTTCTCGTCTTCTTGCCCGTCACCGTGGTCAGTCAATTCTCTTGACGGTTCTGTGAAATTTGGGCCGCGAGGAACACCAGCAGGTGAGAGGAGTATGAGCTTGTTCACTCTTTCTGGGTGGCGCAACGCGTAAACCACGCTGAGATAGGCGCCCAATGAATGTCCGATAAGAGTCATACTGTCCAACCCCATCTTGGCTCTCCACTCCTCCAAGGAGTCTATAAAAAATGACTCTGCCTCGTGGACGCGGGCAGAGACATCATCACGCTTGGCCTTGACGGTGAATGGAACACGTGCCGAACGACCCATGCCTAACCAGTCGAGGGCGTACACAGCCGAGCCACGCCTGCCAGCCCACTGTGCCAGAGGAGCGAAGTTGTTAAAGAAGAAGCCGAGGCCGGCGCCGTAGCCATGAAGCATGACTGCAGGTGGGGGTGCACCTGGGGAAGGAGATGTAGAGACCATGGAGAGAGTGTTGAGGTATTGCTTTGAGGTGTGAAGATCAACTCTAGTGGAGGTGGCAACGACGGGTGAATCTGAGGTAGATGAGTTGAAGAATGGGAGACGGCGCAAGAGCCGCTCTTCGCTGATTGCAGCCTGTTTCTCGCCAACATGCCACCAACTCTTGAAACTTGCTGTAAATGCTGAAGGAATCTCTGGAGCTGGAGGCAGAGGAAGAGAGGACGACGAGTCCATTGCAAAACGACGAAGAAGAGCCAGGATAAGCACTAATAATTTCAAAGCTGGATTATAACAGACAGCATGCCGAACACCTGCGTAACATCACGCGATGACTCATCCGTGACACACGTCACCTTCTCCCCGTAACCACCATGTACAACGGCATTGGGCTTACCACTCCTCGTGGCAGCGGTACAAGCGGCTATGTCGTTCGCAATCTATCAACCCTCCGCTCTCACGACACTTCTTACGACAGAGCAAGTCCTTGGGATGCTGCTCCCCCAAAACACAGGGAACCAGATCAGGGCATTCTCGAACATGAACGAAAACGAAACGTCGAACTAAAGTGTCTTGAGCTTCAGGTCAAGCTTGAAGACGATGAGTATGTTGCCGTCTCTTTTTCTTGATTAATCCAGTCCTGACATATAAAAAAACACCAGAGTTGACGAGGATGACATACAAGTTCAGGTCGCTGCACTTCGTACAAAACTTCTTGAAAATTTAGCCGCCCAAGCCCCTGCTGCAAAAGGCTTTAAACCATCAGATACACATGGCATGGCTCTCGCAAAGAAAGCAGAATTGTCAAAAATGGCTCGCGCTTTTGGCACACGTTCAGATTACCAGGAGGGTGAATCTTTTGATCGCGAAAAGCAGGAGGAGAATAAGATAAAACGATTGGCTGAACGCGAGGAAAGGGAGAGACAAAAGGCCGAAGAACGGGCTAGAATGAATGAACAGAAAGCAAAATGGGAGGCTGAAAAACGCGAGAAGGATAGGCTGCGAAGGCGCGAGGAGGATAGGATCAGGAAGGAGAGAGAAGCAGGCGGGTTGAAGCGCAAGGAGCGTGACATGCCTCCACCTCCCCCACCTTCAGGCCCTAGGTATGGGTCAAGACCAGAAAGGCCAAGAGAATTCCGCGGGCAAACTGGTAGAGGTGGTTCCGAGCGTAATCGCAGCCCAGGTCGTCGCATGCCACCACCGTCCCCTCCCAAGCAAATGCGTCGTCCTTCACGCTCCCCACCTAGAGTTGGGGACCGTCATCGCCTCTCTTCCCGTTCCCGCTCACCACCTTCTCGTGTTCGCAGGCGTTTCGCTTCTCGCTCACCTTCCCGATCTCCAGGTCGTTCACGTTCTCGCTCTCCAGCCATCAGGAGATCTCGTTCGCCCATTGCTCGCAAATCTCGTTCGCGCTCCCCCGTTCGAAGAAGGATTCCTCCCTCCGTACGAGATCGTTCATTGTCTCGTTCACGTTCTCCACTTCGCCGTTCTGGCACCCCACCCCCTCCATCGCGTCGAGAACGCTCTCCGCCCCTAACCCCGCCGCTTCGCACGCGTGAGCGTTCTAGCACTCCTCCAGATCGATCTGCACCTAAGAAAGGGCGTTCGAGATCTGCGTCGACGGGGTCGTCCATGTCGGTCAGCACTCGATCAGGCAGTGGAAGTAGGAGCAGGAGCCGAGGGAGGAGTTCGAGCCGTGACTAATTGACCTATGCTTCGTTGTAAAAGTGAATTTTGGGAGTTGTATACGTGTCTATAGTTGCCATGTTTTTCTGTGTACACTCTGAAAGTTTGTTTGACATTTCAAATTGTGCTGCATTTCTGATTGATGTGAGCTGTTTTCAAATTGTGCTCTGACTCCTTGTGCTCAGCATTTGCTGTGACTCGAGAGAGGATCGCTTTAAAAATCGCAACTACGAACACCTCTTTTTCTTTCATCCCCTACTTACTTCACCATGAAGCACATTCCAGTTGCCGTGCTGTCTCGAACGCGTCCAGTCATGAGCGCACGCACACTTTCAACCTCCGTTCGTATCCCATCCACAACCAAGCCCTTTCTCACCTCTTGCACAGAACTTACCCTCGAAGGGATATCTTCAGCCAACTCACGCATCACCAACACCTCCCTCCCAGGCCACTCAACAATATCTTTCTCTCGCTGACAAGTACCTCCTTCCCGTGTACGCGCGACCGGACTTTGTACTCTCCCATGGCAAAGGTTCCTACGTCTGGGATGTGGATGGGAAGAAATACCTCGATTTCAGTGCGGGGATTGCCGTCAACGCTCTGGGACACGCTGACGAGGGAGTTGTCAAGGTATGTTAATCTACGTGTTGTTTCGGCATATGTTTCTTCCATGCGCAAGATAAGCCCTTGGCTTGGTGTTTTGTAGCCCGCATTTCGCAGTTTACGTCGGAACGAACAGGGATCCCGATTTCCGTACTTTCTCAAAAAAATATAATCAAGCCAACAATTGAACGTTTATTTTTAGGTTCTCTCAGAACAAGCTGGGAAGCTCCTCCACACAAGCAACGTGTATCACAACGAGTGGGCCGGTAAACTAGCCGAACTCCTCATCACGCTCACGCAGCAGGAAGGTGGGTTGGGATACACTCCCAGCAACAACGGCCCACATGCTTCGAAAGTATTTTTCGCCAACTCGGGTACAGAGGCAAACGAAGGTGCCCTCAAAATTGCTCGCAAGGTCGGAAAAGACCGGTGGGCTGCCGCCGCTCCAGGCCGGAGCTGGGACTCGGAGGCGTGCACGAAAACACGGATTGTGTGCTTTGAACAGGGGTTCCATGGCCGCAGTATGGGTGCGCTTAGCGTGACAACGAACCCAAAATACCAGGCCCCATTTGCACCACTTATTCCTGGGGTAGACGTTGGTAAATTGAATCAGTTTGACGGACTGGAAACTCTGGTTACGGATGCCACTTGTGCCGTAATTGTGGAGCCTATCCAGGGGGAGGGCGGCATTCACCAGGCCAAGGAGGAATGGCTCAGAGCGTTGAGGAAGCGCTGCGATGATGTTGGGGCTGTCCTGATATTTGACGAGATCCAGGTTTGTCGTAAACACCCTTTAATGGTACCGGAAACTAAATTTGGATCTAGTGCGGGTTGTACCGTTCGGGGACACTTTGGGCGCATTCGCGTCTCCCGGAGGATTGCCATCCTGATATAGTAACGATGGCGAAACCGCTCGCCAATGGTTACCCCATTGGCGCAGTGTTACTGCGAGACACTATTGCGGCGACAATGACCGCAGGTAAAGATCATTTGTGACCTTCTTTGCTTTGCACAGCTGATCGCAGCTAACGTGGCAGGCACTCACGGAACAACATTCGGAGGGTCACCTTTGGCCTGCGCAGTAGGCCACCATGTTTTAAGCAGGCTTTCAACTTCCGAAAGCATTGCGCATATCGCGGAGACGAGTAAATATCTCTCCGGACGGTTGGAGCAACTGCCTAAGTGGTTCCCGAATATTCTCCAGGAGCAAATCCGTGGGCGTGGGTTGATTCTAGGGCTCGGGTTCAAGGATGTGAACGCATCTGGCAAAGTCGTGGAGATGGCTCGAGAGCGTGGGGTATTTGTATTAACAGCGGGTAAGGATGCTGTGAGAATTGTTCCGAGTTTGAACGTGGGGAAGGAGGACGTAGATTTAGCGGTAGATGTACTGGAGGGATGCCTGGGAGTGCTCAGCACAACCTAATTAACTGCAAAGGGACAGGGTAAAAATCAGCCGAAGCCGGATCAGGTGATCAGTAATTGTAAGATGGTGATTGGCTGTTAAATTTCACTCGTCCGACAGTTGAAAAGCCCGTCAGCTACTTAAAATCAAAGCTCTTATTATTTCGACTACTCGGTTCTCTTCTCCCTCCATCCATAATGGACAAGCTCTCTTCCCTCACCCGCTTCAAAGCTGCATGTCCCTTCTTGGGCAGGACAAAAACCTCGACTCTTCGCTCTCTCTCCACGTCCTCGTCACCAGGGTTTCCGTCTCTTTCCGCCCTCACAGAACGCGCAACGAAATGCCCCGTTATGGGCCCGGCACTCAGTGTCCGTTCCAAGGAAATTGTCGCAGGCTATGCTAGCGTTGCCGCCAATTCTGACGTTGAGAGGATTCACAAGGACAAGGGTGTTTTCCCTCCTGCAGGGGCTACTATCGAAATGTGCCCTCATGCCTCTGCTGCTCGCGCTGCAGCTCGCATGGCGGACGATCTCGCAGCTGCAGCTGCCAAGCAGAAAGTTAAGAATGACGCTAAGCACGCAAAGGAAGAAGCGGCCGCAGCAGCAGCAGCTGGTTGCCCCTTCCATCAGAAAGCTGTCGCTGAGGCTGTAGCCGCACAGGAGGCCGCCACTGCAACTGCTCAAAAGTCAAAGGACCATATTAACTTTGACTATGAGCAATTTTACGTCAACGAGCTCGACAAGAAACACCAAGACAAATCTTACCGCTATTTCAATAACATCAATCGTCTCGCAGCCAAATTCCCCGTCGCTCATACCAGCAGCGTCAAGGATGAGGTTGAAGTTTGGTGCGCTAATGATTATCTTGGGATGGGCAACAATCCCGTCGTTCTCGAGACTATGCAGTAGGTTTTTTAATTAGGTGGTTTTGTCACACCCACAATACTCATTACTCTCTTGTTCAGTCGTACTCTTGATAAATATGGCCATGGCGCAGGCGGAACTCGTAATATTGCCGGCAACGGCGCCATGCATTTGTCCCTCGAACAGGAGCTTGCGAATTTGCACCGCAAGCCAGCGGCATTGGTCTTCTCTTCCTGCTACGTAGCCAATGATGCAACACTTGCCACCCTCGGTTCGAAACTCCCTGGCTGCGTTTATTTTTCTGATACCATGAATCACGCGTCTATGATTCAAGGCATGCGTCATTCTGGAGCCAAGCGCGTTATATTCAAACATAACGACCTCGAGGATTTAGAAGCTAAATTGCAACAATATCCCAAAGAGACACCCAAAATTATCTCATTTGAGAGTGTCTATTCTATGTGTGGCAGTATCGGACCTATCAAGGAGATTTGTGATTTGGCAGATCAATACGGCGCCCTGACGTTCTTGGACGAAGTGAGTCTGTGTTCATTTTCCGATCTGATCGCGCCTGAAAGTTTACGGTGCTAGGTTCACGCCGTTGGCTTGTACGGACCCCGTGGCGCCGGTGTCGCCGAACACTTGGATTATGATGCTCAACTTGCAGCTGGTCAGAGCTCAGAACCTATTAAAGGCTCGGTCATGGACAGAGTTGACATCATTACTGGTTTGTGCAGCCGTTTTACGCCAAGAAATGTGCTTAATATCCGTACAGGTACACTAGGCAAAGCATACGGCGCTGTTGGTGGATATATCGCAGGCTCAGATGACTTTGTCGACATGATTCGATCATACGCGCCTGGTTTCATCTTCACTACATCTCTCCCTCCTGCAACGGTGGCTGGTGCACGCGCCAGTGTGGTATACCAGAAGGAGTACGTTGGTGATCGTCAACTCAAGCAGGTCAACGTCCGGGAGGTCAAGAGACGCTTCGCTGAACTGGATGTTCCTGTCGTGTACGTATTTATTCTCGAAACACCGATCACTATCTCTGATTTCTCATTCACCAGCCCCGGCCCCTCGCATATCGTCCCCGTACTTGTCGGTGATGCTGCCCTGGCAAAAGCAGCTTCGGACAAACTGCTCGCCGAGCATAACATCTACGTCCAATCCATCAACTACCCTACCGTCGCTCGCGGAGAAGAACGCCTTCGCATCACAGTCACTCCCCGCCACACCCTTGAGCAGATAGATAAGCTTGTCAAGGCCGTCGACGAGATCTTCACCGAGCTGCAGATCAATCGCCTTGCTGACTGGAAACGTCTTGGTGGACGTGCAGGCGTTGGCATGGCTGGCGCAGACGAGGTCATCCAACCCATGTGGACCGACGAGCAACTCGTCAACCACCCGCCTACTCTTCATAACGGCGAAAAGGCAGTCGTAAACAAGAAGGCAGTTACAGTGGCGAGGGGAGCGTTCAACAACCTCTTGGGGCCCATTTACGGACAATTGCACGCAAATCGTCACATTGACGGTTCTATCTCGCCTCCTACCGCTCCTGGCGCCATTCCCTCGAAGATGAAAACTGGCGGTGTACCGCTCAGTGAGGATATTCCTGTAGCACCTTTCAGTGTCGCCGTCTCCGCCTAGGTTCCCTTGTTGTACCGTGTATTACTCGCGAATATAATTTCGCTCTCAGTTACCCATACCGTTTGATCTGAATTGTTGGAGAGAAAGCCAGGATGCCGGGCAAGGAAAAGATTGTTCGCCACTCAATACAAGTCACCTTCTGGTGTTGAATAACTAGAAGTCTGTGAATGACAGTTGATAGATGCGGCACTGCTGTCTGTTGACATGTTGGAATGATCATTGAACCACTGTTGGCGAAGCAAGGGCGTCTAGCAAGGTTTGGGCTCGCGCGCGTTGATCGCCAATTGTAGCAACCTCAACTGGCGAAGGCTCAGGTACCGGGACTTTGAGAGAAGATTTCTTCTCTGTATCCTCTGCTTTCTCTGCTTCTGACTTCTGAGGCCTGTCGAGAATAGATTGGCATGTTTCGATAAGTTTCTGCGTTCATTCATCACCGACATTGTATATGGAGGGATGAAAAGGATGACTTACGGTGCGAGATCCACCTTGAACGTTCGTAAGATATTTGGTGACTAGCGGGAGGTACATTTCTGGAACCTAGGTTCCAGCTTGATGTTGGCAGATCATCGTGGCCACAAAATATAGAGAAAACTCACATTTTCCGCTGACCACACATTCCTAATAATCCAGTTTTGCCGTGCTTTATTGAACTTCCATTTGTATGGACGATGGAATTGTAGAAACGCGTATTCCAAGCCTAGACAATAACGTAAAATCAGTTGTCCTTCAAGTATTCAAATACAACATGAATTCACGCACCTTTGCTAGCTTGATTGCTCAAAGCGGTGTCCTCTCTCGGATCAGCTAAACCAGTCTTGTTCTTATGTTTCTTCTTCTTTGGCGGAGCTTCAGCTGTAGCGTCCCCTGTATCTTTCTCAGCCTCTTCCATAGCATCTCTCTTACGCTTCTTCTTTTTCTTCAGCGGCTCGCCCGTTGAGGCATCTACTTGCTGCTCGCTTTCGGCTTTTCGCTTTTTCTTCACTTCGTTCGGTGGAGGTGTTTCATCTGATGCCTCGATATCGGGATCTGGTTTATGTTTAGAGGATTTTTTGGCCATGAAGGGAGAGGAAATATTTCTGCACCGGCGATCAGAAATTGAAATGATCATGAAGCACGTGTCGTAGCCAGGTTTTCGTCTTAAATTCCACAGCACTTGTCACTGTTGTCGTCGTCGTCGATGGGTCTCTCGTTCTCGTCTCTATTCACGTCCTTGTACACGCTGGTTCGATGGAGCAAGGATCAAGATGTCCGTATTCTCATGCTAGGCCTTGATTCTGCTGGAAAGGTAGCGTTTTCTGGATCGTCTGTCGTTCGACTGCTTAATCATCGTTGCTAGACCACCATTCTCTACAGACTTCAGGTGTGTCTTTTTCTTGCCAATTTCGGTTCGTTCTCATCATGTTTTAGATTGGTGAAGTCGTTGCAACGATACCAAGTAAGCTCGTTCCATGACTCACTTCCCCCTGGTGCTGACAACTCACTGACTTTGAAGCCATCGGCTTCAATGTCGAAACGGTGCAGTACAAAAATATCAAATTCCAGGTTTGGGATTTGGGGGGACAGTCGAGTATACGGTTCGCACCTGCGCGGACAGTGAATTCCACAATTGATCTTACACGTCTTCCCCATAGGCCCTACTGGCGGTGCTATTTCCCCAACACGTCAGCTATCATTTACGTCATCGACTCCTCCGACAGCGCACGCTTGTCAACCTCTAGAACGGAGCTGCTGACCATGTTGTCTGAAGAGGAACTAAAAGGCGTACCCCTGCTCGTCTTCTGTAATAAACAAGACGTGGATGGCGCTCTCAAACCTGAAGAGATCAGCGAGCAACTCGGATTGGCTGGTGGTGAGAAATCAAGACCGTGGAGTGTGAGAGGAAGTTGTGCGACGAAAGGAGAGGGTCTTGAAGAGGGTTTGGATTGGTGAGCACTTTGTGCCTCCCTAATCGCCTCGAAATTAACCTTTTCGCAGGCTGGTGAATGCAATGCAGCAGAAGTAGATCCTACACATCTCCATTGGACCCTCACGCTGATCACGTCTACACGATTGTACCGCAAATCTTCACTACCTGTCTACCATTGTGATATCGTTCTTGGGATACCTTAATTGTAATCTATTCATCATATTTTGACTCATTAGGATTCTGCATCAACACAATGCAATTGGTGGTATCCGAAATGATATATGTACAACGGTTCCAGGTATTATTGGGGTCGATTATGTTGACCAACTCCAGTCCCATTTGCTCTCCTCTGGCTCTTCGACACAATGATTGTGCACCTCGACGTCTGGTCTCCACACCCGCACCGTCCCATCATCTGCGCAGGTTGCCAGCATTCCTTGGGCCCAATCCACCGCCCCCACTTCACCCATCTGCCCTCTAAAACCGACGCCTGCGCCTTCCCTCACGTACGACGGGCGGCATGCATTGCTCACGTCAAACAAGAAACCCCTCCCTTCTTTGCCCGCGCTACCACTGGCAAGCCATTGCCCACAAGGGGAAACAGCAATGCCAACATAGAAAGAGCTGGCCTGTAAATTTTGGTCCGCAAACTCACAGGGTTGTGGTGAAAGTGACGGAAAGGCGTAAGTGTGGATCCGAGAGTCTGCTCCAAGCCCAAAAAGAAGCCTTGCTGTTGGACCCGAGCCACTGGTTAGACTGACGATGCCTCTGGGACGACGTGATCCACGAAGGGTTGTTGGATCAATGGGAGAGGAATAGATGCAGGTTGGGATCTTGCGTTTTGTGGCTCTTGTCCGTTTACTGGTTTGCACTCGAAGGTCCCAACATCGAAGAATGCTACACATGCGCTTAGCAATCAATTACAGACAGTTCTCAGGTGACGAATCTTACCCATCGAAGGATCCACTGCTAACAATGCCATATGGGTCGGTGTCTGAGTACAGAACATTTGTGACACTTCGTGAGGCGGGTTGCTTTCCTTCTCGTGGTCGGCTTTTCCCCTTGGATTGAGAATCCTCGTGGGCTCCTGGAATCTTGATTACAGGACTCGAAACGATCAACCCATCATCGTCTTGTTTGTTGCCCAAGCGCAAATCCCACAGGCAAATTGCGCCGTCCCGTCCGCCACTTGCTAACAAGTCACTGTGGCTTGGATCCCAGGCCATGCATTTTACAGTGCTATTATGCCCCTGCAGCACATGGGTGATAGTGTTAGTCTCGACACATGTAATTCGTGTGGATTGGTCCCCAGAGCAAGTCGCTAGGTGTGTATCGAAGTGATTCCATTTTACGTTGAATATACCATTGTGATGCGGTTGGAGAGTTGTGCGTATCGGCTCTGGAGTTAAACTTTAGTCTGTGAGAGGATGAGAGTGCTACATGTGTGCTCACCAACGTCCCAGTCCACCCTTTTCGAAGTATCCAAAATATGGACGGATCCCTGTTCGGTTGCTACGGCGAGGTGCGGTATTCCTCCATTTTTCGCAGCTAAACTCATGTGAATCACTGCGTCATTATGCAAATATGTTGAATGTACCATGAGAATATGAGCATGCATAGGGAGGCGTAAGATAGCCGTCCACTGAAGCAGACTGGCATTTATATACGTCCGACTTATTTGACGACACGAAAGACCGAAGAATGGAATGAGTAGACGCTGTGGATTCAAAAAAAACACGTTAGTGGTACGTGGATATTGATAAGTCAATCACTGACGAAGTATTCTTCTCGACATGGCTGGCAAGCTCATCATGAAGTTGGTGCGTGACCCGTACTCGGTATATCGACGCGATTGTGCATGGCCAACAACGGAGTCGTCCATCTCCTGGTCATCGCTTTCATAATAGTCACTGTCGCTATCCTCTGACACGTCAGAAGCTGACTCCAGGGTGAGTTTGACGCGTTTATTGGGAGATTCATTGGTCAAGCGGGACTGGCGTTTGGGTTTCCTTTCGTCTGGAGGAGTGAGTAAAGGAAGAGGGACGCGATGAGAGGGGGTAAGGAGGTTGTATGGTTTTAGAGGAATTCGGTCCATGGCAGTATACAAAAGCACCAAATTCAAAAATGCATTTTGACGCGCTGGCACGTGACCGTCGCGTATAACGTAAGCATTTCCTCGGCCGACAATTCTCTTCATTTTATTTCCTGTTTTTACCTACACTATCATGTTTCGAGCGTCTGTAAGAACATTGTCGACTGCCGCTAGGCAGTCCCTCAGAATTGGTCTCATCCCAGCCGACGGTATCGGGAAGGAAGTTATTCCAGTGTGTACTGCAATTTTCACAAGTATTCCACCGTCATCTAAGTAAACCTATATTTGCACAGGCAGCGAAGGCCGCCATTTTGGCCCTGGGGTCTGATATTCCCAATCCCCAATTCGTTGACCTGGCTGCTGGTTGGGAAACCTTCACTCGGACGGGCGTTGCTCTTCCTCAGGAAACCGTCGAGTGCGTGAATCTCCTGACACATCTATCGCCTCCTTATTATCTCTCGTAGCATTCTCCGTCAAGAGTGCGACTGCGCATTATTTGGTTCCGTCAGGTAATCATCTTTCATTTTCTATGGATAACGACAACCAACTCTCCGTGTATCAATAGTTCTCCATCAAGAAAAGTTGTCGGCTATTCGTCACCTATTGTGGCTTTGCGTAAAGAGCTGGACCTGTACGCGAACATCCGCCCCGTTGTTTCTGTGCGTGATTATCTTTTGAATACCGTCACTGCCTTCTGAAATATCAGAACAGGTTGCTCCAGTAGTTGGAGAAAAGCCTTCTGTTGACCTAATCGTCGTCCGGGAGAACACAGAGTGTCTTGTGAGTGTGTCCGTTCCTTGAGACGCTAGACGTTTTTCACTCCGTCAGCATTCAGTACGTGAAGCAGGAAGTGCAGACCGTCGGAGAACATGGCAAGGAGGCCCGTGCAACCCGCCTGATTACCGAACGTGCATCCCGTAGGATAGGTCAAATGGCATTCGAACTCGCCAATGCCAGGCCCCGAAAACTCCTCACAATCATCCACAAATCGAATGTACTGTCCGTTACCGATGGTCTCTTCCGAGAAACCGTTCGCAGTGTCCCCACTCTTCCTGGTGTGAATGGGAAGTACGACCAAGTGACCATTTCCGAACAACTTGTCGATAGCGCCGTCTACAGGTTATTCCGTGAACCAGAGTAAGCTATGAGATCTGTATGTCTGGCAATACTTTTTGACCTTGGGCGCCCTAGGATCTTCGACGTACTGGTCGCGCCTAACCTCTACGGTGACATCCTGTCGTGAGTACTCTGAGCGGAAAGAATCTGACAATGAAAATGACCTCTCAAACAACAGGGATGCTGCCGCCGCACTCGTTGGATCTTTGGGTTTGATACCATCCATCAATGCTGGGGACAATTTCGTCATGGGGGAGCCGTACGTTTCAAGGTTCTCTGCAGGTTTCATCATTGATTCATTCTTACATCTTCAGGGTACATGGTTCAGCCCCTGACATTGAAGGCAAAGGCATTGCGAACCCTATTGCATCTATCCGCTCTGCGGCTCTGATGCTTCGCCATCTTGGTTATACCAAGGGAGCAGACAGGCTGGATACTGCCGTTGATCAAGTTATCAGAGAAGGCAAGGTTTTGACTCCTGATCTGAAGGGAACAAGTACAACCAATGAGGTTCTGGAGGCAGTTCTCCGCATACTTTAAATGTACCAGCCGTGTTATGTAGTGCTCATCTAGACTCACAATTATGATATCTGAAATGACGGCTTCTTCCCCCCTCATTTCTTATGGTTGCAACAACAATATATTCCAATAACAGAAGATGTACGACACTACTAGATGGGACGTGGGCTTGGTCTTGGATATGAAGGCGACAGGCCAGGGGGGAACACGTTCTGCTTTCCAGGGGTATACTTACCAAATTGCTCGCCCAATTCCAGGTCTGGAAGCAATAATCTTGGGGGAACAATGGGCGGTGGGATCTTTTTATACCGCTCATGGCGCGGACCATCAGGACGGGGAGGAACCGCACGTGGTTTCCCGATGCTGTAGGAATAACTGAGCTTGGGATGCGTCAAGTCTCCTGGACTGGCTGGGAGAGGGGCAGAAATCTTGGGGAAAGGAACAGCATCCGTGTCCTTCAAGGGTAGGAAGGGGTGTCGTAGATTGTGCCTGGCAAGCCAATCTCTTTTACGGTTTGCTGGAGATCTCGGTGTTCCCACTTTCCGATCGGGATACCCAAGCAAAGGGCGGCCAGAAGGAATAACCAATGCTCGAGGTGGACTGTTAAGGTTTCGCCGACTTGCTCTGTCGCGCTCTGATGATTGAAGAGTTCGGGAGGGGGGAGGTGAAACCCTTGGTGGGGACTGAACTGGATAGAGCGGTACGTGGTGTCCCCTCTCGAGTACGCTAGGATAGCGAGGTTTGGGATTGGGAACAGATTGGAGAGGCAGATCGATGGTCTCAGTTGGGCTGGTAACGGCTTTGTGAACAACCACGGATGGAATCACCCCTTGATGTCGCCGCTGAGCGCCCTTGCGGGACAAGGCCGACTTGAGCCTCTCGAGGTGCGAACGACCACCTGTAGGCGTATCCGATGCTGCTGGGGGAGGTGCATCGAAGTTATGACTCAAACGCCACCAGTCAATCTTCTTTTCCGCCTTGCTATCCACCATCCACCATTGGGGTTTATCCACCAAACCATCTTCCACGTCAACAGCTTGCTCCCTCTTGCTGCGCAAATAAAGGAACAAGAACAAGCCAAAGAGCGAAATAAGCAGAAGGAAAGCGATGATAACGGGGACGACGATGACCGCTACGTTTCTGCGCTCACTTGGCTCCTCTGTTTCTGAAACTGAAGTTGGAGCCCTGTACTTCTCTTGTCAGCGCCAGAAGAGGAGGATGAGATAACGAGGCTTACGGAGCAACGCCCTTGTCATTAGTGAGTCTGCCATTCTGCTGGCCATAGGCATATCCTGATTGAAGCAACAAAGTGGATAGAATGAAGATCCAGCTCCAAGAAAAGGCCATTATGTTTGCAGATAGACACCCGGTCTTGCCGTTTCAAACGGTGCTGCACTAAAGGTGATGGTGAGAGTCCAGTCTAAGGAGCAAAAGCGGTGGTGCAGCTGTTTAAGTATCATCACTGCACAGCTTGTGACAAACTTGGTCGTTATGTAGGGTTGTGGACGACGCTGAAATCTGATTTGTAGTCCATACTTAATAGTTAGTAGCATGGGTGTCTGTGCGAGAGGGATTATTCAAAGCGCCGTCGTCGTTGCCGTCGTTGCCGTCGTTGTTGAGGCTCATGCACGGTATGCATGTATGTGCGTGACAGAGTCACACGGACATTATCAACTAGTACCACCGCCGCGAAGGATGCCTCATGCCTCCCCGTTGCAGCTGTGCCAGGCTCCCCGTCGGGCGCCATCAGCTCATAAAGTCGCGCGATAATAATTAAATCGCTATTCTTATCTGTCCATCCATTCCTGCTCAATCTCACCATGGCCCCGAAGAAGGCAAAGGGCAAGCAGAAACAAGAGGAAAAGCCCTCTAAAGCCGTCTACCAAGGAGTCACCCTCTTCGATCCTCGTCAGTTCTTTATCATTATACCTCACCTTACCTTTCTCCTGATCTTTATTATTATTATCCAGCTGTCGTAAACAATTTCAAGGATGTGCCGGAGGGCGGTGCCACAGGCGCTTTCAACGAAGGTGAAACCGGTGTAGATCCCTATATCCCAACGCAGGAAGACTCGTGGGGTGCAAATGTGCACCAAGAAATTCACAACTGGCCTGATGTCCAGCCTACCACAGCCATACCCATACCTCCTCCAACCGTAACGATCACGGCCCCAGTCAGTGACACTGCTTCCGGACATATGCCCACAAATAGATTATCTGCGTCAGGTGCTGTTAACGAAGGATATGATTCATGGAGTGTCAATAATCACGAAGGTACCGAAAATCCTCAAACTTGGGATACTCATCACAGTCAGACCTCCACGGTCACTGCTGCTCCATCTGCCATAACCTCTCCCGTCTCGCAACCCATCTCTCTTTCTGCTGCAGCTGCTTTCCTAGATACTCAAAAAACTTCCTCTGCAAGTGAAGCCGCGCGCAAGCTGGAGGCAAAACACGGAATATCTTCGCACCATCATCCGTGGCCCCCGCCATCCAATCCCCAAGCCCCGTCTCACCCAGTGCCCGCCCATCGAGATAAAGTTCCGACTAGTTCTGCAATGAAGCGCTCAGTCCAGCAGCAACCAATGGTTTGGCGCGACTCTAAAGCACCTAGCTCCGTGCAGGGAAGAACGAACGAGGGATCTTGGGGGCAACCGCATGGTGGTGCGAACGTCAGTTGGGGACAAACGAGGGGGAGTGGCGCTGGACATCATCAGCAAGGGCAACCTCAGCATAGAGTGGTGCAAAGCTGGGAGACTTGGGGGAAACCGCCCAACTCCGTCATCCGCGTAACGCCTCCTAGTCCTGAGAGTAGCTCAGAAGACAGTGATGAATTGGAGGATGAAGATGATGAATGGGAGACTGTTGGGCATCAGGCGGGTGGTGGGAGGGGTCAACCAGAGGGGAACTTTGGACAAACGGCCGGCAGCTGGGGTGAGACTGGTGGCTGGGGGCAAGGGGGGCAAGGAAGCGTGACATGGGGTACCGCATCTCCTGCTGGTCAACACAAGCAGGCGGATTGGGGTACGTGGGGAGCAGAAACTAAGCGGTTGCCAAAGGTGACTTTCGCCCCCTCCGCGCCTGATGGAAGCAGGAATATCCTGTCTCCACAGCAGCGTTCGCAGATCCTGAACTCCTTACTCAATTTACCCCAGAGTCAGAATACCAAGGCTGCCCAACACCAACACCAGCAGAAGCAGAAGGCGCAAAATCAACCAGCCAGTAATAAACATACCACCAAACAGCAAACACAACCGCAATGGCAGGGTTGGGGCGCAGAAGACGGTTGGGGTACTCAAGAACAAAGTAGCAAAAAGAAGAATAAACAGCAACAACAACCGCAGGCGCAATCACAACAGCAGTGGGGTTCGTGGGGAGAGGAAGCGAGTTGGGGTAATCCAGAGCAAGCCAGTGACAAAAAGTCGAAGAAACGTGAAGATCACCTGTCTGTGCCGGGACAATGGGGAGATGAAAATCGTTGGGGAGCTGCAGAGCATGGCGACGAGAAGTCGGGGAGACATCAGCAAACGGAGGGGCAATGGGGCAGTTGGGGAGCTGAGAACGCTCAAGGAACGCGTGCCAACAAAAAGGCTAAGAAAAATCCAGACCACACTTCGCACAATGGCAACTGGGGTGACGATGATTGGGGGATGGCTGGCAATGGCGGGAAGGGGGCGAATAAAAGGCAAGATGATGCGAATGGGGCATGGGGTAGTTGGGGAGAGGACGCTGGCTGGGGAGCGATCCAGGAGGAGACAGAAGATGAGGAGACAGAAGACACTCATCACGACAACTCCACCAGCAAGAACGTCTGGTCTGGCAATCTGGGCAACAACTCCTACAGCATGCCGTCCAAAACATTGACCCATGCTTACAAAGGAACAACGACCACTCTTCATACTGCAATCCCTCGAAGTAGTCTCAGTGAGCATGCAAATATCCAGTTTCTCGAATCTAAAGGTGTTGCGTTTCAACCTGTAACCAATGCTTTCTTTGGAACAAACCGACTTGCTCGAGAACGTATACATTGGATGTTTCCCTCGGACAAGGACGAGCGGGTCGCCGCTTTGTTGATATGGATACAAACAGTATCCTACAATCTCGGCGCCTTTGGGGTATGTGCACGGTTTTTACGTGTATATTACTGTCTTAACTTTTTTGTTGATAGCTGCACCGATTTTTGCAGTCGCGAGAGCGTGGCGCACTCTTCGCCAACGCCGCTTTCCGATTGCCCGACCATCCGAAAGAACCAGTCTTTGACTGGTTGACTTTCGATCAGCTTCAGGCCACGAAGGACAGAACTCTCCAGGAATCTGTTGCTTTCTATAACCCCGCTGTTCAAGTTATCGTTTTCGTTTATTTGCCATCACAGAGCGGGAATAGTGTTGCAATTTGGAGACGAAAGATTATCGTGCCTAACAATGTGCGATTGGTATTACAAGCTGAAATTAACGTGGCAATGGCTGCTCTTAGGAGAGAAAAGGACTACGTCGTGCATGTCGATGAGTGAGTCTTTTTGATTTGTTCGGGTTTCTTGAAATTAACTTTTTTTGGAACCAGACAACAGCCTCGTAAGAAAAAATCAATTCAGATATCTGCCAAGAAGAAATCGAACACTGTTCTACGCAGAGCAAATGCTCCCCAGCCAGCCCCACCTAAACCCCCGAAGAAAAAACGGAAATGGTGGAATATCTTTGGCTAGATTTTTTCTTATTCCTGTATTTCTCTCCTTATTCCTGTATTTCTCTCCTTATTCCTGTATTTCTCTAACTTCTACTTTATTGCGCTATGCTTTGTTGCTTTCTTCGTTCAGTCATTCTTGCTTTTCGACTATGTACGCATCTTATCTGTACGGTTGTTGGACATAATTAGAACTGTCACTGCATTTGGTGTCCCTTGTGAGAAACAGACATGATGTGGGAACTTGCAGTGTGAAGAAGTGTGATGTGAGAAACAGACATGAGGAAGGGGGGCACTTCTTCACGTCATTTTAATTGTCACACGTGCTCTTGTCCTCCTTCCACAATAATCCCCCTCATCCCATCGCTGCAGCTCGAGGCATGCCGGCCTGGTAAACCCTTTTCGCCCGGACTATGCAGAGCGTAGAAGATTTTCTTTTCATCAATACCAAAAGCACAGTCCATTTTCTCTAGACCATGCCCTCAGATACCGTCGCGCCTACTGGGACTACAGCCACAGAATTGACGCGAGTAGAAGAATCCAATGGATTAAACCCTAGGATTCAAACGGAAATGTTACCCAGTTCTCGAAGTCACGGGGAGGAACAAGCTCTCGAGTCGCACGAGGTAATCGAGCTTCAAACGTTCAGTGAGCGGAAAACATGGATAGAGGAAAAAATCAAGGTCACCTTTCTCAAATTTTGACCCTTTTCCAGGGTATCTGATCAATTTTTAGTTCTTGGACAAAATGCCTCCAATCGAGGTCTTTGCCGGGCTAGACGCCGTACAATCATCGGCAGAAGAGGTACCAGGCCTTGCGACGCGCGCTGAACTTCAGCAGTGGTTAGCGGAACACGATACTATCGAAAAGGAAACGGAAATCTTTGACACTGGCGAATTGAAGAAGCTCAGGCAGCTAACGAAAGGTGTGATTGTTGTTCCGTCACTTTGTCTTCCATCGCTCACGTTTCCTAGCGGCGACCCAGCGGAACCTATCCCCTCAGGATACTGATGTGATTGAGTTGACGCTGACAACCATTTATGAACTGGACAAATTGTTACATCTTCTCCGCGACCGCTCCGAACATTTGGAACTCTTGAGTGTCAGGTTGACATGGGAGGAGAATAGGATTGGGTCGTGGAAGGACCGTCGCGGAATTATCAACGATCTTAATGTCTTTCTTACGAAACGCGCGCGGTGGTCGCCCTCAATTTACGACGGGCCCTCTCCAATGGCTGAGGATGTGACCATGCCAAGTCGACGCGCCTCAGTCACTTCATTGGCGTCGGTTGGCTCTGATACCAGCATATCCGTTCCGTCATTCTCTCGTAGTGCCCGCTTCAAGCTAGCAGAGCTGCTCTCCCGAGATGCAGCCCAGTTTGGTGCACGCATCACCAGCCTTCGTCATGGAAAAGTCGCTGCCGCCGGTAAGGCGCTCGACAAGTTAATTGATAACAGTCGGAAGCCTGTTCCGGAGGTACTTCTCGACGAACAAGATCATTTGGAGGAAAAGAGCATCAACGAGATGGAGCACGTTGGCAAGTTTGTTATGAACCTAGTTATGCAGTGGAGAAAGTATATTCAATCTACTCAAAACGGTGTCCACGTCGCTGAATGTTATAACGCAGGGCTGATGAAATCTATGTTGAGACGAAAAAAGATCAACTTTCAGCTCAAAATCTGTTGGAAGAGATCGAGACGGCCAAACTTCAGCTTCCTACCTCACGCCAGAGCTCATTATTCGCCAGTCGCGCGGACGCAATCCTAAAAAGGTTGTCTGTGCGATGTGATCCCGCATCAACCACAAGCACATTTCCTCTTCCAGAACACCCTCTATTTCTCGATCAAAAAGCGTTTAATGTAACGCTGGCTGAGAATCTTTCTCTGGAAATCGCCACTGCAACCACCATGGCTCGAGCTGTTCATGTCGCTGCGCAAGAGTATCGAAATAAATACGACGCAGTAAAACGCGTTGAGACTATGGTGCAGTCTGCAAATGAACTATCTGAATCGTTCGCAACTGTCATTCAACGATTAAAGGATGGTGTGACTGGAAGTGACGAAGATGGGACTCCTCCTGATCTCACCACCGAGGCATGCTTAGAGCCGACACGCCATTCAGTTTTTGTTGCTCTCCTACCATCCATGCTCGAAGAAATGTCGCGTATTTGTGAACCTTCTGATGAACTTTTGCGGACCTCCCATATTCATCTCCACTCTCTGGATCTTTTAGACATCGACGCCATCTACAGAGACAACGCTGCTGCTGATATCCGGAGGTTGAGTACCATGCGACAGGAAGCCCAGAGTCTTTGCGATTCTGTTTCAGAAAAGGTTGTCAAATTGCGAGAGGCGAGAAGAATTTGGTCTCTCATGGATGACAAACTGAAGGAACTTGACGGTATACGACTGCGAATCTTCGAGGTAATGGAGAAACAGCGGTGGCGTCAAGAATCAAACGGAACTGGGGCACCCCTTACTCCGGAAAGTCCGACAATTCTTCTATCGTCCGTAGGATCCACTCATGCGGACATAAACGTGGAACTTCACCGCCTGCGTCATGATATATCAAATACCGTCGAAATACCGGTGGAGACCCTTGCTATAGACTTACAGCCACCTCTCAAGGACTACCTGCTTGAAAGTTCTAAAGCTCTGAAGAGGCGTGTGGAAAACGTTGAACAGATGCTTCAGCTACTCACCGCAATCCAAAAACAGTCAGCTGCAATGAATCTGGTACGCGAAGAACATAATGGTTTCCTTCTTCGTATCGAAAACCTTAAAATTCAATATCGCCAAACCATCGACGATACGCTTGGTGATCATACGGTGATTGGTCCGTCCAACAACGACACGAAGAATATGTTCACGGAAATGAAAAGTGTACAGGACGAAGTCACCACATTTCTGGATAGCTTGTCTAAACGAATCCCTTTCGTTTCGGGACGCCCATCTCCTGGTAGCCCAACCTTCTCGAAGAGGCACTTTTCAACTCCAAGCCTCAAGTTAGCTGGAACTCAGCCGCCAGACATGATAATTGATCTGCCGTTCGATCTTGGAGTTTTAGATGCCTCCGTGCGAGCAGATTCTAATTCATACGCGATGAGACTGTCAGGCAGGCTTGAGATGTTAAAAGAGTCGCATATGCATCTCGAAGTAGCGCAGATGGCAAAGGAGCTCGATTCCACGCTTTCAGCGACCCTTGATGATGTTGACAATGTCATCGAGGATCTAAATGGTCACAAGTTGGCTCTTGCGGATTTCGTAGCACAGGATGAAGGCGTCTTGACCTCATTGGATAAACTCTCCAGCGTGGTCGAAGATTCATCGCTCTCCAATCGACGAAGAATATCTCTTTCCTTCGCATCGATACGTGAACTTCTCCGACGAATAAATACTTCTTCAGCCCCTCTTGAACGTACCCACTGTGACCAGATATACGTGGCAAGAATGAGAAACGTCGAAAATGCCGAAGAGTGTTTTAGGACATGGGAAGAGCACGTTGCCAGGTTGAAGGATGACATCTCCCAGGCAAGGGCCACCGAACTCCATCGGCAAGAGGCTGTTCGGAATCTTGAGGAGAAAACTAGACGAGAAGAGCAGGAACGCCTAGCTGCTGAGGAAAGAGAAAATATTCGATTGGCAGAGGAGAGGCTCGCGATGGAGGAGAAACAGCGTTTAGAAGCTGAACGGCAGGCTCAAGAAAGAATGCAAGAGGCTGAGCATCAACGTTTATTGGCCCTCGAAACTGAACGCATTCGCTTTGAGGCTGAACAAAAGGAAGCAAGGGAGCGGCAGCGGTTGGAAGAAGAAGCAGCGGTGGAGGCTGCTCGATTGAAAGCGGAAGAAGAACGGATTGTGCGTGAGGAGGCCGAAAAGGCGCGGCTGCAACGTGAACGAGAGGAGATGGAGGAGAAGCTGAGGTTGGTTCAGGAGGAGCTTGAAGAGCAGCGTCGCTGGCACGCAGAGCGAGAGCGACTTGATGTAGAGAAGGCTGAGAAAGAGCGGGAGCGTCTCGAGGCAGAGAAAGCTGAGTTAGAACGGCTAAGGGAGAAAGAAGAGAAAGAGCGGGAGCATCTCGAGGCAGAGAAAGCTGAGTCAGAACGGCGAGAGCTAGAGGAGAAAGAGCGGGAGCGTCTTGAGGCAGAGAAAGCTGAGTTAGAGCGGCGAGAGCTAGAGGAAGAAGAACAGAAACGGAGAGAGAAAAAAGTTCAAGAACAAGAGCGACTTGACGCGGAGAAAGCTGAAAGAGAGAGACGAGAGTTAGAGGAGGAAGGGCGGAAACAACAGGAAAAGGAAGCACGAGAGAAAGAGCAACAGTTAGCTAACGAGGCTGAGGAGAAAAGATTGATGCAAGAGGCTGAAGAAAGGCAGCTGGCACAGGAGCTTAGAGAGGAGAAAGAGAAAAGAGAGAGACAACTTGCGAAGGAAGCCGAGGAGCAACCATTGGCGCATGAAGCCGGAGATCGACAGCTGGCCCAAGATGGCGAACAAAAGGGAATGATACATGAGGCTGAAGAAGGACGATGGACTAAAGATGCTAAAGAACAAGTACCCCGCGGAGTTGAATTCAAACAACAGAAAGCGTTCCTTGAGACGGAAGAGAATATAGCGACACACAAAACCCCAGGACTCTCAAAGCGAGCTGACCAGAAAGCTGGGGGAGTAAGAGCTCTGATGCAGCTGTATTCGGAAAGTGGTAAGCTTCAGCAACACAACGTCTGTTCCCCTATTGAATACTATTGTTTTTCCAAGATGTCTTTGGACTTAACCTTGCGCCTTTAAATTCACCTGGTACTCAAAATAAGGAAGTCCTCAACACTCAAGCGCTAATTTTCGCGCTGAGAAAACGTCTTCATTCATTAAACATTAATGAGGTTCTTCGACCAACGAAGCCCTCAGCATATTTGCCCACACGCGCACAAATCACTCAAATGACCGAAGACTTTCTCCACATCTCGTCTGATGTCGATAAGTTGCCCCCATCTGTGGATACACCCGCCATAAATACTGAGCTGCGATCACTGAGGATGGAGGTTGAGGCATTCTCTCGTCTGCTCACGAATACTGAACCCTTGATTCAAATGTCAGAGGCAGTGCGTCTCTGCGACGCTGGCTTGAGCGACCTTCTTGAACACATCGACAGCTACCCTGCCCTTCCTCCCGATGTTATGTCGTCGTCGTTTGAAGCATCCAAGAACGCATCACCTGAGGAACAACTCTCGGCGAGGCTTGCCTTTGTCCAGGGTCTCATCCAAGACATGAAGTTGAAGTTCTCCGCCGTATCCAACGATGCACGCGCAATTTCTGAACATCGACGGGTTGACCAGACTTGGCTTGAGCTAGAAGACATGGGGAATGACAGACTCGGTGGAAAGAAATCGCGTCCAGTCAGCGTCGTCAGTTCGCGACACAGCTCCGGCAGAAGCAGCAGTGTTTCTATGAACACAAGTTCAGCGAAAAAGGTTGGCTCTTACTCGCACCTCTCCGCCTCCTCTGGCCCTTCCAGGGGAAGATTGAATGTTCCCCCTCGTGTGACTTCCCGCCGTGTGGTCTCAGGAGAGCAACCGCGTACTCGCCCAAGTAGCCGGTTATCCGTTGCGTCAACCAGCCGCTCAGTATCTGGTTCGTCGTTATTTGGATCTACTTTCGCTTCTCGACAACGAACGACAAGTCTATCAAATTCGACTTCAACTGCAGCTCGGCCGCCAGCTGTCACCCCGTCGCGATCACGAGCACATACCGGCCAAAATAAACGAACTGGTTCCCCGAGCATGTCAGAACGCTCGACGTCTCGCTCTGCTATGGCGCCTCGCACTTCTACAACATCCACGTCCACCTGGTCTCGTGCTCCAAGAAACTCTTTGTCATCCATGGTTGCGCGAGTGACAACGCCACAGAAAAAGACAAGTTCATCACCACGGAAGAAATACATTGCCGATCCTAAAAGCAAGCTTGACGTCGCTGTGGGTGACGTTGTCAATCAACTTCCTGTAGGAATCAACATTGAAGGTGTATCGGAGACTTGGAAAGATCAGAGTGGTAAATACTGGATTGGCAATCAAGATGCAAAACTTTGCTTTTGCCGCATCCTACGTTCACAAACCGTCATGGTTCGAGTCGGGGGCGGATGGACAGAGCTTTCCCGGTCAGTTGCCTTGCTTCTTGTTCCTTTTTGTTTGTCTACTAACGACCATTTTTCTAAGATTTATCCAAGACCATTTTGCTGACAGCTTCCGGTTGTTGCCAGAGTCCCCTCCTCGTTATGGGATGCCCGAAGAAAAGTGGATTAGTTCGGCGACACTTCTTGAAGCTCCTGAATTCAAATCGCCTCCACTGCCACCACGAACGCCTGAGCCAAAACTCCCTTTCGTTCCATCCTTTTCTCTCTTGACACCCAGTGGGCAAAGTCCACAATCCATTAGATCATCACCTTCAGCCAAGGGGTCCCCTTTGACTCCTTTGCAGTTCATGAGACGAGCCGAGCCTGACCCCTCACTCCTTCGGCCAGTGACCCCCTCCAAACCTCCGCAGCGGACTAAAAACACGAATAATACGCATACCCCCGCCCGCAATTCGGTGTGGCGACCGTAATTCCCATCAATCGGCCACTTCGCACTGGTACGTTTCTGTTTCGTAGCACATATTACATTCGCCTCCTTCGCATTTACACTATATTTATACGCCCACCGCAAGCATTACAGCGCATACTACTACGCCAACCCGTTCACGGACTTGTACGCATATGACCTTTATAATTTAATGAACCGCCCTTCGGACGAACAATGAAACTTCCTAGGATCGCCTCGCTTTCTTTTTACGCAAACTGCAGTCCTCTTCCTTCCCAATATGGTGTGTTCGCTTCAAGTGCCGCTTTAGAAGGTCTCGCCGGACAAAGGTAGTAGGATTGGGGCACAAGTCACAAGAGTAAGGACGGTCGCCAGTATGGCTCAACTCGTGACGTTTGCACTCGTTTCTACGCAAAAAGCGGGCGTCACTTGGCCCGCAGTAATTTAGCTCAGATGGGACCTAGAGAGATGTAGAACACACCAATGCAGACATTTGAACGGCCTCTGATCAAGGTGGCCACCAACGTGAATCAGTATATGATCTCGCCTTTTGTTGTGCTGTTGGCAGTCCATCACATAGCACCGGAATTCTTCAATAAGCGCTCCTCTTGATGTCAACTTGCCCGCAAACGACATGAGCCACTTCTTGTCATAATCGCGTCCTTGGTTGCGCAATCTATATCGTTCAGCCCGAGCTTTGAGATCAGCAAGGTGAATTCCTCGATGAGCATCAAAGACAGGCGTTCCAAAATTAATAGGTGGAAAACCTTGCTCATCAATCTGGAGGTCGTGTTGAAAAGTAGGACATAATTGAGGGATGTCTGTTCTCTTTTTTGATAGCTTGCGTTTTTTTCCTCGTAGCATACGCGCAGAGGGCCGAGAAGAGAAGTCAGAAATTGGAGAATAGTCCGACGCGCTGGATAATTCGTACAACGCTTCGGCTTCGCCCTCTGGAAGTTCCAGCTGGTAAAGTTCCTCTGTAGGCGTTAGCTCTGATTCGATAAGAGCATCCTCAGAGCGTGGGGCCGCGTCAGGATACGTCAGCAGATCTTGATTATGGAAGGACGGCGGGACATCCAAGTTTTCTGAGCAGGATGAATTGGATATTGATGAAGGGTGTGTGAAATGTGAAGGCGGCGGCATGATTTCTGAGGGGTTGATGCCGATGCAAGGAGGCATAGCTTTGAAAAAGTTGCGCATACCGAACGTTGCTGAGCTTGTTTCCCCAACGTCAAGATTAAGTGTGGGTAGCGTGGTTCGTTCTTTAACCGCCAGACGTTGAAGAGTGTATTCGGCAGTTGCTGATATTTGAGCCGCCAAAAGTTCGACTGACAGACCAGAAACAAGGGAAAGCTTCTCAAGAGAACATTCCCCGGTGTCTACAATGTTGGAAATCGGGCTGCGTTCGATGTTTTCTGTCAGCAATGAAGTAGATAACTCATACACGGGGTCTTCCACAGTGAATTCAGTTGCCTTCAGCATTGAAGAAAATGTCCATGGTGACAGTTGGGCGGGATCCTCCTCCAGAAGAGCTCGTTCCGATAGTTTTTTCTGATCATCTTCTACCGTGGTATAACACGAATCCAGTCGAGGAGTTCCTCGATGACGTCGATTGTAGTTGAAGGGCCCTAACACTTCTTCACGAGGAGATTTTGAAAGAATTTTGCCTTCGGATCGGACGGTAGAATCAAGGTAACGAATGCCAAGGCCAGTTAGAGGAAAACCAGAGTCTTTTGTATTCCAGCGAGTAGCACCGACGGCCGCGTTTGATTGAAAATCATCCTCCTCGACGCGATTTTCCGTAAAAGAATGGGAGAATGCCCAGGGGCGATTTCCAGGGGATCGTGAAGGAGAGGATAGAATAGGGCTGTATCTGAAGTGCAGGGACGCCAGCGTCAGGTTTTCTATAGGACTAGTCGATGTGAGGCACTGGGCGATGTTCATGATTAATAGGACAAATAAAATATAAGTAAGGATAGATGGTGGTAGCGCACAAGTAGAGCGTATTTATAGATATTTACCTCATTTCCAATGCGTGCAACCCCCTTGCGCACAATTCATAGGTGTCTATTCACACAGGCCCAGTCCATACCACCTCGGTCCCAACGCCATAAAGTTTCAATTGGTATTGCATTTGCCGCTGGGGCAGCAGTCTATTTCTTCCTTCCCGATTCTTCGCGGGCCTCACCAAGGAAAATTCCGCTCAGCCCAAGTCATTTCACTCCAGCAACTGTTCTGTCAAATGAATCATCTGGAACTGATTCAAAGTTGCTAGAACTTGCCATATCAACCGACTTGCTCCCCCCTCGAGACACATTCGCCTCAATATGGTCAGTCTTCATCAAGGACGATGACATACAAGTAGAGCGTCCGTACACCCCTCTGGAAGGGGTCGACGACAACGGCCGTATGCATTTTTGGATAAAAAAGTACGAAAAAGGCGAAGTCGGTCGCTGGCTGCACTCAAAATCTCCTGGAGATCATATTGAGCTGCGCGGCCCTCTGCAAACATGGCCCTGGAAGGAAGATACCTGGGATGAGGTTGTCATGGTACGTCTTGAATTTAACAAGATGAGTGCAGTCTTTCTGACCAAACTTAAAGATATCTGGTGGAACAGGAATAACGCCATTCTACCAATTATTCCACCACATCATCTCCCGGACCAACCTTTCTCCTTCTACTAAGTTCACGCTGATACATTCATCTCGTAACCCCGAGCAACTCCCACCGCCTGCACTTCTTCAGCCCCTTCAGGCCTTTGCTCAAGACAATCCAGGACGATTTAATGTTCACTTCTTTGTGGACTCAGCGACCCCTGTAGATTCAAGGCCAACGCCCAAATTCCAAGTTGGACGTATATCACAACTCGGCCTTGAAAAATGCTTGGGAGTGGTGAAAAAAAAACCACCGTTGTGGCAGCGAATGTTGCTGAGGTCAGCTCCAGATCCGGCTCCTCGAAAGACATTGTTCCTGGTTTGCGGTCCCGAGCCGTACGTATTTTCCTTTCTCCTAGGTTTTATCTCACTCTTTTATTTTTCAGGATGATCAACGCAATATCAGGGCCATACGGTCGCAATTTCTCTCAAGGTGTCGTTGGTGGCATATTGGGCAATATGGGCTATACCTCCAGTCAAGTATATAAATTATGAATACCCGCTGGACCTAGGCGGTTGTTTCTTCGACCAATTCCCAGCCTATCTCTTTTCCAGCCCAGAAAGGAATTAAACTATCATTACCTAAAATATATGTCGACTCTAACTGCTTCCTATCGGATAGTTTTCGCAGAGTGACCTTTCCAGATCCTTCTCCTGTGTAAGGCCTTTGATAAAAGGCCCTTCCGTTTCTGCTAACAAAGCCTTCCAAGTTGTCAAGCGCTCCGAACGATTCCAGAAGCTCTGCCACTAGGGGCAAAAGGATGGGCGAGGTATAAACACCAGCTGCACATCCATGGGTGGGTCGGCTAACGGATTTCGCTTCGGGTGGATGGGGTGCAGAGTCAGAGCCAAGGAAAAACCTGGGATGCCCTGTTGGAGATAAAAATTCAACAAATTTGCTCCAGTTCATCCTCCATGCTAACTCACCCTCTTTGACAACATCCCTCAGAGCTTGTCTGTCGTCTGGATACTTTGCAACAGGTTTACAGAAATTCCAAGATTGCCCCGCCCAATCATCTACAATGAGTGCGAGGTGATGTGCCGTGATAGTGCACGCCACAGTTGGTCCACAAGATTTGACAGCCTCGACAGCTGCCCTTGTTGTTGCATGTTCGAGGACGATGCGCAAAGCAGGAAAGTCGGCGTGGATCTTGAGCAGGTGAGGGAGAAATCGAGGTTCTGCATTCAGGACATGAACATTCTGTGGATTTATTTAGCCTTCAGTCAATTTTCTCCAAAGGACCAGATCTCACTGTCTTTGCGTCTGAAGGAACTTCACCGTGAAGATTCAAAACCATCCCGACTTCCTGCATGACCTCGAAGATGGGGTAGTACGTTTCATAAGACTCTATACCACCTTCCGAATTTGTTGTGACCCCACGAGGGTACGATTTGACGCCTGTGCAGGAAGAAAAGGTGATCTTACCGGAAGCGGTGGATGATTCCACACACCGACAATTCCAGCATTCTTGGCTTTCCTGATCTCGTCTGGTGTCAGCTCGGGGGACAAGTACAAGGTCATAAGATAGTCGACGTTGGAATCGATCCTCTCCAAGTCGGCCTTATATTTCAGTGCTTGTTCCGTCGATGTCACTGGCGGCTTCAGATTGGGCTAGGACGAGGTCAGCTAGAACACTTTCTGGTAAAAATCGTATGTTACCATGACATAGGCGAGATGGAATCCACCCTTTCTGACATGAGGAACAATTAATTGTGAGATGGATCCTTGTCGGAGGTGAACATGAAAATCTGCAGGGGATTCAATGGAGATGATCATGGTAACTGGGTTAGATAATATCTTGGATAATCATCTCAATATAGTGAGTTTCGCGGTCACATGATTTGCTTCATGGTGATGGTTCAATTTCCACCGCTCTCAACCATCCACCCAAGACTACACCACGTTCTTTGAACAATGGTTGCTGCTGGCTCAATCACAGTCGCAGGTGCTGAATGCTATATTTCTTTGCTTGGATCACACCAACTCACTGACTACGTACAGTTCGAGTCCGTCCACCGACAACAGCTGAAGCAGCGCGTCTCCCGGAACCTTGCTTCGATACAACAATAAGAGGCGATGGCGCCCTTTCAACGCCAGGAAAAGTTGTCAATACAGCGACACTGCGCGATATTGTTCAAATTGTTGACGACCGCATCCTCACCTTTGACCCAGACGAGAAGGACAGGGCACGAGCCTTTGTCGAACGCGGTTTCATGCCGCCAGGGACGAAACGTTATAAGGATAGGCGATTTATGTTTGACCGTGTCTTTGGACACGAGGCGCGACAGGAGGATGTATTCGAGGCAACCTCCCAACCCTTGCTCAAAGGCCTTTTGGACGGATACAATGCAACAATCTTTGCGTACGGTGTAAGGCTCTCTCAAAAGTTCGGAATCCGTTGGCTAACTTGATCACAGGCTACAGGATGCGGGAAAACTCATACTATCAGCGGAACGGAGGCGGATCCTGGTATCATCTATCTGACTATGTCAGACTTATTCCAACGAATTGAGGATAGGAGGGACGAATGGAACGTTGAAGTCATGGTCACCTTTTTGGAAATTTACAACGAAGAAATTCGAGATCTCCTCGCGGAGCCGGGATCACATAACCCACGAGGCGGATTATCCATTCGAGAGGATAAGGCTGTAAAGGTGGTGGGTCTGGTTGAGTTGAAGCCGCAAACCGCAGAGGAGGTAAAGGAAATCGTGCTATTGGGAAACCAGAGGCGCACACAAAGTCCAACGCACGCGAATGAGACAAGCTCCCGGTCGCATGCCGTCTTGCAAGTTCACGTCACTCAATCACCACGCACAGCGGCCTTGACAGAGCAGCGAACCATGGCCACTCTTTCCATCATTGATCTTGCAGGCAGCGAGCGGGCAGCCGCAACCACCAACATGGGCCAACGGATGGTAGAGGGAGCAAATATCAACAAATCCCTTCTCGCCCTTGGAAACTGTATCAACGCTCTTTGCGAGAGCGGTGGTGCAATACGCCACGTTCCTTACAGGAACAGCAAATTGACTCGTCTGCTCAAATTCTCCCTTGGAGGCAACTGCAAGACAGTCATGATTGTCTGCGTTGCACCAACGTCCAATCATTTCGATGACACCCACAATACGCTCGTCTATGCGGAGCGAGCAACGAAGATCAAGACCAAAGTCGTTACCAGAAATGTTGTCAACGTTGATCGCCATGTTGGTCGATATGTCGAAGCCATCAACAGGCTAAACTCGGAGATTTCAGAACTCAAACAGAAGCTTGCTGGCAAGAAGTCGTCTGAAAATGAAATTACTTCTCGAAAGAAGGCGGAGGCGAAGGCTGAGGTCGAAAGAGCAAAGTCTGATGTCAAATTCAAGGCAGAACAAACCAAAGACTCGATCGTAGACGGCGGTGCATGTTCAGGCAAACTTTCCGTGGCAAAAGCCAAACTCGCTGCTATTCAGACTCGTCTTCGCCAACTTGACTCCACTAGTAGCTCACCCTCATCCCAAGCAGAGCGTGAGCTGCTAAAGGCGCTGGCTGGTCCAGAGGAAGAAGCCATAAAGCTGGGATCACCATTAAATGTCAATTTGCAACGCTCCTCGAATTCCGCTGCCATGTTCGAGGCTACGATGCGTGCCGTCTCTGAACGAAAGTCAGAGAAGCTCGATGAAGTTTCCGCATCAAACGTCAGGCTTGAGATCGCATGTAAAAGAGAAGAGATGGAGAAATTGAGGCTCGAAAGTGAACGGGATGCTACGCGTGCTGCTTTGAATGACATGGCGGGGGTAATGGTCAAACTCATTGGGATGCTTGGAAGGTGCACGGTCATGGTTGGAGACGCAGCGAACACATTGCAGGGCCCCTCGGACGATGGACAGGCATTAGGAAACAGCACCAAGGAGGTAGCAGAACTCTTGAGCAACATCAAGAAGAAAAACGATGAAACCTTCAAGGAACTGTTAGGCCATTCCGCTGAGTCATACTCGCGTATTAGTCGTCTTTCGCTTGCTTCACACATGGACGGTTTGCAAGATTATGGAGCGACCTTCAAGAAACGCGTCAGCTCGGGACCTGCAGTATTGCAACAACTTGGGCCTAGGCCATCAATTTCCCAACGGTCGTCGTCATACGGTTCCACCTCCATTTCAGCTTCTCCTCCCCGTCGGTCACACCGATCCCCGCGCAAGTCCCTGCGATCAAGCCTGGCCTCGCAACCTTATAGCAGAAAGGTGTCCGACAAGGAGAAAAAAGGTGCAAAGTCTTTGAAGAATGTGCAATGGCGAGATGAAGTTGGACAAGGAGACCTCGACGATGGTGGCACGAAAATAAACCCGCCCGTAGCCGTAGCCATTATCCCTGCCAGCCCCGCTGTTGAGCCCATTGCCAGTAGTGTCAAGAGTTCAGTTTTCTCACCACCGCCGCACAGGCCATCCTCGTCACTTGGAGGTTCCGAAAGCGAATGGGAGGACGAAAACGAGAAGACGGATGACAGTGTTAACATGAGTTTCATGTCAGCGTCATTCTCTTCCTCCAGCTCTCATCGACCTGCCGGAGCTAAGCGGCCTCGGGCGAGTCGCTTGGATCCCAGTTTCCTAAAGTCAAAGACCAAGGCGTCGACCCTTGGCAGTCTCATGGAAGACGACGAGACCGCGAGTCCCGAAAGGCACAGTCATCCCTTGTCAGAAATGAGCTTGAATAGACTTGTGTCTAACGAGGACTCGAACTCCAGTGATGATCGCGGTTATGGGGACAGTTTGCACGTCCCTAAAGCTCGTGACCGTGGCTATGGAAGTCCAGCAAGACGGGCTCCTTCCACATGCAAAGTCAACGGATTATCTGCATCTACCAGCGGAAAGAGCGGTGGCAGCCGTAGACGCTCAAACATAGGGCCAATGCGAAACGAGAAGGGTCGTCGACGGTCAAGTATGATTCCGCAGCTGTCTCCCCAAACTGGGGAGGGGAGCAAGGCTGGGGCAAGGCGAGTGTTGTTGGCGAGTCCCGGGAAACGTCAGAAGCGATCGTCCTTGACCAAGACATCATCTGTGAAAGTCAAGACGAGCTCGTCAACAACGCAGATAGCAAACTTGTCCCTCATGGCTGTGGTGGACCCAAATGCGAGTGGAGATTTCAGCAGCGTAGGCAGGTCCCGACCAACCTGGCGATGAGTTCACGTTTGATAGCTCTGAGCGGCGTCTTTGTCTGTAAATTTTAGCTGTAGACCGTCTTCCTTAGTCACATAATGTCCTACCTCATGACATGCATTTCTTAAATTATTCGTCCTACCTATGCCCAAACTTCCATTGCACTCGCTGTTGTTTTTTTATACCCAGAAACGTAACATCGCAAGGATTGTCTTGACTATAATTTATACTTAGCCTCAACAAAAGGACGTTAGGCGTCATTTTGCGGTGTTAACGGCGCCCAACATCAATGTCACTCGTTGAAGTCTATAGTGTCGATAAAACAGTGGAACATATATATAGCATCTAAATTACACGTTTTACTTCAAAGAAGGACTGGGACAACACCGTTCAAGCCCAAATTAAACGAAGAGATGAGGGATGAGCTCACTTTTAGGTAGTAAACCTGCCAAGCCACCACAGAGAAGAGGACAATTGCCTGCAACACAGACCACCATTTGACGCGAGCGTTTGTGGACTCGGCCGTATTTCGATGGGTTCGCTCTCTAACGACGATGTATTCCTGCTCGTCTTTGACGGACGTGAGTCCAGCCGCTAGTGAACGAATTTCGCGCTCGATGGGCGCCACAACATCCGCTGGGGGGTATCAGTTTGGAAGAACTGAGAGTAAGTTTTTCATCGTCGTACCATCTCCACCGACGTAAATCACTCCATGAACATTGAAACTAGGTATAGGAAGTCAGTCAACCTCCGTGACGGAAGAAAACGGTGGTACACACCTGACCATCTTGTCGGCAATAGCACTCATTTGGTTGGAGAAGCAATACTCGTGCCGACCATCCTTTTCAGCAGTGATAGATATTGAACCGGTGGATTGCCGTATTTGTTTTCCAAGAACGGTTCCAGATGGGTCGGACAACTAAAGAATAGGTCAAGAGCGGTCGAGATATGATGCAAAAGGTCTTACGAACCCAGAAGTCGATGTCGAGATGACCACCCTCTCCAACCTGATAGGTCACAGTCATCTATGTATGCCATGAGAAGCGTCGCAGGTGAGAGATGGGGAGAGGAGTACCTTGTCATGTTTATGGAGGTCTTCAAAGTAGCAATCTTTCTTTCCTGCAGGAACTTCTACGAGATGGGCGGATATCAGGGCCGGAAGGAAAAAGAAGAATGCGAAGAGAGAATAGCGGGTATACAGTAACATTATTGTCATAGACCAAGTGTGGATTACAGTCACCCGTGATGCTTGCATTGGCACGTGAGTGTGACATCTTCTGACAATCATGATTATCTTCAAAGATAGTCTCTTCCATCTCCATCGCATTAATGACCGAAAACACTGACGCCCTTGCACCAAGAGTATGTCCCACCACTATCTACTATTCAGATCTATTGATTACCTACAATTGATCTAGGAAGAGGAGGTTGATGTCCACTTTGAACCTGTAATCAAACTCACAGAGCAAGTCGACACCAAAACTCATGAAGAAGATGAAGATGTTCTCTTCAAGATGTCCGCTCATCTCCTTATCTAATCCCGTCATCAGGAATAAAATACTCACCCCTCGACCACAGGCGTGCTAAACTCTTCCGCTTTGATGGTGAATCTGCAGAATGGAAGGAACGCGGTACTGGGGATGCCCGTCTTCTCTCGCATAAGGAAACTAAGAAAGTGAGACTGGTAATGAGGCGTGACAAGACCTTGAAGGTCTGCGCGAACCACGTTAGTGAGTGATTTTCCATCGTGGTAAACAGCGCGCAAATCCCTAATCATCGCGTCGTGAAGTCTCTGCTGAAATGCGCCTCCAACCCAATATCGGCTCTGATAGGAGTTGGGTTTGGAAAGTAGCTGCTGATTACTCTGAGGCTCCACCGACTTCGGAGACGCTTGCTATTCGTTTCGCGAACTCTGAAAGTGAGTCGTGTGACACTACTTCTGGCAGATCTTTTACAACACAAATTTGCTTGGTTAGATGCTGCTCAGTTCAAGACCGCCTTTGAGGATGCACAGAAGAAGAACGCCGGACTGACAAAGGAACCAGCAGAGGCTAAGAAAGAGGAGACAAAGGAGGTTGCTGCAGAGTCGGAAAAGGAGAAGGAGCAGGAGAAGGAGGAGGTCGAGGCCAAGACCGACTAAGCCGCCGAAAGCGAATCCCTTTCCTTATGCTTGCGCCTCATACCAGGCTTTTGATAGCCATCGCCACGTCCGACTCATCTGTTCAGTACATTACGGAGAAATGGTCAATTTTGTGTATATTCCTCTACTGATAGACGGAAAACGTTACAATATTACTACATACATCAAGTCATCATCACTTTATTATTCCAGTTACCGCTGTCATCGCTGGTTATAGGAGGCCTCTTGCATTGCCCAAGCTTCCCAGAATGCAACGCCTTCGCCTCTCCGCCAGTACCCAGGAGATCCCGTCCCTTTCACCACATCCTCTGTGATTAGGACGTGACAAATGTCCTGAAATCGTCAAAAAATATGAGATCAGCAACACGACGATGACGGCGATACACTCACAGAGCCACTGTAGAGGATACAAAGTCAGTGGACATTTCGAAAATGAATTCCGAAAACTTACGGCACTTCATACATAGGTTCGAGTAAAAGGGATTCCTAAGAATGTGGTTAGAGAGATTCTAGACCCCCAGACAGAGCTTACCATTATACCTCTCAGCCCACGAGCCCCACCACCTCGATCAAACGCCTTCTGACATATTTCATCCAACGCTGCACTTGTAAACCTGATCTCCACTCCGGAGTATCCAAAGAGGGACTGATACTGCGACATTAACGATCCTTTCACCTCGGTCAAGATTCGCTTCAGATCCGAAACAGTGAGCGGAGACAACGCAGTGATAGATGGTAGACGGGAGATGAACTCTGGGATAAACCTGGACTCGAATTTGACAAAGAGACGCCCAATAAAAGATATGAATTTACCCATATTTAACGAGATCTTTGGGTGGTTCGATGAGACGAAGAGGGAACAAATTCAGGAAAAAACATACCACTCGTCTCAACCAAGTCTAGGATATTATGCTGAGTCTTGCGATTTGGGGTGAAGAACGGTAGGGGGCCGTCACCATCAGTCGACGTCAAATTTGCGGTAAAACCAATCGACTGTAACGTACAAGGTCAAAAAAGACGGATTTCTACGGGAAAGTAGAACTCACTCCTTTCGCTACTCGCTGTTTGATGACTTTGTCGAGGCCAACAAAAGCACCACTCAAAATGAATAAAACGTTTGACGTGTCAATTTGGTAAGTGTCGGGTTTAGCTGACCATGGCATCGTGTGTATCAGCGTTATTTGCACTATAGACAGGCGACTTGGGAACTCACGTGTCGCTTGAGATGGACGTTGGCCGCTCCGGGAATGTCCTTCACCTCCAGAAGGCGCGGCTTCGGCATACACCGCCCCTTTGGCCTGAACGGTTACCACAGAGCCCTCCATCATTCTAAGAAGGGCTTGTTGAACACCCTCACCACCCACGTCGCGAGAGCCCTCAGTGCCTGTGCTTGATTTTCTCGCAATTTTGTCAATCTCGTCGATGTATATGATTCCCATGCTATGAAATAATATTGAGCTATCGCGAGAAGGTGGTAGTAGTAAAGCCAAACCTCGCTTGTAATGGATTCCAATTAGCAGCTTGTAACTGAGAAGGTTAGAGTTATCCGTCGCTTGCATGTCATGAATCAAGAACGTACTAGGCGCTGAATCGCCATATCAGCGTCCTCTCCGACATCTATATCAAAAAAAAGTTAACATCCTAAAGCAAGTTATACACCGGAGACTGACATCCCGCCTTCACGGATTGTTAGCAGGGGTAGTGAAGGGTCAATCCGATGCCAAATACCTGCGTAAATGACGTAGCGTCACTAACAGAGAAGGGAACATCTAAAACTTTAGCGAGGGTCTTGGCCAATAATGTTTTGCCTTTTTGATTGCACCTCAACAGAAATTCACAGATAAATGTTGCTCAACTGACGTACCAGAACCAGTTGGACCGCTGTTTTGAATTCTAAGCAATCGTTTCCGACCCCAAAGGTATAATTTTACATCACCAAAACGTTACTTTTCTCGAAGAGAGGAACCATCCGACGAGCTGATAGTGATAGTGGTGAAGCCTGCTTCCGCAAAGGACGTATGCGAGCAGATGCAACGCCAGATCGTGCTATGTCTGTCGTTAGTTACAATGAAACCTAAGTTCATGCATTTTACTTACAGTCAGGGGGCACGTCCCTTGTGTTGTTTGTTTCGATCTCATCGGCTTCGAACGCAAGGTTTGCTCGAACACGATTGTAATGGTTATATACTCTGAGGCAAGTAAGGTATTTAGCCGAATTGTCATGCTGAAATCTGTGGCTTACGCTACAGAGAGAACTTTCTTCGCATTCTCTTGCCCAACAATGAATTGGTTCAGATATTCCACAAGCTATATACATTCAAGATTATTGTCAACTTTTCCTGACCACCGCCGCGTACCTCACGAGGAGTGGCGAGTCCCATACTTGGGATATGACTATTTTGGTCGCCATTTTCGTGGAGCTGTCCAGGTTCAACTGTAGGTTGAGTGCGGATGTGACGGGTTACTAGGGGTCGGATGTGATAAAGGCGTCCTAGTGGTCGACTACGCCGCCAGATCATTCGAAATAACTAGGCAGAAAGGGAGGAATGTAGGAAGAGTCGTCGCAAATCGTGAAATGCTGGAATCAGAATAGCATCACCGCCACAGAGCTTGCCACAGAGCGTGACTCTCCTGACTGCCACAACTTGGCCACAACCTACCACAAATCTTGATCGTCGCTTAGCTTATGGGAAGACGCTCACGTTCGCCATCTCCCTGGCGGAAAGGCAGTGATAGCCGCCATCGTTCGGAGAGAGATCGTGAAACATACACGACAAGAGTTAGTGACAGCATGAAATATGCGGACGATCGTAACGACTCGAGATACAAACGACGCAGAACCCCGAGTCCTAGTGATATTGACTCAGAACGTAGGGGAAAAGATGAGAGTATGGGCAGGGATACAGATAAGAAGGAGAAAAGGTGAGCCTTCTGACGATCCCACTTGACATTATCGAACCTCATGTTTCAGGCGAAAGCGCGACAAATCAGAGGAGCGGAAAGCAAGGAAGGCGGAAAAGAGGAGAATAAAAGAGGAAGAGGAGGCTCGCCAAGTCGCCGAGCTCAGTGTATACAGCGCGACGGACAATCCTTTCCATGACGTCAATCTTGGACAACAATTCCGCTGGCACAAGAAGAACGAGAAGGAGAGGAAACAAGGGCTCTCGTTAGCTGACTCGCAGCGGAGAGACGCTGCTAGGAGACAGGAGGCGAAGGAAGAATTGGAGAGGCTCAACCGTCGCCGTGCTGAACGAGAGGCTGAACTCCGGCTCCGGGAAGAGGAAGAACTGAGGATGTCAAGGCTTCAGGAATCTGCTCAAATGTCGGAATGGCTATCGAAAGATGGTGATTTCCAGTTGGAGCAGGAGCGTCGAAGGGCAGCCATTCGAATCAGGGAGAAGCGTGCCAAAGCCATCGACTTTCTTGCTCTAAATCTCAAATATGTCAACCCTTCAAGTCAAGATGACGAGGAGGCTGAACATGAAGATGCTGGTCTTGAAATCGACCTAGATGAGCCATACAACATCTTTGACGTAGGTGTTCCGTTCTAAAGATCTGTGCGAGGTGAACTCACAATTTTTTGTAGAGCTTATCAGCAGAGCAAACTTATGAACTCCATGACGACGTGGAGCGTTACTTGGCTCTTGAGGACTCTGAAACAAATCTTGACTTTTGGACGGTATGTCTTTCTCTTGATGCCTGTAGTCCTTACCAATGGCTATCTCAGAACATGATGGTTGTGTGCAAGGACCGCCTCGAGCGAATTCAGGCAAATGAGCGAATGGGAGTTGAAGCGGCTGCCGCGGTAGAAGCTGACATTACTGCTTTACTGTCAGGGAAGTGCTACGACGATCTAGTTGGGCTTCAACGTAAAGTTCAAGAAAAATTGTCAAGTGGAGAACCCTTGGATACTGATTACTGGGAAAGTTTGCTGAAAAAACTATTGGTTTGGAAGGCGAAGGTGCGGTAATTCAACTTCCTTAATTCGTTTTGCTAAGGCTTGTACAGGCCAAATTGAAAGCTCTACATGAGGTTGTCGTTCGCAACAGACTGGAACAACTTCGCAAACGTCAACGCGACGAGGCATTCCAGGCCCAAGAAGAGCTGCTGGCTGGTGTTGCGAAAGCCGCGTCCACGAGGTCAAATGCTCCTCTGGACGTAATTGTCGATGTAGAAATGAGCGATGAAATTGTTGAGGACATGGAGCCCTACGATCGCGCGATGAGTCCAAGTCTGTTGGACATCACTAAATTATCTTCTGATGATCGTCAAATCGACATCATACTGGAGGAGGACGATCGCCGTAATTTGGTAAGCTTTGAAGCTGTCGGGGTCTTTGCTTTCGCTGACGAGGTACTCGCGTCTAGTATCAACAACGTCGCACAGTCGCCGCTTCCAGGTTTGTTCCGAAGGCTGCACAACCTGCAGCAACAGAAGTCGAAACCGAAGAAGCATCTAGCGGCGCAGATCTCGCCTCTGAGGCTTTGTACAGGGCTGAGGCAGAGAAAGATCTCGACGAGGAGGAAGAACTTTTTAATCTGGAGGAGAACATCGTTAATCCAACCACATACAACTGGGAAGACAAATATCGGCCACGCAAGCCGAGATACTTCAATCGCGTCCATACGGGCTACGAGTGGAACAAATATAACCAGACGCATTACGAGTGCGTCCGTGCATTCTTTCTTTGACTAATTGTATTCTGATGCAGATGACAGCACCGACAATCCCCCTCCCAAGGTAGTTCAGGGATATAAAGTAAGTCTGATCTATACATCAGCCCCGCACACTCTAACCTGATTCAGTTCAACATATTTTATCCGGACCTCATCGACAAGTCGAAAGCTCCAACATACAAAATCGTCAAAGAGGCAGGAAACGATGAAACCGTACTTCTCCACTTCAGTGCTGGCCCGCCTTACGAAGACATTGCTTTTCGAATCGTCAATCGAGAATGGGAGTTCTCACACAAACGGTGGGTACCTCATCCTTCAGAACAGAGCTACCATGCTTAGCCTCGTCATAGCGGATTCCGGAGCAGCTTCGATCGTGGCTGTCTATCTCTGTGGTTTAACTTTCGTCGTAATGTCAGTAAAATCGCTTTCACGATCAATATGCCCATTGATAGCTTGACAGTTTTATCGCAAATGATCTGTTTATCCTGTTTTACGCGTCGTGGGCGGTGGTCTCTATCGCTCCTTTTCCCGATCTCACGACTGCGATGAACGATATTAAACATTCGATTATTTGAATATCACATTGTTCGTTGTAACCCACGGATGCGTAATAAGATTCCCCCAGCCTTCAGGCCACACTGACCACATGGAACTTCGTTGTATCGTGGCCAATTGCAGGCGTTGTATTGTTCGAATTCCTTATTCTGTATACTAGGCCACCTCGGGATCTTTAAACAACGCCTTTTTACACAATGGTTCGAAGTTGCAAATTGGTGCTTTGCCTGAGCCACCTTAGTGTTATGTGGCCCAGAGTTCTCTACATAAAAGGAGCCGCTGGTTCTCCCCGGTCATTTTCAAGTTCTAGCTAGTTTGCGATGCGCGCAGTCAACTTTATCGCTACTCACGCGTACGCTCTTCGAGCCCAGGCTAAATTCATCGCCTCTGCTGCCAACTCCCATAGTCACTCGAGGATCCCCGACACCCTGCATTCGCCGGAAATTTACGAAACCCACAAGGAGAACTACCCGCCAGAAGAATTCGTGTCGTGGACACTTCCTGCAGTCCACCAAAACAACCCGACGATCATCTCTTCTCCCGTACCAGCGAAAAATTCCACAGTTAGCGCAGGGTTCAAGATACGTCGTTTTCAACCTTACGCCACAGCGAAGGCCAAAAGAGTAAAATCATCTCCTCGCTCCCCGACTTTAGCACCGCCAAGACATAGGCAAAGATCATCGCGTCCCAGTGCACTCGTCGAATTCGTCGGGCAGGAGCACAAACAGACGAAGACATCGACAGCCGTCCATCCTGGACCAAGGAGATATATTGCTGGGTGTCCTGACTGCAACTGCGTCGCTGACTATGTCGTCGCCCCCACCAACAAAAAGGTGAAGATCGTGGAACCAAAACTTCTCTATGCAAAGCTTCAGAAATATTCCTTCTGCCGATGGATTGCAAGATACTTGTTCTACACTGTTCTGAATTCGGAATATTGGGAAGCTGGATCCATGTATGTCGTTCTCTTCGCTTTGTTCCCGTTGTCTTCATTAATCGTTTTCTGCCGTCTTAATCGTTTTCTGCCGTCTAGCCCCATGAGCGCCCTCAGCGCGCTGGCAGTTCGCCTAGAAAGAATCGCCTTTGATTTGAATCCCAGTCTACCCATTTTCTTTCTTACCCTCTTCTATGTCTCGTCACTATTTCCTCGCGGAATAATCGGCAGAGACTTGTATCGTCGTGAATCCCTCATCGTGAAAACGTTGGCCAGAATGTTCATGGTTGGTTTCATGTTGGCTACCAAATGGTTGGATGATTGTGCATTCCACGCCAAAACTTTGTAAGTCAGCTCCATCCTCTCCACGCTTTCCTGGAGATTGAAAATATCTGCGTAGACGGAGGTACTTCGATGCCAGTTGTTCTAGCTTTCCTCTACGTTCCGTCAACGCTGTCGAAATGGCAGCTCTTGTCGCATTTGACTTTGACATCGGGCTCTCTACGCAAACATGGATACATTGGCTGCACCAGCTCCGTTTGGTTGCTTCGGAGGTCGGGGAGATGGGTCTATGTGAAGCCCCCACAATCTACATCGATGGCTTGCTTCTCGACGCAAAGGTTATTGAAAAGGGTGGCTCGTTCAAATCTACAAAAGGACGAGTCAGTATACCGGCTCCGCTGCTTCTGGATGTCTTTGACGTTCTTGTGAGTGACTTGAAGAAGCCGTGTCGAGTCACGTGGCAAGATTAGATTAGATATTTACGAGTCATGGTGATTGCTCAGCGCTCAGCCTCGATTGTACTTTGTATATCCACTCTCATCGTCCTCCAAAGAATTTAATCGTGCATCCCCACCCTTGAAACAAATTTCGTCTTACACAATGACCGACACCTCAAATCTTGGTGTTCAAATGGATATTGACGAGGCTGCCATCGATGAAGGCCTGTACTCCCGCCAACTGTGCGTGAAGACGATTACTCCCAAATCTTGGCGCTAACATCTCATTTCAATCAGCTACGTCCTCGGACACGAAGGTGTGTCTCTAGCCTTCACATCTATCACTCGTTGCTTATCTATGCGATACAGCCATGAAACGAATGGCTGTTTCAAATGTATTGATCGTGGGACTTCAAGGCTTGGGCGTCGAGATAGGTGATGATGTTTCCCGAATGCTTCAGGGCCTAGCTCAATGCCCTGTTCTCAGCTAAAAACGTTGCTCTTGCCGGCGTCAAGTCCGTTACAATCTATGATCCAGAACTTGTCACGGTGCAAGATTTAAGTTCGCAAGCAAGTCGTTCTTGGAACCTTACGACAAAGACACTAATAATCCTTTTCAGTTTTTTCTGCGATCTGAAGATATAGGGAAGTCTCGCGCCGCGGCCACTCTTCCCCGGCTCGCAGAACTGAATGCGTACGTCCCCGTTAGGGACCTCGGGGGGATGCCAGGTGACGCAATTACGGTGGACCTCATCAAAGGTTTTCAGGTGAGTCATATCCTCTTGCTTCGGACTACGACTTTGAGCAACCTTGTAGGTTGTTGTACTGTGTGGCGTGCCGCATCGCAAGCAACTTGAAATCAATGATTGGACTCATCAGAACGGAGTTCCATTTATTTCGACGGAGACGAGAGGTCTCTTTGGGTGAGTGGCCTCTCCTGATCATCTCGAAAGGGACCCAATTAACACACTTCGAGTTCCGCCTTTACTGATTTCGGCGCCAAATTCGCTTGCGTCGATCCAACTGGCGAACAACCTCTTACTGGAATGATTGTATCAGTTAGCAAGGTTTATAAATTTTCCCCATTCCCCGTGCTTGTCTAATGAAGCCTCAGGACAATGAAGGGCTAGTGACCTGCCTAGATGAGACACGACACGGTCTAGAAGATGGTGATTTTGTGACATTCACCGAGGTACAAGGAATGCGGCAATTAAATGACTGTGAGCCACGGAAAGTGACGGTCAAAGGGCCCTACACCTTTACCATTGGTGATACCTCGAAATTCGATGATTATAAAACTGGCGGTATCTTCACTCAAGTCAAAATGCCAAAGATCATAGACTTCGTTGGTTTTCCGTTTATAAAGATGCTTTATCATTTAATAAAACTTTTAACAGAAACCTCTTAGGGAATCTTCACTGTCACCCGAGTTTTTCATAACAGATTTCGCCAAATTTGATCGACCGGCAACTCTGCACGCTACCTTCCAGGCGCTTTCGGAATTTAGGACGCAGCACGGCAGACTACCCCGTCCCAGAAACGAGGCCGACGCAGTGATACTGTTAACATTGGCCAAGGAATTGGACAAGGAGATCGACGAAAAGATTGTTAAGGAGCTTGCATACCAAGCCACAGGAGATTTATCCCCCATAAACGCGGTAATGGGCGGTTTCGTTGCTCAAGAAGTGCTAAAGGCTTGTTCTGCGAAATTCCATCCCATGGTTCAGCACATGTACTTTGACTCGCTCGAATCACTGCCCGATACTCTTCCCTCGGAAGAAGACTGTCAGCCAACAGACTCCCGTTATGACGGTCAAGTAGCAGTGTTTGGTCGAGCGTTCCAAGAGCAAATTTCGAATCACCGACAATTCCTTGTGGGGTCTGGAGCGATAGGGTGTGAAATGTTGAAGAATTGGAGCATGATGGGTCTCGGATCTGGTCCGGATGGCATCGTTCATGTCACTGATCTCGATACAATCGAGAAAAGCAATCTTAACAGGCAGTTCTTGTTTCGACCCAAAGACTTGGGCAAGTTCAAGGCGGAGGTTGCTGCGGTCGCTGTTGCGGATATGAACCCTGACTTGACCAACAAGATTATAGCGAAGCAAGAGCCAGTTGGGACCGCGACTGAGGGTGAGCATGAATCTTCATCATTATGAAATTCACATCTGAGTTCTTGTTAGGCATATATGATGAGGCGTTCTTTGAAGGTATTGATGGAGTCACAAACGCTCTGGATAACATCAAAGCTCGTGCGTATGACGTAGTGTCTTTTTTTTTTTTTTTTTTTCGAACTAACGTTCATCTAGGCCTGTATATGGACCAAAGATGTGTCTTCTATCGTAAACCTTTGCTTGAATCCGGGACCTTGGGCACGAAAGGAAACACTCAAGTAGTAATTCCTGACGTGACGGAATCATACGCTTCATCACAAGATCCTCCAGAGAAAGAAACGCCCTCCTGTACCATCAAAAACTTTCCAAATGCTATCAACCATACAATTGAGGTGAGACTCAGTATTTCAAACTCTCGCTTGTTGCCAATGTGTTCCTTGACAGTGGAGTCGAACTCAATTCGACAACTTGTTTGTGAAGCCTGCGCAGTCAGTCAATGCGTACCTATCAGAACCCAACTATCTGGAGAGCACCTTGAAGTACTCTGGCCAGCAAAAGGAGCAAACCGAACAAATTGTCTCATTCCTTGTCACCAACAAACCTCTCACTTTTGAGGAATGTATCATTTGGGCTCGTCTTCAATTTGAGAGAGACTACAACAATGATATTCGTCAACTATTATTCAGTCTTCCAAAGGACGCTGTCACCAGTACAGGTCTGCCATTCTGGAGTGGACCGAAACGGGCTCCTGACGCTTTGACCTTCAATTCAAACGACGTGAGTAGTCTCTAAAGGTACCTTTCGTTGACTAATGTCGCGCGACTCATGGCATGCCAGCCTGTTCATCTTGCGTATATCATCGCTGCAGCTAACTTGCACGCCTTCAACTACGGTTTACGGGGAGAGACTGACCCAGCTGTCTTCCGCAAGATTGTGGATGCCGTTATTGTCCCCGAATTCACTCCCAGAAGCGGCGTGAAGGTTCAGATATCTGACAATGACCCTGTCCCGCAAAACAGTGGTGGTGATGGTAAGTTTATGGTACTTGCGCAATCAATGAAAGCTCATGATACATTGAGATGGGGGTTCCGAAGGATCTGCAAAGCTCCCTTCGCCTTCATCACTTGCTGGGTACCGTCTCAACCCCGTTGAATTCGAGAAGGACGACGACAGCAACCATCACATTGACTTTATCACTGCTGCATCCAATCTTCGTGCCATGAACTATGGTATCAACATCGCGGACCGTCATACAACGAAACAGATTGCTGGAAAAATTATACCTGCCATTGCTACTACCACGTCTCTCGTGACAGGTTTGGTGTGCCTCGAGTTGTACAAGGTTTGTCCCATTAGCGTATTTTATTTGGTATATCCTGATCTTGGAACTGCAACAGATAATTGACGGCAAGAAAAAGCTGGAGGATTATAAGAACGGATTCGTCAATCTTGCTTTGCCTTTCTTCGGATTCTCAGAACCTATCGCGGCTAAGAAGGCTAAGTATGGGACGACTGAATGGACCTTGTGGGATCGCTTCGAGTTCAAAAACGATCCGACGCTCAAGGATATCGTGACCTGGTTCAAGGCCAACCACGGCCTCGATATCACGATGGTGAGCCAGGGTGTGAGCATGTTATGGAGCTCTTTCATAGGGAGGAAGAAGGTGTGGACAGTTCAGTGCTGCCCACGTGGCAATCTAATCAACTGTTCAATAGAGCGACGAGCGACTGCCCATGAAATTCAGTCGTTTGGTGGAACATGTAAGCAAGAAGCCCATAGCTGATCACGTCAAGCAACTCGTTGTGGAGGTGATGGTATCGGATGAAGAGGGCGAAGACGTCGAGGTCAGCCAATTTCTATACTTCATCCTGGCAATACTCTGACACTTTGCAGGTTCCCTTCATTGTTGTTCGCATTTGAGTGGATTAGAGGCTTATGTACTGAAAGGATTAAGAAGACTTAGAATAACGTGTACTTGACTTTTTATGTGGCATTGCAATTCAACAGGAATTTTTGCAAGAAGAGGACAGGAGACAGATGCATATTATTTTGCAACCATGTCCAGAACTGAGCTCAGGCAGTGACACTCGTAGCATACTACTTACTTACCTAAAAAGGGCTAACTACGTGGTCTGTGAAACAGAAGGGAGTCACGAGCAGGGGGGGAGAGGGGAGGGTGAGACTGTAGTGGCGGGGGAGGGAAACAGTAGGCGAAACAGTAATCGTGATGGTAAGATCAAGATTATATGAACACATCGCAAGAGATGAAGCGCGAGGGAAGGACTGTAGGGATGTTTTTGTGTTTTTCAATGATAAAATTGAACGAAACAGAGGATGGGGGAATAGGGGATGATGGGTAGGGATGACAAGGATTAGTATCGAAAAGACCGATAAATACCAAAGAGAAGAAGTCGCGTGAACAACTGAACACCGACGCAGCAAGAGTCCATGTAAAATCTCCAGGGGCTGAGACTGATGACTCACGGAATAGATGAAGCCAAATGAGACTTGTCAAGTTCCAATACGGATCACGGCCGCAACCCCTATGGACATGATGGATAAGTCCTGGAAAGTGGGAGGGCTCAAGATAATGAGACGATAATAGCAGACGGAGAGGCCGTTATTCACAGTGGAAGGGAGTTGTACAAGGCCAAAGCTGGAAAAAGTATAAGACTTAAACCCAGATAGGCAAGAAGTCGCCTTTGAGTCGTTTGCGGAGCGTAATGTAGAGTGCAGATGATGAAAACGGAATGACGGAATCTAAAGAGATGAAGGGTTTCTCCTTTGTGCAAGCGAGCTATCACACTCAAGTCCTTAACCAGGTTGTTTGCGGAGCCACAGCTGGCAGGGGGAACGAAGGTCCTGGGTATGGGTAGTGGCTGGATTCAATCCATCGATGCTCGGCTTCAAGACCAGGTGCAAGTTCGTTCGCAGTCATCCGAGGATCACCACATCTATATTCGAAGCTTGATTGAGAGTACGAACGCAGATGGTTGCGTGAGAGTAAATTATGTTGATCGTAGGACAGCGATTGAGAGCGAGAGTGTGGCAATGCAATGGAGGGAACAAGGGCATATGGGTACATCGTTTGGTTGATGTGGATTGGTGGCGCGTCGTACATGTAACCTGGCTGCGATTTAATGGGCATATACCCAGAGGGATTCCAATTGGGATCGAATCCCATATCATAGCTGTGTTGCATGAGTGAGAAAGAGATCAGAGGTGGTGGCTGAACGGCAACATATTGACCGCTGTTACGGTTTCTCTCCTTCAAAATAGGCTCATCGCCAGCAGGACTCCATTTGGCTGGAGGTGGAAGAGGCTTGCCCATTATCTCGGATCGGTACTGATTCTGCTGCTTTCTCCCAAATGGTTCGTGTTCCCAACGCTCAGGTGCATGGATGACATTTCCTACACCGTTGGAACGACGCCGAGGAAGGTATTCTTCTCGGAGTGGCCCGTCCTTGTCGAGATCAATTTCCAGAGCTTCGATAGCCTGTTCCTGCTCCAACTTTTCTCTCTTGCGTTCTTCAACACCGAGGAACACTGGCTGAGGAATAGAAGAGGTAAGCCAGGCAGCCGGTGCCTGAGCGATCTCATCAATTGCCTTTCGAACGATAGCATGAGGGTTCGCAGAGGGACGGGAGATTGGTTGGGGATGATTTGGCGAAGACAAGGACATATGATATGACAGGATGTGCCGGAGCCATTGCGACCAATCACGTGTTGAGATGGAGAGGTCGTAAGTAAAAATGTCAAGGGTAAGGGACTCGAGTCTGTTCAGCGCCTGGATAGGAACGTTCGAGATTGTATGCCTATGCAGGTCATCAGGGTCTGCATCACATGGTAGACAGAAGAAAAAGACAAACCAAGTCTTGTTGCTGAATGTGTGGTCATCCAACCATTTGTTCGCCAGCATGCATCCAAGGACAATAAGGCGGAAAGGAGCTGAGGCTTCCATGTTTTCACGCTCATATGCGCCAGGCTCCCCGAGTAATGCTGCCCTGAAAAGGTGCTCTTTCGTATACTCTGGGCCGAGTGCTGCGGCCCCAAAGCAGACAGGCAATCGCACGATGTACCAGATGGCCAAAAAGATAGCGGACGGCTGGAGCAAGGTAGATAGCAGAAGAGAATGCACGGAAGGCGCGAGGTAGCTTGGTGGCTCAGCCAAGTACTGAACCGGAGCATTCCTGTGCAAAATCATATTGGTCAGGTATTCAACATGATGTAAATAGAACTTGACTCACATCGGGTGGGCAAAGCTTGAAGGTAGACTGAGACCCGTGGTACAAACCTTCCAAACATAATTAGCAACCCATTCCGACAACGGCTCAGCGAGCTTCTTGTATCCAGCCGTGGCGCTTGGTGTGACTACATCAGCGGCAGAAGATTCATTGGGCTGATTGGCGATGGTTGGGAAAACCGGTTGAGCTTGATAATAATCTGTAACATGATTACCATCAGGGCACTCGTACTCTGAAACTGTAACAGCGTTGATAGCGTAGTTGCTGCTCCCGGTATATGTCGTGGCCGCAACCGCCCGATCGACGTAATCACCAAAAGGAGTGACGGGTTCTAGAGGGCTAGAGGTCAAATCAGGCCCACTCGTTGTGCTAGGAGACTGATCCTCAAAGATTGGTGAGAATAAGCCTCGCTGGTTTTCAGAAGTGGCAAGGTCAGTGAAGACCAAAGAGGGAGATCCCTCCATCTGTTGTGAAGATAGGTCTTTGATGCCTGACGCTGCGGTGGGCCCATTCAAGTAACCACTCTCCCACTTGAATCCATCGCCACACTGCCTCGGCTTGGTGGGGGGATCATCCGAGTCCATCTCGTCGTCGGCGTCGCCGTCAGACCCAGGTTGGTCCATGTGGCATCGAGGGGATGCTGCATTCCCATACGTGGGCGAACTGCACGCTTCAGCGTGAGGTCCTTTAATGACTGACGCGTTGTCCGCGGCAGTCAACCCTTGATGAAAAAAATGCTGCTCGGCGACACGAGTGTCCTCTTCCCATATACGACGGGGCTTGATCCGCCTCCAGGACGGGAGGGAGTTGATCCACTCTTCGCGGGTCCCGAAGGAGGGGGGCGGCCCAGCTGGAGAAACTGGGAGTGTGGCAGCAAAGTTCTGGAAGGAGTTTGTATGAGTGTCGGTGGAGTGGCTCGGCTTAATGACGGGATGTGCCGGGGGCTTGTAAAGACGGGGAACGGGAACTGGCATTTGCAAAGAGAGATAGACAAGAGAGAAGCGTCAACGTCACGAAAAGGTGAAGATGACAGCTAGACTCTAATCTATAGATGGCTCCTGGCGAGGAGAGCAAGAGAGGGAAAGGTGGGGGTCGTGATGGCTGTCGTAACGAACAGGAAAAGCGAGAGGAGAAGTTGTGAGGAGTAGAAATGTTGGCAGACGCACAGCGAAGGCGTGCCTTTTTGACCGAGTAGAGAAAAAAAGCTGCAGAAAGAGATGACAGAGACCCAGCTGCTAATAATTTCACTAAACGGGGAGACGAAAAACGGCCCTCTCCAGTCTTCGCCCGAGTTGTCGGTGAGATTGTTGGGACAGGAACTGGAATCGACGGAAGAGGGTCGATATCCGCCTTGCTGGGGATAATCAGCCTTGTAGAGGAGATGGGGAACAAAAAAAAACACAACAACCGACACGTATATATACACATTACGTAACAACTCTTAGACGCGGCAGCTTCCACCCCTTTTTATCAAAGTCATCGACTCATCGATCATCATCGATGACGGCGGCACTCCGAGTCATGTAAAGTGTCTTGTGACAAGAAACAATCGAGATGGCCCAGCAGACTAACCACGACTCTATTACACTTGGTCAACTCAATTCTCTTGTGAGCTCTGCACCAAAACCAAAGGTCCCTCTTTCTTCACTTGCTTCGTAGCTTCTTGTTGATCCTAGTATTGTAGCAATCATGGTATGACTTCAAGTATGATGACGAAGACACGGTTATGAACGAAATAGAAGAGTTTTATTCCTACATTGAGATGCCCCAGGTCGCCGAGAACCTAAAGGCATGGGAGGGCTCATTCACAACAGGCGTGTATCAATAAGACGTTTATGTGCCAAAAAATTGACCTGTCGCGTTACAGAATGGACAAAGGCCCCCATCGCATTGAGGAAATCTCACATTGAGCTGCTCCTGGAGAGTTTGGAACACCGGGACGCCGAAATTCGTTTCACGAATGCCCGTCGCTTGTTTTACGTTTTGCAAGGTAATCTCCGACGAAGAAATGACTGTGTGTAAGGGCTCACAGGCGACATAGGGACGTTTTCGGAAACAGTTTCGCCTGAGCATCAATTGCATTGGATTTTTGAGAACTGCAAGGTAGTTCGGTCTGCGAATGGTGTGAGCAGCATCATAGAGGCAATGAAAATCGCTAGTCATAAACATGACTTATTGTAGTATGTTCACTCCCTTCATTCTCGGCGTGCTCTGAACCTGCTCCAGCAACCTCTCTGATCAAGATGCAGCGCACTTCCACATCTCTGCGCAAGAGAAGGCTGATTTCATTGAAGAAGTGCTAACCGAAATATCCGTATATCTCGGCATGCTGTACCACCTGATTGAGGTTTTCAAGGGACACGACGATTTTGCGGACGAGTTGAGTAAGCAAACAGCTTCTTCAGTCTTGATGTCGCATCAAATCTATGGCCGCAGTGAGCTTGGACCCCCCGCTACCTGTTTACCTTTTCAACGTGGTTGCCGGACTTCGTGAAAAGACAGCAAAGGGGTATCCTATTAAAAAGGTGCGCGCACAAAAACACCGCGCCTTCAATCTTACCGTTCAATAGCTTCTTTTAGTCTTATGGAAAACTCTTCTCACATGTTGGGGAGGCATTCGCGAATATGAAAGGGCCAAGAGGCTTACGCGGGAATTGTCAGGTCTACCTGTTGGCGAGAGTGGTAAGTGAGGGATTCATGGGATATTGAATTGGCACTTAAATTACTGTAGGGGATAGAATTAAATCTACGCCCATTGACATCGAAACTTTCAGACACGAAACCTTCGTCAAATACCCAACTTTCACGGCTGCGCAACAGCCTCCCCCACAAGTTGCTGAGGCTCCTATAGCGAAATCTAATCCAGCTCTGCTCACCTCGCGGCTGGCACAAGCATATTCACCCATTCCAATCAGACACCACTATCACCATGACGACATTGAGGTATCTCATGGAGGTCCTCAAGTCCCTCCTGCAGGTTATCACGCACAAAACATGAACCAACACGGGCCATATCGTCCAGCCCCTCAACCAGCTACCCCAGCCCCGTCTCCCCCACCTTCTCCAAAACCCAAGAAGCAGCAGTACCAAACAGATCAAACTCGCCCTTTCTTGTTCCCATTCTCTCGCCGTCGACCTGGCAAAGACGCTCAACTCGTCCCCTTCGCAATTGACGAGGCAGATCGCCTTTACAACAAGCACATGTACATCAGTGCTTCTCTTTCTCAGATGTGGCGGACGAGGGAGGATTGTATGACGGCAGAAAGTGGTTTGGATCATATGCCTGGCACGGAGGGCGAATTCGAATCATCTACGTTTAACGCAGACGTGAGAATATTTTGTGCAATTGTCATGAGCATTAATTAAACTTTGCACCACAGGATGCGGAGTCTGCAGAACCGTTGCCAGATCTTGCGCTTTTGGATACGAAAATCACCGAAGCAATCGAGTCAATCAAAGTCGCACAAACAGGCGCTGACAAACGGAAGGCTAGAGAGAGAAAGGAGGATCTGATGCGTTTGAAACGAGTCGAACAGATATACGTCAGTAAAACTCAGATTCTCAGAGGGCATGATTTTCATATTTGTTTCACCAGAGCGCTATTTTGCCTGTGCTATCCAACTGGGTTCTTATTCTCCTCAAACTTCTTCTCGCTACTGTTTCAGCCAGCACAAACTTGCAACCTCCGCAATCGTCCACTTCCTCGGGTTTTCCGCCTGGCGTAGCCTCTCGTCAGTCTTCTGTTTAGCCTTGGACCCATATCCTGATGCCAATTATGTTTACAGCACAGGAGCAATTACACACGACACCGCCCACACTAGATGAGATTGACGTTACCCGCCATCGTGAAATTACATCTAAGGCAGTATCCGCTATTTTACTATTGGTTTTGAAGTGGTTCAAAGTATCCCGTGAGTTGAACATTACCTTCTGTTCACTTCGCTTCTTAAGTGGCATATATCGTAGATGTGATGAAGTTCCACCATTTAGGGCAACACTTGCTCGACACAAATTGCCTTTTATTGATTCTGAAGATGTTTGGTCTGCAGGAGGTATCTGCTTCGGTGATCTCTAAAGCAGATTCTCCGGAGAACAAGTAAGATATCCCTTGATCCACATCTTCAGGGAATTGCTTACATGGAGCAGCTTCTTTCGGTACTGTCTTCTGAATCTCTCAAAAATGCCTCAACCAGTAAGACCCGAAGACGCCATGCACCGAGCACCTCGTCAAACAGTGATTAAGATCATAAATCTACCCAACGGTGAGAAGCATGAAGAAGAGGTGGAGCAAGTGATGGAGTACTCTTGGCGAAACTTTTTCTCTACTATCAATTTTGCGAAGATCATGCAGAAGCTATCGAAAGGTCGATCGCACCGCATCTGGATGCTCATTCAATACAAGAGTTCGGTATGCCTTCACCCTTTTTCAATGCTGAGGAACTTGACCTGAATTGCAATTTTCAGGCAGTTTTGAAACGAGTTCTACGAGTTCCCCATCCTATGTTGCAATTACACATTTTGAAGCTCATTAAAAGTCAAGTTCCATTTTGTGGTCGTAAATGGCGACAAAGTATGGGTCTTTCCACTTTCCAAACAGGGCTGTCATGATCTAACTCTTTCATAGCAAATATGAAGGTCATCACTTCAATATATCTCAATTGTCGACCAGATTTGCGAGACGAATGGCTTACCGGGACCGAGGTCGATGATGTGTCGGATGCTCAAGTAAATAATCTTGATAATGGGCCTCTTCCAGCAAGCTGATACCTCTATTGTTTTTTTCAGGCACAAGAGCAAGCTTTGCGTCATCTTGTCAAGTTTTGTACGTTGTCTTCAAGTCCTTAAGAACATAGCTAATAACAAGCTTGCAGACAATAACAAACGGTATGGTCCGACGGCATCGTCCACCCAACATGGCGCTCTTCATCGAAGATCTGGGAGTATGTCGCACCACCTAGAAGGTTTGCACTCAGATCCGGCGCTTTCCAGTCTCATCCGGCCACTGGGGACTCCCAACGTCGTCGATTCCGATGTTTTCCCCCCATCCCGATCGCAGGCACCTAATCCTTCCATCTTTCTTCCATACATCACCGAAGATATTGCGTTTGAAGAAGAATATGAAGAGTATCTATCTGACCTTGGCTGGTCGGACGAGCAAGCACCGGACGGACCCCTGATCGGTGGTACATCTGCTTGGCACCGACTCCCAGATTTCGCAGCAGAAATCGCAGATGGAATTAGTGACAGCGAAAGCATCGTATCTATCGGAGATCTTGGTGATGATTCCCGTCTTGACTCTACGCGTGACGATAGGGATGTGGTCGACGAGAACTTGAACAACTGGGAGGTTCGTCACTTCATTTTACAAATCTGGGTTGTTCACAGCTAACCTTTATAACAGCACATGAGCCCGAAGACTATGGCCGCCTTGCCTAAATCTCCCGCAGGAGCGCGAAGATCAAGTTCTGGCGGTGGTCTCCGACCCGTTCTGCCATTTGGGCTAGATGATGGTAGCGCGGTTGATCTCGAAGACGACGAGGCGGAACTTGGGCCAATAGCTCGAGATGAGTCTGGTCCGTTCTTGGTCGGCGCCAGCGTCGACGAGGTCGAGTACGCATACGGGTAAGTCCTCACACTCGACGTTGTTTTGGACTTCTCTAACGTTCATCTTAAGGGTTTAATCGATGGATCTTCGCTTAAGTACTGTATTATTTTCAATAAAAATGGTTCAATTGGTTTGGAGGGCAAAAGGAATATCTCGTCAACTATCCCCACCGCGCAACTGGTAACACACGTTCAACGTGTATCATGAGCCACTGTCGTTCCACGTTCAAGTTCAATGGCTTGATTACGTAAAGTACACGTAAGTACTTCCATTACACCTCTCTCTTTGCCAGGCAATCGCGATACGCACAAGCATTGCGGCAAAACATTGAGATCTCAGACTGAAAAGCCTGGTGAATTGTGTTATTTACTTTCATGGATCAGCCAAGCGGAAGTGCGTATGCCACACCTATGGAGGAGTTATCGGCGATTGTGTCGGTAACAAATTCTGCAAACGCCGTCGAAGGAAGGCAGAAACGAAAACGAAACAGGCCTATCCTGTAAGATAGCTCTTGTAATATGCCAGTGGTACTATGATCTGACATCGAATTAGGAGCTGCTTGCGTCAGTCATGTTTCCGCCACGTATCGAAATGATAGCTCATTTTCGAGTATATATAAACTTGAAGCCTGTCATGAACGAAAACAGCAGGTAAATTGTGTCAATAGAGGTGTATCTTTCTCATACATGGCACTAATGGACAACGAAGTGCTCGCGAGGGAATCCTTGCACGCGATGGTAGGATTTTTTTCAAGACTTCTTACTTGCTCTCAATCTGCTTGCTTCCCTGCCACAAGTGTAATTCGCCGCACCCCAGACGAGTGCAAGTATTACGAAAAGCCGGTCCACAGACCCGGGTGAATATAAATTTGCCGATTTAAATTAATAACACTCGCTGATGTCCCCTTGACGTACAGCCCCGTAGGTAACTCAGATGGGGTTGCCCAATTGGTACAAAGCACGCTACAAAGTCTTGAACCTACTACCATTGCGGGTTTGCAAACTCTTTTGCAGTTGGTTCAAGCCGGAAATGCGGTTATGAATACGTCTGGCCAGCCCATCGATTTTGATAACGCCAGCACATCTCGTCAAGCCGCTGAAGAGGCAGTTCCCGACCAACTTTCCCAACAAAATTCACCGAAGCTACCCCTTCCCCTGACATCTCATGGACCGGTAACGAAAAGCTTTCGCCATACCGCGAACTGACCTCTTACGGCGATCTAGGTTTTATCCAGCTATGACCAACAAGGTTTAGCAGATCTTCAAAATCACTTTCCCAACCATACAATCACTAGTCGTCTATTGGCTCATTTCTTCGCGGAGTCCACAGTTCCCTGGTTGTGGGATGTCATAGACAAACCCATGTTTGACAACTGCTATTACACCTTTTCGATGGGCCACTGCGCACCCTCGATGGATTTCATTGCTCTCTTGGCAATGGTGTGTGCAATATCCTTGCAGTTCCTCCCCGAAACGCCGGCCAATGTGAGTTATACCGCACGTAATTTAGAACATACCTATACCTCCAAACAGTCGACGCTGTTTACGGACTACCAACATGGAAGAGGTGTCCTCAAAGAACGAATGTATGACTTTTCATGCTCCATATTGCTGCATAATCCTACTCCGGTGCCTTCTTTGGAGCGCATACAAGCCCTCATCCTACTTTCACTCTTCCAATTGGTGCATTTTCTCTCTTGGTAACCCGAATTGCAATTTATTTCACACCTACAGAACGAAGGAAACGTGAGCGGTTCGTGCAACTCAAGTGGTATGGGAACGAGTTATTTCGTCAATCAAGCTCATCATCTTCAATCCTAGCTGCTGCAATTCGTCTGGCGCACTCATGTATGCTTCACACACATTGTTTTTCATTGCCTGACAAATGTGGTCTACAGTAAGAATGAATAGATGCGCAACTGGCTTGAGCGAAGCTGAAGCTGACATTCATCAACGAGTATGGTGTGAGTTTTTCCTGCGGGTTTCCACTGCTGCGTCTCATGATCACCCCAGGGACCTTGTTCAACGTTGATCGGTAGGCGCCATTGGTTTGACTTCATCCCAGTTAGACCAACGTAAGTAGTTTTCAGAGCTATCTTTTGAATCAACCATTCTTCATCCACGAACAGGTTTGTGAGGATTGCCTTTACCTTTTAGACTGCCCCCCTCACGTCTCACGTCCTTAGCATTGTGATGTCGAGATACCAAACGTTTACTTGACGGCATTATCGCCTCGTTTGCGTCCTGATACAGGAGGAAGTTTTCCAACAGAGCCCAGTGAGCGGTTAGCATAATACGACATGTCGGTCGAGTCTTGACATGGGCTCTTTTCTAGCTTTTCACGCCTTGCAGAACCATTGGGCTAGACTTGTGGGAGATGTTTGGAGCAGATACCTTTTCCATCATGCATCATCGTATCGATATATACTTGACATCGAATGTCAGATCGAAACTTTTGAAAGCAACATTCCGCCTTCCATGCGTTCGACATCAATATCGAGTAATAGCATGTACGCCCTTGTCCAGGTGCACTTCAAAATATCTTATTCTTTGCCTGTGAATACTGAAAAACGGCTAGAGTCATGTTCTAGCGGTACAGCCACACCACTTACGCATATTGCTTCTGGTGTGTCAAATTTCAATCCGTCATATCTCCCCTTTTAATCTTGCTTATAGCGGCCATCGTTACTCAAGTTTTTTTCTACCAACCGACAACTTGTAACGGAGCCCACAGAAGCATTTCATCAGTGTGCTGCGCAAATATGTATATCCTCCTGGTATGTATCTCACTCCCCCTCCCCAAGATTCTAGATCTGACGCTCTTCGCACCCAGCAAACGACTTCTAGCATTCTATTACACAAGACGGAATGACTTCAATTCCTGTGTTCACCACTGGGCAAGCTCAATTTCCAAATTATTTGATGTTTCCCGTGAGTTGGTTAACCCGAATCGTGAACTGATTAACACATTGTGAATTAAGTGTCACTGATTATTGCAAGCTTGGTGCCGCCTAGGCAATTCGGGCTGAATGATGATCTGGGCACCTGGATATCGATGGCCCACAGTCTCCTTTGCTGGACGAGTGCTTCGAGCACCTTGGCCTTGTCCGCCGCACGCTATGTTGAGGTTATGCAAAATTACGCACGGTTGTCTTCACATTCGTTAAACAATGCCTCTCAACCGCTTGATATCGGTAACTGGCACAATAAGGCGACACATACGCTCGCAGAGGACGCAGATTCCGTGGCCGGATTATTGAACAAGCGAGCCAAAGGTCAAGAGTGGCTATCTTCGGAGGTGGATCCTGTGTACGAGGTTCAGTTTCCTGGATTTCAAGCATTTTGCGACGGCAAAACGTCTATATTGGAAAACTTTATGGAAAGATATTGCTCTAGTTAATAGCCACTAGCGTTATGTTGTCGAGATATGTGAAATAAACAGTTCAAGCACACTGCTCGGGCACGAGGTGGCGTCACTTGACTGCCCAACGGTAAGCGGTTCAAAAAAGCCCAGTAGCGTCCGTTGAAAGTTTCAACAATGGCCATAGAAGAGAGGTGGACAACGGGGGTGTCCCATGGGGGACATCATGGGTAAAGTTTTTGTTTGTGTGTGGACAATGTATGGACTTGCTTTGGACTGTGTCTTCCAAGATTTGGACTGTCGGGGCATGTTGAACCTGGTGGCTGCAGACACACTAACACTTCTCGTCGTCCACGACCATGTCGACGATGGGCGCAACATCACAGAGGCGACTAGCAGCGATACTCGAGGTTGGCTTAGGAGGGCGAAATAGCGGTCCGTGCGCGAAGAACGGGATTCCCACGTCTCTGACATAAGCTGGTTGATTCGTGGCCTGTTTGCTTCCCCTTCGACCACCATCTTCAACGGAGCACCATCGACCAAGCAACGCTCCCATACAGGTTTCCGCCTGTAATAAAGTCCTTGCCGTCTCAAGATAATGTCCCAGCAACAGGCTCCCCAGGGTATGCAGCCCATGATGCCCGACCCGCAACAAGACCTTGCAGGCAACTACTATCCTCAGGAAAACGACCTCACCGGCGGTCTCCCTATCAATCTTGATTCTTTACGAGACGGACCACCCGGAAGCAAGCCTTTCTATCCCTATTCAACTCTGATACGGTATGCTTAATTCATGTTCTTCCGATATTCGATTTTGTCTTACTCAATAGCTTGTTAACAGCTATGCGATAAAAGGCTCTCCTAATCAGAAACTCTTATTGGAAGACATCTATTATGCCATTGAATCCAGAGTAAGTTCCTTTTGATGACATTTCGTGTTGGTTTTGAATCGCTTTCTCTGCATAGTTTCCCTACTTTAGGACAGCCCCAAATGGTTGGAAAGTGAGTTCTTCTCTAACGATGCTAGAAGTAAATTAGATTTGCGAATTGATTCATTGTCAACGCGTACGCGCTGTTGTTATTTGACTGTCCGTATTTGTTGTGGATCGTTTATTATGACTTTTTCAAACACTCTAAATCAGCTCTTACTGATACCATATATACTTAGAACTCTGTTCGCCACAACTTGTCTCTCAACCCCTGCTTTGAGAAAGTTCCTCGCCCTCTCACGGACCGGGGGAAAGGATCTTATTGGACGGTGAATGAGAATGTCGACCCTCGCACTGGAGTCCACCGCATCCGAAAGAAGAAGGGCAAGGGCGCGAAGCGAAGCAATTCAGATGAACCGGATGCCGATTACCAACCTCCTGAGGGTTCATTCGATGACCCTCATGCGCAGTTCGCTCCGCCCGCTATGCATCCTGATGATGCGGGCCCCAGCCGACAGGCCGTCCCGTACCCTCCTACATACCCTCCGTAAGCGACGTTGTCATTTACCGGAAGATTTTATTTTGACGTTCAAAGATACAGCCCTCTGACATTTGACCCCAACTTTCCCATGATGCCCGGCATGCGTTTCCCACCCACGATGGCTGGTCCCATGCCCATCTCACCAGACGAAGGGTTGGAAATGGACGAACACGGAAATGTCAACTGGCGTCTCGCCTGGCTAAAAGAAATCGGGCATTTGCAGCAAGTGACCGCGGAACAGGAGAAGGCTGGCGTTGATCCTGAATGGTACAGAATGATGCTGTTCCGCGTCAGGACAGCCTTGATGCCGCCTCCCATTAATCCTGAAGTAATGCATGGGATGCCTCCGCACATGCAAGCGCCCCCCAACGCCGCTGAGATACAACAACAGCAGCAGCAGCAGTCACAGTAGATTGGTTCGTAATCACGAGTTGTGTAAGATGTTGTAATTTGTAATGCCCATAAATTGTTCGGCCGAAGATGATCTGAGAATACACACCTCTCTCTTCATGTCCCCCAGTATGCCTGTTGCAACCACCGTCGCTGCTGACCCCATTGCTGTTGGAGCCGTCGCTGTTAAACGACCTGCTCTCGTTATTGGCTCCCTCTCCACCGCAGAGGATGGAACATATCAAGCATTGATCTCAGATTTGCAGAGTTCGCGGCAAGTAGATAGGCAGCTTTTAGATCGGTTGGTGGACAACGGTGAGTTTCAGCCCTTCGAATAAAGTACTTCACCCTCAGCCTTATCAGCAACCACCTTGGAACCTTCATCTTACGACTCCGTCCATATCACCCTCGCACCTTCCGATTATCAGGGCTTGACACAAAAGTTACCCCAACTCCTCTCACAACTTTTGACTGGGTTAACGCCCTTGGGCACCCTCCACCTTATCAATCTTACCTCAGCTGTACGGACCTTACCATCCGAGCTTACACTTGCGGGGTTTAATGTTCTCTCCGCGCTTCCTGACGAGGGTACTATCATCGCTCAAAAACCCCAACATGTTGCCAGTACATCGGTCCCTCTAAAAAGCCGTCAGCCAGGCGCACTTCTCAACAGGAAGAAAACAGATCCAGCAAAGAAGCAGGCCTTGTGGGCTTTGAGTTCACCCTCAACCCCCAAGATCGATCCAGAGGCGTTACTCACGGCGGAAGATAAGACCCGTCTAACGCCTGCATGCGAACCTGTGAGATCATCGGCTCCTCGACGCAAGAAGGCTTGCAAGAGCTGCTCGTGTGGGCTGGCGGAGTTGGAGGAGGAAGAGCGAAAGCTAGGAAAGGTTGTGCTGCTCGATGGATCACAGGATGGGACGGCGAAGGAGGTATCTCAAGATGAGAAGGAGAGGCTAATAATTGCTGCAAAGGCCGCACCAAAGGCAACGAGTAGCTGTGGGAGTTGCTTCTTAGGAGATGCCTTTCGATGTGCGGGTTGCCCTTATCTCGGTGAGTGTTGTAGCTATGCAAGGATAACGCTTCTAACAAATAATCAGGTCTACCTGCGTTTAAACCGGGTGAAAAGGTGGAAATTGATTTTGGGATGGATGATTTCTAGATTATAATGCTTGGAGGTAAACATATTACTTGCAGAATAAATGGGATCCGGAAACCGTTGTGTAGAATACATTTGTATCACGTGAGGCAATTCTCAAATATTCTTACCATGGCGTCCTCAACAGAACACCGCTCCTTGTGCAATGTTTGCAATTACAAGTATGCCATTTACACCTGTCCCCGCTGTACCACACGCACATGCTCCCTTCCATGCTCTTCATCCCACAAGTCTTCAACTGGATGCTCTGGAGAACGTAACAAGGCAGCGTATGTCCCAATGAACCGGTATGGGTGGGGTACTATGATGGATGACTACACGTTTCTTGAGGGTGTTGGGAGAAAAGTAGAGGGTTGGGGGCGAGAGATCGCCAGGGGAAGGTTCGGGAATGGAAGACCGGCCGTGAGGGGTAGAGGGAGGGGCGGAGGAAGTGGTGGGGCAGGATCGACGACAAAGAGAGACGTTCTCAAAGTACAGCTGGACATGCGGGATATTGAGATGGAGCTGCTGCCGGTTGGAATGGAAAGACGTAAAATGAATGAATCGAGTTGGGATTTCAAGTACGATCCTGCCCTTGAGCGCGTCAATTTATGTATTGACCCATTCTACCAACAGAAACAAAACAGCTCTTTTAACCGTCCAATTTAAATTCAACCCACCCCGCAATCCATTCGCACCGTCTTCCCAACAACCAGACCCCCCATTCGTTTTGGTCACACACCGTAACAACATAAATCAGACACTGCTGTCCCTCATCCAAGGTCACGTAAAAGATCGGGCAAAGTCCAAGAATTCATGTCCGGGATGGGTGAAATCCCTTGTCCTTCCCAACCCGAGCGAAACGGATTCGTTTGTACCTCCACAATGTGTGATGCCAGCACAGATCAATTCGGTCACGATAAATCCAGGATCACGGCCATACTACTCATTTAACCCACTGGAATCCTTCGTTTCCCTCCTTCGCAAGACCCACTTCGTTGAATTTCCGACGATAGAAATTTGGGAAGAATTCGAAGGGACGGTGTTGAGTACGGAGGGAACCATCGTGCGACAAAAAGAGGAGCGTCCGTTGAAAAGGAGGAAACTGACGTCGAAAGCCAGCAAAGCAGCAATGAACGGGTTACTGGGTGCTTACGGCAGCGAAGAGGAGGACGAGACTGACTCCCAGAATGTGCTATCCATATTAGGTGATTACGTGGGGAGTGACGAAGAATTTGTTGACGATGAGAGGAAGGGCGAAGATTATGCTGATGCTGATGGGGTGACAGATGAAGAAGTGGATATCGACCTTGATCCTGCTGCATTGTTGGAGCTAGTGCGACAGATAGAAGACGGCAAACAATTGAGAGGAGGGGTAAACAACGATAATGTTGACTGGGGAGATTCTGATGATGGCGGGGACGTTGAGTAATTATTTTGGTCGCCGATGTATGTTCGTCATTTAGAGATCTTGACGGCGGAGGTCAAGCAAACCCTTCATAAGAAGTTGTACCTCCAGGACAGCCTCGATGGAATGACTGAGGGGGTTTTCTTGAGTATTTTGGATGGGCGAAGCCGTCTTTACTTCCACCTCCCAGAGAGTATCGGCATGGGCAGGATTCGAGAGTTGCGTTTTGGGATCCACCTTTGACGTCGGGACATGTCTATACCCAAGTTGCGAATAAAGTAACGCCGTGGACTATACCTGCTCTTGCTGAAACATGAGGATAACTAATGGTCCTCGTCGAAAGGCATAACCTCGTTTGTAGATCTGTGATCTATTTCTGAAGCAGGGATTAAGCAAGATGCACGATTGAGCAAGAATGAGCGCTGACAAGTATCCAAGGCCAGCTGCGAAACTTGGCCCGTCGCCGATTACTTGACAAGTCGCCCAGGGTCTAACCGTTGCTTCTGGATGAACACGAGCTGACTCTGGCTTGAGATAAGAATACAATTCCCTGTGGGCAGGTTTTAGGTCACAGTAGCAAGGGAAACGAACTGATATACCATGGTGAGTTGGGTTCCGATAGTTCCTTTTTTGCACGAAGCAGGATGGGCTCTGAGCCCGTATCTCGAAGGTATTGGGCATCGAGAGGTTCAAAGACGATCTCATGGGTGTGAATAGCCTGAGCTGACTCGCTGTGGAGGGTGATGCGGTTGAGAATGGCTTTGAGATCTTGGGAGAAGAATTCGCCAAAGAGAGCGACCTCGTAGTATTGGGAAGACATGTCAACCTGTGACAACAGGGTCAACCAGGTCAACGCTCGGAGGTTGACAGCGCCGAGCGCTAATACGTAGCTTGGCGCTTTAACTTACCTTTGGACACGACTTGACACGACACCTATGAGCGACGACCACTCTACTTCTTCCTTCCATGGCAAGCATCGTCGTCACAAGCCCACTCAAGGTATGTTCTAAATGAACGGAAACGATTTTATCTCACTTTTCTCGAGGCGCGACACAAAGAAAGGACAATCTTCTCTCCTACTATCAGTCTCCTCTTGCCAATGACGGCAAGGACTATGCCCGTCCAACTAGTCCTGCAAAACAACCTTCTACGCGCATCCTTCGTAAAATGTCCACCACCTCCACTTCCTCCTCTGATTACTCTTACGATTCCGAGACAACTGACCGCTCTGGAACGGCTGCAAGATCAGAAGCATCGTCCGCCACGCGTCGATCGAGCACCCCTTCACAAGGCGGCGCTGACAGGCGTAGGGTAGCAATTGTTCAAGTGGAGACTTTGAATGAAGGAACATCGAAAGCTTCATCATCTGGAAACAGTTCGACCGGTTCTATAAGATCCCGACGCGGTTACAAGTCGAATTTGTCGGGGCTGGCTCTGGTAGCTCCTCCAGACGCGGCTCCGAGGTCATACACTCAGCTAACACCACCTTCTACCGCACCTGCTAGCGGCAAACACTTCTTGCCCCACGAACGCGACCATTTTGACAAAGGACACCAGAGATCTACCTCTGAAGTTCAAGTTGCACCTCCAAAGAAGACCTCACCCCGTGATGTTGGTATTGTCGGCACGGCGCGAAATGCCGTCATGTCCGAATCAAGGTCATTTATGGAGAATAAGGACAGAAGGGACAAGAAGGAAATGGAGAACAATAACAATCTTACCCTGCAACCACCCATCTTTCAATGTCCATCCAAATCACGAACACCATCCCCCATACCCAATGCCATCTCTGAGAAGTTAGATGAAGAGGCAAATATGCTTTCCCCTGTCAGTTCATACTATAAAGCCATGAATCCTCGACCCATGGTTTCCCCCATTGTCACGCCTGAGATCGGGGAAGGCAAGGAAATTCATGTACCAGTCGCAGCGCCAGTAATTGTTAGTGTACACTCTACGATTCAACACCTCAAGAATTCGCCAGCTTTGTCACGCCGAACGGATACGCCAGATACTGTCAATATCTCTCAATCGGTGCCAATTCCAGAATCGTTCCTTCATTATCAGCCTGGTGAGTCCCTCAGACCCACAGTCGATGCAACGCGAACTAACCTTTCTCAGGCGTACATGCAACCGCAGGTCCACTACCCCCACCGCCTCGTGCGGCGTTTAGTATTGATGTCCGGAGCCCACCCCCTCCTCGACCTCCACGGCTCAATTCTCCCAACCCATCACGCACAAGGGGTGACATGGAAATCGTCAAGCAAGCTTTGCAGTTACCTCCTTCGGTGTCTGCGATCCTTTCGTCGAAATTGCCCGAAACACAGCCCCTGAAGGTAAACAAGGATGTTAGAGGAGGTTCCTCCCAGTCCTTGTCTTGTAAAGACTCGCACGTATCAGTGACCCAATCTATTCATAGGCGAGAAGGTGCATTTTCGCCAGCGTTTGTGGACGAAGAATCCAAAATTTCTGCTCCATCCATTCATTCGCCCCCTGTTCTGGATCATGTCGCAAAGGTTGAAGAAGAAGTTGTCAATCAACCACCTCAGTTGGAGACCAACGACATCCCTCCTGTCACAGTTGATGATATTCCTGCAGTCACCATTGACGAGGTGCCCGCCCCACCAGCCACAGACAGCGGACACAGTTGGGTGGATGTTGAACGAGAATTATCTCCATCTCCCGAGGGTCAAACGAGCGCCCCTCTAGCTCACTCAAGGCATGGCAGCTCTCCAACTTCACCTTCGATGTCACTTGAGGCACCAAGTCCACCCCCCAAGAGTCTTAGAAACAGCTTAACTACCAATCTCAAACGCTTCTCATCCCTTCCAAGGACCCCGTCGTTGTCATCAAAGTCTAACAACCGATCATCAAGCGGTACAAGCTACTCGTCAAGGACGCCTTCACCATCAATACATCATGTTATTCGACCTCATCGACCAAAAATCAGGTCAAGAGACCCTGCTGCGTTATTTTGCCATGAAGTCTTCTCTCAAAGGACACCAATGGAACGATGCGTCATCTACGCGACGAAGATTAATCAGTTATATATTCATGATTGCGGCTTATCGGACTGGGTTACGGAGATGAAAAACCGAGGTGTGTATCTTTGCTAATATCCCTTCTCTTGTACTTATCAACTTGACACTTCCAGGCCCAAATGGTCGAACACGTGCTCCCCCTCAACAACAATATACACCCCAACCAAGGCAGACTTCACGGTCGTCAATGATATCCGAAATGACATTTCCTCGTCGGCCTGATGCATCAACCGCAACCGATTTGTCTCATGGTGCATACGATGATATTGCAACACCCCGTCTACCATCAACCCTTCCTTACCCATCACTTGCCGTCCATCCACCACGCCCTTCACCTACGCGCTCTAATTCCACTGTTAGCAGTGGAACAGCGCCTTCATCCATCCGCTCCTTGGCGCCGTCAAATTCAACATCAAAGACGGCAGGTTTCTTCGCGTCTTTGGGAAGGAAGGCTAGTATATCATCTGGAAAGCGAGAGAAGTTAGCTCCTCCCGCGCCTGCCTCCACGACGGGTTCTGGAAAATTGCTGACAAAAACACCTTCCTTGACACCAAGTGCTATCTCGCGTCCAATCAATATCAATAGCAATCCCGCGGTCCCCGGTGGGCCACGCGCACCACCAAGCCGAGCCCAGCGTTCTCAAACTCTTATGACAACATCCTCGCATTCACCTTCGCCCATCGACCGTAGTGATGCTCTCGGTCGGCGACCCTCGTTATTCAACCTCCCGTCGGACAGCGTCATTGACATCCAGGCGGATCCTGATTTTGCTCTCCAAGTAGACAAACTATCGGATCTTCTACCTCATGCGAATCGTGACATTCTTGCTCGGTACTTGCGGTGTGCTGGTCAGGACATTCTTGCCATTGGACAATACCTCGAAGATGAGAAAAACGGTGCTATTAGGACTGATTGACGTGATCTCTGAGCCTTCGTTTGGGATGTTTTCATTGTTGATATGATTGTGCTATCTATACCGGTATCTTTACCTTGTATGCCCCTTATCAGCCTTCCCTTGAATACTTTACAGAACAAGCATATTTATCTAATGAAGTGATTTACGGATACGTGATCAATGTCAAGGATACTTAAGTCTGGCCTGACTACCTTGCCGGACGAAAGCCACCTCGTCTATTAGTTGAAGGGACGGGAAAGACTGGCCAATATGATTAGTCTCTGATGTCAAAGCGTGCACTCTTTATAAATTGGACTACTGACCTTGAGCTGATCGTGGTTGAGTGGCCCAGCCGCCATGACTTACACCCGATCTTCGGGGTAGGTTGTTTATGAGCATATTTTCGACTTCATTTGCACTTCCTGAGCGGTCTGATATATCCCCTGATCGGTAAGAGCGGTCCGTTCCCGTAGTCGTGAAGTGTTGTCGATGCGACGTAATTCTTCCCTGAGCTTGGCCCGCATTTTGTTGCTGTGCCCAACCATTATTACGCTGTGGTGAAGGTAGATATTGTCCACCACTCGTTCGAGCTACAATGGGCGTTCTCTGAATCTTGTAAAAACGGCAAAGTTGGCTTCAAACAAGTGGAGCAGATAATCAACCAACCCCACTGGCCTCCATCCCGCCAACAACTGCTTCAAGGTCGACGCTATTCCCTGCGTTTGTTCCTAAGAATGCTCTCGACTTCAGGTGAGGATCATCCAGGCGAATATGGATAGGATTGCCGAGTACACCATTCTCATTACCAACATTTCCGGCTGGAATAGTATTGGATGAAAGCATAGCCCTCCGTTTGAGTTTATCATGTTGGACCTGCGATGGAAACCTCAGCGGTATCCCAAAGGGGTTGGCACGACGCTCTTCATCAGACCTTGAGTTTGAGGTATTCCTTGTTTTGCTCCCTGGATGCGTCCTGGAGTTCCCGGACTTTTCTTCGTTCTAATTCGACGTCTCGCTCCAATTCTATTGCAGAGTTTTAACACATCTCCCTTCTTCTGAGGGAGTCGAGCAATTACCTGCTTTCTTATTATTGAGAATCATGAGCTCTCCATTTGCTTCAAGTAGCTTGAGATAGGTAGCCTAGACAAGCGCGAACAGCCTTTCATCGCTTACCCTCTCTGACCACATTCTCCAGCTGTTTCTGAAGCTGCGCATTCTTGTCGTTGACGTTCCTAACGACAGCTTGCTGGAACGAGCTAAAAGGAAGTTGTCGGCTCCAGCAAAAACCCTAGAACGATAACACGCCTTTCTTGATGAATTTGGTACTGCCAAAAGGAGATTGCCCTAATGAGTGGTAGCCGTTGGCGTTTGTGACCCACGGGAATAGAAAAAAGTCAACAAAACCTGCTACAAATTTCCAAAATTGTAGAAGGTGTTAACCCCGATAGAACAGACTAAAATGGGTTGATGTTTAGCAAAAAGGTAGAGTGTATGCGCCAGTTACTTGCTGTTTTGTAATCATTTGTAGGTTGAAGCGAACAAAGCTGATAATATTGAAGTGGGAACGACAGAAGCCGAGGCCAGGTAACTCACAACAACGTCGTCTCTACAACAAAAGTAGTCAGGATGGGTGAGGAAGAGGAAATCTTAACATCTTCACGGTTCCGTCAACGTTGTTTCGCATGCTAAGATACGTCTTAATAGAGAATTCGAGTTCTGGCTTCGTCACCAGCATACCTGGGCATAGACGAGATGCATTGAATAATTCGTTCGCGCACTCAACTGTAAGCGTCGTTATCCACTTATGCGTGTCAGGCGATTAATGAACATGTACTGCAGAAGATATGAGAACCTTGAAGCTTGGTAAATTATCTATATCCGCTCTCATGGTCTCATCAAAAGCTCACAGGTAGTCTTTGAAGAAGCCACTTGAGTCGGGAACTAGAACTGTCAACGACAGACAGACCACAACAGCTTTATTGCTTAATGGTCGACGGCATGTCAGACGATTACACTTTAGGTCCGGGTCCATCTAGTTGAGACGATCAATGAACGGTATTCAGGTGGGGGATGTGGGGGTTCGGTCAAAGTTGTGTTCGAAGATCAAATTGTTTGTTGTTTGTGATCGTGCATTATCCTGTTCGCTATACATACAGTTTATGTACCACAAACGTATATGAAGTCTAAGTGATGTGTTAGTGATGCGAGGGTACAAAATGGAGTGGTTGGATCAACGAAAAGAGGGGAGATTAATAAAACCGACACAGTAGGTCTTAGGTCGAAATCATCCCGGAGTCCTCTTCCCCACCGAAAATTTCATCAAAGATCTCTTTCCCGTCATTAGCAAGTGGTGGCAATTGGAAATGTTCCACAGATGGATTATCCCTGGCAGCCTTGATCCTCTGAATGCGCTCCTCGTTCCAGATGCCTTCCAAAGCTGAGGTCAGATTCTTTAAGCCAAAGAGAAATCCTCGATCCGGGTGCTCAGGATAGTGGGGTGGAAATCGGGCATAGATCAAACCGGTCTGTGGATCGATGTCTGCCTGATAGCCTGTAGAGTTTGTAAGCACCTCGCCAGAGCTTTTCCGCTCACTTGAATTCGGATAGTGGAGCCAATCCCTTCCGGTTGTCGTGTGCGCAAAGTCAACGAGACGGACGTTTATTTCACCACGTTTCCGGCGGCCACTTGAACGCTTTGCAACAGGTCCGTCAAGAAGGTCTTCACTATGAGAACGCCTCAGCGAAGGTTTTTCGGGCTGTGGTTGTGATTTGGAACGACGTTCTAGGGATTCTCCACGCTTGCTGCGCGATGATGGGTGCTCAAGCACTGAGGAACGGAATGCCTCCTGCGATTCCCGATCTCCATCGTATATCAAAAGAAGGCTGCAACCGTAAAATCTGTACCCTTTCAACCTGTTGATGATGCCAGCCAAAGCATACAATTTCTGAAGCAGAATCGGAATTTGGTAAGCTAATAAACGTTGACCGTCAAAGAGGAACGATTCCAGGACAGAGTGAAACTCTTCCGGACGAATTTCTCGACCACTGTATTTGTCTTGAGTTGTATATGACTGCGCGACATGATTCCAAACCTTACGGCGGCGGTCAAAGAAAAGTCAAAAGAAAGGTTGAACACTCACTTGCATACCACAAACGCGCACGCCCAGAGGTCTACTTGTCGTGCGATCGCACTTCTTCCGCTGACTCTTCTTCTTCGCAGGTGTGGCATCCATCCCATACTGACGCGTCCCCATTTTCAAATCCACCACACAAGGTCGTTTTAACCTCCCCGTAAGATCTTCCATCAAGATGAAGTGATTTTGACGGGTGATCGAAGGTTCCAACTCACTCGATTTTGACGGGTGATCGAAGGTTCCAGGTTTAGGTATGGACGGGTCTTCTGGGAACGACGGCTGAAGGGGAACTTGAGAAGATGGACAGGAACCAACAGAACGTGAACGGCTTCTCCGCCTGATGGAGGGAGGAATGCGTTCGTTGACTGCATTGGATTCCACATCGAAATCCATCTGAAAGATTCCAATATCCTTGGCATCATCATGGTTATTATGACTTGAGTAAATGTAATTGTGTTTCTCAGGATTCCTAAGTGTCGAATCACTGTGAACGCGACGGATCGTGGTATCACAAGTACCTGAGTGAGGCCGGGTCACGCGATTTATTTGGCAAAGGGATCTCTTCTGAGTTTGAAGATGGGCCTCATTGTGCTCATCTGAACCGTCTAGCTCCTCATCGGCCACATTCCCGTCGTCTAACGCCGGCATTGATCCTGCAGAACGGTGACCTAAACGCTTCCGCAGCCTTCGGAGAACGGTATTGAAAACATGATCCTTTAGCCTTGTATTCACCATCGTCGACCCAGTGCCTCCGAACTGCGGTGAAACAGGCAACCGTCTCTCTGAATTGAAAGGACGGAAGAAAGGACGGCTAAAACCTTCTTCTTCGTCAAATGCAGCCGCCATAGAACAGTGGCCCTTGTTCGTGTGCTCTACTGAAGTTGGAGCGAAATGATGAGTTGTTTGGCTTGGGGAGTTGACTGGTGTCGGGGCATCCATATCGGATACGGCCAACGAGGGGTCGCTTGCCAAAGGGCTTTGCCGTGAGCGTCGACTCGCATAAGGAGTTGATGGAAGGTCTGGGCTGGATGCTGTTCCTCTGTGCAGCTGATCGCGTTGAAGGTGCCGCTGTGCCATCATTGAGGGTCCATGAAGATTGGAGTAGGAAAATGAGCGGTTGCGGCCACTGCCACGCAACATCCATTCTGGCACGATGTGGCGATTGCGGTCAAGAACCACTTCTGGCATTTCAGACTCGTCCATGTCAGTCCCTTCATTTTGATGTTCCTCCGACAGTTTGCCATGTACGGGTGACCTGGATACGGCTGTGCGACTGTTGGACTTGACAGTATCCATTGCATGAGAAAGGGATGGACAGAAGGTCGGGGATGTATGTGAACTTGGTTTTGGAACTCGTCGGTAACTTACCAACATGACACCAAGATAACGGGGAATAAAGGCAAGCAAAGGAGGGGCTTCGCGCTCGACAGCCTCGTAAAATAGATTTTCTCGTGAAACTAGAGGCTAAGGGGGTGTTAGCCCGGATTTACAAATCAGGGAATGTGTCTGACCTTGCAGACCGCTTGTTTGGTGAATTTATAGATGGCGCTATGTCCACCCACCTGATTGCGAAATGGGCGTAAAGGAATATGAGGAAGATGTTCTTCAGACATAGTTAACCCAGTTGCCGAAAGGGCCCCCTTTAATTGATCTGAGTGTGAGGTGCGAGCCTCGTCATCATCAGCTGACAGGGTGAACGCGTCCTGGAAACCTTGGAAATCATCATGAGACTTGTGGAGTAGAGGTAAAGGATCCTCATCATCTTGGGAGTCATAAGGATCGAGAAGGTAGGATGAGTTGGCCGATGCAGACGCCACCGAAGCGGTCTCCCATGTAGAGTCATCATCTGTTGACCAAGGAGATATTGAGGGAGATATTGGAACAGAGCGGCGTTTATCTCGATGATGGAAGGGACGTACACGCGTCGGCGATTTGGAAAGTGGTGGGACAGTCTGTATGGTTAGTGGAATTGGTGGGGACGGTTGAGTGTAGGCCGACAGACGGGAACTTGACTCTAGCTCGCGTTGACGGTAAGGCGAAGGCGGGATGCGTTTCGTAGGAGAGCGTGACGGGGAGGGAGAAGGAGGATAGGGATGTGGACGAGGACGAATGAAAGGAGGTATCACCTCGTGAAAACCAGGATGGGGGGTGTTCGAGTCGATCTCATGGTAGCTTTCATTATCGACTGCGCGCTCCAGACGCCTTCCCCTTCCAAGTGTAATTACATCCCTTCTCCACTGAGCTAAATCAAGCGCAGATGTGCCATGCGTCGACGCTTTTCTCTCCTTTTCCCTATGCTCGACCCCTTCCCTCGTCCTTGCCCGCTCCAATGTGGTCATGCTCCTGTCACGCCTGACGGCGGCAGTCTCTCGGTCCGGCCATTCCGAACGTTTAACAAACTCGAATTGAGCTTCAGCGACATCCGCAACGTCTCGAAAGGGTTCTGCTCTTCGGCTCCCCGATGAAGTTTCTGGCCTCGACGACAACTCAGGTGAAATCTGCTCTTCAACTGAGCCAGTCGTTTCCTTGAAAAGTTGCAATGTCGCTGCAACTTTTCGTCCCATTCCCAAAGACATGGGGTGAAGGGGGCTTTCTTCTCGACTGGTGGGGGATGAAGAGGAGGACGAAGACGAAGTGTTGGAGATGTCTGAAGTTTGTGATAGCGACCGAGAACTTTTTGGGGGTGAATGAGCGAGAGAGGGGTTGATTGAGGGGGTGGACTTTGACGGTGTCATTGTTCTTCGAGGTCGCTTCCTTGGATTGTGATGCGAGCGAGAGCGTTCGGTATTATAACCGTCTGGGTCTATGGCATTGCTGTCGGAGAAGTGGTGAGCGGATCTAACGGGAGTCAATGAATGAGAATGGCGAAAGGAAACAGTAGGAGAGAATAATTTGTCGACGACTGGGGAATCCTGGGTGGCGAGGGTAGAAAGACGGGGCGAAGAATCTGCAGTGGCTGGGCCTGAGCTGGGTGGAGACAGTGGAAAATGATAGATATGGTGCTTTGAGTGTCGCGGGGACGAACCCATTGACGATGAGGAGGCCCGTAACACACTCTGGATGGAAGGAAGAGTCGAAGCGGGTATAGAGGAGGAAACGGATTGGAAACGGGCTTGATTCAAGGTTTATGAAGGCCTCACTCACGGAAGATGTAGACAAGATAAAATTAGTAACCTTTATTTTTCTCCTTATTTATGGTTTCAGTCCCCTTTCCTACAACTCTTTTATCCTACCTACCATGCTCCTCGATAATATCACTGCTATTTCGCCGTCCTTGCTCACCTTCTCCTCACGTGTACCCGCCTAGTCCTACATCGTCAGGATTCTCCCCCTCGGAGCCCGCCATTACCCCGAGAACGTTCCGCAAACTATGCAGCGCGTTTTACCATCGAACGTGCTTTAGCTTCTTCGCTTACTCCCACCCGCGTGTCCAAGCGTTCAAAGACCCCGCTACCACGCTTTCCTAGGGCCATAGCGCACGTTCGTCCTTTCCAACGGCCACTTTCACAACACATCTTCACCAAATGATTCCACGGCGTTTTCCGACCCCATTGCTCCGTCATGCCCTCACATGCTCCACACTATAACTTTGCTGCGTACATAGAAATACCTGGTCAGCGGTCTACCACCATTCGCTAGTCAGTTCTCACGGTTATATCTCTATCATCGCCGACAGATGTACGTACAACTGATGTGTGGCTGGATGCATCTTATCTACCGCATTGGGCAAAGTCGAGGGGGGGGTTTCCTATTACGCCATATTGCGCTACTAGTGCCGTTCATCTCGGTGTTTTAATTGGCGCCAGGAACAAGTTTTTGCTCAAGTCTATTGAAACTGTTTTTGCCCTAGCACGAAGCGAGGAATGAGTGTGAATGGGCATGTGATAGTCTATATAGAAATCACTGCTCCTCCGGGGATTGTCCTTTCTTTTTCCCAATCATTCACTCCCTCACTACTTTCATTTCCAGCTCAGAAGGCACCTCCAGGCGCCATGCAGGAAAACTCTTGGTTCTGCAAGGTAGAAACATGGACAGTATGGGTATGGTTTTCCCACCCACTCATTGCAGCTCATCTTGTTTTGCCCACAGAGAAGATTGTCCTGCTGGGACAGAAAACGTCACAGCTTTCACCTGTTATTGCTTGCACAATCTAGCAGCTTTTTATAATGGACTTTGTTAGATTCTCCTATCTACTAGACTAGTACACAGTGTCCCTAAACAGCCTCACTACAAACATTTATTACTAGAATATGTGCCAAGCAGTCACAATTGACCATGTCTCATGTGACTTCTTATAATTAATTTGTGAGTAAGAAGTTCTCAAATAAAATAAAGAAGTTGTAGGAGATTTTTTTTCTTTTCTCCAGAATTTCTGAGAGATTAAATAACTTGAGGAGGTTTGAAGAAAGTTTTGGGATGACAAAGAAAGATGACAGGATTCGATCTCAGATTCAAGCCCAGATTGCACAAGTATAAAACTCTGGCTTTTCTTAGTGACTTGCCAGCTTCCTGCCAGATCCGTATAGGCAAGTCATCAGAAGAATTTTTGTCCACTTATACACTTTGAATCCTTAGTGCAGAAAAGAAAATGTTCATGCCTATTTCCAACAACCCACTCCACATGTCTTGTGTTCAAATGCAAGATCACTCTATAAATGGAGGACAAACAAGCTCTTTCCAGTCTACATGCATTCAGTCCAATTCCCAGAGCTTAAAACATGCCTTCCACTGTTTGCCATTGCCATGTTCTCATACTGGAAACCCTCATCTCTCCAATAAATCAATTCTGATGGAAAACAACACTCCAAGAGTTACTGTCCCAAAGAGTGTCACCTGGGCATCTCCAATATCACAATCAGTGGTCCTGGGATCCCCCATCTGCTGCCCATCCTCAGCACCCCAATCTATAGGAATCAGTCCACTCTCTCAAGCCATTGTTCTTGGTTCTCCATCAATTATGAGCCAATCTTCAAACCCTCTTGAAGAACCTTCAGAAGAAGATCTGAAAGAAATTACTGTTTTGGATCTGGATGAAGAAGATCTGCAAGAGGTATCCAATACTTCTGAAATCCACTCAAGCTGGGAGGTGGCTACAAGACTCAATCTCCAACATTTATTCAAGAAACTTTCAAGCAGCACTGCTTGCCTTCCAATCAAACACCCACACCTCCCTCATCCATCACCAACATCTACTACAGAAGGCAACCTGTTCAAGGAAACAGACATTATGGATAGGTGCAGAGACAGGAACAGAAAACAAAAGGACTGCCTTGATAAAACATGTATCAAGCAAGATGAAGCCAAATGCTTCAAAGCAGCAAGAGTTGTTATAGTGACCTCACCTGTCCACCATCTGCCAACCCTCTCTTCCAGCTCATTAGAAAGCTCATTTTCATCTAAATTGCAACCTTCAGCTGGGGTGGGAAATGAAGTGGTGCATGCATCTACAAGCATTGTTGATTGCAGCATCCATTCTACAATTTCTACTGGAAGGAAACCAATACCTCCAGTAACACAATCACCATCCTGGCATTTAGCTGCAGCTGGTATCCAAGGACCCCTCCCAGAACCACAGCTGCATGTTGCTATGCCAACCCTTGTTGAACAACTCTGCTCATCAAAGATTCAACCACTTGAAAGGACCAAGGTTATCAGTTGGGTGAATAGCCTAAATAGAATCATCTACGTTCAAGACAGGGGGACTTTTGGCCCAAAGGACTTTGAGAAACTCAAGATGCTCATTCAGGAAATCAAAGCAAACAAGGCACATCCATATTTGACAGTGGCAGTTCTGGCCAAAACCAAGTTGGCAGTGGTGTTGAGGAAGTTTCAACATAAGAAGTACGGGTGTGCATTGAAGAATGATGCAAGGGACATTAACAGTTTTTGGAGAGAGAGATTGTTGGGGAATTAAAATGAAATTGAGTGCTCCTTGCAGGTCATAAACCCCCCTCAACAGATATTTTCCGGTCTGAGGTGCTTGAACTGCCACTAAATTGTATCGATCCGTGACCAGTCTGTGTTACTGCCACTGGCCACAAGAAATAGTCCAAAATACGCTTTCCAAAGGTGCCTAGGTACATGAGTGATCCACGTCGTTAACAAGTCCCAATATATTCGCTTTCAACTTTCCTCCTCTTGGTAGCAGGCCCTTCGTCGTCTGAATCGTCGATGATAACGATGGGCGTGCCCGGATCGGCTAGCAAAGAGTCTTGACCTGCCAATGATGGTACTGACTCAGGCATTATTGACACAGCCGGAACTTTCGCGCTGAGAACTCCGGCCGAGTCACCACCATCCGCAGGAGTCGTACTGTTTGCCGACCGCCGATTGTCCAACGGAACATTAGTAAATGGACCAATGAGAACCGACGCTTTCCTTGACCCGCCTCGCCCTCCTGCCCCCCTTAGTCTCCGTCCACCACGTTCTTTACCTCTGCCTTTCGCCCTTCTCTCCTTCAACGCTTTTATCATATGACCCGTCAGAACACGCAGTGCCTCCCGAGCTCCCATTTTCTCAATTTCCTCGAGCATTTCCTTTGTTAAGCCCGCAAATACATCTGGATCGAGAATGAGCTTTCGCTCGTGGAGAACCATGTAACCTTCTTTCTTTGAGTTATTGGGATGATTTGGGGCGTAGTCAGTGTGCGTTGGGGGAATAGGTCCGAGAATGATGGGGATTACGACGTCGGGAACGGGCGCATGCCCTGGAAGAGGTTGCAGTGGGCCAGTAGATGGAGTCCCTGATTGAGGCGGCAGGTGATAATTTGATGGACCCGGAGGCACAAACGAGGTCGGGGTAGAAGTTGACGGAGTTATTATAGTAGTGGTCGTAGACTTGGGAGCAGACGGGTGCAAGGCCCAATGATGTTGTGTCAATGCTGCGTAGGGATTGGGTGTAGTAAGTTGGACTGCTGAATATCCGGACGGAAGGGCGGAAGGAACTTGAGATGCGGTCCCAAAGTTTGCAGGATGGGGATGGGCAGGGTATGCGAAAACTCCTGTTGTTGCTGGCGATGAAGTCGCGATAGCTCCGACTGCGGCGGTGGCGATGGATGGGGCGGAGGAAGACGCCGTCAAGGATAAGGTGGATTTGAAGGATAAAGGCGCGGACGTTAGCGGAGGTGGCAAAGGAGCCCCCTTCAGGTCACCTTTCACACTTCGCTTGAGAGGGGGTTCTAGCAAAGCGGTTTTCTCTTTCTTCCGACTACCCTTCGCAGGCCCTTCTTTCCCACCAGACGCGTTAGCCAGAGCAGTCTGTTGACTCTTGGTCTCCTGCTCTTCAAGTGCCTGCGCATACTTTTCATCAACAGACCAGAAGAACCCCTTCCCGCGATCTCCACCACACCTCTCGCCTTTCAAAAACGCCCTGCCGGATGAGAGATTGTGACGAACGGAACTCTACCGTTGGAGATTTCAGCGGAATAAAAATTTAACGGTAAGTGGAAACGCACCATCCATGCACCATCTGCGTAGCGATAATACTCGTGCGTATTCATAATCCATCCACAAATCTCCTGTAGTGTTGCCTTTCCTCCAATGGCCTTTATAGCCCGATTAATCAATTGAGCGTAGGTAAATGGTGGCTTGGGCGGCATGTCTTCTGGCCTCGGCTTTTCGACAACCGGCGCTGGATCAACTTCGCCCTTTTTCCGCTTCTTCGCGGACGTCTTGGGCTTTCCAATCGCATTTGAGTTAGGGAGCTGCGGCGGGGGTGGAGGCAGTATTTGAGGTTCAGGTGACGGGGACAAAGGCTTGGTCTCAGTTGGAGGAGGCGGCGAAGAATGAGATGGTTGTGATGAGGGTGGTGAAATGGATGTGATGTCAAGTGACGGTGAACGGGGCCGGTTTGCTGAAGACTGCGAGCTGGGTGAGGGTGTGTCATCTGGAGGAGGGGGTGGGGGCAGAACAAAATGAAACGTTCGAGACGCTATTTGAATTTGGGATCTACGAGGATGAAAGAGCGAGACAGTGGTCAGATCGAGACTAAGGGTTCAGGGAGTATGCTTATGCCAGCTCACCGTTCACCAAGAGGTGCTCGCGTACCAGCTCCGGACCATACTCCGTCTACCCAAGCGCCGTTACGACCGATAACGGCAAGTACGAAGCGGTCATCCTCCTGGTCATACTCAATTTTGGCATGGAGGCGGGAGACACTCTTAAGGGCTCCAAGATCAACATCAACGTTTGTTGGTTCAGCAGTGGACGAGGTTGCCACGTTCGCGTTAGGAGCACATCTACGGCCAATAGTAATAGAGAGTGTTTGGATGTAGAATGTGTAGTGCGGGAAGACCAGGGAATAGTACGCGGATATCTTGTCCTGGACAGGAGGTGGAGTAGCCAACTTGGCTTCAACGTGTGTCGCAGGGGATGCAGAGCGTGTCCGGGTATCCATTAGAGAGAAAGGAAGAGGCGGCGACAGGTGGTGACGGCGTCAGAATGCTTGTCGGCGTGAACGACGTTGACGATGAGGGTCCAAGAAACACGTGACGAATCATTCACTGTTCAAGTTCACTCTCCGCTCTTTAGCAACGTCCTACATGGCCTCTACAGAAATTACCATCCAAGCTGCACAAGATAAAGTCGAAAATCTTGCGGAAAGAGACGCCGATAGTACCGAATCTGAAATCAGATACTTGGCTTATGGCGCTAGGTTGCGGACGGCGCTGAGAGCTGGCACTCGTTACATAGCCTACGTACGCTCCTTTCATCCATTCTCCTTATTTCTTCTACCTATTCCCTCGCAAGGGCACAGACCAGTGACGTCGGCGAAGCGTTTAGACCTGTCGTTCCTCCATGGATTGTCACGGCAGCATACGGAGTTTCGTGGCTATATCTCAGCGGGTAGGTCGTCTGAACATTCACGTTGAACTAAAGCTGTTTCGCACGTGTAGAGATGTTGCGTACGAGGCTTATAAAGCTCACCACCGTGGGCCATCTCCCATGGAAGCGGCTAATTTTTCGGAGCCGACGCGGCTTGGTATTGTTGCGGTCCAACGTGCAACCTTTCAATCGATTGCATCTATGTATGTTGGATCCTTTTATTTGAATAATCCGTCTTATCCAGACCCTGATACAACTTTCTAGGGCCTTGCCTGCATTTACTATACACACAGCCGTTGCTCAAGCTCGCAAAGCATTTGCAAACGCAAAAACCCCCCGGATTAAGACCTGGGGTCCGACAATGACCGGACTTGCGATCGTACCAATCCTCCCTTACTTGTTTGACCACCCCGTGGAGCATGCCACAAACCATGCTTTTGATTGGATACGGGAGAAGCTCGTCGAACGTAACCAAGCCAAGCGGAATACCCCGAAGTGATCATTAGGAATTGCCGATAAGAATCAAGGAATGTATACCAGATTGATGATTCTCCCGCTTAGATCTTTACATTGTATGAAGTCATTCATCTGGTGTGAAAATTATGACCATCCCGGCCTAACTTAAAAACTTGTTTTCCCGAGTGCAAGAGGTATTGAGCTTATACTACTTGGAGGAATCAACCCCACCTCCGTCACAACCGCCGTAATGAACGTTGGAGGCGTCAGATCATAGAGCGGGTTGAGAACTTCCAAATTTGGTGCCGAAGGCACGTTCTTCAGCTTCCCGTGAGGCTGCGCTATTCGCAAGGGTGCTGCGAAAAATGAGAAGCTGTTGAGATAATGACAATTCCATAGCTTACCTAATTCATTCTTTCCAAACCCATCCACCATTACACCTTCACTAAACTTGTATGTCTCACAGCAGACAAGAACTGGTACTCCGTGACGTTTCGACATCATAGCGACGAGAGCTGTGCCTGCCCGCGAATATACAGCGCCGTTGGAAAAGAGTGAGTGTGCTCCAAGAAGAACAGTGGTGACTTCCGTCAGAAGAGACGGGAGAGCTGGGAGGAGTGCGTAGGTACATGGTATCGGACCGGCGTCAGCATTTGTCAAAGACGTCAACAAAACTTTTCCTGCAGCCAAATTTTAATATGAGAATTAGGATTTCAGTACGCAGCCAACCTTCCAAAAGAGGTCGAGAATCAACTATTATAACAGAAAATCTTTTCCCTTCGTCGTGGGCCTGCAATAAAACCTTTTCCACTACTGATGATCTTGAGAGGTCAAAGGTAATTTGTTGGGGGAAAAGGTCAATCTTGAATTTCACGAACCTCGCATACGTCAGGATAACATCTCCATCCTTGATCTTTTTGCCGGCTAACTCTTGTATGACTTCATCTGCAATGATGATTCGGTCGCGAATATAATCATCAATTTTTTGACAAAGACGATCTTTCGCCTACGCCACGAGGTTGGCCATTAAAACGGACAAAAACACCAAGAGAACAGCGTACATCTTGCTCGATCATGTCAATGTCCGACCCGCTGATTTCTAACTTCAGTTGTCGTATGGCATTCCCCATCGTAACAGACATTGGCCTGGCCGAGACAAGGTGTGTGATCTGAGGCGAGAGATGGGTCATCAAGTGGCGGGAGAGGGTATTATGTGTAGGTGTGGTATAGTCTTGTATCACCTAATGGCCGTATAACAGATGAATAGAACATTGACCTTGGTAACGGAGTAGATCATACCGTTTTGAAAGCAGTCAAGGTCGCAATACACCTGGCATTTGCTCCACATATTCTAAACTCTGAAAACAGAAGGCCGAGCCTGATTATAGCTGGGTGTATGTCCCCTTTGAGAGTATGCCCGATAGGTTTAGGCAAGCCGAAATGCGAAAATATGCGGAGACCATGTGAGACAGACTTTACTCCAGTATCGTCGGCCACGGCAATAGCACCGGTATCTTTGAGGGGTAACGCATGTTGCTTTGTGACATTCGATTCACCTCCTGGTTGCTTCTTATGTGCAATTTGCGGTGACTTTGCCTTGGTAGGTGCCCCTCCAGATTGTGGCTGCTGCTTTGAAGCGAGTTTGGCTGCCCTTTGCTTTTCTTGTAGCTCCCGTCTTTCAGCCTTTGTCATAGACCTCTGCGAAGGCTGGCCTTCGTTTTGTTTTGAGGGCGCCGAGACTAGATCTGCTATCGTAGGGACTGGCATAAGGAAGATAAGAGTTTGGAATGATCGTAATCTTAGAGAGTCAATAATTCAAGGTCACGTGATTCGCACGCATAAACTTTCTTGCAGGTCCTGTCGTAGTACCTAGTGTCACTCAACAACCACGACGATATCGAGCAACTCATCCTTGACGTTTACCCTTTGGACAAGTGGCACAACAATTCCTTGACGGAGACAAAACCTTTTCAAAAGCAGCATGGTTTGTAACGAAGTTTCAGATTCTGATATCCTCTCACACCTCTTGCAGGGCGTTCCTGCTCTCTTCCGCTGGCTCAGCAAGAAATATCCGAAAATCAGTCAGTCTCTTTTTCAATCTCTTTCACTCTTCCCTAAATTAGGTTTTGAGTCTATCCCGTCGAAGAGGAAGAGGAAATAAAGGTTCCTGACGAAAATGGAGACGACATTACAATCCCAGTCAACATGGCACTAGCAAATCCTAATGGCACTGAATTTGATAACCTCTATCTTGATATGAACGGAATTGTATATTCTCTGTTCACTCTATCCTTTTACTGTCTAATCTAATACCATAGGTCCATCCATGTACGCACCCCGAGGGCAAGGTAAAAAGAACGACCTTGACGTTTCAGCTTATTTGTTGATTTACCCCGAAGCCTGCTCCAGAGACCGAAGAGGAAATGATGGTGGAGATCTTCAAATACACAGAACGTGTGGTCAACATGGTCAGACCTCGAAAGTTGCTCTTCATGGCAATTGGCGAGTTACTGAGTGCTTGCGAGCTTATGAATTTTCTTAACTTGCGGTTACAGATGGTGTTGCTCCACGTGCTAAAATGAACCAGCAGCGGTCCCGACGTTTCCGTTCGGTGCAAGAGGCGAAAGAGAAAGAGGAAGCGAGGAAAGAGTCTGTCGCACTCTGGGAAGGTTCGTCAAGGTAACATTGCAACGTGAATTTTACTGACTACTCGTTGAAGCTATGGGAAAAGAAGTTTCGGATGAGGAGAAGAACAAAGTGTCTTGGGACTCCAATGCCATTACCCCCGGCACACCGTTTATGGACTTACTTGCCTCATCGCTACGATACTGGGTTGTTCAGAAAATGAATACCGACCCCGGGTGGAAGAATGTTTGTTGATCTCGTTGTTTTCGAGCTCCTACCTCACAAGTTTTATTAGATTGAAGTTCTCATCTCAGATGCAGGTGTGCCAGGTGAAGGAGAACATAAAATTATGGATTTTATAAGGCGGCAAAGGAGCAATCCGGGGCATGATCCTAACACACGTCATGTCATATACGGTTTGGTCAGTTCACATTTCGCTGCATTGATGAACTCCGCTGAGATGCACAACACAGGATGCAGACCTCATCATGCTTGCCTTGGCGACACACGAGCCTCACTTCAGGGTGCTTCGAGAGGATGTTTTTGCGAACGACACTAGTCCAACTGCATGTCGCATGTGTGGTCAAGAGGGTCACTATGCTGCTCAGTGTACTGGCACAAAAGCAGAAATACAGAAAAAACCTCCGTCGGAAAAAAAACCATTTATTTTCCTTGATGTCGCAATCCTGCGCGAGTATCTTGAAGTCGAATTGGACGTGCCCAATATACCCTTTCCTTTCATGTTGGAGCAAGCGCTTGATGATTGGGTGCTCCTCATTTTCTTCGTCGGCAATGATTTTCTCCCCCATCTTCCATCCCTTGAGATTCGAGAGGGGGCCATTGACACTCTTCTCAAAATCTGGAAGCGAGAGCTCCCTAGAATGGGCGGTTATTTGACAAATCATGGGCATCTCGAACTGTCACGAGCACAAATCATACTTGACGGTCTTGCTAAACAGGAAGATGAGATATTTCGTAGGCGTCGTGAAGGTCCGTTTCGCCGCCCTATTTATAATGATCACTCTTTGCGTCTCTTCCAATCACTTCATTTAAATGAACATACCCCATTAACCTGTCTTTGTTTGTAACTACAGCTGAAGAACGGCAAGATCAGAATGCAAAACGTCGCAAACTTGAACACCAGAACCGGGAGGGGGGCTTTGCGGGCCCCTCGCCGACGATGGCATTGACTGCTCCCTCTGTTGCCCCCTCCTCTGCTGCACCGTCTTTAATCCATCCCTCACTCCCCCCGCGCCCGACTTACGATTTCGCCGCCAAGGCCGACTCTATTGGCCTTGGGGCCCCCCAAACGCCAATATCAATCCAGAATGCGCCAACTGCTGCTCAAGCGTTGGCTGGTTCCAATCGCGACGTTGTTGCTAACCGCAGAGCCATTCGAATGGCGAACATGAGCGCCGCTGAGATGCTAAAGGCTGAGCTTTCTGGTGTAACCCCCGTTAAACCCGATCCGCTTCCACCAAAACCTCTCCCCCCCACAACAGCTGCTACCCCGACTTCGAACGGGGATGTTATGCGAATGGAAGAGGATGAAGTTCCCGGTTTAGGGAATCACAACTTGACACCACATATATCTCTGGACCCCCCCATCACGCAAACAATGAAGTCTGAAACTCCTGCTGATTGTGATATGGATGCTGAGGGCGATCCTGATCCTGATGTCGTTACAGGTTCCAGCGATGCAGGAATTGTTAGCAGGGACATATCACCTAGCCACAAACGCCACTTTGAAGAAGGTCCAGGATCGAAGGAAGTTCCAGAGGATGTGGTGGTCATTGAGGAAGAGGATGACGATGCTCCTCCATTGCTCGTATTGAAGGTTAATGCAGATGGAACAGTAGAGCAGCAGGACACAGTCAAGTTTGTGCAACAGCCGTCCCCTTCATGTCACTGCCTGATTTAATTTGCAGACTTTGGGAGCCAGGATACAAAGAGCGATATTACCGTCAAAAATTTGGCATCGAACTGACGGACACAGAGTTTATTCAAAAGTAAGCTGAAGCTCTTTCTGGATTGCGTCGGAGTATTTATTCGTTGCAGCCTTACAAAAAGCTACGTTGAAGGCCTTGCTTGGGTACTCCATTACTATTATCAAGGGGTAGGCCATTATGTTTTTCTTCATCTCTTGAAAATACTAAGTAACAACAACAGACGCCTTCCTGGCAGTGGTATTACCCTTACCATTTCGCGCCGTTTGCCGCAGATTTCAACGATGTCGACAAAATGGATATCAAATTCGAACTTGGACAACCATTCAAACCTTTTGAACAGTTAATGGGTGTATTTCCTGCCGCCAGGTTTGTCGTAAATTCGATGTAACGATCCACTATTCTGACGTCGAAATGTAGCCGAAAGCATATCCCTGAGGTGTTCCAACCTTTGATGGTCAACGAGGACTCCCCAATCATCGACTTTTATCCACCAACTTTTGAAATCGACATGAATGGGAAAAAGATGGCTTGGCAGGGAGTTGCCCTCCTTCCGTTCATTGATGAGAAACGGTTGCTTGAGGCGATGGCGACAGAGTACCCGAATCTTAGCGACGATGAAGTTCGCCGAAACCGTTGGGGCAACAACGTAATATTCGCGTCAGACGACCACCCGTTGTACCCTTTCTATGAAGCACTCTACGGCAAGCGCAAAAGCCAGGAGGTCAGTTGTTCGACTCAAGTCGAATTGTTTATTCTCAGTTTCATTACTTTCTTTAGCCAGTCCCAATAGATACTCACCTAAGCAAGGGCATGAGTGGCTCCGTTTTGCCAAATCCAGATTGCCTGCCCGGGTCTACGTATTACTCGCCATTACCAAGTCAAAACTTGGCAGACATCAAAAACGATCGTTCACTCTCTGTGCTATACTTCTTCCCCAGGCAGCTGACACCTCATCGATCCGTCATGCTTCCTGGAGTAAAGAAGTCCTTACGCGTGCTCTCAGCAAACGATTTAGAAGTCACCAGGAATGGCGGTCGTGGTCGTGGTCGGGGAGGATGGGACCGTGGTGGCGGACACAGAGCTGGTGGTGGCTACAATGACAGGGGCGGTCGGAACGATCCCTTTCACTCGCGTCCCACCAACTATGGTCAAAGTTCTTATGGGGCTGAACGTAGTTCTAATAATAGAACTGGATATGGCGGCGGGTATGCGGGAAGAGGCAGCGGAAACGTATATCAACAAACTCAATATCCATCCCGACCCTATTCAGCTCAACCACCTTCGAGTCGTGGATATAGTGATACTGGGTTTGCTGGTGGAAGGGGAGGGCCAAGGCTTTCTCAGAGTTATGGCAACTATGGGAACGCTCCTCCCTCTCGAGGTGGCCCCTACACTCATGGTGGCTACGGAAATCCTCCGGCTTCGAGTGGGTATCAATCTTTTTCTAATACAGGAGGTGGAGATTATGGAGGCTATGGAGGCTACGGTGGCACTCAAGGTGGCTATGGGTCGGGTTCTTATCCCTCGCGCGGTGGTCAGAATACGCGAGGAAGTGGGAGAGGAGGAAGGATGTAACTATATTATCACTATCGCTATTTGTCGCTACCCCCTTGGTCTCACAGTGTCCCGTTAAGTTAACACATTGGTTTTGAATCAGATAATTGTACATGCGGTTGGATAGAAATTAGAGGCCAGTTGTGTCATCATGTTCTAGTCATTTATCCTTCCGTCGCATTTCACTTCTGATAACCTCCTCCTCTTCCGTGATTATAATTACCCATGGAGTGCACACCAGGATACCCACCTGGCATCCCTGTTGCTGCAATGCCATTGGGTCCACTCATTGGCAAGCAGGTGATGTATAACGCATATCTTTTTTCTCTGGCCTTCGCCTTGCGTCTCTGCTTCTTCTCTTTGTGACGCTGCCTCCTCTCTTGCTTCGTCTCATGACGTCGACGGCGCCCAGCGGCAATTTCTGAAAGAGAAGGTTGACCACTGGGACGTCCGTAAGGCCCTGCTGGCGTGTTGCCGTAATCATCGTCATCCGTGTCTTCTTCGGATGACGATGATGAATCTGAGTCATCATCGTAGCTGGGCATATTCAAATCAACTTTTCCTATTTGACTTCCCGAACGCCTCTCACGACCTTTGTAAAGGACAACCTCGATACCGCGGGCAAGAAAGAACGATGTATTCCAAAGGTCGATGAGCTCAGCCGCGAGAGTCGATGGTTTTGGGGGCCTTCCATCCCGACCAAGGCTTTGAACGGGCAATTTGCCAGCCCAAGACAGTGATAAGTCCTGCACTCGTCATGAGATAACGAATAACGGCGAAAGGACACATACCTCCATCAGACGGAACCAATCCTCATTATGAACGTCATGGGGCTTCAAAGCCAATGGCATTCTCGGGATATGGTCGAAAAATTCGTCCATGTCCTGGATTTTCATAGTTTCAAAGGGTGTATAGGGGAGCGCTGCGTTGATAGGACGCGAGAATGCTTCTGGTGCGGGCAATTGCTGCTGCTGTTCCATTGGAGGGAGTGCAGCACCAGGAGGAAGAGGAGAGCTGGACCTCTGTCCAGGGTATGTAGAGGGTGGGTTGGTATAAGGGGCTCCCGCACCAGATGCGGGAATGACACCAGGAATCGGAGTCGTTGCCCTTGACGGCTGAGGTATCGGCTGACCCTCCATCACATGCCCTCTAGGATAAATTTGGGGCGGTGGGCCACCAAAGGGAGTGGTAGATCGCGCAATGGGCGCGATCGGAACTGGACCACGGGGAGGGGAGGCGAAAGTGGATCCTGGATACCCAGAATGGGTAGTCTGTGCGTAAGGGACTTCACTCGAGCGCATATTGGGCGAGGGGTTGTTAGAATACGATCCAGAAGATGGATACTGGGGTTGACTAGCTGGCGCTGTTGGATAGGGTCTCGGGTTACTGTAAGGTCCCGCGGCGGGCGCATACGTGCTGGAGGCCGCGCTGTATGGACCTGGAGCTCCGTAGGGAGCCCCATAGTTACCACTGATCGGGCGAGGCCTGTCTTGCGCGGTTTCATGGACACTGTATTTGCGAGGGCGGCCGAGCCCACTGGCCTTCTCTCCAGGATAATCGCGGTTACGGTCGATGTCCAGGTCGTTAAATTGGCGACTAAGATCAGTATAATTGCCGCTCACACCTCGGGTATACGCAGATGTCGCGGCGCCATAGGGGGCGCCGCCGGCGTTGTAACCACTGGGAGGTTCATTGAGGTTCGAGTACGGGCTTGGAGGATACCCTGTACCACCTGGAGCCAAAGGATATCCAGGAACGCCTGCATTGAAGGACTTGCGTCGCTCACGTTCCTGAGTGTCACGTTCACGAGCCTTTCGAAGTTCATATTCAGAATCGTTTCGGCCATGCCCCATACGCTCTTGCTCCCGACGCTTGGTTGATTCCTTCTCTTCTTTTTTTCTTCGTTTTTCTTCATCGCGTTGCCTCCAAGAGGATTAGGCTCAGCAGAGCGACTCATTCACATGGCACCATTATTTACTCACCAGTCTTTCAGTGACTTTTGTTCCTCCTTACTAGGGTTACCTCGGTTCCATGATGCGGCGAATTCCTTGAAAAATGTCAATAAAGTATCAGATAAAAGATCGCAATTCAAGTATCACCGAGGTCGCTGGCTGTGCTCCTGGAGGGAGGATCTGAGTGGCTTCAGCCGGAACCCATTGGATGCCACTAACAATGCCATTGGCAGTGGAATAACTGAAATCAGTGTTGATCGATTAATGAAAGCTGATACTGAAAGGTGGAGAGCTAACACGCCTTGCAGATACAGCCCTAGGGAGAGGAGATCGGTTGAGCGATGGGCTGCCGATATGGTTCCATCAGGACAATGAACGGACGTACTTGAACGGGTGATAGATAACTCTGCCATCGGGCCCAGTGGATGTCGTGTACGTTATTGCGCCTGGGACGATCTGGCCACCGGGCCCCGCAGCAAATGGTTGGGGATGATACTGACTATCTGCGGTGGCATAAGCAGAAGGTGCCCCGTAGGGCGATGGCGCTCCGTAGGGGGATGGCGCTCTGTAGGGCGATGGTGCTCTGAACGGTGATGGGGATGGTGCTCTGTACGCCATGGGTATGAGGAAGAAAGAAGGGACTCCAACTGTGATGGTATGAGGCAGTGGTATTAATAGTATTCAGATAGCAGCAGCAGAACAGATAAGATAACGCGAGCTCATTACACTAAAACAATTATAAGAAATAATCATCCAAATCCAACACACGATTCCATCACATAAATCTCCAGTACAACATAATGAACACCAGCAACCCAACAGCGCCGAAGGGTGCGTATTGTCGGAGCATGGCTTGCAGGTTAATATTCCTCGCAGCCTTCCGATACTTTTCCGATTCAGAGCGTAACGAAGTCGACAAATGGGACATTCCTATCGGATCGTCATTAGATGTCGTCAGACGGAACCAGAACGAAAACATACGATCTAAGGAATCACCCCTCCACAACAGCTCCTCCATATTTTTCGTCATTATTCTCGTCACGTCTTGCAGGTCGTCATTCAATCTGTCCAGCCCAGAGCTCGCAGCATTGGCTGTTCGTGTATCCTGATATAAACGTGCGGTCTTGGACATAAATGTGTCTGTGAGGATGGTGAGTCGGTCACAAAGACTCCAATAAACCCAAGGGTGATACGCACCGAAGCCAATGAAGGCATAAGGTTTTCGCACGGTTTCAACCTTGGAACCATAAGTAGTCGCAAACTCCTTTGAAAGTTCGTCTAAATAAGAGAAGGCAAGTTTTCGAGGGTAGGACTTGTCGGCGATTGTTAAAAAGACGACATTGTCTGATATGAGGTAACTGAGAGCGAGTGTTAAGTCCCGTGGAGCAAGGACAGAAGTGACATACTGTAATGTGTATGGCCCACTTTCAATAGAACACCGCGGCTCCGCGTTGGGAGTTATACGTCGGAATATAAGCTTGGATTGTTGCTTGTGCTCCTGCAGAACTTGTTCTGTCTACGTTGGAATGAGTGAAATTGACAGATGCAAAACGTTGTAACCAACCTGCTCATCGTCGACGCTGGCAGCTAATGGCAAAGCATCTGAGGCTCGAACGATGATGGTTGAACGAACCATGGAAGATGAGGAGCCAAGTAGGCTTGAAACGGTGGTGGCTGAATACGTGGTGCAACTCACGTGATAAGATATCAACGCGTGATGTAACAAGAAACCCGCACGTGATATTACGGTCCGAATCCGTTCTTGGCCTCCGTTTGTTATCTTCATCATATGTTTGCTGCAGATGATTTATTCACGGCTCCTAACCTTTGCAACATACCACGATGTCGCTCTCCCATCTATTCAACGTTGACAAACAGGTATCTCTTCTTCAAATATCTTTTTCGCTCGATGTTGACAACACTGGCGACAGCTCACCTTTTATGGGGCCTACCACTCCAATAAAGTCAACGTCCTCATCCACATCATCTGCGTGCCGATTATTCTCTGGTTCGTTTCGCTCATTTCTCATATCCAGGACTCATTTGAGACATAGGTCCGCTCATGCACTCGTTGCCCCATTACCCATGCCCTCATTTATGCCCACGATCCACTACGCATTCAACGAATACCTCGTTTTTGATTTGAACTACGCCACAATACATGCTGCGTTATATCTGGTCTATTATTTTATTCTTGAACCCGTCGCTGCAGTTCGTAATTCCGCAGTCCTTCGATCGGCAATTTGCTTATATCCCCTTTAGTTGTTTTACGCCCCTCAACTGGTGCTGTCCCTCCTCAGCGCAATCGCATTTTCGCAACGTCCAGGCTACTTGATCTGGGCGGGTCTTCTGCAAGCTGCTTCATGGGTTGCACAGTTTCTTGGACATGGACTTGCAGAGAAGCGTGCTCCGGCTCTCCTCAATAACCTCATAGGGGGTATGATATTCTTTCAATTTTGTCAATCACTCCTCACACATTTCAACAGCTGTTGTACTGGCACCGTTCTTTGTGCATCTTGAGATATTGTTCGGTCTTGGATACCGACCTGCCATGCATAAACGCATCAATAATGAAATCGGCAAAGAGATCACGAAGATCAGGAAAGCTGAGGGTGTCAAGAGACGCAAGGAACTTTAAATTTAGTTCATTGATTTATCCAGATTGATCACATTACAACTTGTCTCAATCTTAGCTAACGTTCGATTGTACGATATAACAGGGAATCACTGCCGAGTGGCCAAACTTATTGGTGGGGGAAGTGCGGGCTCTCCGACTGCAGTGACGTATGCTGAAGAAAGTCCGCCGTCGACCTTGAAGTCGGTTCCCTACAAACGCAAAGAGAAATATTTTGGAATCACAAATCATAGATACAGAGTGAGCGGACGCACCGTCACATAACTACTTTCATCGCTGGCAACTAAGCGAGGACGTTAGTTGTCTGGTAACAATCGAACTGCTGATTCATACTCACGAAAAAGAGCAGCGTTGGCGAGTTCCACTGCTTCGCCAAAGCGGCCCATAGGAAGGTGGACAAGTCTGCGCTGACGTTTCTCCTCGGTATCGAGGAAATCCATGAGGAGAGCTAGTGAGAGTGTATGAGAGTTTTAGGCTGAAGTGGACCTAAGATAACTTACGAGTCTTTAAAGGGCCACTGTGTAATTCAATGAATAAACAATTCTTGGGAAGGAAGGAAGGAAACTCACGGACAAAGAGAATTGATGCGAATGCCTTCCCTAGCATGAACCATAGCAAGTTCACGGGTCATTGCGAGAACACCTCCCTGACGGAAAGAGATGACTCCGACAATTGCCTCTAATTAAAGGAATGTTGCGCACTTTAGATGCAGTATCTGTGTGATACATTTCAAGTTTTGTGGTCAAACATACTACCTGGATCACGCACATGCCAGCTGTGGGGTTGCAGCACCCATTAAAGCGACGAAGCTTGCAGTATTGATGATACTGCCGCCACGATGCAATCCCTTGGCCTCATCCGTGGGGGTTTCGCGCATCGCAATGATTGCATACTTGCAACCCCACCAAACACCTTTCAAGTTGATCTGCATAGTAAGATCCCAGATGTGCTCTTCAGTGTTTAAAGCGTTGTCATCAGCAGGGTGCATGATGCCTAAGACGGCGTCGTATATGAACTGCTGATAGTCAGGAATAAGATGTACCTACCTGCGTTGTTGAACTGAGAACATCATGGTAAAGAGATATGGTGCGAGATCACGAGAAAATACACTTGCCATAACATCCAATCTGCCAAACTCATTTATGGCTAAATCGACAGCGGCTTTGACATCGGCCTCCTTGCTCACGTCCGCTTTTGTTGCCAGCACTTTGACATTGGGGGATCGGGTTGCGATCAAGGTCACGGCATTCTGGGCTGCTTCAAGGTTAATATCCACAAGCACGACATTTGCTCCTTCTTGTGCAAACAAGATAGAAGATTCCAGCCCGATGCCTCTGCGAGAGAATCACATCAAATGCAATGATCAGATGGCACGATACACACGATCCAGCTCCTGTTACGATTGCAACCTGTTGCTTAAGATGAGGACCAGGAAATATCGGGAGATGAGAAAAACTTCACCTTATTCTGTAGTCTACCGGGCATAGTTACACTGTACTTGATAGTGAGGACGAGCAAAAGCTTAATTACATATTATAGGTATTTCAATTTGCTTGCTTTGATACGACTGGTCACCATTCACGTGCGCACTCGTCACACCTCGAGCTTTGTGGCTTTCTCAAGGCTTTCTATCAAATACTTACTGACCTGCACTGCACACTGACGTTGCGCTACAGTCCACACCGCTGCCTTATCGCTCGTATCGCAATAGTCAATTATCATGAGTGGCGAAGCACCCGCAGTCAGCTTGAAGAAGAGAAAAATCTCCCCCACCGCGGCAGCGCCCACGAGTCCTCTTCCTGACTTACTTGTCAAACGACTTTCGGAGAAAGCAACGCTCCCAACTCGCGGATCGCCATTATCAGCGGGCTACGACCTTTACAGGTGAGAATGAATTTACACGTTACGCGCGTTTAACAAACCTTTGGCTTTCTCTTTAGCGCGGAAAGAAAAGTCATCCCTGCGCATGGAAAGGCTCTCATTGACACTCAGATCTCAATTGCCGTACCAGTAGGAACTTACGGCCGCGTCGCACCCCGAAGCGGACTTGGTATGTAACTGTCCATCCTTGTCCATTGCGATACTCATTGTATGGACAGCATCCAAATTTATGATAGACACGGGGGCAGGAGTAATTGACGCCGACTACCGCGGTGTGGTCTTCGTTTTGCTCTTTAACTTATCAGACAAAGACTTTCAAGGTGACGCGCTTGTCTTCTCCAGAATTCTCATAATCTGAAAGCACGCAGTGGAAGAAGGCGATCGTGTAGCACAGCTCATCCTTGAAAAGATTCACACAGCCGAAGTCCTTGAGGTCCAAGTGAGCACATTCCAGTTTACAGCTTGGCTTGAAAATGATCTTGATATTGTAGGACTTGGACGAGACAATTCGTGGTGCAGGAGGGTTTGGGTCGACCGGAGGCCATGGTTTACTGGAACCATCTTCTATTCCATGATAGATATCCCTGCTTGAAGAACTTTTTGACTTTGTCTGCGTGCTTGTAATTTACATACTTTACTGACCAGTTGCTGACCAGTGACAAGTCTCCGCTGAGTTTGAATTTGGGCAAATTCACAAATTTAACCCTTGTATTTCTCAACCGCCAACATGCTCCCAACATTCCGGACTTGTGCCCCAAATATCTATGAGCCTTTAAAGAAGCTTCTTCCTACGAGGCTTCCTCCTTCACTAGTGTCTAGGTCAGGGAATTTATATGAAGTGCTCTCCCGAACACCAGGAGGCGGGATTGGGAATGCTGTCCATCAATGCCGATGGACGGACAAGGACATCAGAAATTCGTACTGGATAGTTACTCGCTCTCAATTCAAGTGCGGCGGCAAACATGGTAAAGCATGGGGGCTCTTATACTGGAAAGGTACGTCAACTACAGCTTTGACAACTTCATATAGTCTCTGACCTTGTCATGTTCCTTCAAAAGGCAATCTTGTTAGCCCACAAGAGGAGCGAATACGGGGTGCTCTGAAATATGCATGGAGAGATGGCCCCTCTCAACCGGCGAAGCAACCCTCAAAAAGCGTACGTTCATGCTCAAAATCAGTTTCTGGTTCTAATGGGTCCGTCTGTTTAGTGAGCATTCCCCTTGACTCCCGGAGACTCTTGTAGCGCGAGTTCAAGTGGCGCGCACCACAGAACTTAGGATTCACTTTACTTCAGTTCTGAGGAGGGGGACTTGCCATTAATTTTGCGAGGATGTACTTGCCTCAAGAGATAACGTTACGAACAGAGCATGTTACAAGGTTTGCCACGCGATGGTTCAGGCTCAAGTTCAAGCCAGCGACCACTGTCCACTAAGCGGCCCTCATTATGGTAACTTCAGACGGGTGATGTGGCCTGGTGAAAAACATGCAGGATCTATAGGAACAGGACTTGTGTGCGAACCGTGACGTTGAATCTATACTTTGATAAGAGTTAATGATGGGTCGATGCCTTCTCTGGTACATGTATTGCGTATGGGTATGCAAGTGCCGATGATTGCAAGTGCGTTGCAGAGGGCGGCGAGCTAGGCTGATGCCAGAGAGAGGATGGGAAACTTTGGCCACGATCTGCCTCCAACTCCACCTTTTCAGCAATTACCGCTCAATACTTAGTTTGAAAGGTATAACCCAAGCCAATTTTGTATTTCACAAATATTCATATTTCACTTCTGTAGTATTTAAATATCGTTTGAACGGACGCCCCTCATGCGGGGATTCCACGGTAGGTGGCGATCTGGGACCTCAGACGAGTAACCTGGCCAGCGGTGAACTGGTTCATGCAGGAATCGTCGGTGTAGTCCATGAAATTGTCTGTATTAGATATCAGACGATATTTAGAGTCCGTGTTCACGGAAAAATACTCACGGATAGGGTCAACACCTCCACCAGCGCAAGTGTCACGGCCAGTGGGGCATCCGAAAGCAGCGGAGGCCTCTGGAGGGGTGTCATTGACGCTATCGCCTGCGCCAGTGCATCCGCCTTGGAAAGTATGGTATAGACCGACCCAGTGACCCGCTTCATGGGTAAGAGTTTGACCGAGGTTGTAAGGGGCCGAAGATCCTCCCGGGACAGATGAAAAGAGCATGACTACACCATCATCCTTGGGTGCACCAGAGTAGCTGGAGGGAAATGTGGAGTAGCCGAGGAGACCTGCTCCAGAACCAGAGACGAAACTGGACCTGCTTTAGCACGACACAACCGATAAGGCGTCTAGCATGTAACATACCCAACAGTATAGACGTTCAGATCCTTGGCGGCGCCGGTCCTAAGTTGGTTCTTCATAGTCGTTTGTTGTGTCGTTGATGGTCCAGCGTTGTTGAACCAATCTGCGTTCACGGTGCGAGTCGTGCCCGCGAGGGTCCAAGTGATACCAGCAGTGGCATATGCCGTATTCATGACGCTGATCTGTGCACTGAGCTGAGAATCACTGCAAATTGTTTGAGCAAGATTGGACGTGAGTAGATTCTATGGAGTAAACTTACGGCACATTTCCTCCAGCAGCCGTTGAATCCTTGCTAATAACATGGAAGTAGACCTTGAGGAGAAAATTTCAGCCGATGTATTGAGGGTAATGATATAGTTACTAACGTTGATCTTAGTAGGTGTGAGAGCAGCAAAGTCGCTGACTGTAACTTTGTGTTGGATGAAGTGAGCTTCAGCCGCGACGAGTTGGGCGTCGCTGATGTATGTACCGCAAGCCCTATAACACACCGTAAATCGATCGAGTAGGTATTAATGCAAAAGAAATCACCTTTTTGGGGTTGTGGAGTTAAAAGGAGAACCGAGCACTAGGGAGGCCCCGAGCAGGAAAGCAGCTACAGAGGATGCGAACATTAGGCAGGTTTCTCAGCAAGAAGAGCGTAAGAGGTTTGAAAGTTAAGCAACAGAAGCCCAAAGTCCTTTTATACACCGAGGTGCCCTGATATACGTGGTCGTTAAGAGATAGCAGATAGTAAAGTGACCATGTGGTTCAGAACAACGTTTCTTCAAGAACAGACTGGAGTAACATTGTCGCAACAAGGTACGTAGCGTAGCTGACCTTGACCCGCGTGTGCAAGACATGTAGACAAGATCTCGAGATGAAGAGAAGCAATTGGTGGCACCAAACTCCAGAGCTTCACGTGTAAACCTTGTAGATTTGTTTAGTTATTTCTTGAATTTGTCAATCTCTTGGGGTTTTTCAGTTCCAGGTAAATGCTTGATATCAAGCAAAGCCGAGCTATCAGCTCAAAAAGCGGCATGGTGAACAGAACTTTGTGCAGCTTTACGGATGGTGGCAACTGGACCTCTCTCTTAGAAACCAACTAGAAACATGTGAAGGCTTTCCCATAATTTTGATAGAAACCTGAAGACCCTAAGTAGGATGTCCGAAGAAGACCGAAATAGGTTTGGAGGAGGCGGGCGAATAAAATGTGAGCTTTTCAGAGTTCATGTGCATCTTGAAGGTCATCCAATCGCCAAACACATGGGGCCCATCAGGTGAATGGCCGAAGATGGAAACCAAGTTAGTAACCGCGAGGAAGTTGCAAGCAAAATACTCACTTATTTGCTATATGAGCTATCTGAATGGCGCAAGTACTGAAAAAAAAAATACAAGATTTCTCAAGATGAGCGTCGGATGAGCGCGTAAGTCGTACGAAGTAACGGCCCAGTGCAAGCCACGTGGCTCTGAACTTTTCACGTGTTTATATCCTCTTTCCAGCAGCCAGCTCTGAGCTCAAAGAGTAGCAAAAGAGTCGCCTAATCTCTCCCTTGACTATCCCTAGTCAAAATGTCGTCTCATGAACTCATTGACGCTCAATTTGATCGTGCAGTTGAGATTGTTCAAAGTCTACCCAAGACTGGGCCAATACAAACCGATTACGATGAGAAACTTACAATGTATAGGTGAGGAGTCGTTTCTCCGTGTTTTTTTTGACGGCCCTTCTTATTCTGTGTGCAGTCTATATAAGCAAGGTGCATTTCTATGCAAGATCAAGTTAGAAAGTGGTTAACGCTCAGAGTCTCTATCCAGCAACTGTCGGAAATGTTAGAGCGCCTCGTCCAGGGATCTTTGACATGTTAGGCAGAGCAAAATGGTTCGGCTTCTTTTCAATTCCTTTGTCTTGATTGAGCCTATTTTCAGGGATGCATGGGCCAAACACAAAGATTTGGATCCTTTTGAGGCAAAATGGCTCTATGTCGATGCTCTCCTCAAGGTTTGACTGTCACGTTGTTACCATCTATCTCATGACATGTTAATCGAAGTCAGGTACTCCGAAAGTATTCTGGAAAGACTATAGCGATGGACCTTGTGCAAGAACTCGAGGCGTATGGTGGTGATCCTGCTAATATTGTCACGAGTCGTATGTCGATGGAGATGACCATCATTTCGTTTGCTAACTTTCCTCAGGAACGTTCACCAAATCGCCCGCATCCGACGCTTCTGGGTCAACTGTTTCTGACGTCGCACCGGCTCATTACACCCGGGAAAACGCTTTAGCATCAAGCCAAAACGAAATTACTCATGCCTCAGAAGCTGATTCCATTTCAGAGGAAGAGTCAGACGACGAGCCCGGCGATTTGCCACCGGCAAATAGTAGGGAACTAGCTTTTGAAAACCGCCCCCAATCTTCGTTGTCTTCTCATCGCTACCGCACGCCAATGGCCGGATCTCTCGTAATGTCACCCCCGCCAACGCATGGCATACCACCTGCGCAACCGCATCCTGGGTATTCAACACCCTCCACTTTCGCTGATCCAACGTCTGTGCCCTCCTCATTATACCCGACAACTGGCTCTTATGCTGGGCACTACTCCCAGTCGTCCAGAGCGGAGTTGGTATCTCCCCCGCATGTATACCAGTCCCACCCTGCTTACAATCAAACATCCCAATATGGTCCCGGCCGACCTGCATCGCGACCAACACTGGAGCGTGCACTCGAGAGTGTTCAAGTTCAGCTAGCTGCCCTAACGGAACGACTGGAGTCTGTCGAAACACGCTCTGTTTTGCCATCAAGGGTCTCTCTTAGTCCACGGGGCATTGGCTCCCCAGCATGGGCCACTGGGAGAGGCTCACCACATGACAACAATCCGCAATGGGACATTGACGACCTCGGAATGTGGTCAATTGTTATCAATCCCGTCACCCGTGCAATCTCTGTTTTGCGAGACTTGACGGTGTTTTTTGCAAGAAATGAGAACCGTTCACCAACGATGATCATTGTTCGTCGATTATTCTTGGATGTTTCGTTTTTGGTGTGTGTTATTGCTGTTATTGGCGCGTTGTGGAGGAAGAGCGGTGTGCGAAGAAGAGAGGTCAAGGCCGCCCTTGTGATTCTATGGCGAGCGATTGTTGGGGCTAAACCCGAGAGAGTGATGCTTAATCGAGGGGTATAGCTTTGCATATTTCAATGTCATTTACGACCATCTACTCATGGATTTTATGGCCGGATCATATTCTCATACATGCTACAACGCTTCACTTTCATCGTCCTATGACATATCCACGACGCAACGAATACATTCGCCCGACTTCCACAAGGTCAACGAGCTGAACTGAGGCTAGCGCTCAAGAAGGTAACTCACATGCATGTCATGGAAGCCTTCGTTAATGCCTGCAAGACTCCTTTGATGTGTGACATATTCGTCGATCTTCAATGTACCACTGAGATAATCTGAAATGAGATTAGGCACGACACCAGCTGATGATAACAGCCATACGCACCGTCTACCAGCCCAGGAATTTCAGTCCTGCCTTTGACGCCCCCAAAGGCGGTTCCACGCCATGTGCGACCAGTCACCTGAAATGGTAGGCATGAATGTAAACAGGACGATCAAAAAAAAGAGTTTTGAAACTGCTCACAAGCTGGAAACTGCACAAAAAATGTAACGTCAACAAGGCTGGTTTTTTTCAACAGAAAATGTAAGTCTCACGGTCGGGTCGATATTTCTTGTCCAGCAGCAGCCACGCCGATTACTGTAGATACGCCCCAGCCCTTGTGACACGCCTCAAGAGCGGCTCTCATGACTTGAACCTAGCAGAAGGATAACATAAGGTAATAATGGTGGACCTCGAAATAACGGCCTACATTTCCGGTGCAGTCAAATGTAAAATCGAGACCTCCATCAGTGATGTTTACGAGATGATCTTGAATTTTGGTGCCCTCTGGTAGTTCGGTTGGATTGACAAACTCGGTGGCACCGAACTTCTCGGCCCATGATTTCTTAGCAGGGTTGGTGTCGACCGCGATGATGCGGCTAGTTCCAACCACGGCAGACGTAGATATAACGCCCAGACCAATCGCGCCGCAGCCGAATACTGCAACAGTGGAACCCTCTGAGATGTATGTGGTCAACAATGACCATCACACGAAAAAAAAAAGACAAGAGATCATACTGATTCCTTGTTGCTTCGTAACGGCGCCCCATGCAGTGGTAATGCCACATCCAAGTAAGCAAACCTTTTCGAGAGGAGCCACAGTGTTCACGGCGACGACTGAGACGTCCGCGACGACTGTGTACTGGGAAAAGGTGGATGTACCCATCTGAGCGCCGGTTAGCTGACCATGCATGATAATCGATCAGCCCGTCAAACGAACGAAGTGATGAATAGGTTGGCCGTTGACCGTGAAGCGACTAGTGCTGTCGGGCATTAGACCTTTCCCTTGTGTGGCTCGAACTACATACTCCATCATGTCAGGTGGATAGCACATACGAAGCAACGCATTATGTACCTTTTCCACAAAGGTTTGTCTTGCCGCTCTTGCAAAACTTGCATTCACGACACTCTAGCAAAAGTTAGGCATAACTAACAAAACGCCGAGTGTTGAACTTACCCGCTGTGTACAGGGGAATGACATGGTCACCGACAGAAACGTTTGTAACACCTTCTCCCACAGATTCCACCTCATCACTGCGATTCAATGCAATCCCAATGCCATAGAAAAGAGATGCTCACTACTCCTCCTCCTTCGTGGCCGAGGATGACGGGAAAGATGCCCTAAATCCCTTGTGCATGAGCTGCCTGGTGATAAGAGATGAATAGGTTGATCAAAGCACCTCGGGATCCTTGCCACTGCGCGTATATTCATCAGTATGGCAGATGCCTAGCGAAATGTTAGATATATGCTAGTGGACGGAATTCGAAGCTCTTGCCGGTGTATAGAATCTGGATTCTGACTTCGTGAGCTCGAGGTGGCGAGACTTGAACCTCTTCAATCTTTAGAGGCTCTCCTGCTCCCCAACAAACAGCAGCTTTGCACTTGATGGGTTTTCCGATCGTTGGGCTGTCTGGCATACTTATTGATCGATGGCGCTGGAAAAAGACTTGATTAAGCGCTCAAGATAAGGATTTGATTTGATCGAGTTTGAACTTGACCTCAGGCCCATGTCATTCACAAATCTGTATTACAAGAGGGTACAATCTCTTCCTATTCTTTGAATACGGCCGTGAAGCTTACATGGACACAGACAGCTGGCACTGCTAAAGCTTGTTATGTCTGCTCAAGACCAACAACGATAGTACTTGCGACTATCAATACGACTGACTTCGTTTATACTTGTCCTGGACATCTCTCCGACCAGGGGTTTGCGAGCCTAGTTCGCGACAGTCTGTCACCAAGTACCACTTTGACACCCGAGGAGATCAAGAAAGTGAAGGAAGAATGGGAAGAAAAGCAGAAGAAGAAAGCGGAAAAGGAGAAGCAGAAAGAAAAGGAGGAGAAAGACAAGACCGATGACGATACGACAAAGCCGGTTGCGCCGTCTCGTCTTGGTCCAGCACCGTCAACGCCAACACATGAGCGATACGTTCTTCACCGAGACTTTTTTGCGAGTGGGTTGCTTCTTCTCCACTAAATTTATGCAATGACTGATGGGGTTGCTGTGTAGTGCGGCAGTCTGAGCATCGCAAACGCAGGCAAGTGAGTCAGGCCAAGGAACTTGCACCTCGGCTTCCTGGTGCACCACAGGATGATATTAAATATTAAATATTATTTGAGCGGAGATTGAAAGTGATAATTTTGTTAGTCGTCCTCGTATGCACTTGCTGCCGGTAACTGTAACGAAATGAACAAAAATCCATTTCTCCCTAGTTTTACAGCGCAACAACCTCCTCTTCCTCCTGGTCCTCCTCCTCCTCCTCAGCCAACACATCCTGAGTATGCTGCTTGGTGGGCAAACGCAGCTGCAGCTCAGCAATCACATGTACAACCTCCAACTGTAGCCCAATATAATCCTCAATGGACTGCTCCTCAAGTTCCGCGTCCTCCGCCTGAACAAAGTGCTTTATACGCAAATTATGGTTATGGATCTCAAAATAACCATTGGCAACGCCAGCAGCAGCAACAGCAGCAGTATCACCCTGCACCACAACTCGTACAACCACCTCAACCACCACCTCAGCCTGCTTATAATCCTTACCAGCCAACTGCTGGCTATCCCCAGCAATACGTTCCTCAACCTGGTCCACCTCAACCTATCGTTCAACAGTCGTATCCTCATCCACCTACACAACCCCAGCAATTTTTTGCTCCTCACCTACAACCTCAGCAACAACCTCAGCAACAGCAACCTCGCCACATTCATCATACTCCTCCTCAACACCTTCCTCCAGCTAAACGACAACGATTCGATGGTCCCACCAACAACCGACACAATCCAGGTCAACATCATCCACCACCGACACAACCACCACAACCTCAATTCCAGCCTCCTCCCGCACCACCTCAAAACTTGGGAGTTTTTACCGGTCCTGTCCATGGTCCCAGTCGTGGTGGAGTACCTGGCCATACTCCTATGGGAGGCAACCGGGGAGGTGCCGTTGGCGGCCGTGGAGGTATTTCTGGCGGTGGAGCTCGTGGTGGAAGGGCAGGTTCAATGTCCGGCAACAGAGGTGGCCTAGGTGGTCGTGGTCGAGGCGGTAGCTTCGTTGGAGGGGGTGGTGGAGGCGGACGGGGAGGTGGACAACCAAATGGACCCTTGAGAGGACACGGGTCAAGGGGAAATTTCGGGGCAAACAGAGATTATGGGGGTAGACGAGGTGGTGGATCATTCAATAATGGGAGTGGAGGAGGATCATTCCGTGCTCGCAACCAAGGTGGCAATCGAGGCGGTCGACACGATGGAGGGAGTAGTGGCTCCGCGTTCAACTCCAGAGATGGAACTGCGTTATCGAACGTCACCAATGGTAAAAAGGAAGAGAATCGAAGGACGCTTACAGACTTCAAGATGGTTGGCCTCTCAATCCCTGACTTGGATTGGACTTGGGGCGTGCTACCACCTTCACCCCAGGTGAAGATAGAAATGAAAGAGACGGTCAAAGTTGGTTTGGAAGAGTCAAACGTCGTTGTAAAAGATGAGGAGATGGAGGACGATAGTATCTTGCAGGGGGCCGACTCGTCAAAATCCGCAGCGGAACCTCAGGTTGATTCAAAAGCTGAGGCACCATTAGATCCTATGCATGATGTAATGGTGCAGGACACGCCTACTCAAGGGTCCCAAGCTATAACAACGGCTTTGCCGCGAGTTTCATCGGACGTGAATTCCAATACGCCTCCACCATCACGAATCAGGATATATTTTCATACTCCAGTCACTGCTGATGATGCTCGCCCAATTCCTAATAGCTCTTCTTTTTCGTATACGGATGCCCCTTCAGACACCAGGAAAGGAAAGCGAAAGAAGATTGAGGACGACGACGCGGATGGAGATCTGGATGACAGTCGAGCTCCTCCGCCACCTCCACAAATGGCTGGCCTCAACGATGACCGGTCGAGTGTGGCTGCTAGTGTAGCACCAAGTGTGGCTGAAACTGCGAGTGAAGCCGATTGGTTAATGGCTGCCATTGTCGAAGGTGAAGAGGAAGATGAGGCAGCCGGTGAGTTACATCCTCCAGACGACGAGGAAGAGGACAGTGATCATATGCATGCCCCTGCCATAAACAAATTGTCACGGAATGATGATATTAAAGGTGAAATGATTGATGGTGAGCTTTTTCTTACTTCACCTCTCGCACGTTTTGGTGTGAAATACCCTCTGAACCTTCTCTGGGGGTGAGGAGGCTGCCTTGTGCACACACTGCTGACATGTTTTGGTTCCTCAAGGCATTATTCATAATGATGATGTAAATTTGGCGGAGGCGGTGGCTCTTGAGCCTCGTCCAGCGGTATCTGAGGAAACGGACAGATCCCTTCCGAGAGATGAAGTCTCAGCTGTTTCTGTTGCCCCTGTTGTCTCCTCTTCTGGTGTTGTGCTTGAGCATGTGTCGGTGGATGGGCCCATCAATGGTGTCGATGCCCCTTTGGCGACGGACAGCGAGTTGGAGCGAACTGAAGGCTTTGCCTTGCCGTCTCCGGACGGTCATGTTCTTACTGCGCCCTCTGCTTCAGAGGAGCCACCTGTTTCTATTGCCGCCGATGCCATTTCTTCCTCTCAGAATGACTCTCTGCTCTCTGAATCTGTGTCCGTATTTGACATATCCTGTTCATTGAATGTTGTCCTTACTCATTTTTTAACAGCGAGGAACAACCTACTAACCATCTTGTATCTGTTCCTACGCAGATTTTGGACAATTCATCAATAACTCCTGCAAAATCACTCTCAGCACTCTCAGCGGATGCGACCCTGCTGAGTATCGAAACGCAAAATGTCGAAACTCAAGAGACAAGCCTTGTAGACAATGGCCCATCCATCGTCGTAAACGGCCATGACGACGATTCTTCTGCATCCAAAATCCACTCTGTTGAAATGGATTCTATTCACGCAGACCATCTCCCAGAACCACCCGCATCTCCAACTTCCAACACACTTTTGTCAACATCGTCAACATCAACCTTTGAAGACTCCTTGCCTTTTCCTGTCGTTAAAGCTGAAGTCAATTCAGCGAAAATTCCATCAGCAAATCGCCTGTCGCTATCATACGCTGGTGGCAACCGGCGACTTGTCATTGATGCTGAGGTTGTCAAGTCGCTCAAGGTCTTCCGTCAAGAGGGCCGTATCGAAGTTGTCATTGAGATAGGCAAAGAGGGAGATGATGGATTGAAAGGAATAGTCGTATGTTAAATTTTATTAAGTATGCTTCATTGCTGATGAACTCTCTAGTTGGAAGGCCTTTCCGATGTTACAAAGTCCTACTTGCCTCTTCCTACTTTGTTGGACAGTTCTGTCGATGGTGACCCCGATATCACCCTGCCTCCATTCTCAAAAGCAACTTTACCTTCGACCTTGACACTACTTGTCCACCTTGACACAACACGGCCATTGTCGGAGCCCAAATGGGCCAAAACAGGTGATATACAAGATTGGTTGAAGAGCATGTTCGGTCGAATGTTTTGGGTCTCTGGAGATGCAGCAGAAGGCTGGGAAAAGAAAATTCAAGTTGTTGATCCTGACCCGGTAAAAGGACATCTCAAATGCTGTCTTACCCCATCTAACACTTCCCCTAGGCACCTACAATCTGGACTGTGCTGGATGGCTGGGCGACCAATTCACCTGTGGGCGCCCTTAATGAGCGTCAACGTTTCTTGAAGACCCATTTGACGGAAACGGACAATGTCTTGGAAATTCTTCTTCGACTTGTCCGTGGCGAGCGAGCTACCCCCTTTTCGCAAACTGCCCCAACGATATCTGGGCCCAGCATATGTGGCCCTCTTCTATCAGCGCTGTCCCCGGGCTCTGCCCATGGCGCTCAACAAACCCATGTATCCCTTGCAGTTCTTGCCATGTTCCGCATGACGGTGGAGTATGCAAAAAAGGCTTTGGGAGCCAAAGGCAAGGGCGAAGTTGAGGAACGAGTTGGAGAAATCATAAGATGTCTTCCATCGCATCTAATCTACAAAAGCTTGGATGGCATATTCAAGGAGTGGAGGGTAGAGAAGAAAGGGCGGTAATACTCTGAAAAAAACCGCTCGTTTGTTCCATTGTAGTAATTAGCCAGAAGAGTACTTTATGTTGAACATTTCTTTGCTACGAGAATCCTTCAGAAGCACCCTAATCATGTTGGTGGCGGCCGGTTATATACTTACGATTACTTTTATTCCAAGTTAAATGGTTCGGGAAGGCTTGCCAGAGGGTCGTTGTGCGGCTTCCCTCCAGAGTCTAGCAGCTGTCCCAGGTCTGCGCAGATTGATCAGGAGGTGGACCATCGCACTGAGAAGCATCACGCTTCCCGCTTGATGAGCGGCCGCGAGAGGCACAGGAACAAGGTAAAGAAGTGTCCATATGCCCAATAGCACTTGCAGGTTAGCCATGGCAAATGCGGCGGTTGTTGCCATTCGGACAAGTGGGGGCAGAGCAGCGCGTACTGCTGGTCTGAATGTTTGAGCGAACAACGCGGCCGTGCCAAGGTATGTAGTCACCGCCTGGAAACAATATTATGAGATGGACAAGGGTTGAATCGAGAACAACACTTGCTAGAACACGATGATCAAATTGCACCGTTGTTGGATTTTCAAAGAGATTCCGCCACCATTTGTCAGACTTGTCAAGATTCTTGGAATAGGCAGGGTCAAAGAGTTCGTCGCAAGGTGGTACCAGACGACCGCCCATGAGGGGGAATTCATTGTATAGGAGTCCAGCATCCAGCCCAGCAACGAAGGCACCTTGCCAATTCAAAGATGTAGCGAAACCCAGGCAGTCAAAGACAAACACACACCTGATAGAGCAGTCAGGAATACAAGAGCTGTGATAGCCCAAGCCTGTTTTTTAAATGTTTTCACCAAAGGATTCGTCAAAACAGATGAAATGCTTCGACCCTCGAGTCCACTCCAAGGCGCTCCGTGGGCAAATTTCCAGTCCTTTATGACAGCCAAACCAGTACCGAACATCCCCACGTATAAAAGAAACGCAGTACCAAGATGGGCAGCGAGACGGTATTGTGATACTCTCGGTACGGCCGCTGGGGTGTCCATCAGCGAATCTTCAAGCCCAGACTTGACCATGTACCATCCCAGTAGTCCCTGAAATCCAATGAGAATGGAAAGGGCAGAAAGTCTGGCTACCATTGGCGCGCCGATCTTTTTCTTCACGGCGAAATAGGCCAAGGGGCCGACGAATAGAACGCCGATTAGACGGCCAAGTATACGGTGACCCCATTCCATGTAAAAGATGGATTTGAAGTCCTCGAGTGAGATGGAGTGATTCAATCTAGAAAAATTACTCAGAAATGATATGCATTGAAAGGCGACACTCACAGTTTGAATTCGGGAGTCTCCCTGTACTTGTTGAACTCTACCATCCACTCGGCATGCGACAGGGGAGGTAAAATACCAGTGATAGGACGCCACTCTGTGATGCTTAAACCTGATTCAGTGAGACGGGTGACGCCTCCAACAACGATGATTGCAAAAACCAGGGTTGAGGAGAACATAAGCCATCTTCCTACTGAAGAAGAGGGAAGAACCGGCAAGGGTTTGACTGGAGCTGGTGCAGTTGGTTTTGACGAGGTAAAGCGAGACTGTAGACGTCGAAGGCGAAGTAGTGTAGGAAATGGGGAATTACTTGGCAGAGTTGTAGAAGGCCATGCTCGCCATGAAAGTACGGAGTACGGGTGACATAGAGGTTTGATAAATCCCCGGGATGCAGGGCGACGGCACTGCTGAGTGAAGAGGAAGCGTGCTGAAGACCTGCAAGGTGCTGCGAACCTCAGCGCACCCAGCAGCATGGTGAGGGGAAAGTTGGGTTATTTATTTACCATCACCTCTTATGCTCTCCCGTCGAATACTCTCCGCTCTTCAAGCTACACGCCCCTTCAGCACCACGGCACAATGGCGGAACACCTCGTCACACTTATCCGACGGAGAGCAGACAATCCACGACAAGCTCATTGCACGGTTTGCTCCGTCTCATCTAAAGGTACTGGATGTGTCTGGTTCGTTTTGAACGTCTGTCATTGCCGGTCCATACGCTCAGCAATATTTCTGTTTTAGGAGGTTGTGGTAGCTTTTATGCAATTACAATTGCTAGCGAGTCATTCAACGGGTTGTCCACAATCAAGCAGCATAAACTGGTGACAGAGACTCTGAAGCAAGAGATTGAGGGAATCCACGGGCTCCAGGTGCCTCCCGCTGTCTATTTCCCATCTCCTCATGACTTATAAATCTTACGTGCAGATTAAAACGATACCTCAATTGAGTCCTGAAAATTGAAAGATCGTCGATGTACTCTTCGACTTAATCCCCGACACAGGATATCTGCGAACAGTACCTCTAGATATTATGCTGGTCTGTCGGTGAAAGCAACAGAAATCGAGACTGGTAAACATGGGTGCTCAAATGGAATTCCTGGTTAGCACTGCCTGGCAGGTTAAGAGCCAATTATGCCAACTTTTTGGAAAGTCGCAGAAGAGTAATTGCCTCCCGGTTGTATACACTGCGATTAGGGTCGTCTTGAACCTGACAATTGAAAGAGTAAGAGATTGTCCTTGACGCAAGAAAAATCTTGACCTCTTCCCATGTGAATGCTTTTTTCAGCAATGCAAAAAAACGTTTGTCGGCCTAGCAAACAGGATATGAGCTTTGCGAGGGAATTTTTTGAGATGTTGCAAGAAAACCTTTCTCCGCTTTTTGTAGCAAAACAAAATTTCTGTTGTCGCATCGGCAAGATCGGCTAAAGTTTGCACAAGAAGGGGAAATGTGGGTTCGAAATAGACGCAATCAGCGGCAAGGATAAGGTCAGGACGGGGTATTTCTGGCGGTATCGGAGACCCCCTACAGAAAACATGAAGCGCTATCAGAGGCGCCATCTGGCAAGATTTCAAATAGCTCAGAAGACAAACAGACCAATTGAGTTCCGCCACCTTGACATTGTTACACAAGTTGTTGATAAAAACATTGCGACCCATGATTGGCAGGAGAGGACTGAATTGCAAAGGCTTAAGATAGGCACGGCGAAGAGAAACGGGGAACAAACGATTGGTCTGTTATCCACACCTTTCCGCCTAGGATTCCTGCCAGGAGTCCGACGAGTCCGGTCCCACTGCCTAGTTCAATTGTGTTTCGGCCAGAGACGAAATCGGAGCCTTTCTGAACGAGGTACGTTGCCAGGATCTGCCGACGAATAGAATGAACACTACATCTCGAAAAGGGGTGGTGTTCCGAAAACCACCTGCCCAGCAGGCCAGGCCACACCCCCACATCCTGGGGAAGCGTCCAGCACTAGATCAATCGACAAGGGGTGGGGAAGGGTCTGCCACGGATGGGAGAAAGAAAGATGGAAGATGCCATTACTTATGGAATGGGACTGGTGGGGTAGAACAACAAGCAGGTCCGACGACGATGAGGAGGTTGTCGAAGGCGAAGACGATGCCATCTGATAATTAATTAATTAGTTGTCCGCTAGTTAATTAATTAATCGATTAGTTACTACGTCAGTATGTAAGTTATGTTTTCCGCTTGACAGGCTTGAACTTGAACCATGTCTAGTTTCCACAAGGTCCTTTTCCAATGGTAACGAAGTCAACTATTATTCTCGTCTCCTCATCGCTCATCAGTATTTTAGGCCGCATACTGATCCCAGCAGTGGCATCGTCACTGGAACCTTCGACAACGTCAGCAGAATTCTTGAGCGCTTCTACGCATTCTATTTTCACTTACTGACTTTCACCAGTGGTCAAGGTCCGTGCCTCTCACCAAGACCTCCACAGGTCTTGAGGCCACTGTCGACATACCTTGGGGTCAGACAATCAAGTACAAGTTTATTGTCGATGGACAGTGGTCTGTACTGGAAGACCAACCGACCGAGGTTGACCCAGGAGGATATGTCAATAATGTCTACACCGCACCTCCCAAGCCAATTACTCAAGGACAACACGTTGAGGGCATTTCTACCAACGGCAAGGGTGAGCCTGCGGAGACCGAGAGAGCTGATTCCCTCTCTCAAGCAGCAGCTGTGACAGGACCAGGGTTTCCTCGATTACTTGCAGATATAGCTAGTACCGTCATCGCCAGAGACGGTACTTCTTCAGTCCCTGGATATGTGGCATCTGGGCTTGGCGGGGTGGTAAACAGTTCTGTAGGTATCGATCCCATCAACGCAGGGCAGGTAAATAGCTAAGATTTTCTTTGTGCTCTCTTATTGAATGCTGTGATAGATCGCCATTCCAACCTCGAAGGTGGACCCAGAGTTCGATGCTTCAGCTTCAGCCTCTACCGTGGATCAGGATGTGACTGCCAGTCCCATTTCGCCCCCGAAATCAAGTACAGACTACATACCGTCACCAGCTGCGTCTCTTGTGCCAATCGCGACTGTTCAAGCAGACGCCTTGGAGAACAACATCATTACGTCATCTTCCTCCTCAGACTTCATCTGCAAATCACATAGTGACTACAGAGGTCTCCGTAGCGCCTGGTAGCTTCGGAGGCTCGGAGTCACGTACCCCCCTATCATAGACCCCCATAACAACGGCAATACTATGTGTCACTCCAGAGAGCGCTGTAGTGACGGAGTCTCGTAGATTTAGAGTAAGCATAGCCAACAGAGCACCTTGTAGTCTCCTTTGAATATGATAGCCGTTGGTCTAGCAGTGCGCTCAAAGCAGGGAATAAATGAATTGAATGAATTGATCAACTAATTAATTATTTACGAGATGGTGGACTGATTGGCAGCGAAAATCGCCAGGAGCGTCGCTTCATCGTCGTCACCACCGTCGTCGGAAGTAGGTGTTCCCTCGCCGGAAGCAGCTCTATTACAAAGATTAGAAGGGTATCCAGAATGGGTAAACATAAGCTGACCTGGCATTGTAGAGAAGACTCTCTTGCAGTTCAGATGTGAGGTCACGCTGCTGCGTGGCCGACCACTCCTTCCAGCGTGTAAGGTTTCTGAGAAACTTTTGATAGTGACGTAGGTATGCGTCTCGTTGAAAGGGTATGGTCACCCGCTCGCCTGTACGCCACTCATCGATTGCACACAGGACCTAGGAGTGAAGGTAAGTTGGTAGTAATATAGGGAGAGATGGGAACCACATACGGCGGTCAGTATCAACGCAATGGTAACCAGCGGTAACGAGGTTTGTCCAGCAAAGAAAGAGGCACGGCGAAAGGTACCCGAGCCAAACCAGTTGAGGTTGAGCATGTTTTGTATGATGGCATTCTTATACATCGAGTCCGGCAAGTTCGTCTCACTGGGTTTCTGATAGACTGGTTAGTTTATTGAGTTAGATACAAAATGCTGAATAGCTCACTGTGTACCAGAATGAGTTTTTGATGCTAGCTACGAGCGCGCGATTTCGCTCACGCACTGCTTCTAGATTTTCGGGAGTAGGATTGTTGATGCGCTTGGGGTTGACGAACCCATACTCCTCGATGACCTCAATTCGCGCGTGATCTCGGAGTTGGCCTCGAAACTGGGAGATACGTCCACAAATCTGGGAAGCATCAGATAAGCTAAGTCTACAAAAGAATAAAAGACACGTGCATGTTGAAGCTCATCCATCCCCGGCTCTCTTTCTTCTTCTAATTCAAGCTTCTCCCATGCTTCGAGCCATGCATGCATGGCAATCTCAGTGGCCTCATCCAGCTGATCTTCTGCCAGTATGTCGGACTTCGGGTCATTCGGCCAAGGGTTCTCTAGTGTCAGTTTTTGCTTACAAAGTTCATATGCGACCGATAGAATAGATTGAGTTTCCTCGTCGAAGGTCTTGATGCTACGAGACTTTTTCTTTTTTCGATGAACCTGGTGGTCGCTATCGCCGTCCTCACTTGTGTCTGATTGGGCTCTTCTTGCCGCACGGTCCTGGCGCTGACGTCAGTTTCAGACATCTCCGATAAGGTAACGTGTACCTTCTTTCGTTGTGCCCGCTTTCTCTTCTTCACGGACTTTGGTTCCACAGAACACATCGTTATCTACTTCAGGTGTCATCAGCTAGCTCTCAAAATGGTACAGGACAAACCTGTAACCCTCTTCTTGAAGCGTCGTCAGTGCCCTTCTCCAGGTGATCTTCCTCATTTTCGGACTCGTGCTGATGGCCATCAACAGGTTGCTGTACCCATGCATCCTCCCTATATTCTGGGTCATCGTCCTCGAATGGGATTAGCGCTGGAGTGAGAGGGCGAGCGGTGAGTGTAGATGGTAAAAGATCAATGGCAACCGACTGATGCTGCTGGGGTTGCAACGGAGCGTAATTGAGTGGTGCGAGGGGAGCTCTTGGGGTTGGAGTGGAAGGTACAGCATTGAAATTGAATTCTTGCGATGGAGGTGCGGCTGTCGGAGTTGTCGTTGGAGTCATACCATGTGGGTGCATCGAAACAGGCACGGGTGTAGACAGTGCAGTCATTGGTTGTGCAGGAGTCCAGGGAGAAGCCGGCATAGCAGGGCGATGAACCAAGGTGGTCACTGCTCCCGGCCATGTCAGATCATCACCGGTGAGCTGCTCCATAAAGGACTGCTCTGTTGGTCCGGTGAAAGGATAGTTAAAGGATGGCTCTTTTGGTCCAGAGAAAGGATAGTGCGAGTTGGGCTATGCAACGATATGAGATAGATGTGCTGTCAGTGATGAAAGGCTTACTAACGTTGGACTGTGCTACGGCATGAGAGGGTGGCCGTGTCACCACATCTGTTACAACATTAATACTACAGGATTGAAGGAAGGAGGCAAACTTACTTTGAGGCGTCTCCCACTGAGGGGTAGAGGTCGGTTTATCCATGGGTTGTGACCGAAGTTGAGCATTCTTCATTCTTGTCTCTTTTGCTTTTGCTGCCTTGATTGCATTTGCATGGAGGGTAAGCCCTAATCAAGTCAACCGTCAATGGGAAAGTGGTAGCAGGGCGATAGAACAGAATCATACTCAACGAATCCAATGCATGGTTCTCTTTTGTGGGCCGGCGCCCACGACCTTCACTGTGAACCTGATTGTTAACAAATTCAGAGGGATTGTCCCGACGCTCTGGTAGACTGAGCTGAGAAGGACGCGGGGCTCGCCTCCCTGCCATTGCAATGGGAGAAAAAGAGAGTAGCGGAATATGAAACTTCTGCACGAAAAATTTTCATCTCAAATCGCATCACGCGCACGGACGATCGTCATCTATTCAACTTCACTTCAACGATAAATGGCTAAGTGCCAGACCTGTCTCCGAACCTTTTCATCATACGCCGATGTCAACCGACACCGACAGCAGTCGCCGAAGTGTCTTCAAGCATACAAAAAAGTCTTCGGCGCGACATTGAAAGCCCACCAACTCAAACGGGCAAATGGAACCACGAGCCAAACCAGTGGGGCTGCTGTACAAGAAGAATTACTCTCAGAAGTCCACGCAAATCCAGAAGATTTTGACGTACAGATGGAAAGTGACCCTGATGCTGAAGAAACTGAAGCTGCCGATCCAATAGATATCGATGCTGTTGCACCTGCAGCCCGAATGGTTGAAGTTGAAGATGAGGATGCTCCAGGTCGCAAACGGAAGTATTGGAAACAGCCTTACCCGACACACAGGCAAGCTGGGGCCAAGGTTGGAAAGGGCCGTACAAAGTTTGAGCGCATCCATGATGAGCAGGTATTGACAGACGCAAAGATCTGGGGGCCATTCCAGGATGAGGAGGAATGGGAGCTTGCAAAGTGGCTTATTAAAAATGTCGGGCATGGCCAGGCTGATAGCCTTCTAAAACTTCCTATCGTGAGTTTTGTGTAATACTTCGTCAATTCACAAATGAATCTCACATATAATAAAGATATCAGGGCGGGCACAACCGTCCTTCACCAATAAAGATCAGTTATTGAACCGGATTGACAGCTTGCCGAAGGGACCTACATGGAAGTGTATGGACATTAAGGTTGATGGAAACGAGCCTGATCTTGCTAAAGACCCGACCGGAAAGGTGATGAGAAGCGAAGCTCTAGAACTTTGGTTCCGAGACCCAGTGGAAATTGTCGAAGAGCTTATAGGCAACCCCCAATTTCGCGAAGTCATGAAATACGCTCCGGAGCGCGTGTACGCAGATATGGAGGGAAAAACACAAGTCATCAATGAAATGTGGACCGGGAGTTGGTGGTGGGAGATACAGGTGAGCATGCGCCGTGAAGAGGCGAAAAGTTCAGCAAGCTAACAAACATATTAGAGTCGTCTTCCAAATGGAATTACAATCGTACCACTGATTGTATCCTCGGACAAGACCCACCTCTCCAATTTTCGTGGCGATGCTTCTGCATGGCCAATCTATCTCACCATCGGAAACATCGGGAAGGAGACTAGGCGGCAGGGATCATCGCATGCCACTGTTCTCCTTGGTTACTTGCCCATCCCCAAGTTCGACTGCTTCACAAAAGAGGTGCGCTCACTCGCGAAATACCGCCTGTTCCATACATGCATGGATGTCGTAATGGAGCCGCTCATCGCTGTTGGCAATCACGGAAAGGAGATGGTGTGTAGTGATGGGTGCATACGCATGGTGCGGCCCATCTTTGCAGCGTATGTAGCAGATTACCCCGAACAGTGTTTGGTGGCCTGCTGCAAGGAAAACCGTTGTCCAATGTGCCCTGTTGATCCTAAGGCGAGAGGGGACCATGTTTGTGAGCCAAAAAGAGATGTGAAGGAGACGCTGTTTTACCTTTCAAGAAAGGATGCAGGAAACAAGGACACCGTTTTCGAAGCCCATGGTATGCGAGATGTCCCCCTGCCATTTTGGAGAAACCTACCCCACGCCGACATCTTTTCATCGTTCACTCCTGATTTGCTGCATCAGGTGCATAAAGGCGTCTTTAAAGATCACCTTGTCAAGTGGTGCACGGAAATCATAGGGAAGGAGGAAGTTGACGCACGGTTTCGTTCAGTACCACACCACCCAGGGCTTCGGCACTTTGAGAATGGAATCTCGCATGTTTCGCAGTGGACAGGGACTGAGCACAAGGAGATGGAAAAGGTGTTTCTAGGCTTGGTGGCGAGTAACCCCGATCCACGCCTTGTTGTTGCAGTTCGGGCGCTGATGGACTTTGTTTACCTGGCATCCCTTCAATCCCACACCTCTCACACTCTCCTCGCCCTTCGTCAGGCACTTGATACCTTCCATCTCAACAAACAAGTTTTCATCGAGCTCGGTGGACGCGATTCCACTCACTTCAACATCCCCAAACTTCACTCCCTTGATCATTACGAGGAACTCATACGTCTCTTCGGCAGTGCGGATGGCTTCAATACCGAATCACCAGAGCGTCTCCACATCGACTTTGCCAAAAATGCGTACCGTGCTAGCAATCGGAAGAACTACATCGAGCAAATGGCAGAGTGGCTTTCACGCCAGGAGGCTGTGGAATACTTTGCCGCATTTATTGAATGGACGAAGGAGGTATCCCAACCCAAGAAGCCGGATGACACAGTGGAACTAACAGCTGATGACCTCGTCATCTCTACCAGACACGCTATCGCCAAACAGCCTCCCCCCGCCTCTCGCCACGTCCTTGCAAGTGACATCATTTCTGCTGATGGCCATGGGGCCTCTCGGTTCTTGCCTGCGCTCACGACATTTCTTTCTCAGCAAGGTTCAACACTTCAACCTCGCGACTTCGACGTTTTCGGACTGTGGAAACAACTCGTCTACAAGCTTCCTCACATCCCTGAAGTTGGTGAACGGCACTCCAAGAATCCTGTCCGTGCTTCTGCGGCCCGGGCTGTACTACCTCCTACGTCTGGAGATACACGACGCATGGCAGCCCAGCCTGCCTTCCTCGACTTTGCCTTCATCAAGACTGCTGAAGTGAACTCATTCACCGATGGAACTTCTCTTCATGGTGGGTTAACTCCTATCTCTCGAGTCAAGGTGCTATACTTACGCTTTCCCTGTAGGTCTCCGGGTTGCTCAAGTGCGGGCCATCTTTCAACTTCCTCGACACTACGGTATCAAATCGGAGCACCCACTAGCGTACATTGAGTGGTTCACCCCTTTGCGGAAACCCGATGACATTACGGGATACTATCACGTCTCAAGATCAAGTCGTCGAAAGGGTGGCATCGACGGACCTTATGCTGAGATCATCACAGTTGACAGAATAGCTCGGAATGTCATGCTAATGCCTAAGACTCGAGGGAACGACAAACAGTATTTCCTTAACTCACACATTGACGGACATATGTTTTGTATGATTAAACTAGGCTACCAAGATTGTTTACCTGTATAGTAATTGACAACGTGGGGAGTTAATGGATTCCAGCTGCTAGCCTCAACATCCTCTGATACTTGCGACGTAGCCGCGCCTGTACCTTTTCAAGAGTAGCCAACTCCTGAGAAAGTTGAAATGCGATCTGACGGGCACGAGAGGCTGATAATCGATGTCCGTGTTTGCGCGGCGTGTGAGGCGTACACATGCGAGACGTCATCGGTGATGAGATATGCGGCTGGACATCAGGTGTAAAAGATTCTGGTACCTGTAATCAAACGGTAAGAGAGCGCGAATGGATGGAGACAAAGACTGACGTGTGCGAAATCCAGCTCTTTCTCAGCCGCTAGCTTTTGGGCGTACCAATGGGCAAAAGCAGGGCACGCCTCTTGCGTGCTCACTTCCGGAGTTTGGGCAAAGAATCGACGATCCTATTCAACATTAGCAGAGGGGATATGAAAGAAATGGAGGAGCATACCTGGCTTTCCTGCCAAAGCGCCCTATCGAGCGTTGATTGCACCCACTCAGGCTCCACTTGTTCCGAGTCGGCCATGCAGTCGGATATTGAACCACTGTTGTGAGGATCAATTGGGATTGGTGTATATAGTGGGGTTGGGGGTGGTGAGACCGACGATCGAGCAGAAAGGGTCCGTTGCCCGCCTTGCAGAGTGTCCAGGGCTGAATACAATGTTTCTTGTGATACACCTAGATTGCAATGTGTGAGAGGGGATCGAGGACACAACTGGCAAATGAAGCTCATCAGAAGGATGGATTATAGAACAACGTTGATAGCTTACCTCGCGCTCATGAGAGATGGAACTCTCAACTTCCTCGTCCGAACACTGTGACTCATGTCCTGAAATTGAGTGCGTGGGGGAACTCGCTGGGAGGGGAGAGAAAGGGATTTGATAAGGTCCACCAGGTGAGCTTGGGGGTGTAACACGGCGAGACCTTCCAGACATGAGTTCGAGATGGTTTGAGAGCCTAGAGGGACTTGGTTATGTTGAAAATTTAGTAGGATTCCACGTACCAGACAGAGATATGACATTGTCATCCTAGTCGTAGCTTGCAACGGGCTACTGAGTAATGAAGATGCCGCGGAGTGGGTGGCCAACTACAGTGTGTTACAGAGAGAGCGTGGTACTACGGCGTGTTACAGAGAGAGCGTGGTACTACAGGATGCTCTGTGTCGCCCACGGCACTCTCCGCGTCCCGTGAGAAGTCAGGTATCTCCTGGGCCAAAACGCTTTTGCAGATGTTAGCAGAGGTCGAGAACCCATCCCTCTCGTCGGCAGACGCCCCTGCCTCCAGTCAAAAAGGACTGGGGGACACCTCACACGCTTCCGCTTTGGCGCCTGAGCTTCATGCGCCGGAAACAAGCACATCTTCCGAACCTGCAGCGGAGGCCGAGAAATCGTTGGTGGTTGCAGAAGTACCAAGTATCTCACACGTTGACCAGGAAGTTCCGGAGACCCAGGAGGGTGTTCCAACACCGCAAGAGAACGTTACGGATGTCACTGCGGTCCTTTCAGCCCAAGGAAAACTTTTGGTGGACGAGAAAGAGGCTTCCCCAGAGGATACTGTTCGTTCTCCTGGACTTGGAGAGTCTGGGGATCGATCCGAGACTCCGGCGATATCTGTCTCACCCTCACCCGCACTAGATTCTGAACAGGCTATTCCTCATGGGCGAGCCACCCCGACATCGACATCTACATCTATCCCCAGCGCGCCGTCGACGCCCGTCAAACGTTCTTTAAACCCCTTCCCAACCTCGTCGCCGTCTAGTTCAGTGAACAGCTCGCCTTCTTCATCAAGATTCGGCACACCCAACTCTGCGCGAAAGAAAAGGACCTCAATATTCGGCAAGTTGAAACATATATTCCATCACGACAAGGACAAGGAAAAAGGGAAACAATGAACGGCCCTTTACTTGATGCCCATGACGACCACATGCTTCGCCATCTTTTCTAGATGTTGCCTTTTTTTTTTCTGCTTTCCTGACGACATTAGACACAACCAACCGGAATCATCCATTTTTTGCTCCCTGTGCGTTTATGATGTTGTTCTGTACATATATGATGTTACTCCTACTCCATTGCACCAGCTATTCCCTAATCCTTTCAAGAGATGACCTCAAGAACAATACCTCCACATATCACTTAATAATACATCTTGATTCATAAATGTTGAATGTCAAACTCACCAGCAGCAATAGTTTCGCCAGCCCTCCGGATAAGAATCCGTCCCATGTCTTTGTTAACGGAAAAAGGCTCTAATGGGATCCCTCTGCCTGCGATATTAGAAACCGGACTTGGGCGGAGTCCGATTTGCACTTCAGCTGAAGTTCCTTTCGTCAACACGCTTGAGACAATCGGCGTGAACATGTTGGTCAAACACAGATAGAAAGTTCATTTACCGTGGATTGCTTTTGATTACGTTTCCCGATGAGCGGTCAATGGTTGATATTAATTTCAAAGTGGTGGCAGGAACGTCACGTGAATGATGATGAAGTTCAACCTAAACGGAGGAGGTGCAGTCGGCGATTTACCACAAAACAAGTACGTACTGAGGTTCCAGCAGTAATTGGCACTTGAATATCAAAAACAATGATCCGAGCGGTGAATACGGTGGCCAGGGGGATCAAATCCGTCAGAGGGCACAAGACACTGCCAATGCCCAAGTTGATGGCCTCGATTCCACTCAAGTTGAGAGTTGCATTTGAACCCGCCGCTGCCCACGGGACAAACTTGTCCTCAACCTCAATTGCTGATGGGTGGGAGTTTAACGCGTTGACTTGGAAAGGCACTGAAGCACTTCCTACATTTAACTATGGCACTCTCATCCCCAGGAAGAACCCTCAAGCGTTCCCCAGTCTGAACAATACCGGCGATGAGTCTTCCAGAGACGGCGACAGCACCAGATCCTTGGCCTTTAAAAACATTCGAAATAGGAATTCGCAGGGGTGCAGTGACATCGCGGGCGGGAGGGTCCAATTGATCTTTTTGAGATGGAGTGCGATATTAAAAACGGGTAACTTTGGGATTTTGAATCGACTTACCAAGAAAATCAACCAGTGTAGGGCCCGAGTACCATTCTCGAAGGGAAGATGAATCAGCACCTTCGCGCTGCAACAAATTGATTCCTTGCATTGCGCCGACGGGAACAAATTTCGTCTTGCTGGGATGGAAGCCAGATTGTGCCAAGAACGGACGGAGAACTGCGCAGATTTCTTCGTATCGACTCTCACTCCATTCGACCTTCAAGACAATATTCAAAAAAATCGTTGTAAATCTCATGTCAATGTCTGACCTGGTCAAGTTTATTGATGGCTACGATCACCTGAGCAACACCTAAGCTCCGTGTGAGGAGAAGATGTTCTCTAGTTTGTCCACCTTTCTCAAAGCCAGCCTCGAATTCCCCTGTTGTGGCATCAACAACGAGCAATGCACAGTCAGCTTGAGATGCCCCAGAAATCATATTCGGGATGAAATCCTTGTGGCCTGGGGCGTCGAGGACGGTAATTTGTCTATGCGTCGTCTTTAAGGACCGGAGTGCAATATCCATAGTGATGCCCCTAAAAGCTGGTAAGACAAAGAGAAGGAAAAAGCGATCAACAGTTAACCTTTCTCGTTCCTCGGTTGTACCGTCAAGACCCCATGCCCAGCTGAAACTACTTTTCCCAGCAGAGCTGCTGCCTCTCTCATTTGCCCTTCTAATCTTTTCGTCCAACTCGCCGAGTTCATACATCAATCGGCCTAAGAGAGTGGATTTACCAGCGTCGACATGACCTAAAAATGCATGAAAGAGACCGTTAATATGGAGACAACTCAGTGGCGCACCGATCACGACTACGCTGACGCCTTTTCGCCCGTCCTGAGCATCATTTATACGTTTCACTTCTTCGAGAAGTTTTTCCCTTGCGAAAGTCATCTTGGGCAGTTCCTCCACCACAGCTGAACTTTCTTTCTCCTCGAGATTTAGACCCGAAACATCGAGCTGCTGTTGATCTAAACTCCTTCTCCTCGTAGGAGTCGATCTAACCGGAACAGATGAGGCTTTCTTGGTATTTTTAACAGGCGTTCCAGCTGGTGTTGGTACTCTTGAGTTGTTGGTGGATCCTGTGGGTGTCTTCTGTGCGAGCTTTTGGGCTTTCTCCCGATCTCTAGTGGCTGTCAAGGTGCATTACAATACAGAAAAAAAGAAATAATAAAAAAAGTAATTGAAAGTAGAAGAATTTCCAAAATGAGGACGATTTATGGTGGTGAAGATGGTTTTCTGGTGCCTGTAGTCATTCGAGGGGAAGAAACAGACGATAATGTTTGTTTCCCTAAAGTTGTTCCCCGCCGTGCCTGGAGTACGACATCATCTGGGCTGGGACCATCAAAAGAGAAAGCCGACGGTGAAAGCTCTGCAATCGGTGGCCTGATGTGATTTCGTTTATGAGTTCGCGGGCGACCATTACGGGTATCATCCACAACAAGGACAGGAGAGGATGTTGTACCCATATCCCTCTTCTCCCTGTGCTTCCAATCCTTTTCATGTTTGTCTTGAGCAGGTATATGGATGTCATGAATAAGCAACGAAGCAAAGGCGGAAGGCGACGCACGAGTGCGAGTCGGTTTCGCTTGAAAAATCGGTGAAACTGGTAGGGCGATTTCTTCTTCGACTGGGACTGGTCGCACGTGCCTCTCGCCCGCCCGCTTTACCTTGAGTGCTAGTTTGGATGGTTTCGTCCCTGCCGGCGGTAAAATCGTGCCATTCTCATTCTGTTGTAAAGGCACAATATCCAATTTTGGGATCATCGAAGGACGTGAGGGATCAGTGAGACTATAAAGCGACTGATACGAGGTTGTGATAGCGGTGGTCACTGACGACCCGTTGGCTATGGGAGTCAAATATTCTGTCGTAGTCTTGGGCAGTTTGGGCCCACGGCTGGCATCTGCCTTCTGCTGAGCAAGCAGAGCAAGCTTGGAAGGTGGACGACCTGACGCCAATTTTGGTAGCGGGACTGTGTCCTCCAAAACTTTTGCGGGGCTTGGATCCAGCGTTCGGAAAAGCTTGAGCGTCGGTGTAACGGATCTGTATTGGGTGTCCGTTGAAAGTGACGGTGGTGACGATGGACGTGTAGGCTTCGGAGTGACTTCTTTATCCACGGCTTCGAGATCAAGGGCGGTCTGTATTGCTCTTCGAACCAAAGATGTCGTTGATGGTTGTGTCGCGACATTTGAAGGAGTTGGAGGCAAATTTTTTGAAACAACAGAGGCAGCGACCGAGCTTGGCGGACGCTCTGAGTGAGCTGACGGGCGAAGCGCTGGGAACGTCTTGATCGACCCAGCCCTGGCAGTACCAGACGACCTAGAACTTTCGCTTCTAATGCTGACACTACTTGCTCTTGAGCTGGCAAGCATCGACAACTTAGAGCCTATCTGTTTGGGTGTCCGACTGGGAGGAGGAATTGGAAGAGGAGCTTGGTTACTCGACTTTGAGCTGTAGTCCGGTATGTCGGGAAGACCTTCAACGGATGGCGTAGGCTCGCTTTGTTGATGAGCAGAGGTAGGTCGAGTGCTTCCCGTAAATATGGACGTATGGTCAGAGGGTGGAGCTTCGTATTGTGACAATCTGCGTATCGCCGATCCTGACGGTGAGAGAGGGATCAAGTTTGGATCTACCACTTGCGAAGACATCCCAGAAAGCGATATCTCATCGTCTAAATTTTACAGTTAGGAAATAAGTTCGATACTTTACATAGCTTTCTCACCGATAACCTGACCATACGACGTCGTGGGGCTCGAGGGAAAGGTTTGAGGTGTGCCGGCTGAGAGAAACGGCTGCCGGGAGCGCCAGTGTGGGGAAGGCTCCGTGCGCTCAGTCCTCTCCGTGATCGTACTCAACCGATACGGACGATCATCAACGGGTAAAAATCCCTCTTGGGCCTGAAGTATCAAGGGTAGACGCGATCGAACCTCCGGTTGCCCATACTCCTCATCCATACTGTTGAAAGAACCAGAAGATTCGGGACTTCGATGAAAGTATTGTCCTTGATCTTCCTGGAATGTGGACTGCGAGCCACTTGCGGAGTCATCATCTGGCGGGACGTGAGTAAAAGAGTATTGCGATGAAGTCTTGAAAAAAAGTGGGTGATAAAAAATGCACCTTCTCATTCATCCTGATATCAACGATAATGAAGGACCCAGAATCGATTCACATCACGCGAGAGCGAAAAAGAAAGGGATAAAAAATATCAAACATAAGCCCACCTTTGCGTTCCTTCGAAAGCTGTCTTCTCTCTTGCTCATCTGTGAAGGTTGAGAACAAAAGGGGGTAGTATACGGTGGTCACACATACCAACTGCCCAGTGGATCGTCTTCTCGACATCAAAGTAATACTCCCAGAGAACGTCTTTAATCGAAGTATCCGACAACCCAGAGGCAGCTTCACCGCCAATTACCAAGCGCACTTGTTCTAGGCCATCGTTCATTTGCGCTTGAATGTATTCAGATTGGACAGATGCCAATAGCGTGGCCTCAGGCAAACCTTGCTGCTCTGGAGTCATTTCCTCTTCTCCACCGTCCGATAAAGCATCATCTTCAAGTTCGGCTGCCCAGAGGTCGTAACCAACATGATATTGACCAAAGAAACATAGCTTACCGCCGATGTTGATATTCCGGAAATCTCTGTGCCGAGACATCGTTATGGGTTGATGGGTAGTTGCCCGAGTGTTGTTGCCTGGTGTTGCGATCCTGAACCACTGTCGGTTTAGGCTGGAATAATCAAGTACAAACAACGCCAACAAATTGCTCTTAAGTACAAGCTCTTGTCAGTATGTTCTCCGTCCTCCGTGCTACATCGCGTGCGTTCCCTGCTCGTGTAAGCTTTTCATTTTAAGAGACAGACAGATCATTAATGGACTTATTTCTTTTTCAAAAAAGTCTTTTTCAACTTCATCAGCTCGCAAAGCTGACCTTGCAAGACTTGTTCTTGTTGGCAACCTCGTCCGAGAGCCAGATGTTCGGGTGACTAAGACCGAAAAAGAATACGTGGTGTTCGTAGTTCACCAACTTAACTCGCAGAGACCAGTCTTCAACTCCCTATCCAGGTACACTGTTGCAACTCAAAACTACCCTCCCCCACCCGCCGACGCCAACGGAGGTACGAAAGCTGCCTAATGGTCTTGAAACTACTATTTGACTCACTTCCAGAACGCCGCCCCTCAACTGCAACCTTTCACAAGATTTTATCTTTCCAAGATGGCACCAACAAGTACCTTCGGACACTCAAGAAAGGGTCGAAGGTTTTTGTGGAGGCTAATTTCGAACTACGGGAGCCTGAACCTGGCGCAGACGCCGCGACACCTCAAGGCCAGCGCCAAATTTTCCTGAGACATGGTAAGCTATCACCTCAAAGTCAGCCTATCCCTCTCATTCTCATTGAATGATTTGAATAGAATCCATCAGAGTATTGTCATACCCCAAGCAGTGGCAAGAGATTGAGGAGGAGCACAGCGAGTAGTGTCCAGGTCTTACATACATAAACATTACCTCCTTTCGATGCAGTCCCCTTCCATCTTCATGCTAATCTTCACGCTCATAACGTTCTTCAAACGGCGATTCTTCCTGTTGATTAGAGCCACTTGCGGCTGGGTCTGGAAGCCAATCCTTTTCATGTACGCTGTTAGCCTTCGTGCCGACCAAATTGACAAAGGCTCGCACCGTGCTTTCACGTTGAGGAACTACAGGTAATGTTGGCACAGGTATGTTCGGCAAATGTGTTTGGCTATTTCTGTGCTGCTTGTTCAGATAATCTCGAATTGTTGTGACAATCAACTAAATTGCCTCTCCCGTTACTCGATATCCCGCAAAACGACCAAGAGCGCACGCACATTGTGATCTTCTTGTGAGGCTCCAGAGTAACAGGCTGCGATGGCAATTGGGCAACAGGATGCACTCTAACGTCGCCCGTGAGCATGAAAGCACTCCAGAATCGATCATGGCAATTCCTACTTCCAACCAAATCGGAAAGGCTGTAAAAGCTGGTCAGTATAACGTTTGAGTTTCAGAAGAACCAATAAATATAATCACCACCACCATTGACGCGAAATTCCCCCTGGATTCCCATTTGCTTTGGAGTTTTTCCCATTGCACTCATGCCTTTTTCGACGTAGAAGCTGGAGTGGCCAGTGCGCCGTACAACATTGATCATCCCCTCCAGGCAGGCCCAGCTGTCCAGGCTAACATCGCCAATTCCACTGACGTGACCCAAATCGCCAACAGTACACGCAAAGAGGGTATGACCTGCAATCGTCTGGATCGATAATACAAGACCTTTACCCTTTATGTGTCGGGATGATGCACGAAATCGTTTGCGAACCGACAGTCCCTGGCAACGATTTCTCAAAGGGAGTGAGCTAGCCGACGCTGATAGCTTACAAGAGTCACCGCATCAGAAGCTGAGAATGTCGTGAAGCGATAATTGCCCTCCTCTGTCAAACACTGTGTTGCTAGTTCAGCATCGGAGGGCGCCATTGCGTGGAATCCGTTGAACATATGGTGGCGGTTGAGAAAGCAAAACGACGTTGTGATGTTCGCTGATCTATTGCAGTTTATGTAGTATGTCAAAACAGCGTGTAAGTAGGACGTTCACCAGCCATAAACCACGGCAATGCAATGAGGCACAAGCGCTGACCATCGATGTTGATATAGCATGCGATGCATCCAGGATTTCAGGATATACATATCTGACGATCAGTATCGCTCGCCGGTCGTTGTAGTGTCGGAGGAAGCATGTGATCCGGAGAGAATCAAGGTTGCGCAAAGTCATTCAACGATAATATTCATGGAGTTCTTCAATGACGTTGGAGAAGACCCCCTTAAACCGTCATTATTTGAACTCATTGCGCAGGAGCAGTTGAAGGACCTTCTACAGCCTGCTTTGAAGTATGTTTTGGCGGTAAGACTATGCCTCTTTTCGCGAATGAGACTGACCCTCCATTCGGTAGGTCTTTGCACAACGGTATCCCCGTTATTTGTTACGCATCGTCAACCGGCACGAGGAGTTTTATGCCGTCATTATGTTCATCGTCGAGAGACATTACTTGAAGAAGCACAGTACGCACCTTGTCTGTTACCATCTCTGTCAGCTTCCAATACAGGTCCCAGACGCGTCTTTCTCAGAAAATTTCTATGGACTAAAACGCCGCCGTAGACCGTACATCGAAGCCGAGAAAACAAAGGTTGCTGTTGGGGGCATACCAAGTGGGGAAAGTCTGCGGAGTCAGGAGATTTGGCGTTGCCTCCTCTTTCTTGTACACTTCTTTCACCGTCACCCGGATGAAATAATCCCTTAAATTTCACCAGGTCGGTGTACCCTACGTCAGGGCGAAAGCGCAAGATTATTTTGAAGAATTGGGAGGGGGCGTTGCAGCTGATATCCTGGACAGCGAGGTGGATGGTCGACAAATACGTGAAACTACAGATCAAGTATTGAAATTGAATTCTCTACTGGTATACCTAATAAGACATCTTACAGAGCCTCAAGGAAAAATTCCGTCGAGGGTTTAAAGCTGTCTACCCGTGGATTAATGCCGGGTTTGAAGGATGGTTGCTGCTCTGGAACGTTGCATATCTCTTTGATCAACGTCCAGTTCATCGGCCGTGGTTATCCTGGATAGGCCTAGATATACGACGCCTCGGGGTTGATGATTTTGTAAGCTCCCGTTTTACGGTGTTTCCGACCAACTAACGTGGCGTAGCGTTCAGCGGCGGAGCAGAAGAAAACGTTACCCGTAAGCGTCCTCGGACGAATAGCACGCTTGCGACGTTCAATATTTGCATTGTCACGGCTCCTCCTGGAATCCCTTCGATTCGCCCTCCCTACTGCCATCTTCTTCATCAAGTTCTTGGAGTGGTGGTACTCACCTGGGTCACCTGCACGATCATTATCGACTTCTCCCCTTGGTCCTGCGGTCCCGCCGCCTCGTTTACTTCAACCTCATCCACAAGGAATTCCATTTGACAAAAAGGCATTTGGGATGTGTCCGGTCTGCCAGAACGGCATCAATAACGCAACCGCATTGCCGTCAGGGTATGTGTTCTGTTACCGGTGTGCATATGACCAGGTCGAGAAATGCGGGAGATGTCCGGTGACCCTTCTTCCAGCACGAGTCTGGCAACTAAGAAAAGTGCTGGTCTAGGAGTGTAGTTGGACGACGAGCGCACGTTCGTTAGCCTTGAGGGGTTAATTAAGTCCGATACTTATCGATTTATGTGGAGGACGCATTGGGGCACATCAGATTAGATTTCTATAATACTTTGCGGAATACATCTTGGACTGAGGGTAGGAAGAGTGGGTTATGCTTAAACCAGTGCCTCCCGCACGTTTGTCGCCATCGGAGCCTCTGTTCCGCATCAGGCTAAACAAATTACGGGTACAAGCTTTTCTTCGTCCATGGCGGGTTCCACTGTAGTAACTAGATCTGAGGCCTCCTGAGGTTTACTCACAACCTGACGACTTACGATATCGGCTGTAAATATGAAGGTACTTGCGGTTTTCCATGCCGCCTCCAAACGCACTCATGCCTCTACTTAGTTCGGCAAACACATACAAGCCCACCAAGTCCCTGGATGGTCGGCGTACTACCTAGACTACAAGTTCTTGAAGAAAATCATATCTTCACTTGCTGCCAATCGCCCTGCATCCGAGGCTGCAGCGCTCGCTCTGGGGGTTCGTCCGCCTTATCATTTGACGCCGCTGTTGCCCCAGCCCCTATCACAGTCCACGCATGCTCGAAGCCCTGCAGCATCGCCGACAGGTAGCCCTGGACAGCCGCCTTTTTTTGCAGCATCTGGGAATGATATTGGACGAGGTCCGGATTTTCAAGCGCACAAGGCCGCATTTTTTTTCAAACTTGAGAGGGAGTTGGAAAAGGTATTTTTCATGGCGACCCTTTTTCTAGAGTTTGGCTTATACAACTGCAGATAAACGCGTTCTACTTGCAAAAGGAAGCTGAGCTCAAGTTGCGGATGGAAACCCTTCTTTCGAAGCGAAGGGCTGCTGCGATGAGGGGGCTCCCAGAAACAACGGGGGACACTGGCCAGAACCGCGTCGAATGGAGCGCAGTGGAAGAAGGTTTCCGACTTCTGGAGAGAGATTTGGGAAAGCTTCAGGTATGCAACCATAATTCGGCTCGGTGTTGTAACGTATGGACTGGTGATCACTCAGCAATTTGTGGAAATAAACGCTACGGGGTTCCGAAAAATACTCAAGAAATACGATAAACGATCTACGTCAACCACTAAAGAGTTATACCTTGCTCGTCAGGTTGATGTCCAACCTGTATTCAATAGACAGGTTCGTATTTCCCTTTCGAGTGCCCCGACATTCTCAGAATTCGTTGTAACAGCTCATATCAGAACTCGCTGACACAGCTGCTACATGCCTTTTGGATATTACCGACTTGTCTTCTGGCCTCCAGTTTGAGGGGCCTGGAGCAAACGATATCTTTGCTCAACAAATCATGACTGAGCGGACACCTATCGGCCCATTCTGGGATCTCGAAAATAATTTTCATAAAGCGGTTGCAGCATCCGACTCTGCCGCAGTTATTAATTGCGTTCATTACTCGGAGCTTCTCAGTCAACAACCTGCAGGCAGAACAAACATAACTCGCATCCTTTGGAACGTCATCATTGAAGCACCTCCTGAGTTGGGAGATTTGATTCTCTCAACTCTTTCCTCCCCTTTCGATTTCAACTTTATTGACGACATTAACGAACGTACCTGCTTACACGAGGCCGCCATAGCTGGAACTCAGCGGCTGGTTGATCTTTGCATTCAACATGGTGTGCAGGTGGACAAGTCAGACTTGTATGGTCGTACGGCCCTTCATTACGCTGCTATGAACGGCCACTCCTCTGTCTGTCAACAACTTTTGAATGTCAACGTTCCGCCAAATACTCTAGATCGAGACAACTATAGCCCCATTCTTTATGCCACAATGAAAGGAAATGCAGACTGCATTCGTGTATTGTTGGAAGAAGGACACGTACCAGCCCAGTCTCCTACATCCTCCGGTGACCTGAGTCCTTTGTCTCTCGCCGCTCAAGCAGGGCATGTAGATGTGGTCGTTCTTTTACTGAAACACGGGGCTTCCTGTATGCCAAATTCGAACGGAGAATACCCAATGCATCTCGCAGCACAGGAAGGTCACACTGATGTTTGCAAGCTGCTTCTCCATCGGGAGGGATGGGACACCCGAGACAAATATCACGAATGGACCCCGTTGTTCCATGCAGCGCGTCATGGTCACGATGGCTGTGTTTTCGTTCTTCTCGATGCTGGTTGCCGCGTCCATCTACAAGATGAACTAGGTCATTCAGCTGCTCATTACGCTGCATGGTATGGCCATCAGCAGGTCCTTTCCTCTCTTCTCGCTGCCTTGAAAAGTAGTCCTGATACAATGAACCTCCCAATCATGTCAAACAAGTCTCCCCAGTCAGACCCCGGGTTGTCAGGCGAGTTCGAAATAGATATGATACCATCCCTTTCGCTGCCGCCGCCTATCATGCCCCATCGAGTTTACGGACACAACTATCTCGTCAAAAGCCACCTCGTCCAAGTTTCGATCGGTCAATCTTCGAAGAAATCAAAAGAAGCATCTGGCGTTCGTGTTCACCATCGTCTCATCAGTCCATTCTTTAAAGACGAATACCTTCTGGCGACAACGCCACTGAAACTTGTTATGACAACTAGCCCAAACGTCAACTCGGCTCCATACACCATGTCTCTTCCTCAGAGAGCGCAGGCGGGAACTTTTGCATTCCAGACGCCATCTCTCGATAGCCTGTCATTGGAATTTTCTATATATCCAAATTTTGGCACAAAAACAATTGGCCGAGCCGTCGCATTGCCCTCCTTGTTTTCAGGAATTGAGAATAATCAAGGTTTTACATTGCCGATTCTCGACCATCGTTTACATATCATTGGCGAGGTAACGTCCCTCCTTTCATCTTGATTGATTCTTGACTTCAATCAAATAGGTTTATTTTGAAATCAATATCATTACATCCTTCGAAGGTGTCACGCTTGAAGTTGGCGGGGACGTTGAAACATATTGGAAATCTACATCGATATCTTCGAAAAATACTGCATTATCGGGAATTTCTCGCGAAGTAAGGCGTCCTAGCCATGCCGGTGGTTCCGCGCATACATCTCCTGCGTTTTCAGTAAGCACTGGTAGCGGCCAGGCGTTGACCATCACATCTTTATATGGAAACTATCTGCATGTTGCCATTCAAGTTACTCGGGATCTTCATCCTGTGGTTTACGCTGCCTGGCTGCTCCCAGGAACTACCTTTGAACTTGGCGTTACGGATGTGACTCTCGTACAATTTGAGGAACTTGCGCGTTCTTTAGGAAAAGATTTGTCAATTTCTCAAGGTTCGACACCGAAAGGCAACTGGCCGCAATTGATATCACAATCATTACTGTCACTTGAACAACTATTGAAGGTGAGGGATTCGTTTCCCCTCTCATGGCTTGGCAGCCAAAAATATGCGTATTTGCTGTGTTTCTAGATTTTGCCGATCGACGTCAACGTCAATTTGGAACTGATGTACCCGCAACTATCAAAGCAAGTGCCCTCCACTAGCCGCCGACCAGATCTGAATGACTTTGTCGACTGTGTTTTGCGAACTATCCACAATGTTTCTGCCTCTGTCGAGACGAGCCACCTGCGCAGGAAATTTTCCTTCTCCTCCTTTCTTCCAGATGTCTGTTCGGCTCTAAATTGGAAGCAACCGAATTGTGAGCTTCACCATTGACGGGGGGCTTTGTACGGGTCAGGCTAACACATGTCTTAGATCCTGTTTTCTTTAGATCGCACTGTGGGAGGCCTTCGTTTGGCCAGGAGTCAGGAATTACCGATCAAAGGGTCTCCAATGTCGGCTCTGCAGTTGAATTTGCCAAGGGAAACAATCTTTTAGGCATTTTTATTGATGCTGAACTTCTGGTAAGCATTTGAGATCAACGAAAGCAGGTGGAATACTGATGAGCGACTTCCAAGGTTCAAGTTCCGTCACTGATTGACGGTATTAGGAGTGCAGAATTGATTGTTGGCGTTCACGGTTCTTCGGAGGCCTTTCCAGAGCTAACCTCGGAGAATGATGGAGGTGTTGTGGACGCCTTCGTTGCCCATGGTTTCATTTCATTTGTGGATCGTTCGATGCGGGAGCTTTCTTGAGGAAAAATATCTGTGAAACCAGATGATTGATATAATGTATTTATGCTACAATTTGACTATTACTGGTATAGATTAAAGCATTGCTAGATGGACGCGTGGTACAGGGCCGCGTAGGGACCGTTCTTTTCAATTAATTCATCATGTGTTCCAAACTCAGAAATCGTCTAAGCAGGCGGGTGAGCATGAACATTTCAGAAGTGTGACCGGAAGTTGGCTCACCCCATTTTCCATCATAGCAACCTTGTCCGCACGGCGTGCAGTTGAAAGGCGATGCGTTATAAATATGACTGTCTTCCGCCTTTCACCCGATGGTGTCCGGGAGATCTTCGTGATAGTATCAAAAATTTGATTTTGTGCGTGTGCGTCCAGAGAAGAGGTCTACGTTGAATGTCAGGGGTTAAAGAAGTAGTCTAGCAAGTGGACTCGTACGGGTTCGTCGAATAAAAGTAAGTCGACGTCGGGTTCGTTTGCTCTCATGAAGGCACGGGCGAGAGCAATTCGCTGCCACTGGAAAAAAGAATTGTTTGGAAGATAATTAAACACGTTGCTTGACGCGAACTTACCTCCCCACCAGATAATCCATGTCGTTGCGCGTGACCACACATATAGCCTGGATACGAGATGGACTCAAAACCAGGACTTTCGAGCTGCGTTTTCAGCCCATCAGGCAACGAAGCCACGAGGTTACCAGCTTCGGCAAGATGGACTGCCGCATCGATCGCAGGCCTGTAACCCATCTTGTCAACGTTACCCAATCCAACATTTTCCTTCACCGAAGAGTTGAATTTGGAGAATCCTTGGAAGACAGCGCTTAAATGTCGATGGTATTCCGAAGGGCTATAATGCCGAAGTTCGACGCCATTAATCAGCAAAGACCCCTGATCATAGTCGACAATTCGAAGCAATATTCTAGCAAGTGTAGATTTGCCTGAGAAGCAGTGTGTCAGAAATTGTCAGGGAGGATGCTGTGTCACGGTACCAGATCCATTGTAGCCAACAATTGCAAGAGTCTCGCCTGATTTGATTGACAAATTCACGTTTCTCAGTGCTGGCTCAGTGCAGCCAGGATATGTGTAAGATAACTCTCTGCTCGATCATCAGATATTATTTGCTTCTCGATAATCAAGCACTTGCCTGACATCAATACTCGGCCCATAAGCTCCACAACTGTAAGGAACTAATTCCTCGTTCTTTGGCTGCAAACGGGGCTTTAACTTCATACTTGCACAAAAAGCAGATGTAAGGAAGATTCCTTGGAAAGCCATTTTGACCGTCGTAACGAGGCTCCCTGACGCATATATTAAGCATTGGATAGAGCTTCGGTATATAGTCAATGATCCCAATGAAGTCGACGAACTCTGAAGCAGAAGGAGAAGTGAGATCTACAAGAGTGGGTCAATGCGGCTTGGCAGTGAATTTGAATATTGGACTGACGTTTTGCAGTGCATACGTCAGATCTGCAAGGTTGAAATGAGCGAGGACCGAGGATGCGCGTTGGTGAGGAGGATGTTCGGAAGTGAGGACAATCCTCCTCGCGCCCGACCAAGACTTTAGGATCCAATCTCCAAGGCCAAAGAGCGCAATCTCTGGACGGTACGCCTCGCTGTACGCCATGTTTCGCATTCTTTCTTGACGATCCGCCGCTCTAGCCTCTCGCATATCAGAAGGTGAGTCTTCCGGACCGGTTGAGCAATGAAACCAGGAGAGAACTAGTGGTAGAAGGGCGGAAATAACAGCGAGGAAGAGAACACCAAAGTGGGAGATACCACGGGTAAGGGATACGACAAGGAAAAGATGGGAGGCAATCTCGATCGTGGAGGAAAAGACGTTAACAAAGTCCAACGGAGACAAGAATCCAAACCCTCCTCCACTGAAGGAACGTGCGAAAAGGTCGGATTCTTGTAGAAGGTCGCGGACGAGGGGGTCTGCAAGAGTGGGGACATCTAATCGAACGCGATGCTCCATTTGTTTATACTCGACAAAAAATCGAGCTGAGCTTAGTACAATAGATTCGTTCGATGCCCTGTTCCAAGTAAAATAAACGGCAGGAAAAAAAAAGTCGAGAGCAACTGACGAATATGAATCGAGCAATCCTTCAACCATTCGTCTAAGAATCTCTGAAGTAATCAACCAGAGAAGACGGGACCACGTGAAACAACCCGACACGATCAGAGATTGTAACTGTCAGAAGGAAAAGTTCGGCGTGAAGCAAGTGGATCGGAGAAGGTAGCTAACCTCGTCAACAATGAGAGCCTAAAATCAACATTACCTGACTGTGCTAAGAAAAAAATTTGAGAGCTAACCTGAGAGTAACCTCGGAAGGCCGGGAAAAGGCTTCGAACAATATTCAGGGTCATCATGAGCGTTGTGCGTAGTGGATGCAAACTCCATAAAACTTTGAGCTATAGGACCGTTGTTAAAATTTGAAAGAGAAAACTGGGTAGAAAAACATCACAAAGTCGAAAATGCATTTCTGCAGGACAAAGAGGGCCAATCTGGCATTCCCACGAGTGAGAGGCCTTGGTGCACCTGGAACAAGAAAGGCGCCTGTCTTGCCAGGCATCGCTCGGGAAGATAACCAGGCGTCGTACACCGTTTCGGGGGCACACCATTTTGGAGATTTGGTGGCAAACGATTGGCCGTGCGGGGGTATGCGAAAATCTGAGAGTACCTGCGCGCGACGAGAGCCCTTCCTGTGACGCATGCTGGACCAGTAGGAGTTTGACAAGCGCGTCTAGAGTGGCTGACTTTATAGCTGACGAGGTGCGGCCCCAAACTGCTCATTTGTGCCGTCTTTTTGTCAGTTCATAGATGAGATCCGGAGGTTTTTTATGGCCGTCTAATTGCGGTGCGGGCGACATTGGTGTAGGCTGTACAGGGCGAGCATATATGGTAGCAAGGACCCAGAGTACGGAGTTGATGTTGCCAACTTGAAAAAAAAAATTGGGAGCGAAATAAAACTGGACATTCCCCTTGAGATAACCAAATCGAGAACAGGGAAACTGAAAAATGGCGGGACGACGTACCGGCTGTTTATATGGCCTTGTGGCGGTGTAGTAGACTGGGGACGGCAGCGTGTCTGTAAATGCAATCCCAATTAATTTTGGAATCTTAGCAAAATATTCATCTCTTCTTCTTCCTTCATGACCACTCCCGCTGACGCCAACCATGTCAACGCACTGTCCGACAGCCTCGAACGTCTGCAAGTGCAGCAAAACCTCATAACAAACGATCTCGATGTTGTTTCCGACACTGTTCCGATCACTCATACAATCCCACCGAGTCCTCGAGAGGGCTATGGCTTCCGTAGATCAGGGCTTTCTACGCCAATTGTAGCATCCCAAAAGGTTGATGCTGCCTCCCTCCCACTTTCTCGCTTAAGTTCGCTCGTGCCAGACCCAAATGGCCTCGGCTGGCCTGGTGAGTCTTTTGGCCCACATGCTATTGCTTATCAGCCCTTATATTCCCGTAGCCAAGTCGACGGTCTCCCGGCTCAATGCAACGGCTGAAGAGAAATCAGCAAGGGAGAAAAGGATGGCCGTGGCCGTCCGCACAATCCTTGAATGCATCGGTGAAGATCCCGATCGTGAAGGGCTCCAACGCACGCCAGAGCGTTATGCGCAAGCTATTATGTGGATGACACGAGGATATGAAGAGAGACTAGCAGGTGACTGCCATTTCGGGGATACAGGCTTGAGTGCTCACACCTGTGCAGACGTTATCAACGATGCTGTTTTTGCCGAAGATCACGACGAGATGGTTCTTGTCCGAGACATAGATATCTCTAGTTTGTGCGAACACCACCTTGTACCGTTTACAGGAAAAGTTTGTCACCGCCCTTCTCCCTTGACTCACATTTTCCTAACAGTGGAGTTGTCAGATCGCTATAGCGTATATCCCCAACCAACTAGTATTGGGGCTTTCGAAGCTCGCACGGATAGCGGAAACCTTTAGTCGGCGATTGCAAGTACAAGAGCGTCTCACGAAACAGATTGCTATTGCGGTTCAAGAAGCCATCAAACCCCGCGGAGTGGCAGTTGTTATGGAGGCAACGTAATCCCTCCTCCCTTTGGATGGGATGAAGGTCAACCTGCTGATGTTTTGTTCTACAGGCATCTCTGTATGACCATGCGTGGCGTCCAAAAGCCTGGTTCAATCACCGTAACATCTTGCATGTTGGGATGCTTCCGCACACAACAAAAGACTAGGGAAGAATTCCTCACACTCATCAAGAGCAAGTAAGCCATCGCTTACTTCAACATTACTTACAACGATTCAACTCGTGCAACTCATGATCTATCTTTGTCATATATCGAATTGAATGCAAAGAAAGCAACGTTCTTGCAAATTCGGATAACCAATTTTACTACATGAAAACTATGCTACAAAATGTGATTTCAATCTTGTCTTCGTTGGCTCTTGTCACCAGCTAGAGGATCAATAGGCAATAATTTCCTTGCGATAGCGTGCGAGTTCGAATTATAACGATTCCGATTTATTCGAGGTCGCTTGGGGGCCTGCATGGCCTGGTCATTGTCTGGACCTGGGGGAATTTCACTGGAATCCTTTTCACGGTCTAGAATAAAGCGTTAATAATGTTACCCTTTCAGGTTGAGAAGTTGGCTGTACCTGAAGCGGTCCGTTTCCTACCACCATCTCGGTCGTCTTCACTCCGTGAAGGGTCACTGCGATATGGGATAGGCGAAGATAAAGGTGCGGAAGGTGGCATCTCCTTTTCGCCTATGCGAGATCGTAGGCTCCCGGCCTGCGTAGGTTGCGGATTACTGCTCGACCCAGATGATTTAGGTAGAGTGTCGCGGCTGCGTTCACGGCCTGAATTCTGATCAGCCTTGGATCTTGCAGAATCTGCGCCACTAGCCATGGCCCGCGGTGCAGAGGGTGGTAATATTTTGCTTGATAGGGGACCGTCAGGTAACCTCTTCTCGTTTACCTGCGCTTACTTAAACACCATTGCAAAGCATATGAAGTCAACATACCTTATCCAAGGGTGAAGCACGTCCCTCGTTCTCCGGATCGCGATCCTTACGTCGCCGGTCAGATTCGCGGGTCCTGTCGTGGCTATCTTTTTCAGGAAATCGACGACCACGTTCATCACGATGACCTTCCTTGCGAGCGCTTCGTTTTGAACCTCGCTCTGGCTTGAGAGGAGTGAATAATTTCCCACGTTGTGCAATGGATTTACTCACGTCATCATCTGCAGGGCGTCTTCTCTTTCCAAGACCATCATCACCGTTTTGGAGAGGGTGCCGGTGTCGCGAAAGATCGGGGCGAGTAGGAAGGCCCCGGTCATCCTGAGATGCTATTGTGGCAACACGACCTGTAACAGTCCCGTCACGGTCTTTTCTTGCATCTCGTTCCCGATCTTTATCGTCGCGGCGGTGACGATCACGATCACGGTCACGTTCCCGATCACGTTCTCTGTCACGGTCGCGTTCTCTATCTTTCTCACGGTCTCTTTCGCTGTGTCGATCACGCCCTCGGTCTTTGTCTTCTCTATCCTTGTCACTTTCCCGGGTAGAGGTTCGCTCTCTATTGGGCCGATCTCCGCGGTTGTGTGTGAGACTGTCGCGGCGTCCAAGAGTTCCTGCATCGCGAGCGTCATGCCTGCTCTCCCTGTCTGACCGCCGTTCATCCGAACCGCCATCAGCATTCCCTCGGTCTGAGCGTGACTTCCCTCCACTGGCACGACTGTCAGAACTGCCATTTCTTGTCCCAGGGCGACTAGAAGGCGATGGCGACCGGAGACGAGGCGATGGGGCCGCAGATCCATTCTGACTTCTGCTCTCCACCTTGTCTGGACGAATGGATTGTCTCGCGGTTTCCCTAAGTTCCTGAGCCGATGCGGTCTGACTTGGGACTGAAGGGGGTGGCATATCGGGATGGCCGTCTAAGCGAGGTGTTTTATCATCTAGAGGGCGGTAATTTGGTAAAGAGGTGGCTGATTGGTAGCGGGAGGCGTCAATATTAGCAGGACTATTGAAGTGTGGGCTGTGAGGGGATTCTCGTGCGTCGGCAGGGACAAGGCTTGAAACTTTGCGGTCCACAACTGTCAAATCGGTCTTTGGATGCACCGATGCGTCAGTAGTGAGCTTGGGAGAATCACTGCGGTCCGGTCGAACCCGCTTAACAACCTCTGGCCGAGGGATGCTACGAGATAATTAGATTTGCTACAAAACTGGTTCTAAATTGCCTACCTCTCCATCGCAAGTTTAGCTGAGTTTAAAGGACCTATGGTCGATTTCTCTACTGCAGATTGAGTTGCAGTTGCGATTTGAGCTCGTGGAGCGGATGGTGTTGAAGGCGGTTGTACTGTACTACGGCGTCCATCGTTTACAGCAGCTGGTTGAGAAACGGGCCCACCGCTGGTAGGAGGGAGAGCACTCTTCAACTTCTCTGAGCTTGGACTGCTTCCGGACGTCAACAGCATCGGAGAAGCGTTTCCGTTCGACTTCATAAGCTGCGTCAAAAACGCTTCACATGATGTAAAATGACGAGACCAAACCTTTCCTGATAGTTTCGACATTGCCCAGAAGGTTTCTCGTTTCTTCAGGCTAGCGGAGTATCTGAAATACGAATTGTCAGTCGAGAGTTTTTTTACATCAATGCGAAACTCACGCTCGACCAAGGATCTTCAAATCGCCCCGTTCCTCCGTCTCTAAAAAGCGATCCATAGTAATATCAAGCGCAGCTCCAGTATCTGTGACCTCAGCCAAAGGAAACACGGTGATAATCTCCTTCAGGACGATGATTGCGTTGTAAACGTGCATAAACTCTCCGGTTTGGATGCACTCGACGAAGCACTGTACCAGAGACTTAGAGGTCACAGGGTAGGAAATAGGTAAGTGGTCGCTACCTTCGCCAATTTACGATGCCATTTGCGCAAAATTTGCCGAAACGCATCCCACTTCAAAAGACTATCAGGCTGAACAGTCTTGTATGAGAGGACTCTTTGAAGGCCAGGATGGAGCACAGTTTTCCCGCCAATTTTGGTTCGATTATCTTGCATATATACTGCTTCGTCCAGATGCCATTTATGAAGATCCGACAGTACGCCCAATAAGAAACGACCTAGTGAAGAATCAGCAGGGTAACAATGACGAAGGCTATGAAATTATACCGTAGTTACGAGCCTCATACTCGCTGCAGGAGAATAAGACGACTTTGACATGATCCCCCAATAGCTAAGAAGGAAGCATATCAGGAGGGAGGAACTAGGGACAACAGGGAATGAATACCTTGTCATAGCACATGAGTGTGTGAAAACCAGGGGTACCTTGAGTATGCATGACTTTGATAAATTGGGCGCAAAAGTCGGCATCCATAGGTGAAAGAAGACACCGTGGCTGAATACAATGCTCAATAAGCGAGTTCACCAACATCATGGCTTTGGTAGCTAGATAATGTGGGAGTCAATATGGCGAACGAAAATGAGATAGGTTGAGAGATTCCTACATTGCGCAAACCAATGTTGCTTCTCCCGAGCCAGGCGCTTCATGGTGAAAGCCCGGGATAGGGTCTGTTCCTTGAATTCTTGCGCAAGGGTATTTATGAAGTGATTGTAGCGATCACGACGAGTTCGGTGGGAGGATGCTGTCAAACGCTTGGAGCGGTCAGCTGAACGGTCTGCCGCAATATATTTCGAATCTTCTTGGCGGCTCAAGATGCGCAAGGCGGCACCTTCTTCGTTGTACCTCGCCGAAGGAGGAACTAAATCATATGTTGAAAGCTGCCAAAATGTGAGGTAGAAACCAGGTCTAAAAGTATTCGGAATGCTTTAGTGTCAATTGATTGGATGTTGACAAGGGGCTTACCCAATGACATCATAAGCGTTGCCGGGCGCGATTTTTTTGATGTCCTCAAAAAGGGCTTCCAGCTCAGGTAGCCAGGGGCTCTGAAAGTCGCGAGTTTTGGCTGGAGAAACGTCTGGTTGAAAAACACTTACATCTGTGCTTTGAATGATCGGCGCGGAGGTTGCATCAACTTCCATGAGAATTTCATCTGTACCTGATGATTCGTCTGGTGGTTGTTTTGCATCTGCTAAAATCTCAGATGCAGGAGTTCCTATGGCGGGAGAAGCGATACGAGATGCCGCCGTTCCTGGTTCTCGCTTTGTAAGCAGAGCAGCTTTCAGACGTTTCTCAACTTCCTCGTTAGCAGCTCGTTCCTGTTCTTGCATCGCCAATGCGGAAGACTGGAGTGATGATCAGACACGCAAGACGAAAGAAATGAAATGCTTGCCAGCAGTGATGTATGCAATACTGGACGAATGATTTGCATGCAAATAGGAGCACATAGACCGTAGCGCTCTGCAAGTTCCGCGATAGATGGAATGACTTTATTTGCATAATCTTGAGGGGAAACGACCGAAGGCGACGTGAGTAGTTCGAGATATTGTAGCAAAACACCATGCGTCTGAGCGGCGAACTCAGAAAAGATAAACTGTGAGAGAATGTAGACGCACTGCATCATAAAGGCCTGCCAAAGACTTTAAATGTGCGTCTGGTGCCTTATATACGCAAGCCTGACGTTGCTGAGCAACTTGAATAAGCAGTGGTAGGGCTAAGGAAGAATCAAGGAGGCCCTTGCCAAGTCTCTGGGGACCTTTGAGAACAGCGTCGCCTGGGTCTAATCGTGCTCCCCGTGTAGATGAAGCGATAGCCTCGATACGCAGAATGGGACCGCCAGCCATAGCAGCTATTTGAGACTCGGATAAACTCGGCAAAGGCTCAATACCGGCCATCTTCCAGATGAGTTCACGTAGAACAGCTATCTCTGTAGTTTGTCCGTTGTGAAGCTGGTGGACGATGTATCTCAGAACTGGCGTTAAATCGGCGCTATAGCGCCTAAAAAGCATTCCTGTGAAGGAGGCAAGGCCTGCGAGAAATTGAGATATCTTCGAGTTTGAGGATGGTGACAAACCTACTTTGAAGCCAGTCTGACGTATTGACGCCGTCGTCCTTCACGCGTTCTTTTCTTGGGTTGGCGAGTGCATCAAGGATGACGAAAACAAGAACGTCGAAGCCCATGTTGGTGACGTAACGCAGAGCTTGTATAACAACGTTGGCTAAATTATCGTAGGCCATGATCTGGTTCACAGCGTTTGCAAAGAAGATGCAGGGGTTAGAATGGGCGAGTTTGGCAACAGTCCCTGACAAGGAATCGATGGTGTTGTGAGAGAGACGGCGGAGGATGCCCTTTGATTCACGATCTGCTTGGACCTCTCGAATCCGAAGTTCAGGATGGCTCTTGTAGGTGGTTGTTTTCCATTCTCCATAAAGCCGCCACCGAGCGGTGGTTTCATATTGGCGAATGATATTCCAGACCTCAACCGTGCAAACCGCATTACCACGTATGAGGGGCAGAGCCGGTAAAAGATACATCCTCAAGATCTGGAACCAAAATAGGCGTACGTGGTTGTCGGGGTCTGGTTCACCGTTAGGCTTCTTGGTTTGAGGGTCAATGGGAACTGTTGATTGCAGGTGAAGACGCCCCAGACGCAGAAATTTAGTCAAAAACAAGGGATCCCGCGACACATGGAGGCCAATGAAGCGCATCAAAGGCTCAATTACAGTCTCCAAGTCATCCAAAGATGAGCTGATTGGAACTCTGTCCGGCCAGTCAGGGAAAAAGAAAACGAAATCAGTCGTGCTGGTGCTGGGTGGTGTAGGTGCCCAAAGGGTGAGTACTGGTTTGCGAGGGTTTGGGTAAGCAACGCCTGAAGCCCCGTAACGAGCTCTAGCTTGAGTAAAGCTGACATTCCGCTCTTTGGTTACCATTAAACTGTCGTAAAGGGGAGATAAAGAGGCTTTCATCACTCGAATCATGAGGTCAGCTATCTCAGGATGTGCGTCAACCAGCCACGGGAATTTGGACATAATAGCAATTGCTGGTTGCATCGCGCCCACTGAAAGCAAGGCATTCAGTAGTCCGACCTTTTGATTTGTATCCTTGACGTCCGATTTTTTCTGCTCTACCGGTGTCGGAGGTTTATACTTTGGATTGGATAAAGCGTTCGACTCAAGTGGAGCAGACATGGCTAGCTGACTTGTCTTGGCTCCAGATATCCTTGATTGCACATTGGATATGTACTCTTTCCGGTCGTTGTCCATATCTTCGTCGAGTGGGAGAAGCTAGCATCCTCGATAAGAATCAGTCTTGAATGACAAATAAAAAAGGCACATACATGCGAATAAAGATCTTCAAGTGTAATGAAACCCTCTCGTATCAGAAGCGCAGCGGTAAGATATAAATTGCGGGGAGCAGCTTCAACAATATCAGAAGACTTTTGGGGTAAAATTAATATGTTGACGAAGACTAATCAGTAAAAAATGTACCTGATAGTACACAAACTTGAAGCCGAGAACCTGCGCAAGAACCCGAGGACTACTAGTTTTTGGACATGGAGCAGGGTTAGGACTATTCTTTGCTGCCAAGGAGAGCACCTCTTCAAGTGATTTGTTTGAGAAAGGTGGTGAGAGGTCGACATTCATCTCTGCACTATCCTCTTGGGGTTTCGGAGGCCGGTATAAGGCACGCCATGGCGAGAATGACAGTAAAGCAAGGAAGAAGGTGTAATGCGTCGCTAAGTGTATTGAGAGAACATCAAGAATGATGTCGAGGGCCCTGTTGGGATCAAGATCAAAGTAGCCAATTAGGCTTATTACTTTCTCCCATACAGGTCGAGCACGATCCTCAATAGCGGTATATGTCTCTGTCGGACGGCCTGTTTGCGGAGAGTGAGCCAGTCCTAAGCTACTCGTAAGCTCGACTGTTAGCTTGCTGTACCCCTCCGACTGTTCACGAAGTAAATTGAACTTGTTTTGCTTGTAGCTAATGTTGCTTGTGAGTTGATCAATAAACAGAGGGCAAATTTACGCACAATAAGCCCGTCCGTGTCCTTATCTCCTTCTTGTCTAACGATGCTTTGTCGGGGATTAATCCAACGCTTGCCAGTACTGTGGAGTCAAGCCTTTCTCGACATGACTCGGGGCTGATAATACCACACTCCTAGGTGCAAATTTTCATCAAAAAATTGCACGCGCACGATGAGAGGTTCACAAAGCGTACCAAAAGCCGCTTAACGATGAGTTGTACTTTCTCCTTGTCGTTTTCTGCGTTCTGCTTAGCTTTCTTGGCCTTGGCCAAGACAGTTGAGGCCGGTGCCCCTTGGTCGGCAGATGCAGTGACGGCAAGTCGGGAATCACTCAGAGTCTCATCCAATTCGGCGTCAATAGACCAAAGAACGTCTACAAGATGCTCTCCAAATATAGAGGCATTTGTGGACGCAGTCGAGGATGAAGAAGAGGAAGAGGGCAGGTCACGCAATACCGATTGAACGAAGTCCACGAACGCATTTAGCGAAAGGGTGTGCGCTGGTGACCAGGTGGAAAGAACGGACGCCAGGAGGGTGTGATAAGCAGTTGTAAGAACATCCAAACATTGAGAATTGGATGGGTTACAATGAGGAGAGATGAGAATGTTGCGGCTATGGGGTGAATTAGAATATGGTGAGATGTAAGTGAGAGAAAACTGACCATTCCGATTCTCCACCTTTGTTCCATGTAGCTAGGCACCCGCGAACGCTGTTAATAACGTCCATAAAGTGATTCTGGAGTCCGACACAAAAGTTCCCAGAGATGCGGCCAGGCGTCGTCGATGTTCAGAATAAGCTTTCTTGTTCTGCCACCAACATCGTTGTACTGTATGGTAATATTGTGAATTGTTTACCAACGACCACATTATGTTACATTGAACAGATTTGTTCGGTGCTTCGGCGAGCCGCGATTGGATGCTTTTTGTTTCGACGAGATGTTTCCGTTACTTATCTGTGGCAAAAGTGGGGGCGCGATCAGTGCCATCATGAAGAGGGTCGCAAAATTGAGGTCGTTGGGAACATAGCCTCGTTTATACCCAGCCTCTCGTTGTCTGTTTTGACGACGATCGTTCTCCTTACAAGAGATTGGGAACACAGGGTACAGTTGCGTGAGAGAGGGCGTCGTGCAGGATAGCAAGCTTGAGCAACAGAGACTTGAAAGAGACTAAAACAGGACGCCAAGTGGTCCCGGGGTCCAATTAAATTGAAAGGGTAAGAACACACTTTGAAACTGATGAAGAAAAGGTTGGCGCCCTCCTTCGAATTTCTTACCAGTCGTGCATGTATTTAATGTCAGTCAGCCTTGCTCTGCTTTGCTTTGTGTTCAAGTTTGGCTTGGCGGCTTGGCACCAATCACACTGGACAGTTTATGTAACTTGCATGCAGACCGCGTTGTGGCAAGGTGGAAATCACTTCCCCATCACAACACTGCCCCAACGGGCGCTACTCACGGTGTTTTATTCAAGTTTGACAGATGAACTATTCGAAACTCTTCCCTCACCAAGGAAACCCCCGTCACTCCACGGGGCCTCAAGAGACGGTGCAAGCTCTTCTACGCCCACCTCAACTCTTCCCTTCCTCCCTCTCATCAACCGTGCTAAAGTATGGCTGCTCAGCCAGAAGCCACCTTCTCAACACGGCAGCGTACTGTGATTGTTCGACCTCGAGATGAGGAGGAAGCTATTCAGAGCTCGAATGGTCAACATCTCCATGCGGTCAACATGAAGAGCCCCACAAAATCAGAGAACTCGCATATGTCCATGCATCTTCCCGACAAAAAAGAGCTGGTTCACCTGTGGGACAGATTTACGCGAAAAGGGAAGAGAAAAATCGGAGTGGTTGAGAGTCTCCGGGCAATTTTCTATTCATCTTGTGAGTCATTTCACCCGTGTTTGCTTCCCACCTAATGTCTTTGTTGGCTTCAGGGCTTAACATCTTCCTACTGTTAATAATACCCGCGTGGGTGTCAAGATTTCGACACTTCTCCCCGACCGTGACATTCACTCGTATGTCTTATGAATTGTCGTTTCTTATAAGCCGTCCCGCTCACCGTTCCTATAGTTACATTCCTTACGATTATACCCTTAGAGCGTCTGTTTGATTATGGCGGAGAGCAGTTGGCTCATTACTTGGGAATTGAATTAGGTGATCTCATCATTATTACTCTGAACAAGTAATGTCTTTTTTTGGTTTCTTTGTTTTTTTGTTGCTGACGTATATTAAGTACTGTGGAAGCAACCTTAGCCATCATTCTTCTAAAAAAATGCGAGTGAGTACCTTTCTCTTCATGTCATTCCGTATACCTGGCTGAACACCTTTCTTTAGATTGGTTATACTTAAGTCCACGATTGTCGGTGTGTTTTAAAACTTCGCTCGTCAGATAGGTGGGATATAACAATCGGTGTGTAGGTGTTGTCATTCTTCATCTTCTCCTTGTACCTGGGACGGCCTTTGTGACGGGAGGAGCACGTATAATCGAACAAGATCTCCATCCGCACTTGACGGAGCTCAATCATTCTCTGCTCACCCTCGGGTAAGTTATATTCCTGTTACATACACCGACCATGAAATGGTAACGGCTGAGTTTCTTCATGCAGGGTGCTTAGTCTCATGGTTCCTGCAGCATTCTTTGCAGCAATAGATGGAGGGTTTGTTCCAACGACGTCAGGAGCGGTGAACCCAGTCGTCAACGATGAGATTCGAGGCATGTTCCTTAAAATGAGTCGAGGCGTCGCTATTTTGCTTCTCTGCGTGTAAGAAACTCGAGAATCTTGCGTACTTATTTATCTGATTTGGTCTAGCTACATTTGTTCTCGGATCTATCTTCACAACCCTCCAGGCGATGACAATGCTCTGAGCCTTCATTTGGCGGCGGATGCTCCTGAGGCCTTCAAGCACGAAGCAACTCATCTGCAGGAAACTGATCCAGAGGTGAACCAATGGGTCTGCCTCGTAATGCTTGCCACTTGCATCGCTCTCATGGCTGCCACCGCAGAATTTGTGAGTGGTTCCGTCATAAAGGATTTCTTTTCTGATTTTAGGCGTTTAGATGGTAGAGAGTATCGAATTTGTCAGAGAATCGGGACATATTCAAGTGGAGTTGGTTCCTTTACTTTTCTTGAAAATCTTCACTTTCTTAATTGGCCTCTAGATGGTTTGGTTTAATACTTCTTCCGATGGTATCATTTGCGGCGGACGGGACTGTGGCTTCCGCGTTTTTTGTCCAATACCTCTTTCGTCACTTTTTCCGAGAACCCACCCCTCCAACGACACTGGCCAAGGGGCGTGCCATCGACCTGAGCATACAATTTACCCTTTTCTGGATGCCATTCTTCGTTCTCCTTGGTTGGTGGATCGGTAAACCAATGACTCTCCTCTTCGGTGTGTGATCCTTGGTTTTCATCGTGCAAATTACTAATTCTCTTCGCCCTAGATCTGTTCGAGGTCTGCGTCCTGATTGGGGCTTGCTTCATAGTCAACTACGTCACCGCTGACTCGAAAACCAACTGGGCAGAGGGAGTTGCGATGGTATCGTTCTACATCATGATTGTGGGTACCTTGCGTTTCGCAATGCAGTTTCTGCCTCTTACTCTTGTCCAGGCTTTATGTTCGTGGTTCTACACTGGCCAGACCGAAGTTAATTTCATGTCGCAATGCGGAACTGTTGCGGCGGCAATCGCGAAAGCGGCGACTGGTAGCAGTGAAGCATAGACTCTATATGTTGCGACTTCCATCAACCATGTCTTTATGCTATCCTGTTATCCTGAATCCCATTGTTACTACGCGTTTCTATTCTATTGGTGTGGCGATGACAAGGGAGCACCCAGTTCGTTTCCAGAAACAGCCCTCCCGAGTTCTTCCACCCTTTGGTGGATGAGAGTGGTCACTGCAACTCTAGCCTTGGAAGCCTCGAAGGTCGCTTCTGATGTCCCAGCAGTTAACCTTTCCGGCCGGTTGGAAATACAGGTATCCAAACAACTTGTAATGTCTTTAGCTGGTATTGGATCCCCAAAGGTGATAGTAAGCTCAACACCAGGTCGAGGAAAATATTTGTAGGGAAATGTTCGTCCTTCTGGCATCAGTCTGTCGAAACCGGTGAGCCACATTGGGATGATGACGGGAAGTATAGGCGCCTCCATAAGAATGCGACCCCTAGAGAAGGATAGTGAGCGATCGCATGCATCGCGTGCTGAAGAACGACGTACACGCCCCATTTAAAGCGAGGTAAATGGGCATAACCGCGAGAGTCTATCGAGTATGTGTTTGGCTGATTTATTTTGCCCTCACTGAAGAGGTGTATCTATGGAGGTGAGATTGAAGGATCACTTTGTGCGACAAATTTAATAAAACATACCCATTGCCCATCACTAAGCTTCTGTATGGCAGCATCCACGGAGGGCTGGTAAACACCCTTGCCGCGGAAGGTCTCGAGGGTCTGACCGAGACGAAAGAAGGTTGAAAAGATACTTTTTAACCCAGATGAAGCTATGTGTACGATGCAATGAGAGACTCACGGATTGGTAAACATGACGTCAGAAGCACCGAGCGTCCATCTGGTGGTGGTGGAACTGAGATAGTACCGGAGTGGAAGAGCAGCCCAAACTAAAGGGTCATCAACGCTGACAGAGAATCAATGAGCAAGAAGATAGTGCATGAGTAAGAAGAGTCACGTGGAGATGTGGTTTGAAACTAACAATTTAGTAAAAAATCATGTTAATCGTCGGTGAGTTGGACACGGACCAGTCAGAATGCCTTGTCTGTGTTGGCTATGTAGTGCGGTGTCGAGAGTGGATAGACCTTTGACGCGCAAAGAGCAGATACCGAGAGCAATGGCAGCTTTGCAAATGAGTCCTACACTGGTCACTGTTGCGACAGAGAGTGCCATCACCGGCACAGCCACAATAAAAAGAAAACAAGTCTCACCATAATTCCGCCAAATAATCCCGCCGACTCTGGGCCAACTCTCCCTCGCCACCATTCTGCGCCTTTCGCGCCCTAGCGCTGTCCGCGCTCAGCGACAATGTTGGCCCTCATGACACTTAGCTCCCTTGCTGCCCTCCTTTTCGTCTACGTTTTCATGCCCGCTCTATGGCTATCAATAATGTCCGCTGACGAGTCTCTCGACGCTCATGAATCAGGTCTCGCGCTCGTCGCTTCGCGTACGCATTCATTCTCTGGCCCTTGCACCCGTTTCTCATATTTACTTCTAGGAAATCCTTTCCGTGAGACTGGTCCTCCCGCCAACATGGCGAAGCTCATCTTGCTCCGACACAAAGTGAATCCACATGTCTACACCCCAAAAGATCTTATTTTACATGTCTTTAGATTCAAAACAGCAACAGAAAACGGCGCAGTCCTTCACGTTCGCGTCAAGCATCGCGAACTTACAGCGTTCCATCCTCTCGTCCGAAAGCATCTTGGGTGCGCTTCGGAAAACCCTTTGGCGGAAAGCAGTATCACTGATACTGCTTTGTCCCGGTTCAGTACCCTTTACTGGGACATACTATTTGTCCTGTGCTTTCTTATACCCATCCTTTGAAGCTACTCCTCAGCCTTCAGGAGACTGTACCACTTTATTACTATATTGCCATCCCATATTTGCTTTCTTCCCTCTTCATTCGCACCTTCCCCTCATCTTGCTTACCGCTCTTCAACACTAGTTACTAGCGCTAGAAACTCCATGTACTTATAACTTCAACGAAGGCACAAAGCTGAAAACTACCAACACGTGACTAATAAACCAAGGCTGCCTATGCAAACCTGTTCGTTCTGTCGACTGCCGATAGGAAACTTTCTGCTGCCTTCACAGGCTTTGGTACATTGACTGGAGGCGCGGAGCCTGCACCAGCCAACGACGCACGCGACACTTTACGGAGAGCGCTGCCTCCTAGACTGGTTACGGCTGCACCGCCAACAGATCGTGATGTACCTGGATTTCTTATCTTTCCTTCGCGCTTCATCCAAGACTGCTCTTGATTTCGCTGACGTTGATTAGATTTGGACACGGAAGATAGGAACTTTGAAAGACATCAATTCAGGAACAATAGAACATGAGCCACAACTGACCTCCAAACCATCGTCAAGCTCGGTTGCACCTATGATTGAAGCACCAGCCATCCTTTTGTTAAACTTGACAGCCTTCACGCGGATGTGGTCTTCCTCGTCTTTGCCGTCTATCCACAACGTATCGGTCAGGTCCATCTCATAATCCTGAAGACCGGTTGTTAGAAGAGCACAAGAATTACTAGAGCACAGCAAGCGGGCGAACCTCGTCTTCCAACCCTCCATCGTAAATTTGTCGTATCAAGTCATCACGCGTGAATTTGCCCACGTTCACGTCACCTTCTTCGTCATCGTCCCCAACAAGAGTCCTGCTAGACTCCTGTGATGCATCTCCAAGGTGGTCGAAGTCATTACCATCATCCAGTACAGTCTGCATGTATGACTCGGCAAATGCTTTCGTCTCCGGATTGGCCTCTGTGGCCAAATGATGAGTCCCACTCTATAAAACAAGCACAGGTCACCCACCCAATGCTTTCACGTCGTCTCGATCAACTCGTGCCCTTTTCATTGAATGACGTGCCCGTCTAGCACGTTGATCTTCATCATCACTTTCATCCTCACTGTCATCCATCCCCACACCATGATGACGTTTCTTCCGACGCAACTCACCACGCACAGCAGCTTGATGCAGTCGCTCCAGCGCTTGATCATCTTCTTCAGCTTGCTCACTAAAGAGCTTAGGTGAACAGCGTGGAAAACGTCACAACGAAAGATACGTACTGAAATTTCTCCAAGATTTTTTCTGCGGCAACTACTTCCTCACCCATCTCCTGATCATCCACAAGGGTCTCTAATGTCTTATCGAGGTCTTCGTCTTCGTCTTCTTCCTCTCCTCTTTCAATGTGATGTTTTGTTCCGAAACCAAATGCGTCATCTTCATCCGATTCTTGGGCCTCGTCCTCAAAAAACTCTAACGCTTCGTGACGTTTCCACGCTAACTCTGCCTTCGCCTCCTTCGCCGCTCCTTGGCGGAGAAGGTCGAAAGCGTCAGCTGGCCGTTTTCTGGTGCCAGGGCTGTCTGAAGATTGGTTATCGGTTGCCCTCCTCAGGCGTGAAAGTGGTCCTCCGTCAGGAGAATTATGTGAAATCCCTGAAAAGGACAACGTCCCTAATGGAGCGCGTGGTGCAGACCGAAACCCTGTCGGGCTAAAGAGGGTGTCGCGAGGAACCCTTGACTGGGACGGCGACGCAGGTTTATAAATTTCTGGGCTGTGAACATCCGGTCTCGTTTGAGTGAGGAATCTGTTTCATAGTAGCTGCGGAAGAGAACTTCTATGATGTCGTGATCCACATACCCATCATCATTGACATACAGCTCAGCACTCTGTTGGTTTTTCCGACCAGCGTTTTCCAACAAATAATCTTGCTCTTTCTCAAATATAATGTCAGCTTTGCGTAAGACGTTGTCTCCAGCTTGGAATGCAGGCAGCAGGGTCATATCTTGAGTCAGATCAAGGGTATCCGATCGACGAATTTGGTTGAGGGAAATGGAAACAGCCTGAGAGCAGGTTGAGCGTCTGCAACAGGGAGTAATACCCTCATACCTTTTCTTTATCCTTGAATGAAGCAAGGGGCCGTGCGTCTCCCTGTTTTTCCGTGGCCGATTCGAACAAATCCGAAAAGCTGGGCTGTAAGACGATGGATGCAGCAGCATTACTGCTCGACGTTTTGCCCGAAAATTTCTGGAACTCATCCAGGTCGCTGTTACCAATACAAGCAGCAGGAATAAAAGTAGACGAATTAGTGGATAGATGTGAAGATGCTGTTCTTAGCTGTGAAGCAAAGGTTTGGGTAAGATTGGTGGGGGCAAGTTGCATATCCTGCGAACTGTCACCACCAACCAACTCCTGAAATGGTCTCCGAGAATCTAAGCCTTCTCCCAAGTCAGGCGACGACATTGCCGAACTTCGTTGTGTTTCGCCTCGCAAAGACAGGGACCTTCCTAAGGGGCCCAGCTCTGCATGTCGAACAACAGCTTTGTTCTCCTTATCTTCGCTATAATCAAACATGAGACCAGTGTCATTTTCCTTGTCTGTTTCGTTCTCCACCCGCTCATCCGCTGAAGCTGACATGTAATCCTCGGATTCCAATATCATTGTGGGTGGTTTATCAGGCAGGACATTGTTGTGTGAAGGATGCTGAACTCTGGGCTTGGGCTCATCGTCCTCGTCGTCTGAATAGAATACTGTCCGTCGCCGGTGAGATGATCGGGTGTTTATATTCTCCTGATCGTTGAGGTCATCTATCAAAACATCCCCTCCAACATCGTCCGCCATAACTTCGGCTGCACCCTGACCTTCGTCGGGCTCGGGTTCGGGACTGGCAGAGCCCCTGCCCTCTGGCATCCAATCATCATCGTCCTCGTCTTCCTCGTCTTCATTATCGCTATCATTTTCGATCGCACCAGCCATCCGCGCCTCAGCGGCTTTTAGTCCCTTCTCCACAAGCACGTTCAAAGATTTTTCTGAAACTTCTGCTGGGCCTTCAGAAATGAGGATTCTGCCTCCAGCCTTCATGTAATCTGCCTCCTTCTTGTGAATGGTTTCGCGAATATCTCCCTTGACTTTACTCCAGAGACTCGTATTCAACTCGTCACGTGTGATACCTGATTTACGCCGACTGGTTGACGAACCGACATTGTTGAGGGGACCCAATTTGGGTGCAGCGCCAGACTTCTGCATTGACAAGTTCATGCCTGCAAAATTGAGTTGGACCTTTCTGCCTTCAGACGGTCTCCCCTTGCTAGTAGATCTGTGGTGTTCCTCGTCAAGTCTGGTAGTGCCCTTCTCCGGAGAAGGCAGAACGACAAGGTCGTCGTCTTCATCTTCACTGACCAACGGTGCATTCTGCTTTTCGACCAGAGCGCGCTGTTTGAGTGCCTGAATGTCTTCCCGTTTCTTCGTTGCTATCCGCTCTTCATAAAGGAGCTCAGGTTCAGGAAACTCGTCGTCAGACTCGGCGGCTGGAATAGTTGGCGGTATTATGGGAGGACATTGTTCCCCTTGAAAAGGATGGACAGAAGATGGTGAGATAGGGCGAAATATATTGACGGCAGAGCTACGGGGAGAAGAAGGTGGATCAGAAGGCACTTGCATGCTGCTTTGAGTATTTTTGCTAAATGACGAAAAGGAATTATTCTTAGAGCAGTGGCGACAAAACGAGAGTACTAACACGACGGAAAACAAGCGTTGCAGGGTGTGCTTATCGCGTTGAGGACGAGGGATGAGGCATTCTTTTTCCGTCGCGATCCGAGCACGCGCTTTTGCTGTTTCGGTGAAGTCTTTTTTCGTTGGCGCCTGGTGAATAGAAATTTAAACAAAATACGACGTGCATGACTACCTCATGTACCTTGACTTTCGGCTTCCTGGACTTATTGTGTGGGATTGTCTGTTCAACATGGTCGACTTTCATGTTACGACCCTCCCCCACACTCATCATTGGGGCCACAGTCACGCCACCGTCTGAGGCAGAAAGTGTAGATAAGAATCCGGGTTCGGGGGTGTTAATGCGATGTAGAGCGGATGGTGATGAGTTGCTGGAATGTGTGCCGTTTCCCAGCTCACCATCTGAGTCTGAGTCTAGCAGCGTGGTTGGTTTTTTTGTACGTCGGCGCCGCTCACTGATGAGGGGAGATGAGGGAGGTGCCAAATGATCTACAGATCTTGGTGAAGTCGCAGTAATGGTAGAAAGAGGACCTGCAAAGGAATCATCCAGAGGAGCGTCCTGAAACGAAACTGTTAGTTATGCAAAAAAAAACGCAATTCGTAAATCCACCTGCTTTAGATGAGGGCTGACTGGACAACGATTGGTCGATTTTTGACGCATCTTGACTATCGGGGAAGTCAATTTCATCATCCATCGCTTTCAATTGCGCCCGCCATTCAAACTGAAATCCCGAAGAAGCTCGATAGAATTTTTCCAATCCTCCATGTGTTTCTACTGTTCCTTCATCATCTGAGGTTTGTGAGCTCGGAGGAACCTCTTCGTCAAGTCCGGGCGGCCCAGTTTGGTGGACACTGGCGCGCGACGGCGCAGCCAGTAAAGAAGATGAGGTTGATGCCTCAATATCTTCAGCTGGAGGGGATTTTTTTCTGCCATACGTTCGAGTGGGCCGTTTGATCTCGCTCTTTGCAGAGTCGCGTAGGGGAGATGAGGAGACGGTGGAATCTGCCACAATGGATAAATCCTTGCCCAGTGGCATAAGAATAAAGAAGGAGATTAAAATAGGAGGTGTCGCAAAAACCGCTAACGAGACCGCGGTCTTTCGTTGGTTGTTCGAGGGAAGAGACAGGTGCAAGAGCACTGCGTAGGAGACGACGTGTTACAACGTCACACACCGTGACAGTTCGCGTTAGTGACGTCACATGTGGGCATTTCAGTCATTTCTACTCTCGTTTATGTACCCGAACGTTGTGTCTGTCTTATTCTACCTCCCCTGATGGAAGCAAAACACCTGTGAACCCCACCTATTTGGTCCTATTAGACAGGAACAAGATATGCTTGTTCCTGTCTAGTTCGATCAAAGATGGCTTTTGTAACGCTCTGGGCAATAACTACCAGTAGTGCGTAGGGACTTTATAATAAATTCTTACCTGTGCTCACCGGCAACCATGAATACCAGTCACCGGTGTTTGGCACTTGGCGGCATTGCGCTCCTGCCCATAAAGGGTTCGATGCCATCACGAAGAACCCTTACTCACCGTTGTTG